AGGTAGAATGAGGGCTTGGTTCAAGGGAGCCTGCTGGCTGGCCCCTAAAATCCACCTGGGAACAGCCCCCAGGTGTGCCCTCAAGCTGCTAATCCCTAGTCTGGCTGCCCCGACTTGCTCCTCAGCACTTCAGTGGTCAGGGTGTCTCCTTCCCTGCTCCCTCCTTACCCTTCTCTTGGCACCAGCAACGAGGCCTCTGGGAGGCCAGAACTCTTCCCACAGCCTCTTTCAGGGCTTCCTGCCCAAGGCGGGAGTTGATCTCTCAAGGGTGAGTGGGACTTCTGGCTGTGCCATCAGCAGTTCCTGTCTGTATCAGTTAGCTTTGGCTGTGTAACAAATTGCCCCCAAATCTAGAGGCTTCACACAGCTACTGTCTCTTATCGCTCACAAATCCCTGGTTTGCCTGACCAGTTCTGGTGTGAGCGTCCCTGCTCAGGGGATGGCTCCGTGACCCCAGAGCCCTGACTGGAGCTGCTGCCTGCAGCCCTGCATGCTGGTTCTCACCACACTGTGTCCTCGCCCCTTCCAGCCCGTGGAGTCACACATCACCACCTAGCCCCTGAAGACACACTCATGGAACCTACAGCCAGACATCCAGGGTGGCTCCTCTCAGCCCTGCTCCTGACCAAAGCTTCCTGCCTGTGTGGGAACCACCTGCAGGCAGCTCTGTCCTGAACGCCATTCCAAACACTGAGGGGGAGTCGCCACCTTCCCTGGCAGCGTCACTGTCAGCCTTAACAATAGTTTGACTTGGTTAAGCTCCTCCAAGGGCCAGGGAGGTCAAGCCGGAGCAGGAAGGAGCACCCTGTACCAGGTAACTGTGAGAGTTGACAGCCGACGAGCAGAAGAGAGGTGCCTGTGTCCCCTCCTATTGGGACCAGAGAAGGCATCACAGGGTAGGGGAGGGTCTGATCCCAAGGTAGGAGGAAGCATCCTGGGTCCTGGGGTCCCTTGAGCAGGCTGCACTGTAAGGGAAGGTCCCTCTGGGGCCAGGAGCTACATCAGGAGTGAAGGGAAAACTGCATTTGGGGGCCCTGGAAGCCAGGCTGAGTCTTCTGCCTTTGCGAGAGATGGGGAAGTGTGGACGGGCTCTGAGCCCAAGCCTGCCAGGAGCACAACGGAGCTTCAGGAAGCAGCTTTCCAGCAAGTGCTGGGAGCTTTCTTGGAAGCAGGCTGAGTATAAATTATAAATAAACAAACCAGAACTCTGCAGCGATGTGGGCCGGTTGGGAAGAGGGGAGAGACGGGAGGCAGGACCTGGCTAAGGTGCTAAGGCAGCCCCTGGCCTGGCCCTGCCAGCCCTCCCACCTTGCCCTGCACCCCAGCCTCGGGAACTCAGCAGCCTCCCTGCTCATTGGCAGGGGCCTCGGGTTTCTGGGGCCGACCTTGGCCAGGCTGCAGAGGGGGGGCCCAGTGCAGACCCCTACTGTGGGACTGGGAGGCCCGCCCGCACCAGAGGGGAGACCCAAGTCTTTCTCACACCAAAACAGGCCCCGTGGCCACTCATCCGTGTAGGAGGTGTCTCACCAAATGTTTGAAGGGGGAAAAAAATCCCATTTTCTAAGTTTTTTTTTTTCCTTTCTATTTTTTGATTATTTTTCTAGATGACTTCATTTCTAAGAAGGGGGTAGTGGAGAGAAGGAGGACAGGGGGAGGGAGGACTTGGGCCCTGAGGAGGCTGCTGGGGACCGGAGCAGCGGGGGAAGGAGAGTGGGAGCCAAGCCCAGGGAAAGCCCAGGCTTCTTCAGCCTGGGGAACAGGGGGCCGCTGTGTCCCGAGCCCAGGTGTGACCCCAACCCCGGTGTGACCCCAGCCCAGGTGTGTCCCAAGTCCAGGTGTGTCCCGAGCCCAGATGTGACCCGAGCCCAGGTGTGACCCCAGCCCCGGTGTGACCCAAGCTCAGGTGTGTCCCAATCCCATGTGTGACCGGGAACCCAAATGTGTCCTGAGCCTAGGTTCCTGAGTGCCGCTGTGAGTACATGTCCCTCCTGATCCCCCCGGGGCCTGTCTGCACTCCCACAAGACCTTGGGGTGGGGAGGAAGTCGGTTCTCCTCCAGCAGAGTTTGGGAGGGGAAGAGTCTTCAAGCCTTCACCCCAGATCCCTGGCGTGTGACCCCCCACACCCCCTACCTGTCCCAAAGACAGAGCTGAGAGCAGTTACCAACCACACACACCACTTGGAACAGGCAGAACCCACTCTGGCCAGCTTAATGGAACCCAGTGCAGGATATGAGGAGGCTCACAGAACCTTCTGGAAAGCCTCTGCAGCCACACAGCCAGGAGCAACGGCCCGACCACACAGCCTCCCCCACAGGGCATGGGCCCCGCAGAGCAAACCTGCTGTTCTGAAGCCAGGCCCCACCACCGTCCCTGATGGTCAAGGGTTTCTGGAGGTATCGGCTTCCTGGCATTTCGCACATCTAAGGCTGAGGCTGGCAGGTGTGAGCAGGGCTGCCTCCAGTGCCTGGGCTGGGCTGCAAGGGAGGCAGGCAGGTCCCAGGGCTCTAACTTGTGCCTGAAGAAGGTGGGGCTCTATAAGGCAGGAAGCCCCCCCAGGCACGGGATGGTGCCCAGGAGGTGGTGGCCATCCCAGCACCCCCTGAGCCCTGAAAGATTTTTCCAACCCCAATACCCAGCAGCCCTCTGGGCTGCAGGGACGGAGCCAGGCTGGGCTCTTGTCTGAGATGGGAATGGCTGCTGATGGCCTCCGCACCCTGGAGACTGAGATGGGAACAAACACCTGGTCTGAGGTGAGAGCTGTCTGGGCCAGAGGGGAGCTGGGGCCTTGGGAGCCTTGTCCATCCACCCTCGCTGCCCCTGAGCTCTGCCTGGGCTGGAGAGACAGGAGAGGAGGCTGTCTCCCTCTCCCAGGAGGGGCTGCCATAACAAATTAGCGTCTACTTGATGGCTGAAATCAACTGACATTTATTCACTAACAGTTTTAGAGACCAGAAGATCAAAATCCTTCTGGGGCCCCACTGGGGACCCTGTCCCAGGCCGCTGTCCCAGCACCCATGGAGCGCTCCTTGGCCTGTGGACACGTTTCTCCCACCTCTGCCTTTGCCTGTGGGCGTCTGGGTTTCACATCTCCCTCTGCCTTTCTCTTTCGAGGACACCTGTCATTGGAGTTAGGGTCAACCCTTCCTGCAGGATGATTTTATCTTGAAATCTTTCACTTCATTCCATCTGCAAAGACTAATTCCAAAAAAGGTCACATTCTGAGGTTCTGGGTGGACACCTCTTTTTGGGACCACCATTCAGGGCACTACCACAGGCATGAGAGACTGGCACAGGACGGGCAGAGGGGGAGAGAGGAGAAGACGGATGGAGTCGGGTGTTGGATGGGACCTCGGGGGCAGGAGGGGCCAGCTGCCTGGGGACTGTCGTCCTGGACGTGGGATTGTCTGTCCTCTTATGCCCAGGCCTGCTTGTGACTGCCAGATGGTGTTTTCCACCACCCCTGGCCTCCTCACCGTTGTCTGGCATGTCCCAGTTCCAGATGCCATGAGCGCCTCATCCCCCCAACAGCTCCCACACCCCCTCCAAGCCTCAAAGCCCTGAGGTCTCCTGAGTCCCAGAGGCAAGGGAAGCTGCCCCATTCCCCCGACCCAACCCAGCGTCTTTCTCAGGTCACTGAAGGGAGAGTAAGCCCCATGATCCCCTCATCTCCCGACTCCCCATCCCCCACAGCCCTTCTTTCTCCTCCCCAAAGCCCCCATTGTGGAGTTTAAGCCATTTCTTCTGATGAGGATCTCAGAGACGAAGACCCATCAAGGTGCATGGGGGCATGGGTCAGATGAGCATGAAAATGTCCGCACACACTTTGCTGTTCCTACAGTTTCACCAGGACCTCAGAATTGCCTTTGAGGGAGACCCAAGTCCCATTTCAGGGATGAGGAGAGAGGTTTAATGCCTTGCTCGAGAGTTCACACAAACAAAGCTGGGACTTGAACCTGAAATGAGCAACTCCAGCTTTCACTGATTATTTTCTCTGATTCCCCCACAGGAGCTCAGTCCCACGAGGAATACTATTCCTGCTGAAATCCTCCTGGGGACAGGGAACCCACCACCTCCCAAAATATGGGCTAAGGCCAGGCATGGTGGTTCATGCCTATAATCCCAACACTTTGGGAGGCCAAGGTGGGAGGACCGTTTGAGGCCAGGAGTTTGAGACCAGCCTGAGCAACATCTCAAGACGCTGTCTGTACCACACACACACACACACACACACACACACACACACACACCCTGTAATCCCAGCTACTTGGGAGGTTGGGGCAGAGGATTGCTTGAGGCCAGGAGGTGGAGGCTGCCACGGGTGAGATCTAACCACTGCACTCCAGCCTGGGCGACAGAGTGAGACCCCATCTCAAAAACAAAAATCTGTGACCTCTACTAATGGTCATAAGTGCTGAGACCTTCTTTCATGGAGGGAAAGCGCTTCTCTCTCCAGGGAACTCAGCCCACTGGCCTTGGCGATGGGCAGTGCTCCTGGCCTGGAAGTCTTCTCAAGGACAAATTGTCTACTTCTTAGTCCACCCTTGAAAAGTTAGGGCTCTGGGCCCCTCCCCCCAGAGGGTTTCTGGCCCAATCTGCAACTTGCCTGTCCTTGACTTGTGAGGCAGCTGGGGAGGGTGACTTTGGACAGGTGTCCCCGGCACTGTGCCTGAGTCAGGTGCAACTAAGGGATGGGTTGTGCCTACTTTGAAGGTGACAGAGTCTGTCTGCCTAGGGCCACAGTCCGAGGGCGAGGCCCTTTTGGGGTGCTTGTCATGGCATCTGGTCATCAGCCACCTTGGCCCCTGCAAGCTGGGGCCAACCATGAGCACTCCTGAGCACAGCCTGAGAGGGGCCTGCCGGCGTCCCAGCAGCCACCCTGCCAAGGCTCAGAGGCAATGTCATACTTTGGAAAAGAAAAAGAAAAAAAAAAAAAAAGGCAACCACCAACAAACTGAGAGGCTGAGTCACAGCCAGGCGGAGGCATCTGCCAGATCCGAGAGCCATGGGCGGAGGGGGGGGGGCTTTGGCTCGGAGGGGGCGGGGGCACAGCAGGCCACCTGCCCTGATTCCCTGCACTTCTGGAAGCACCAGCAGCCTCTCCTGGAGGACACGTGCCCTTCCAGTGGGGTACTCTGGACTGGGAGCCCAAGGGGTCCAGCAGAACTCGGGCTCAAATTCCAGCTCAGCCACTAATCAGCCCCCGGCACGGGCCAGCTGCCCCAGCTTGCTCAGCCTCAGTACCCTCTTCTGTCTAGTGGGCATAAGGGCGGCTCTTAGCATTCCTGTGCCAATCACAGAAGGGCTGAGTGCTCAGAGCAGCCTCTAGCACGCGACAGGGACCGAGCACAGACAGCTGTGCCCTGTTTACTGCCATCATGAAAGAAAAGCCCTGGGTGGGCACCGCCCTCTGGGAGCAGGGATGCTGGAGGGTTTGTGGGGTCCCCCTCTCTGCTCAAGGCCCTCCTGACACCCCAAATTGGCTCCCATGGCTGTTGGTGGTCTTAGGCTGTTTCCTTGCCAACTCTCCCACACTCCCTCCTTCCTTGGGTCCCAGTGCTCCTGAGGGGTCTTGGGTCCAGTGCCATGGGCTTTGGAGGCAGCAGGGGCAGGGTGGGATCTTCTACCCTGGCCGGCATCCTGCCCAGCCTGGCAGGTCTCCTCACCTCGGGCTCCTGCTGTGGCCAGGTAGGGCCTGGGGGAAGCTGGCAAGCTCCGAAGTGGCCTCACTTAACACACAGCATGGCCCCAGCCTTTCTGGGAGCCAAGGCCTTGGAGCAAGGGCGGAGGTGTAGCCCACGTGCCCGGATCAGTCTGGCAGGGTGTGCTGGCACCCCCGGCAGGAGGCCCCTGCAGATGGCGGGCATCTGTGCGTGGAGGATACCTTCATTCTGCCAAGGCACGGGGCTCCGGAGTGGGAAGGCACCCTCCAGACCATCCACACACAAGGCTGGGGCCCGAGGCCTGCAGAAGGAAGGGACTTGCCCAGGGCCACCTGGTCAGGGGTAACAGGCCTCCCAGCCCTCATCAGGACCTCTAAGGCTCTGCGTCCCCAGAGGCTGGGCCCACCTGAGTCCCTTGTCCAGAAACCAGCTGCACCGGTCTCTCCCCAACCCTGGAGCCCATGTGATCCCGGCCCCCCTCCTTCTGATGGCTCCCCCACTGGCGGGTGCCTGCCTCTCCCGCCCCCGCACTCCCGGCGGGGAGTTATGGCACCCCTTCCCCCGCACACACTTAGCTCACTGGCAGCCCATCTGCCCCGAGACGGTGGCAGCAGATGCTTGGATGCACAGCGGTGCCTGCAACTCGGTAGGCCCAGCGCCTGTGGCGGGTGTGCACGCTGCCAGGCAAAGGGGCCTGGGCCCCGAAACACCCACCCGGCCGGGGCAGAGGCCCCTCATCCAAGGCCAGGCTACAGACAGATCAGGACACCCAGGCACCCACCAGTGCTGGGGACACAGTGTCGTCCCCTCTCCACCTGCACCCCGCCCCCCGCACCACTCCTGGGAGGGAACTAATGGGTTGCCACTCTCTAACGGGCTGCACCCTCGCCTCCCTGACCGCCCCCCCCGGGAAAGACTCAAAGTGTTCAGGTTCTGCCCCCAGGCCCCAGCCACAAGGAGGCTGATGGATGCCACGGAGACACCCACAGAGGCTGCCACTTCCCGAAGTGCATGGGAGGGTTCGGAGCTTCCCAGCAGCACAGAGGGTCAGCCCCTCAGCTGGGGGTCAGGGGGCAGGCCCCTTACCTGTAGCCTGAGTGCCTCAGCCTCTGGGGCCCCAGGCTCACCCTCCCTCCCACAGACGGGGGCAGGGGGCAGAGCTGGGTGCTAGGAAGTGGTGGCCACGGCCCCTGGACACACATGGCCCGTGAGTGGACAGGCCTGGTTTCCATGGCAGCAGCCTCCAGCCCTAGGTCAGGAGGGGAGAGTGCTGAGACCCCCGGAGCCTGGCCTTTGGCTGGGCTCTCCCTGTACCCTACACTGCCACAGGAGCACAGGTCCCCAGGTGGGCACTGGAGGGCAAGCCCAGCATGGGGCAGGGGCCGAGGGGCCGTGCACTGGTGGCTGCAGTGCCCCCACTAACATGGGGGGGTGGCGCCCCCTTCAATAAAACAGAAGACTTGGGCTAGACCTTGGGCGGAACATCCTGATTCCAGAAAGAATGAGACCATCTCCAAGATCTGCTCTCGGGCTGTTCACGGCCTCTAGCCCACTGTCCCGGGTGAGAGACGTGGGGATGGGAGAGGAGGCTCCAGGCTTGAGAAGCAAAGCCTGCTGGGCAGAGGGGAGCAGCTCGCCTCCTTAGGACCCCAGTAGCCGAGCCCCCAGGCATCTGAAAGCCACAGACTCCAGAGGAGCAGGCAGCCTCCCCTCCTCCCAGCGCCCCCGCAGTGTGAGCTGCAGACACACAGGCGCACCCGCACACACGCGCACGCCCCCGGGCCGCCTCTGCTCCCTTCAGGGCTTGTGTTTGCTGTGCTCCGGCAGGGCCGGAATGGGGACACGCTGCACTCTCGCAATTGGCAGTTTCTCCTGAGCCCCCCCATGGAGGTGCCATATGTCCATGTCATGAATAGGCTCCAGGCTCTGCCACGGCTTGGGGGGCTGGGAAGAGGCAGCTGCCAATCATCTGCCAAGTAGGCAAGGGGAGGGGACTACCAGAGGGGCGGGGTGGGGGCACAGGCCAAGGCCTGGGAACAGGGTGGGCCAGGGCTTGGTCACTGGCTTTACCAGGGTGGGATGCATCCCAGGCAACCCTGGGTTCTTTGCTGAAAACAAAGCCAAACCTAAGAAGTCCTGGGCTTTGACCTTGGTAAGTGACCAGAGTCCCCAACCCCTGCCCCTCAGCCCCTGGCCTGTCCATGTGCTAGCTGTCAGCCCAAGCCGCCTGCTCCCTGCCCCTGAATGTGCACCTGTGAGCCTTCACCAGTGAGGGGGGCCCAAGGCCTCCCTTGCAGGGAGGAGGAGGAGGAACAGGTTCAGCCAGCACCAAATGAGAGCCAAGCACCGTTAGTTCCCACAACACTCCTGGGAACTGGGGATGATCGTCCCCATTTTATAGATAAGAAAATGGACGCTCTGCCAGGTTTTACTAAACTGTATCAAGGTCTCCCAGCACAGCAATGACAGAGCCAGATTCTGCTCAGGTCCTGACAGTGCACAGCCAATGATCCCTTGCCCCAAACCTGGAGCAGCCCATCCATGCTGTGCCTTGGCACCCTCTGCCTGGTAGCCACCCACCCGGCCCCTCGTCCCAGGGACCTGGCTGCTCCTCCTCCACCTCCCAGCTCTGTGACGCACTCTCTCTGTCCTGGCCCCTGCCCTGGCTTAGAATGAACTCTTCCCTCCTCCTGCCAGCTCTGTGATGCTCTCTGCCCCTCCCCGCTTAGAACAAACTCTCCTCCCAGCTCCATGATGCTCTCTGTCACCCCTTCCCACTTTTAGAACAAACTCTTCCCTCCTCCTGCCAGCTCCTTGATGCTCTCTTCCCCCACCACCCTTTAGAATGCACTCTTCTCTCCTCCCTGTCCTGAGGACGCTGTTGCCCATCTTGATCAGAGAAGACCACACGATCCATGAACACCTGTCTGCGGTGTGTCCCTTTGTAACCCCAGCCCTCAGTCACCTCTCCCACCCGTGCCCGGTCTAGGTGTGACATGCCGGTGACTGTGGAATGAAGACAGAAGCAGGTGCAGTCAAGAGTGGTGCGCCAGGATCTTGAGGCCTGACTACAGAAGCTGCCGCCAGTGTCATGCTGGCCCTGGGGGGTGGAGGGGCCCGCTCCACTCAGGGCTCCACAGGGCCTTTCTCTCATTCCTGGCCCTGCTGGACGCAGTGACTGTGGGTTGGACGAACTGCCCTGGGTTAATTGGCTCCCTCTCCCTACCAGCATGACGGATTCTGCTTGACATTTCCCAGGATAGTTAATTGATAACCAAGTAATTTGTCATGGAGACCTCGTTATATGCCAACTGGGTCCCCTAAGCTGTTAGCGTCTGTGCCCCAGAAACAAGATTGGCAAGTTAATAATGGAACCTTAATCATGCTGTTCCCTGCTGGCACTGGAATGGAATTACCTGGAGACAAGATGAGACACCGTGGCTCTCCACAGGCCTTGGAGATGAAGCTTCGTGAGAGATCCTGAAGCCACTGACCCTTCTGGAGAAGGTCCCCTGACCTTGGTTTTCTCAACCAGGTGTGCCTTCTCCTGGCAATGGTGCTGTTCTCCTGAGAAGTCCTCTGCTCCACAAGGTGGCCTGAGGCTGGTTCAGGCCCTGGGCACTTGGACCCCGGCCCCAGGCCACAGTGAGGGGTTCAGGGGAAGGCATGTGACTCAAGCCTAGCCAGCCAATGAGCGTCAGCCTGGGGCTTTCACTGGGGCCGCTGGGACAGCAGGGCTTGCTTTGAGGAAGTGAGGCTGGGCTGATGAGGGAGCAGCCTCCTGGAGAGAGAGGGAGCCGGGGCCAGGCCATGCAGCACCGGTGCTGCCTCCCAGAGTGAACGAATGAGGCCCCAGGTTTGCTTAAGTTGGTTTTTGTCACATGCAACCTGGAGGGTTCTGATTATACACAGGGTATCTCCACTCAGACACCCATGTGCTGAGACTCCAGGATGCAAGCTGTCTGCCGGGGCTGTGTGACGGAGCCCCCTGCGGAGGAAGACTACCTGGCAGAGAGGCAAGGCCTGGGAGAGACAGCCTGCGTTGGGAGGAGGGTTGGGGGCCGGGGGCGGTGATCTTGAGGATGGCCTGGGGTCTGCTTCCCAGGGAGGGGGTCTTGGGCAGGAATAGAGGGAAATCTGGGTGGAAGATGAAGAGGCGTGAGGCTGGAGGAGAGGCTCAGCCCCAGCTTTCACTTCAGCACCGAGGACAGCGGCAGCACAGTCCCGTACAGGGAGGCAGGCCCAGAGGAGGAATCTCATCCCCACAGTAACGGGGACTCACAAGTCGTGGAATGTGGGAATGCCATTCATGCTGTACCTGTGACAGACATGCAACATCGTGGCATCCATGTGCCTTAGAAACAAAAGCCAACGACTAATACCAGAACTCTTACAGGCAGCTTAAAAATTCCGCCGCATGCCCAGTCTTCCTGCGGCATTGGTTTCTGGGTGGGAAGTGAGGACGGGCTCGAAGCTCTCATACATCTCTCAGGAAGGCACTGGAAGGTGCCCAGCATCCAAGTAGGGGAGCGATTGTATAGGGTCGGGGATGCAGGGAAAGGAAGTCCCAGCATGGGGTTGGGGAAGGCCTTGGTGATAGATGGTACAGCAGGTATACCAGGCGACTAGGAGAGATACAGGAGGAAACTCTGTGCCTTTTATCTTTTGCTGCATAACAAATTATCCCAGAGCAAAGATTCACCATCCCCCACAGTTCCGAAGGGATGGGGACCCAGACACAGACTCTGGATCGGGCCCTCGTGAGGCTCCTGTCCCGGGCTGACCGGAGCTGAAGGCAGCTGCAGGCTGAGCAGAGCTGGAGGAGTCACTTTCAAACGGCTCCTGACAAGGCTGAGGGCAGGAGGCTTCCTTCCCTGTCATGCAGACCCTTCCATGAAGTGGCTTAGGACACAGTGGCTGACTTCCCTCAAAGAGGATGAGGAGAGGCAGAGAGAGGGCACGTGCCACCAACATGAAAGTGACAACACGTTCCAGGACTCAATCCTATGAGTGATGCACCATCGCTTCTGACAATCTGTTGGCCACACCGACCGATCCTGTTCTATGTAGCACAAACTCCAGGAAGTGGGGGTCGAAGTGGCCATCCGGCAGGCTGGCTGCCACAGGCCAAGTGAAGGAAGACATTCATCAATGGCTGGATTTTTTTTTTTTTCTTTTGAGACAAGAGTCTCGCTCTGTGGCCTAGGCTGGAGTGCAATGATGCGATCTTGGCTCACTGCAACCACCACCTCCCTGCTTCAAACCATTATCCTGCCTCAGCCTCCAGAATAGCTGGGATTACAGGCACCCACCACCACACCTGGCTAATTTTTGTATTTTTAGTAGAAATGGGGTTTTGCCATGTTGGCCAGGCTGGTCTCAAACTTCTGACCTCAACTAATCCACCCGCCTTGACCTACCAAAGTGCTGGGATCGCAGACGTGAGCCACCTGCCTGGCTTGGATATTTTTAATTTTTAAAATATCTTTTACTTTAAAAAACAGTGATAGAGATGGGTTTTTGCTGTGTTGTTTAGGTTGGTCTCGAACTACTGGGCTCAAGCAATTCTCGCGCCTTGGCCTCCCAAAGTGTTGGGATTGCAGGCGTGAACCACTGTGCCCAGACTGGCCGGATGTTTTTAATGAAGCAAAAGGAGATTTATACTTCCATGGCAGGGTTTGGGGCTAAATAAGTAATGGGTACAGAGAATATCAGTCCAGTCCCCTAAATGAGGCAGTTATTAAGTCCAGGAAAAATAAGAGGTTGTTCAAGAAAAGAAATGCAATTACAATAATTACTCAGCTGGGAAGGGTGTATGCTGAGAAACAGTAATGCACACATTGCATTCTGATTCAATGAAAAGGAGAAGATGGTGGGAGAGTGTTGGGCGGGGGGGCATGTGTGAGAGAACAAGCCTTCAACTGCCATGGCGGGAAGGACATGGATACATTTCTACATCTGAAAAGAAAAGGAGAAAAAAAAAAAGTAGCAGCAGCAGCGACATGAGGATGGCTATTCAGAAGTAAATACCAAAAAAAATCAGCTGCAATCACAGAGCAGGTTGCCTCTAAGAAGGTGTGTCAGGAACGGAGGGCTGGTTTCATTCGAAGCCTCGTAGTACTATCTGACCATTCAAACCGTACATTTATGACTTCATTAAAAACATACATGAAGCCAGGTGCAGTGGCTCATGTCTGTAATCCCAGCACTTTGGGAGGCCAAGGTGGTGAATCACTTGAGGTTAGGAGTTCAAGACTAGGCTGGCCAACATGGTGAAACCCCGTCTCTACTAAAAATAGAAAAAAAAGCCAGGCATGGTGGTACACAGCTGTAATCCCAGCTACTTGGGAGGGTGAGGCAGGAGAATGGCTTGAACCAGGAGGCAGAGGTGGCAGTGAGTAGAGATTGCACTGCTGCACTCCAGCCTCAGGGACAGAGCAAGACTCTGTCTTAAACAACCAAAAAATACATGAAATATAAGTAACTAAAAACTAAGGGGTGAATAAACCAGGGGTAAGTAACTAAAAAACAGAGGGGTGTCGGCAGCTTGGGCACCGGCCCTGGAGGAGAGAGTGACTCAGTAGCTAAAAAACCAAACCAAAAATTTCCAAGCTGCTGCCTGCTCCCAGCTCTCTGTTGGGCCCAGGCAACCCCAGGGTAGGGCCCCAGGGCCTGTCCTGTCTTCCTGGATTCTGCACCTCCTCCCAGGCCCCTCTCGGCCCTCCTGTGCTCCCTCCAGGTCCCTCTCTGGGCTGCTCTGGGTCTATCTGAGGATGTGTCCTGGTCTTCATCCTTCCTGCCCTAGCCTGCCTCCCACCTTGTCTGCCCCTTTCTATACTTTACTCCCTTTGGGCTCTGCCCATGGCAATGGGAGGGGAAGGGGTGCCTGTACCTGGGGGACTGTGGTGCCCGCAACAGCTATCAGTTGGCCCCTCCAGCCGCACCCCCAACTGGCCACACCAGCGGCCCATGGTGACAGGAGAAGTTGCTCCTCCTTCCTGAGGAGGTGAATCGGGGATAGCAGGCTGCGCTCCATCATCTCTATGACACCTCGCCTAATTACACCGTGTGCTATTCATTTGGATGTCAGCGCTGCCGTGTGGCTTTGCTCTTAACTAATAATTTGGTAAAACTCCATTTGGGGCCTGGCCAGGGTAGTTGAGTGGAGACTGCGTGTTGGGGGGCCAGGCTGGTGAGCACCTCCCTGCCAGCAAGTGTGGGCTCCCCCAAGCATTCCCAGGTAGCACCCCTCCACTCTGAGTTCCTGTTTGAAAGACCAGAGCCTGGGGGAGACAGGGGTGGGTGAGAAGTGTCTGCATCTTGGGGCACTGCCCCTGGAGGAGAGTGACTCAGGCGTCAGGGCACCCGTCAGACACCCCTTCCTACCCCAAACACTATGGCTTATTCTTAAAGCACTGGTCACAATCCATCCCACTGATAAGAGGTTCAGAGAGGTGAAGAGGCTTACCCAAGCACACATAGCACACAAGGACAGAAGCCTTGGTCTGGAACCCAGGGCTCTGGTTGCCTGTCACAACCTCTTCTGCCAGGACAAGAGCCCCAGGCCAAGTCTTTCAGTGACTCTACTGCAGAGAAAGCAGGGCACAGGCCCTGGGGTGGGTGTACACCAGCCACCAGGATGTCAGGGGCAAGGCTGGCTCTCCTGGAGGCCAGGGCTGCCACGGGAGGTGTGTGACTCAGGCGAGATGCTGTCAAGGGGCCACAGCCCAGCTCAGACCCAGATTTGAACAGTCTGATGCCTGTGGCCAGAGCAGGGGTGGGGCTTGGGACAGCTAGGATGGCCAGAGGGGCCCCTTCCTGGGGCCTGACCTTGGCCAGATCCTAAAGGACACTCTAGCCCTGGTGCATCTTCTGATCCTGAGTGCCACAGGAGAGGGGATGGAGGACCGGCGGGGGTCTCAGAAGCTCCACAGGCCTGGCCCACCAGCCTCCTTGGAGTCTCTCCCTCCCAGCCCCCAGGCAGGGTGGGGACCTGGGAGAGGGACATAGTGGCCCACAGGTGAACAGGAAAATCTATTTGGATCCAACTTGAATTATTAAGTGGTTCAAGAATATTCTTAGCTCTGGGTAGGCTGTGGTCTGCAGAGACGGACTTTACCACGGCTCTATTTTTAAAGTTCTGTGGGTAGAGCCGAGATGCCACTGCACTTAGGGCACCCCCAGCATGCCCTTCTGCCTGCTGCCAGGGAGTAGGGTGGGGACAGGCCAGGGGGCACATGCCAACCCTGCAGACCCCCACCCTGCAGGGGAAGGTATGTGATGCAGGGATGGGAAGCTGGGGTTCCCCCATGTGCTAGGTGCCCAGGCCACCTCTCCCCAGACCCTGGCCTATGCACCTGCTCCCCCAATTCTAGCCCCCCTTGACCAACAGATCCTGTTTCCCCGGCTTCAATGCCCTGCACTCTGCTCCCCCAAACCCACCCTCTGCCCCCAGTGCAGCCTTGGGGAAAGCTGCTGGGCCAGCTCAGGGCTGTCACTGCACATCCCCGGGGTGGGGTGGGGGGCTGGCGTCTCAGCAAACTGCTTATGGCTGAAGAAAAAAAAATCAAGCTTTTCAAGAATTCAAGTTAGTTTTATTCAAAAGTCTTACTGAGGACCCTAGACCCAGGCTCCAGCCCGGGAGCAGCCTTAGAGAGGTCCTGTCTGACTGCCCAACTCAGCGTTTCAGCCCCTGCTGGATGCGGGTGCCAGAATGCAGGAGCTGCACAGTCACATCTATCCAGCTGGCTGTGAAGTTACGTTACAGCAGAATCCCACCAAGGGCTGGGTGCAAGAGCACCTCTGGTTGCAGATTACAGAGGCATTAACTGCTCACCTCAGCCAACATGATCCCACGTGCAGGAAAAGCCGAGGACCAGGGTCCTTCATCTTTTAAGGAATATAGTGACTCAGGCAAGAGGCGTGGGGCCATGTGCGCTTTCCTGTGTTCAAAGCATCCCTCTGGAGAGCTGGTATCACAGAGTCAGGGCGCACAGAGATGAGCACATACTCAGGTTTGCTGCTGACATGCCAGCCTCTCCTCCTTCAGTCGATGTGGCCATAGGCGGGGCTGAGGGCCCTGGCACACACCCGCACCCCACGTGGACTACCAGTTCGCCTTTCACTTCAACTCCCCCCCTTTAGGGTTTGGAGCCCCACCCCTGCTTAATCCCAAGCTTCCTGAGAGGCCCGGAACTGCCACCCGTGAGTTCTACACCACCTCTGCTGTCCTCCTCTCCTCCTCCTGAAACCTGCTCCCCCTGGAACTGCCAGGTCTTTGGGGAGGGGGTGCTGTCTGTCTGTGTGGGGAGAGCCTGGGAAAGGCATGCAGGCAGATGTGGTTGAAGCCCCTGACCCTCTGAATCTTGGGCTTAAGTGAGCTCTCAGCAGGGGCCCTGCACTCCTGGTCCCCTCTCACAGCCAGGTCACCACTCAGCATCTGCAGTCAATGAGGACTCTCCCAAAACCACGCACAGCCGGATGGCCCAAGGAAAAAGAGGACGTCAGTGACTAAAAGCAGGAGTGAAGGCCGGGGCGTTCTTAGCGACCCCACACACATCAAGAACATGCCATGAACAATGGTATACCAACAGATTAGATAACATGGAAAAGCTCCAAGAAACACACAAGCTAGCCACTGACTCAGGACAGAAAATCCGGACAATTTACAACAAACACAGAGATTGAACCTGCAGTCGAAACCCGCCCAAAGACCAGGACCAGATAGGCTCACTGGCAAATTCTACCCAAGGTTCTAACAAGAATTAACACCATGCCGGGTGTGGTGGCTCAAGCCTGTAATCCTAGCACTTTGGGAGGCCGAGGCGGGTGGATCACGAGGTCAAGAGATCGAGACCATCCTGGTCAACATGGTGAAACCCTGTCTCTACTAAAAATACAAAAAATTAGTGGGGCACGGTGGCGTGTGCCTGTAATCCCAGCTACTCAGGAGGCTGAGGCAGGAGAATTGCCTGAATCCAGGAGGCGGAGGTTGCGGTGAGCCGAGATGGCGCCATTGCACTCCAGCCTGGGTAACAAGAGCGAAACTCTGTCTCAAAAAAAAAAAAAAAAAAGAATTAACACCAATCTCCCTCTTCGAGAAAAATGGCAGAGGGAACACTTCCTAACCCAATCCATGAGGCCAATGTTATCCTGATATCAAAACCAGAGGAAGACATTATAAGAAAACGACAGCCTGGCCAGGCACAGTGGCTCATGCCTGTAATCCTAGCACTTTGGGAGGCCAAAGCGGGTGAATCATGAGGTCAGAAGTTCAAGACCAGCCTGGCCAAGATGGTGAAATCCCATCTCTACTAAGAATGCAAAAATTAGCTGGGTGTGGCAGCGGGTACCTGTAATCCCAGCTACTGAGGAGGCTGAGGCAGGGGATTCCTTGAACCCAGGAGGCAGAGGTTGCAGTGAGCCAAGGTCACGCCACTACACTCCAGAGGGAGTGACAGAGCAAGAGTCCATCTCAAAAAAAAAAGAAAGAAAGAAAAAAGAAAACAACAAACCAATATCCCTCATAAATACAGGTGTAAAATCCACACCAAAATACAAGCAGATCGCATTCAGCAGCACAGTAAATGGGTCAGAGACCACGGACCAAGTTGGATTTATTCCAGAAATGGAAAGTAGCTGAATGTATGAAAATCAATCCACATAATACCTCACATTAATACAGGTTCATTTCAATAGGGGCCAGAAAAGCATTTGACAAAATCCAGTACCCATTAACCATAAAAACCCTTAACAAATTAGGACGTGAAGGGCACTTCTTCAACTGGATAAACAGCATCCTTGAAAATCGAACAGCTCACATCACATCTAGTGGTGGAAGACTGAAAAGGTTCCCGTGATCAGGAACAACACAAGGATACGTGCTCTCACCACCTGCATTCAACAAAGTGCCGTAGGTCCAACCACAGCAATCACGCAAGAAAAAGAAATGAAAAGCATTCAGATTGAAAGGAAGAAGTAAAAGTAGGCCAGGCGCGGTGGCTCATGCCTGTAATCTCAGCACTCTGGGAGGCTGACATGGGAGGAATGCTTGAGCCCAAGAGTCAGAGACCAGCCTGGGTAACATGGTAAGACCCTGTCCCTACAAAACAATCTTTAAAAATTAGCCAGGCATGGTGGCGCATGCTTGTAGTCCCAGCTACTCTAGAGGCTGAGCCAGGAGGATCGCTTGAGCCCAGGAGGTTGAGGCTGCAATGAGCCGTGATAACACCCCTGCACTCCAGCCTGGCAACAGCTGTCTCACCACCACCACAAAATGGTCTGGAACAACTGGCTATTCACAGGTATGACGTGGAACCTGCTCCCTTACACCAAACGCAAATTTAAGTTAAAATGTATCACAGACTTAAAGGTAAGCACTCAAACTATAAATTCCTTAGAAGGAAATGTAGGTATAAATCTTCTGGCCTTGAATTAGTCAATGGCTTTGTATATATGATACCAAAAGCATAAGCAACAAAACAGATTAATGGACTTCATCAATTTTAAAAACTTTCCTTCATCAAAGGATACTATCAAGAAACTAAAGAACCCACAGGAGAAAATATTTGTCAACTACAGAAGTGATCAATACTAGGGTTCAGAACATACAGGAACTTCTGCAACTCAACAAGACGACAACCCAATTTTTAAAATGGGCAAATACAGATGCTCTGCCCAAGAGGATATACAAATACAAATGGTTACTGAGACCTGAGAAATTCTCACCATCATTAGCCATCAGCAAGTGCAAATCAAACCCACAATGAAATAACACTTTTTTTTTTTTTTGAGGCAGGTTCTCATTGTCGCCCAGGCTGAATGCAGTGGCATGATCATGGCTCACTGCAGCCTCTACCTCCTGGGCTTAAGTGATCCTCTCATCTCAACCTCCCGAGCACCTGGGATTACAGGAGTGCATCACCATGCCTGGTTATTTTTTAAATTTTTTGTAGAGATGAGGTCTCACTATTTTGCCCAGGCTGATCTCAGACTCCTGGGTTCAAGTGATCCTCCTGCCTCAGCCTACCAAAGTGCTGGCTTACAGGCATGTCCACTGTGCCCAGTGGAAATACCAGTTTCTATTCCATGGAATGGCTAGAATCTAAAGGGCAGATAATAACAAGTGGTGGTGAGGATGTGGAGAACCTGGAACCACTGGGCATTGCTGGGGGGAATGTAAACTGATGTAGGTACTATGGAAAAGTCTGGTGGTTTCTCAGAAAGTTAAACACAGGACTGCCATATGACCCAGATATTCTACTCCTAAGTGTGTATCCAAGACAACTGAAAACATATGTTTACACAAAAACTTGTACATCAGTGCCCAATGCAGCATTACTCACAACAGCCCTGAATGGAAACAGCCTGAATATCCACCAAGATCAACCCAGTGTTTACCCTGATCCATATGATGGATGATGACTCAGCCGTAATGAAGAGTAAGGTTCTGACACGTGGCACCATGCAGGCGCATCCTGAAAACATGATGCCAAGAGAAAGAGCCAGTCATAAAGACAGCATAGCGATCCCACATCTGCACAGTGCCCAAAGCAGGCCAGTCCAGGGACAGAAAGCCTGTGGCGGGTGCCAGGGTCTGGGGGAAGGGGAACAGGGAGTGACTGCTAATGCATGGGGTTTCCCTTTGGTGTAAAAAACAGTTCTGGAACTAGATAGTAATGATGGCTGCACATGATTGTGAATACACCAAAAGCCAATGAAGTATACACTTTAAAGTAGTGGAGATGGTGACTTATCTCAAAACATACACTACTCAAAAAAGTTGGCTCTGGCTTGCTCCTCCTTGCAAGGTGAGGAAGAAATGGGAGGGCACCATGACCAGGTCCTGGCCAGGCCCTCAGCCAGGGAGGCCCACCTTACACTCCTGGTCCTTGAGGAACCGGCGGCTTTAAGCGGAGCCTGACCTCCAGCCCCAGAGCCATCTCTGCCCATCTTCACAGAGGTGGGTTGTTGGGGTTGAAGCTACTGCTTTTGGGGCAAAGCTACCACATGCCTGGCAGCTGTGGGCATGTCCTCTGAGCCTCTGAGCCCCCAAGAAGCTCCTCTGTTGCAGTGAAGCCACGAGACACAGGAGGCGTGGACCTGTCTGGCTCTAAAGGGAGGTCTGCCTTCTTGGAACTGTGTTCTGATGGCTTAGGGGGTGTGAGGAGCTGCCAGCCCAGGTGGGAGCTTGGTAGATGAGACCTCCCTGACTTTCTGGCTTCATCCTTCTCATCACTGGAGTTGGCACAGCATGGCAGACCGATGGCCTTCTGTGGCCCTCTTCTCCAAACCAACAGCCTTCCCCTATCAAGGACTCATCATGTGCCAAGGCTCCCTGCTGAGCCCCTTACACACTGCACCTGCTGGAGTATCTCCCACAACACAGCTCCCTGCCGAGTCCCTTACACACTTCACCTGGTGGAGTATCTCCCACAACACAGCTCCCTGCCGAGCCCTTTACACAATTCACCTGGTGGAGTATCTCCCACAACACAGCTCCCTGCCGAGCCCCTTACACAATTCACCTGGTGGAGTATCTCCCACAACACAGCTCCCTGCCGAGCCCCTTACACAATTCACCTGGTGGAGTATCTCCCACAACACAGCTCCCTGCCGAGCCCTTACACACTTCACCTGGTGGAGTATCTCCCACAACACAGCTCCCTGCCGAGCCCTTTACACGCTGCACCTGGTGGAGTATCTCCCACAACACAGCTCCCTGCCGAGCCCCTTACACAATTCACCTGGTGGAGTATCTCCCACAACACAGCTCCCTGCCGAGCCCTTTACACAATTCACCTGGTGGAGTATCTCCCACAACACAGCTCCCTGCCGAGCCCTTTACACGCTGCACCTGGTGGAGTATCTCCCACAACACAGCTCCCTGCCGAGCCCCTTACACACTTCACCTGGTGGAGTATCTCCCACAACACAGCTCCCTGCCGAGCCCTTTACACAATTCACCTGGTGGAGTATCTCCCACAACACAGCTCCCTGCCGAGCCCTTTACACAATTCACCTGGTGGAGTATCTCCCACAACACAGCTCCCTGCCGAGCCCCTTACACAATTCACCTGGTGGAGTATCTCCCACAACACAGCTCCCTGCCGAGTCCCTTACACGCTGCACCTGCTGGAGTATCTCCCACAACACAGCTCCCTGCCGAGCCCCTTACACACTTCACCTGGTGGAGTATCTCCCACAACACAGCTCCCTGCCGAGCCCCTTACACACTGCACCTGGTGGAGTATCTCCCATAACACAGCTCCCTGCTGAGCCCCTTACACAATTCACCTGGTGGAGTATCTCCCACAACACAGCTCCCTGCCGAGCCCCTTACACACTGCACCTGGTGGAGTATCTCCCGCAACACAGCTCCCTGCTGAGCCCCTTACACGCTGCACCTGGTGGAGTATCTCCCACAACACAGCTCCCTGCTGAGCCCCTTACACGCTGCACCTGGTGGAGTATCTCCCACAACACAGCTCCCTGCTGAGCCCCTTACACGCTTCACCTGGTGGAGTATCTCCCATAACACAACTCCCTGCTGAGCCCCTTACACAATTCACCTGGTGGAGTATCTCCCACATCACAGGCAGGTATTGTCCTCTGTGGGACAGGTTCTGACCTTCGCTCAAGGCCAGCCTGTAAGAGACAGCTGGATCTCAGCCAGCTCTGCCCAGCTTTTTTTTTTTTTTTTTTTTTTTTGAGACGGTGTTTTGCTCTTGTTACCCAGGCTGAGGTGCGATGGCATGATCTCGGCTTACCAAAACCTCCGCCTCCTGGGTTCAAGCAATTCTCCTGCCTCAGCCTCCCAAGTAGCTGGGATTACAGGCACCCACCACCATGCCCAGCTAATCTTTGTATTTTTAGTAGAGATGGGGTTTCACTTTGTTGACCAGGATGGTCTCGATCTCTTGACCTCGTGATCCACCCACCTCGGCCTCCTAAAGTGCTAGAATTATAGGCATGAGCCACCGCACCCGGCTCTGCCCAGCTTCTATGCTGTGCTTTCAATTCCTCCAATTCCCTGCCACCTGTGGTCCTGGCGCTCAGGATAGGGAAAACTCTAGAAGCCTGGAGGGCATTCTGTGGGAAGGCCAGTGAATTGAGGGACAGGGGGTGCTGAGCCTCCCAAGGGTCCTACTGGCATGGAGCACATACTTGGCGTCCTAGACACCCAGCTCTGTGTGGGTTATCTGGGATGGTGGGGCCCTTTGACTCAGGAAGTCAGTGGAACGAGGCAGCAGCCACCTGGGGCCACCAGCTGGGTGCCACATTTTCGTTTCCCGTGAGTACCCTCGGGGAAGTGGAATGGGAGTGAGCAGAAACCTGGGTACTGCTGGGCCACCTGCAGTCAGCAGCTCCCCTGCCTGGATCCCCACAGAGTGCTCCGTTTCCCATGATTGCCTGGGGCAAGGCCCCCCCCATTGCCAGCACTGGCTCTGTCCACCCCCTGCCTGAGGACCCCCACTTTTCCAAGGACCATGCGACGGTCTCACCTGTGCTTCAGTGGGCCTGGGGGCCAGCATGACAGGTCCCCAGAGTTGTGCCTGAGCCCTGGACTCACAATGATGCATGGCCTCAGATTCCCTGCTCCCCAACATGGGCGGTGTGCCTCAGGACCACGGCTGCGCCCAGCTGGTGTTACCCTGGGAGAGCCCTGCCCTGGCCTGCTTGTGCCAGCGACATTCAGAGGTTTAGGGGAACAGTTCTGGAGGCTCCCACCATAACTCTGTTCTCCCTCCCATCCAGACAGGACTCCCCGGGTGTGCTGGGAGGCAGATCCTTGCCACAGATGCTGGGTGGGCAGACACCCTTCCTTCTAACCACTGACGCCTTGTTCCTGGGCTCAGCCTAGTGCTGGACTCCACCAACCCGTGCCTCATTTATCAGGAGTGTACTGGGGATCCACTGCTGGGCAAGAGACTTCACGCGTATCCCCACCTTTAACCCCCAAACCTGCTGGAGCAGGTATTCACATTCCTGGTGAGGAAACAGGTTCCAGGCAGACACGCTGTGGCTCTCAGCTTACCAGGTGCTGGCCCAGACTCTCCCAAGAGGACCCTCAGCGCCCACCAGACAGGTAGACTGGTCTGGACCCCATGCATGGCTGTCCCAGGGGCTCACCTGGCCAGGCCTCCCCTGCCTCCAGTGCTGAGACACCTCCTAACTTGACCTAGAAGTAGACAGGGTCGTCACAACCTCAACTCTACCCCCTCCCAAGGGCTCTCTGGGGACACTCTCCCCACACTGATCCGAGTTCCAAGGCCCTTATTGTCTGCTGCCTCTCCCTTCCCAAGGCAGGTGGAAAGGGGAGCCAGGAGCCATCTCCATCCACCATCTGCTGCCCCTTTCAGTGAGAAGGGCAGAAATCCCTCTGCCATGGTGAAGGGAGCCTGGGTCCAAGGGTGGGTCCTCAGTGAAAGCTAGATCCCCAACAGGCCCACGTGCCCAGGGCTGAGTGAGGATAGTCGTGCCTCATCTGGTTCTGGCCAGAGCTGATGATGGCAGCCAGAACACTCCACCTAGTTCCTACCTCCCTCCCTGCCTTGACTCCAGGCACAACCCCAAGGTGCCTGCAGAGCCCCTCAGCATCTGCACCCCCAGCCCTGCTTGTCCTGCAATGGGTCTAATTCTTATGGAAATTTCTAGAATAGAGTCTGCTTCATCAAGGAAGAGCAGCTACACAACCTGGGCCTCTTTTCTGGAGCCTCTGCCCCTGCAGCCCAGTCCTCCATAGTGGCTTTAGCAGGTGGGCAGGGGCTGGCACCCCCTGGGCCTGAGTGCTGCTGCCTGTAAACACCTGCCCCTCAACAGCCCCCGGGCCCAGGCTTGCACTGCTCCTCAGGAACATGAGGACAGCACCGTCTGAGAGGTGCATGGAGGGGCGCCCAGAGACCTGGCCTCCCCGGATTCTTGTCCAAAGCTGTCAAATCATGATCACCGGCCCCTTCTTGTAGCCGTCAGGTGAATGGCAAGAGGATTCCAGGGGTTTCTTTATGCTCTGTGGCAGATTCCAGCATCCTCAGAGAGCCTGGAGTCTGGAGGCCAAGCATCATGGCAAGGGCTAGGGGCTGCTTGGGAGGCACCCAGGGGCTGGGGCCAGGCTGCAGGTGGGGTGTCCCCTTTGCCCCCACTCCTCAGCTGGCACCTCTAGCCCATACCAAGAGGAGTGGAAGTGGCCAGACAGGGCCAGCCCCAGGGCTGCTTTCCCACAGTGGAGACTATTTTGAGGCTGTGTCTCTGGGATAGGGAGGCAGGGACAGAGGACGGTAATCAGCTCTTGGAGCCTGTGAGGATGGTGCCACCCCTGATCCTAGACCCTCCAGGTGCAGAGCCTGGCACCTAATGCCTCAGGCACCTCCCTGTCTGGCACCTGGCCCCAAAACCCAGACTGCCCCTGTGTGCTGCCCCCACCCTTGGCCCCCTACAGGCTGAGACAAGTCTCTCTGCTCCCTCTTCCCAGAGCAGGATGGAGGATAGGCAGGACCGGGGTCAGGGGTCATGGCTGGCAGTGGGCAGGTGCTAGAGCCCAGCTACCCTAGCTAGGACCCCTCTGTGTCAGGGCAGAAGACCTGAGGTAGGACTCCTCCACATGAGGGCAGAGGACCCAGCTAGGACCCCTCCACATCAGGGCAGGGGACCCCAGCTAGGACCCCTCCGTGTCAGGGCAGAGGTGACTCAGTATGGCTGTTGCTGCTTTGCAAATGAATCCTGATTTTGCAAGTAAATCTTATGGTAAATAGATCAATAAAAATACAAAAAAACAAACAAACAAGTAAAATAAAAAATGAACCCTGAGAAGAAAAGGAAAAGGGAACCAAGTTCTATGCACTGCAAGGAGTGGGCGGCGCAGAGACTGCAGGCGTCGTGCAGGCGCAGCTGTGGCCCACGTGGCCCTGGTGCTCCGAATCCCTCCGTGGGCTCCAGGAGAGCTGGACCATGCAATCTGGGGATCTGGCATTTGGCCTCATAAAGATCTGTCCTCTGAGGCCCCATGACCACAGCTGACCAGCCAATGATGGGGCGAAGCAGGGCCGTGGTCACCTCTGCCTCAGCTGGAGCAGGGCTGTGCTGCAGCATCCCCATGAGGTAGTATGGTCAGCCTGTCTGTGGGGACTGGGCGCGCTACCTGCGACTGAGGCGAGGTTCCTCTAAGTCCCTAGAACATCCCCAGGGGTGGTCACTGTCCCGAGGCCAGAATGGGGTGGCCAGTGGCCTTTGCATCTTTATGGCACCCAGTTCCACTCTACTGCCAGTCCTTGCCCTACTGCTCCTCAGAGCCTGGCCTTGGGGCTGTCCTGGGGTCCAGGCTGTGGTCCTCTGGGGGCTGGCCCTCACCTGTGGACTCTCCGGAGTCTCCTCTGGGGCATGCCTTTGGCCTCTGCGCCTTCAGGCTCCTGGTGAGGACATTGAGAAAGGGAAAGCATCAGAAGCTAGCACCTGCCTGAAACCCCCTCACTCCTCAGGTGGGGTCTGGAAACTGGACCCTCAGGGCCGGTGAGAGCCCAGGGCAGAGGGCTGGGGAGAGCATGCTGCTCACACATAAATCTCACATTCAAGCTGGCCGGTCCCCAACTCCAGGAGAACTTGGGGGTCCCTGCCACCTGCTCCCTTAGTTCTGAAAGCAGCCTAGGAAGGCCTGGGAACAGCCCCTGGCTTAGAGAGAAAATGAGCACAGAGGAAGTACAGCGCTTCAGTAACTAATTGTGGTGAAGGACAGGTCAAATTCCAGGCCTGGTGCCTCCTGGGATCTTCGCCCAGAGAGTAGGGGGGGCCCTCTCAGCGCGGAGGCTCAGATGCTGGGCCTGGAATCCAAATTGCTGACTGAATTCTGCTTTGCTCCTTATCTGTGGAGTGGGGTCACAGTACCCATCTTACAGCAAGGCTGCCATCAGGATCAAATTGTCTGCAATGGTTTTTTTTTTTTTGAAACGGAGTTTCGCCCTTGTTACCCAGGCTGGAGTGCAATGGCGCAATCTCGGCTCACCGCAACCTCCGCCTCCTGGGTTCAAGCAATTCTCCTGCCTCAGCCTCCTGAGTAGCTGGGATTACAGGCACACGCCACCATGCCCAGCTAATTTTTTTTGTATTTTTAGTAGAGACAGGGTTTCACCCTGTTGACCAGGATGGTCTCAATCTCTTGACCTCGTGATCCACCCACCTCGGCCTCCCAAAGTGCTGGGATTACAGGCTTGAGCCACCGCGCCCAGCCCTGCAATGGTTTTAAGACAAAACCTTGTACTGCTAGCTGTGACCGTGCCAGGCTGTCTCACTCTATTCTACAAGAACCAGCGGGATAAGAATGAGATGAGGAAGCTGAGGCTTAAAGAGTACAAACACGGTGGCTGGGTCACATGTGACTGCGAGGCACGCCTTTTCTGCAGAGCCCTTGTCCTGGTGCCTCACAGGCTAAGAGAAATGAGGAGGGCTGGGGCTGGCCGTTTTGGGAGGTAAGGCTTGGACCAGATGGGCCATGGTCCCAGGGTTTTGGGGTGGAGGCAGTGGTGTTTCTGGAGAGTTCCCACGAGAACAGAAGTCCACCCCACTCCACCCTCCTTCCTCTCCTGCATCCCCTGCCTGGCCTGGCCCTGCACTGCCTGTCCTGAGCCACGGCACTGCAACAGGGAGAGGAGGGCCACCAGAAACAGCCTCATGTGGGTGTCTGTGAGATGCCTCCTTCATGCCCCAGCCTCTTTAGGCACTCACCTCGGTGTGGGGGGTCCAGTGTGTCCCAGGGCCTTGCGGATGTGCTCTCGGGAGCAGATGTCAGCCTGGAGGAGACAGAAGTGCTGCTGAGTCCTGAGCTGGCCTCTGGACCAGTGCCCCACTAGGAGCTGCTGGTGGCAATGCCTCCATCCCCCACAGAAGCCCCCAGGACACACAGGTCACCGCCAGCTTTCCGGGCTCAGGAGCAGCGGCCCCACCAGTGAGTGCGTGACAGGGATGCCTGAACTGTGAGTCTAAGCCCTGCAGTGGCGGTTCTCAAACCCATCTGGGCAGTCTCCAAAGGGCCTAAGGAGCCTTGAGTAGAAGGGCTGAGCAAGGGGGCCCTGGGTCTCCTCCCCACAAGGGGCAGTTGGGGCTGCTCAGTCTTCACTAGTTTACAGCCTGCACTATCCTGTAGGCTCTGTGTAAGCCGAGGTTTCCCTGCTAACGCTTGCTTCTCTGGGGACTCAGCCCAGCTGGTCTGCCCTCTCCCCGACTAGATCAGCGGTAACCCCTGTCCCATCTCCAGAATCACCAGGATAAAAGAGGGCTGTGATGGGGGCAGACCCCAGCAGGGAGGGACACTGCAGTGTCTGAGTGGGAACCCGGGGCGGTGGGGGGGCTGGCCTTAGGAAGCCCCTTGATCCCAGCTCAGATAGGCTTAGATTAGCTTCAGGGCCGCACAACTCAAGGAAAGCAATGGCTAATCCCCCAACCTGCTCCTGCTTCCGTTCATGGGGGAAGAGGGGCAGCAGTGGGCGGGGCCAGCACCTCTCACCTTCCCCTGGAGCAGCCCAGCCTGGATCTGGCACCAGAAGCACTGCAGCGCCTCTGACCATGGAGACACCAAGATGGCCGGGGGCAGAGCCAGGGAGAGAAGAGACCAACACTAACCCCCTGTCTGTGCTCTCCCAGGACCTTCCGGAACAGTGAGGAGGGGAACTGTTGAGAGGTGAGTGGGCTCAGGAAGGAAACAGACCCAGAGACGGAGCAGGCTCTGCAGAACAGGACCCTCAGCCCACACACAGCCGTCTCCTGGTGCAGACGGCTCTGAAGCCCGCCTGGCTACGGCTTTCCTTCCCCTGGAGGGTGGACCCAGGACTTGGCAGGCTCTTCACTGGCACTAGGCACACGATCCTTGCTCTGTTTCTAGATGCTCAAGGTACTCAAAAACCAGGCGTCACCTTCCCTGCAAGGATGGGCCACTGTTCTACTCTGGGGCTCACTGAGGCAGAAAGGGAGCTCCAGGAGCTGTGGTGTCTGCAGCAGCATGACCTAGAGTTCTTGGTGCTGAAGGCTTGGGGGAGAGTTTTCCCAGTTCTCTCTCGGAAAATCACACGGCTGAGTTGGAATGGAGAAAGAAAGGCCTCTTTCCTGGGGGCTGAGGACACAGCTCACAGGCTTGAGAGTCCACACACCTATGCCCCAAACAAAGCCCTGCAAGGCTGTGGAGCCCACTCTCAGATGCCACCACTGGGCACAGCTCCCAGGGGCCGAGAGCCATTGTGGTGTGTGGGCTGCTGCTGCCCCCTGGAGGCCACACTGCACGCCAGCAGCCAGAAGGCCCTAGCCACAGGAGGCAGTGGTGGCCTGGGCGGTTTCCACTGGCTGCGGGACCAGTAGTGCCGGGAGTTGGGGAAGCAGCAGACACCAGGGAGGCTCCGGGGCTGGGCTGCTGGAAGAAGCACAGCTTGTGCAGACCCGCGTCCCCAGCTCCACCCGACAGCCTTCACAGCACACAGAGCGGCCACCTGAAAAGGCAAATCTGCGGGGTGCCCCACTGCCAGCTCACGACCATCCAAGACCCCGTGGGTGCGTCTGAAACCCCGGCGCACTCCAAGATGCTCACAGGTTCCCACCATGCTGACCTTCACTGCCCTGGCTCCAGCCACACTTCCCTGCTGAATTTAACTTTTTTTGAGATAAGGTCTTGCTCTCTCACCCAGGCTGGAGTGCCGTGGTGCGATCAGGGCTCACTGCAGCCTCCACCTCCTGGGCTCAGGTGATCTTCCCACCTCAGCCTAGCTGAGACCACAGGTGCACACCACCACACTCGGCTAATTTGTTTTTAAAATGTTTTGGAGAGACAGGGTCTCACTATGTTACCCAGGCTGCCCTCAAACTCCTGGGCTCAAGTGATCCTCCCATGTCTGCCCCCAGTGTTGGGATTGCCAGCGTGAGCCACCTATCTCTTGAGTGCCTCAAACTCCTCTGTGCGCAGGGCTGCCCCTCCCCTCCTCCAGAGGGTCTCTTCCCAAGGTTGACTATTCTGGAACCCCCACTCTGTGGACTTCTCTGGGACAGGCGTCCGCCGGTGTCTTGTGACCCCTGGTCCTGGCAAGGCTGGTGTGGGCTGTCTCTCCCCAGCCTGCAGGCTGAGTCCTTTCATAGCTGAGCTGACTGCTTCAGTGGAGTTCTCACCCTCCCTGCGGGACCCAACACCAGTTTTGGTGCCCAAGGACCCAGCGTCTCTGGGACTTGCACAGCTTCCTGAGCACTGTCCCTGCAGCTTTCCTGCAGGAGCCTCCTGGCTCGAGTTCAGCTGCTCCCTCTGGGACCTGAGGGGCTGGTTGGGAACTGGCAGGACACCTCACCACCTAAGCTGACATCACTGATTCTTCAAGCTGGCCTGTATCTGGGTGCAGGCAGCTCAGAGAGGCCTGGAGGTTGAGTGTGTGGGTGAGTGCGTGGGGCGCAGGGTCTGGGGATGAACTCCCGGGAGTTCTGCACCCTCCAGTCCACTGTCCTGACTGCGTGGCCCAGTGCAGGCCAACCAGGCTCTCCAGCCTCACGTCACTGCACTCTGACCCCAGCTGGGCTGCTGGGGAGCCCTGAACGGCAGGCGTTGCCTCCCCACACCCCCTGGGCCCACCCACCTGGCGCACGGGCTCTGGGATCCGGAACTTGCAGCAGCAGCACGTCAGGCGCACGGCTGCCTCCAGGCTCATCTTGTGGCCCACGGAGACATACAGGGGCCTGGTGCTGCGGTCGTGGCTCTTCAGGGCCTGTGACAAGGAAGGCAAGGGCACCCCTGTGGGTTGGGCCACTGGGACCTGGGTCAGGACAGCCTCATCGGCTGGAGCTCAGACAAAATGTCCCGGGGGCAGGAGGGAAACTAAAGGGGAAGTGCTCTCAGGAGCAAGGGCCTGCCCACCCTCAGGGAGCCTTCCTACTGCTTGTGGACAGGGTGGGCTCCACATACCCTGGGGCTCAGTCAGAGGCAGGAGGATGAACGGATGGGCAGGTGGGGGCTGATGTGTGAGCACAGGCTGATGTGTGAGCGCAGGTGTGTCTGCATGCAAAGGATCCCCTACCCTGGGCTTTGGGGGGCTTAGGGCCCTGGCCACTCACCATTCCCAGAACAGTTCCAGAGCTTCCCAGGAGAGGGAACGAGTCTCCTCCAGCCTGCAGGAGTCGGATCTGGAAAACAGGAGGAAAAAATGGGGGAAAAAAACCCTCTCTTCTTGGTGAAGGGGTGAAAGAAAGTCTCTTGATTTTGAAAACACAGTCATTGGGCCAGGAAAGGGAAGGGGACTGATCCTGGATGTGAGCCACGGCCCAGGCAAAGCCACGGATCCCGCAGGTGGTGATGTGGTCTCACCCCTGCTCTGAGGGTGCTGCCCACAAGACCCTGTCCAACCCTGATGATGGGGCTTACAGCAAGGGCAGTGATCTGCCCAGAGCCACTGTGCCAGGCTGGCAGCTACACAGGTGCTGCCACTACGCAGTGAGCAGCGCTGACCCCGCTTCCTTTCTGCGGCTGTCTCCTGCTGTGGACACATCTGACTCAAGCCAATAGGCTGGGATTTCTGGAGGCGTAGACTGGCTCAGAAGGGGTCTGAGGTCCCATCGACTCAATAGATAGTTATCAAGCAACTGCTCCGTGCAGGTACCTGAGAGTTGGGAGGAATGAGACATAGTCTCTGCTCTCAGAATCTGCCATCCAGTGGGATGTCCTGGCTCCCTCCATGGGATTCACTCCCAGTGCCAACATGGGGTCCCAGAGGAAGATGCAGGAGAAGGTGGGGTAGGAGGGGTGTGGGCAGCAGCTCCGGGCAGGCCTTGGTGGAGTGGGGCCTGGAGGCTCAGGTACCTGAGTACCCAAGCGAGGAGACAGGGGCTGGGGCCGGGTGGGATGGGGAAAGCACCAAGTGTGCCCGGGACAGCATGGAAGCCCATCCAGTCCCCAGTAACTGGAGGACTTAGCCCTGCTTGCTGTGCCACAGTGTTCAGAGGAGTGGGGGACAGAGAGGCAGGCACAGCAGGAGGCAGGAGAGCTCAGAGCACCCCTGGCTGAGACACGCAAGGCGGTGCCCAGAGGAAGGCGGGTCTTCCTTATTCCAGCCATGAGCCAGGGATGAGGAGGGCAGCATCAGCAGGCAAGGCCTGGTCCAGAAGCGCCCTCGTGCCCAGGGCCACCACAGCACCCCCAAGCTGCCAGGTACAGCCTGCAGCAGCCCCTCCTCCCTGTGCAGCGCAGGCTGCAGCAGGCCCTCCTCACCTTCTCCTTGTGCAGGGCGTCGTTCTCCAGCCCGTCCACCTGCAGAAGTTTCTTGGCCACCCCAATGCAAGGCAGGTCTGTAAGGACCCCAAGGTGGCAGGCCACCCCAAAGCCTGCCAGGGAGAAAGGAGGGTGGGGTTGGGGAGGTGGGGCTGGGGCCTGGCGCAGGGATTCAGGACAAGCCAGAATCTCACCAAAAGCTTTCCTAAGTGAGCAGAGGTCTGCAGACAGGCAGACAGTCAGGGAAACCATACCTCAGCCTCAAGCTGATCTGGGCTAAGGCTTCCTGTGCCCAATTTCCTGGGTGTGAGGCTGGGGAGGAAGCCTCCTTCCCTCTGACAGGGTCAGCGCCAGGGTTGGCACCTTGCTGGTGTGCTGGGACACTGCAGCCTGGCTCTGCAGTCATCTCCTGCGCCTCCCAGCCTCCCCTTCCCTCGATGGTGTCCTGCTAGTGCCTCCACGGGCATCAGGATCAGCACATATCCCCCCATGTGCGAGGGCAGCAGCCAGGACCCAGTCACACCTGCTGGCCAGGACATCCAGCGCCATCCTCCCGGGTCCCTCTCTGGGTGTTGCTGGCTGTGCCACTCACAGGGAGATGGGCAAAAGAGCCCATCTCCCTAAGCTGTGCTCCCTGGGCCAAGGGTCCCCGGCATAGGCGGGGGCCCGGGTGCACCTGTCTAGCTGACAACAAGGGCTGACAGGCAGATGCAGGGTGGGTGGCCGGCAGGGAAAACCCCCTCTCCTTCTTGTGTAGGACAGCCTGTAGCAGGTCCCCCACCCTGCCACTTCTCCCCATGCAGCACAGCCTGCAGCAGCCCCGCTCCTCCCTACACAGCATGGCGTGCAGCAGGGGGCCCAGGCCCTGGGACATCCTGCAGTAATTAGCTGAGAATGGGGTAGTGGCACCTAGAGATGAACCAGCGAAGGGCAGGGCACTGTAGGAAACACAGGGGCGGGCAGGCAAGAGGTGGGGATGAATCGAAGGCAGACAGTCCTTTTCCAGGGGGAAGGCACTGCGAGTCCCCACTGCACCCAGAAAGGAGCTGTTGGAGGTGGGTGGCGGCAGAGGCTGAGGGCCCATCGTTTTGTGTGGGAGACGACAGAGGTGCCCTCTCCCCCATCTCTTCCCCACAGAGCCCTCCCTGGACTGCTTTCAAGAGCAGAATTACCTCGGTGGTGGAGCATCCCATTTCCATCCACGAGAAGGACCTACGGAGTCAGGGGGAGAGTCACGGTCAGCTGAGCTGCCCCTCAGCCCTCAGGCAAGGGCCATCCCTGAGGCAGGAAGGGGACACTGTCTCCGGAGTTCGGCTTTCTAGAAATCCTCATTCCTCTCTTCCAGGAAGCTCATGAGTCTCTCCCTGCCATGGCCAATGGTGGCAACCTGCAGCCACCTTCCGTTCCCCAGGGAGGAAGGGCCTTTCTCTTGTCCTAGGGATGAGACACCTGCCTGGGGCATGAGGTCCGGCTCCTTCTCTCGCAGCTGCTGCACAAGCTCCAGCAGGAAGGGCACCTCTCGGAAAGCCAGGAAGCCCGACATGTAGGGGGCTGTGAGACTGACCATGCGGCTCTTCTCATACACCACCTGCCACCAGGCACGCAGCTCAGTGGGCAGCACGGCCCTCAAGCACCCGCCCCACCCCACTCCCTCCATCCCGCCCCCCTGCTCTTCATCCTTCCCTCTCCCCAACCTCACCCTGATGGCTCCCCTTCCCTGCCTCACCTATGAGACATTTAGAAGAAGGAACTAGAAGATGTACCCTGCAAATTGGTGGTGGGCAGGTATCCCTGTGACCTGGTCCATAGGAGCAGGCACTTGGGACCTGGTCTGTAAGGTGGAGGCCACTGGAACCTGGTCCATATGAAACCCCTCCCACTCACCCCCAGACCTGGTTGATTGGAGGAGCCCCTCCACCCCCAGGACCTGGTCCATATGAGGAGCCCACACTCCAGAACTACAGTGGATTCCCTCCACCCTCAAACCTGGTCTGTGGGAGGAGCCCCCGGGACCTGGTCTATAGTAAGAGCTCTCACAACTTGATCGGTAGGAAGATTCCCTGGGATCTGGTCTGTAGGAGGATTCCCTGGGACCTGGTCTGTAGGAGATTCTCTGGGATCTGGTCTGTAGGAGGAGCCCCCAGGACCTGGTCTATAGAAGGATTCCCTTGGACCTGGTCTGTAGGAGGATTCCCTGGGATCTGGACTGTAGGAGAATTCTCTGGGATCTGGTCCATAGGAGCCCCGGGACCTGGTCTCCAACAGAAGCAAGGCCAAGATTGCTAGCTGTGTCACCCCTACCTGCCCCTTGCTCTCCTGGTGTCTCTTCCTTTGTGTATTGAAGCTGACACCCCACCCCACCCCTCCATGGGGCTGCTGAAGGCTTAAACAAGACACAGTGTGGCCGGGCGCAGTGGCTCACGCCTGTAATCCCAGCACTTTGGGAGGCCGAGGAGGGCGGATCATGAGGTCAAGAGATCGAGACCATCCTGGCCAACATAGTGAAACCCTGTCTTACTAAAAACACAAACAATTAGCTGGGTGTGGTGGTGCGTGCCTGTAGTCCCAGCTACTCGGGAGCCTGAGGCGGGAGAACTGCTTGAACCTGGGAGGCGGAGGTTGCAGTGAGCTGAGGTCATGCCACTGCACTCCAGCCTGGCGCCTGGTGATGGAATGACTCTGTCTCAAAAAAAAAAGAAGACACAGTGCAAGAAAGCACCTGTATGCAGTGCAATGTGAATAAAGGCATTATTGAGTTTATGTGAGCCAGGGCCTTGCAGGAAGGCCATGTCTTCCAAGGGGTCGCGAGAGCAAGACAGGCCACAGGGGCTTTATGAACAGGTTTCAAACAACTCAGAAACAGGACAGGCACGATCTCAGGGCTAGACAATCAAGAGTGAACAGGGGTTCCCAAGGGACAGGACAGTCTAAAAAGAAAAACCCTAAGGCTGCAAATAATCTGAGAGAGAAAGGGGAGGATGGGTGGCACAGGGCCCTCTGGATGGCAAGTGGGATGCTCAAACGCCCAGTGCTGGCGGAGGTGTGGAGGGCTGAGGGCTCCAGCCAGAGACGGAAGCACGTGCGTGGAGGGAGGTGCTGCACACAGACAAACAGAGAGAGAGAATACACCAGCGTAGCAGCAGGTGAACGTAAGCAGAAGGAACACAGGTGGCCAATGTGACCTTTTTCAATTGTTTGGCATGTCTGTACATTTTCAAGTTAAAAATCCCAGATGGTCAGGGGCTTTCCAGAATTGCTGCAGACAACCCAGAGAGCTGTAGAAAGCACAGTCATCTTTCTTAGAGCTTCTGTGGCAAACTGTTTTTCAAATTAAAAACCACATGGCCAGGCATGGTGGCTCACGCCTGTAATCACAGCACTTTGGGAGGCCTAGGTGGATGGGTCACTTGAGACCAGGAGTTCAAGACCAGCCTGGCCAACATGACAAAACCCTGTCTCCACCAAAAAATACAAAAATTAGCTGGGTGTGGTGGTGGTACGTGCCTGTAGTCCCAGCTACTCGGGAGGCTGGGGCAGGAGAATCGCTTGATCCTGAGAGGCAGAGGCTACAGCTTAAAACACAGCACAGCAGGCCTGAGTCTCCTAACCTTGTGCTTTCCTTAGTCACACTGGCCTTATGTGGAGACACGTTTCCCACTATGCCCATGTTCTCCAGAGCTGTCTCCCTCCCTACACTGCCCTTACTGACTTCCCATATCTCTTGGTGACAGCTTCAAATCACAACTTCCATTCCTCCCTGTGACTCCATCAATAATTAAACATACCAAAGAAAACTGAGTACTCTGTTTTAGCATAGAAGTTTGGGGCTCATTCTCTCAATATTTTTACCAATGACTCAATAGAGAAACTGATCAAACCTGCCTATGACCCTAAGTGGGGAGGGTCCATTCTGATAATAGATTTTGGATTCATGGTGAACCCAGCAGGGTGGATCCTGACATCCCCACACAGCAATGTGACTTTGCACAGTGACACATGTGGAATTCAAATGTGGCCTGAGTTCCCACAGGAGGAGGGTGGCTGCTGACGTCTGAATCTCTCCCATAATGTCATAATTCAGGTCACATTATGGGATGATTATGATTTGTAGTCAGTATGATAATGACATGTGGTTGTGTAGGAGAATGTCACTCTCAGGACAGGCCTGCTGATGTCTTCAGAGCTGAGTAGCCACAATCACTGGGACATATGGTAAACACACACACAGAGAGAGAGAGAGAGAGAGAGAGAGAGAGAGAGAGAGAGAGAGAGAGAGAGAGAGAGAATACACCAGCGTAGCAGCAGGGGAACGTAAGCAGAAGGAACACAGGTGGCCAATGTGACCTTTTTCAATTGTTTGGCATGTCTGTACATTTTCAAGTTAAAAATCTGGGAAGAAAAAAAATCACTGAGTAGTGTGTGGGCAGGCCTGGATGGCCAGCAATCGCGACATCCACCAGTGACCCAGTGCCCCTCAAAAGCTCTGCTGCTTCCAGCTGCACCGACTGAAATGGCGGGGGTGTTGGGTCTAGGGACTCGGGTAGACCGTATGAGTTCCTGCATTTGATTCTGAGTGCCACACGTAAAGATGGACCCTGATAGGCCGGGCGCGGTGGCTCACGCCTGTAATCCCAGCACTTTGGGAGGTGGAGGCGGGCAGATCACGAGGTCAAGAGATTGAGACCATCCTTGCCATGATGAAACCCTGTCTCTACTAAAAGTACAAAAAATAGCCGGGTGTGGTGGCACGCGCCTGTAGTCCCAGCTACTTGGGAGGCTGAGGCAGAAGAATCGCTTGAACCCAGGAGGCGGAGGTTGCAGTGAGCCAAGATTGCTCCACTGCACTCCAGCATGGCGACAGAGCAAGACTCTGTCTTTAAAAAAAAAAAAAAAAAGATGGACCCTGATAATGGAGGGCATGACCAGAGGGCTGTTGGCCAGTGAAGAAGCTGGATGTCACTGCAGCCTCTTGGGACGGAGCAGGGAAGGAGCACGCAGCAGTTTCCAGCAGCTGGAGGGCTGACAAGCAGAAGGTGGGGAAGATCCGTTCTGTTTTGCTACCTAAAGGCAGAAATGATCAATGGGAGTCACAGACAAGCAGGGGTTAGCTCCCTGTGGAGAGGTACACCCTAGCCATTGCTCAGTCTCCAGCACGAACAGGCTCCGCTGAGAGGCCATAGTTTGTCAGGGACGCTGAGGAGAATGTTCTTCACAGTGGCAAAGGTGGGCCAGTCGTTCTCCAACCCAGCTTCACTTCAGAATCACAGGGAAGCTTATTTTGAAAAGCAGATTCCCAGGCCATACTCTGGAGTGTTTTTCCCCCAGTAGGTGGGGTAGGGCTCTAGAATCTATTTTTCTTTTTTTAATAGCTTTACTGAAAAACAACTTATATACCATAAAGTTCACTTGTTTAAACATACAATGCAATGGTTTTGGGATTTACAGAGTCTTATACTATCACTATAATCTAATTTTAGAACATTTTCCTTAACCCCAAAATAAACCTCATACCTGTCAGCAGTTACTTCCCATCCATCCCACCCCAAGTCCAAGACAGCCACGGATCTACTTCGTCTTTGAGAACGTGCCTATGGAATCTGTTTTTCAACACACTTCCGTGTGATTCTCCTGCAGGTTCATGCTCAGGCATTCAGGAATCAGTGGACCAGACTCTTCCAAGATCCTTTCCTACTCCAAGTTTTCATAGTTGGGAAAACCAATGCCAACGAAGTAGCAGGCGCTTTGCTTGGTGCTGGGGTTATAAAAGAAATACGGTACAGCCCTCCCCTAGAGAACTTCCAGCCAAGGGAAAAATGGAATCGTAAACAACTAACTTTAATACAATGCGAGAAGTGCTATAACAGCACATGCATTAAAAAGAGGCCCAGGGTGCAGATGAGAGGTTGATAACTCGAAGCCAGGAAAAGTTGGAGGGGGAAGGGAATGCTGTGTTAATTGCTTTCCATGCATTCTAAGTGTTGCTCATCACAACTCAGTGAGCTGGATATTAATACCACTATCATCCTCAAGTTAGAAACACGAAGACAGGCCTAGAGGGCAAACTGGGAAGTGGCAGAGCTGGGTGTGAGCATGAGCAGTCTGGCTCCTCAGACTGTGCTCCCACCCCAATGCCAGCCTACAAAATGGCCAGAAGACCTCTTAGGGTAGGGATTGCTAATATCCCAATCTTAGCACACAGTAGGCACTCAATACATTTTTGCCCCATTTAGCCTGAAAGGGGCCTCCCAAGTAAAGCACAAAGCTATGGAAGCAGGAAGATACGTGTCATCTTTGGGAGCCGGAAACAGGAAAATGTGTGTCATCTTTAGGAGCCGGAAACAGGAAAATGTGTGTCATCTTTAGGAGCCGGAAGCAGGAAAATGTGTGTCATCTTTGGAAGCTGGAAGCAGGAAGACGTGTGTCATCTTTAGGAGCTGGCAGAGGGGCCATGAAAGGGGGAAACACTGGCGCCAAGAGGCTTCTGTGTCAAACTCTGCTGCTGCCAAGGCTTCCGGAGCTGTCTACTCTTACGTAAATCACAAGCCCACCATCCATTCACGCACATATCTATTTAAGGAAGAGTCTGGCAACTTCTGCATGCTGCCCGTGGTGGGCAAAACAACATGGTTTCTACCATCACGGAGTTTACATTCCAGCAGGGAAGATAGGCAGGCCAATTCCATTCCAGTGAGATAAAGAGGAAGCAGAAGGTTGCTATGGTCTAAACATTTGTGTCCTCCCCAAATTCATGTGTAGAAATTATAACCCAAGAGGCGACAGTATTAAGAGGTGAGGCCTCTTGGGAGGTGGGTGGATCACCACGTGAGAATGCAGTTAAGAAGCTGGCCGTGTGCAACCTAGAAGAGCACTGGCACCCTGATCACAAGCTTCCAGCCTCGACAACGTGAGAAATAAATTCCCGCTGTGGGTAAGCCACCTAGTCTAAAGTATTCTATCATAGCAGCCCGTGAGGACTAAGACACAGTGCTGAGGGGCAACGCCTGGTCCTGTGGGATGAGCGGGAGCTTCGAGGAGGAAGTCATGTCTAAACTGAGCCCTTATGAGTAGGAGTTAGCCAGATGGAAACCCCTCCAGGAGAGGAAACATTACTGCAAAGGTCAGGTAGCCAAATACAGCATGGCACACGTTTGAAGGATTCAATGTGGGTTGTAGGGGGTGGGAAGAACTGAGAATGGTGGTGAGAGTTGAGCCTATAGCATCTTATTAAATTAAGCAGGGGACAATTCATAAAGGGCCTTTAAGCCATGGCAATGACAGTGAACTTTATTTAGCATGAGGTCATGAGAAAAGCACTTAAATGTTTTAAGAGGACTTGTGGGCTGTGTGCTGTGGCTCATGCCTGGAATCCCAGCACCTGTAGAAGCCGAGGTGGGAGGATCCCTTGAGCCCAGGAGCTGGAGACCAGCCTGGGCAACATAGTGAGACCCTGTCTCTACAAAAAATAAAAAGGCCAAGTGTGGTGGCTCACACCTGTGGTCCTAGCTACAGAAGGCTAAGGTGGGAGATCACTTGAGTCCAGGAGGTTAAGATCAGATCTTGGCAATGAGCCAAGATCATGCCACTGCACTTCAGCCTGTGCCTCAGAGACCTTGTCTCAAAATAAATAAATATATGAAAGAAAGAGAGAGAGAGAAAGAGAGGAAGGGAGGGAGGGAGGGACTTGTTGCTTTTGAGGAAAATACTTGCTTTTTAGGAAAATCGGTCTGCCGGCAGTATGGAAAAGAAACCACTGAGGAGGAGCGCTTGAGGCAGGGCACCCATGAAGATGCTGCTCAGGAACCCACAGGAGTGATGGTGGCACAGCCAGGCAAGGAGTAGAGTGCAGACAAGGGGATTCCAGCGACATTTAAGAGGCAGAAAGAAAGGGAGCTAAGTGCGCGACTGGACGTGAGAGGAAGGGAGGGACCCAGGAGGACACGGATTTCCAGCTTGGGCAAGTTGGGGTGTGGTGTGCAGGTCGCTGAGATGAGAGCCCAAGACAACAGTCAGACTTGGAGATAAACCTCATGAGCTGATTCTTAACTCACAGAATTCACTTAGTTTTTTTGCCTTTTTTCTCCCTTCCAAGACTCCCTAGACTATTAATGACACCCTACAAAACGAGAAGCCTGGTTCTAGGCCTGCACTGCTCCCTGTCCCAGAGGCCCCACGCCCGAGCCCATCGAGGGGCCTGCCTCGAGCTCAGCGTCCTCCCGGGTTACCTCGAGCTCAGGGTAGCTGAGCACCACCAGAGAGGCACAAGCACGGACACTGTCCCCTTTCACGAAGGACACGTCAACGCCCCCGACCCTCCGCAGACCCGAGAAAGCGGGGTCCCGCTGCCACGCCTCAGTGTCCCGGTCTACGACGCAGGCCTTCAGCCGAGCTTGCTCCCTAGGAGGACAGAAGCGTCAAACCCAGCCGGGGCCACACCCCAGATTGCCTCCTCCACCTGCGCGGCCAAACGCCTCTGCCGGGTCTTCTCCAGCTTCAAAAGAAGGCAAAGGACACACCTGCGAGGCCACAGTCCCCGGGAGATCGGTGGGCGGAGAACACGGCACGCGCAGGCCCAACAAGCTTGGCTGGAAGCGAGAACCGCGCCCACCCCGCGGACTACAACTCCCGAGGCCCCTCCGCTCCCGCGCCGGAAGCTGGGCCGCGCTCGAGAGGTTCGGGCGGCGGCCGCTCCGACTCAACAGCCTGAAGACTACGAGCCCGGAGGGTCTGCGGAGAGCCGCGCGGCCTCAGCGCCCGCCTCCTGCGCGTCGCCCGCAGCATTACCGTTTCCACAGTGAGAGCGTTTCCTCCGACAGCGGCCCAGCTGCCTCCTGGTCCATGGCTCCGTCCCGGGCGCCCCTTTTCACGTCACTTCCGGAGGCGACTCGTACGTGTGCTGTTCGCCCTCGTTGCCGTGGAGACACTGGCGCTTCCCTGGGTCGCACGTCCAGCCCGGGTCTTCAGAAGTTCCTGGCCGCTAAGCTGGAGTCGCTGCGTGATTCGACGCGCACGCACACGGCTTCGAGTTGCCCGGCGGCCCCACGCGCGATATCGGCTCGGATCCGGGAGGCCGGCTGCCCGTTTTCACCAGACAGCTGGGGCCAGGTGAGTTACCGCGCGAGGACCCGGGAGCCCGGTGATGCCTGCCCCGCGCGGCCAAGGGCCGCTCGCCCTGTTGAGAGCTGGCTGGCACTGCCCCTCCGCTCTTGGAGAAGGGCGGCCCAGCTCTGCCGGTCCCACTCCACCAGGTCAGCGTCCGCCTTTGACGAATCCCGAAAGGACTCACCAGGCCCAGGACATCCCGGCGGTTGCCTCAGGAGCACTTACCGAGTGCCTGTCGCTGACGGCAGCCCAGAGGTGCCCTCAGGCATTTGAGGGCTGGTCTCGTGTGTTGCAGTTCCTCGCAGCCTAGCGGGCTGGACTCATGGCGAGGAGCGGGGCTGCAGCCTCGTACTGGGTTTCATCTGGGCTGGACTTTGTGGGCAGAAGGCCTCCCCTACGAGACCAAGTACGGGCGCCCTTGGGGGTGTCGGTTCTCACCTCGTGCTCCTCAACTAGTGCTGGCTCAGTGCCCTCGCTGTGCCAGGTATTGTGAGGGAGAATATTATTTGTGGGGAGCCGGCTTCAGACCGGTGGTTGGGAAAGGCCTTAATGAGAGGCGATACTGAAGAGACCTGGAGGGTGAGCCAGAGGGCATGGCGGTTGAATGGAACAGCTTTTGCTTGGAGGTCCCGGGCTGGGAAGGCGGTTGGTGTATTTGAAGCACTGAAAGGCAGCCAGTGAAGCTGAAGTGTAGCAGTTTAACCCGTGGTTTTATATTCTACTGAGAGGATTCAGAAGGGCATGTGTTTGTGTATTGTGTGTGTGTGTGTAAAACATGTATATTAGAGTCTGAATATAAATGTCAAGGGTGTTAGGTTTTGAAAGGGAAAGTAAGGGTTAATGATGCAGCGAGAGAGTGCGAGCGCACGCGGGCGGCTCTACGGCAACGCAGGTATATTGCAAAAACCTGTGGAGGTGGGCAAGCAGCTTAGTGCCAGAGCCCGCCGGCGATTACCTGCTGGGGTACTCATAGGCCCGGGCGGGAGGGGTCTGGGCAGTCTGGCTTGCTGTCCGGGAAGATGTAGATAACGTGTTCCCAGGATGAGGTGGTTCCGGCGGAGAGTGGCATTCCTTGCACTTTGTCCCAGCAGAATGTAAGAGGCTGGCTGTTTCTCATGGCCCGAACCCCCGTGGGATGTTTGACTTTTACTAAAGTCTGCAACATGGCAGGGGGCTTACAAAATGGTGCTGTTTGGACTAACAAAGGGGAAGATACAGAAGACAAAATGAGACTCTAACTAGAGTTTGAGGCTCTGGAAAGGCTACAGACAGACGGCTTTGGCAACTGACAAGGCTTTGAAAGCAGGGTCAGTTTTCAATGAATGAGCGTCGCCCACTGCACCCCGTGCACTGTGCTCCGCTGCTGACGTACACCGGCTTCTTTCCCATCAGAGCACTGACAGGTATCTCACAGACGAGGAAACTGAAACTTTGAGAGGTCAAGCCGCTTGCCCACAACCATACAGCTGGAAAATGGGAGAGCCAGGATTCACAGGCGGGTCTGGGCTATGTCGGCTCTGTTGGGTTCCAGAGTGGCCAGGGCAAAGGAGCCCTTGGATTTGGTAATTAAGAGTCACTCGTGGGTTCTGAGAAAGTGGTTGTCCCCTGGGTTGAGGTTCTATTGCGCTTCAGGGTACAGGTGGTAGTGATCGTGAAGGAATACTGGGGAAAGTAGGACCCTTTAGTAAGTTTAGGTGTGAGGGGAAGCACAGCAGGGCTGAAGGTGTTTTTTATGGGCTGAGCACCTGAGCGGAGCAGCCTGGTGGAGCCCTTGCTGGGCGGGGCCTCCTCCAGCCTCTCTAACATCCCCGCCCCCCCGGCCCTGGCTTTGGGCCCAGGTTGCTTTCCCATACACCCCTACCTCCTGAAAAGGGCTATCCCCAGCATATCCAGCAGAGAGGGTGATTAGGTGTCAGTTTTGACCAAATTTATTCTCTTGGGGAAAATGCACTTTCCTGGTGGTGGTTTTTCCAGCTGGAAACAGGATTCCTAACGGTAATGGCTGAGCTTAATTAATGAACATGATGGGATTAGAATAGTGAGTAATGCAGTATCAATGCTCATGGCTTGGATTGTTACTCAGCTCAAGGCTCAGGTTTTCTTCGGCCACCTCCCCAGTTCTGCAGCCTCATTACACACCACACTGAATGTATTAAATCAGAGATGTTTTCCTTCAGCACGCTAGTGCAGCACTCGCTGTACCCAGGGCCCCTCCTCCAGCCTCTAACACTCGCCTGTATGGGCCCAGGTTGTGCGTATGTGCATGGCTAGGCTTGGGCAGCTTTACCTAGTTGCCCTTTGAGCCGACGTCTTCCTCCCAATAATTATTTAGCACTGGAAGTTTCTTTCTAAATTGGAATTGCCTGAACATATAGGCAATGGCCATCTCAGTTAACAAATGAGACAGTCTTATAACCATTAATGAAAGGCAAATAATTCACACACATATAAGGTCCTCATTTTATTTTTTTGAGACAGGTCTGTCTCTGTCACCCAGGCTGGAGTGCAGTGGTGCGATCACAGCTCCCTGCGGCCTCAAGCTCCCAGGCTCAAGCAATCCTCACACCACAGCTGCCCAGGTAGCTGGGATTACAGGTGCGCACACTCTGACTTTTTCACAGTGAGGTCTTGAAGAAAAGGAGATAATGAACAGTTAAGATTTTCAGTTAAGTCACCACCAAGGTAAGGCTGAAAACTCGAACTCCGCAGCACTGAGCTGTCCAGGGAAACAGTGCGAGGGTGGATAAAGGTTTGGAGGGGGAAGGTCAGGGTGGTGAGGAGGCATCCACAGCTGAAACAGGAACTGCAGGGGAGGCGAGGCTTCCTGTGCAGGCCAGCACGCCTCTTCTAGCTGTGGTTCCAGACCACAGGTTTCTCACCTGGAAGAGCCCTTCCTTTTTGGAAGAGAAAATGCAATTTTGCCCCTAAAGTGGCACTTTCAGCACTCAAGCATAACTGGGCTCCTGGAAGTCTCACTGTTTATCTCTCACCCCACAAGTGGACTCTCTGATGAGGTTAGTTAGCTCCACCTCGACTCCTTGTCAGCTACAGCCCAGACACTGTTTCCAGTGTCATCATTTTAGGCAGGGCACCGGGGCTCCACTCTGAGGCTGGGCCGTCAGCTTTTAAGTCTCAGATCAGCTAGAGGGAGTGGCATGAAACTCCACCGTGGACTCACAGGACTGCTGTCGTTTTGTCCAGAGGAAAAGTTTCTCATCTCACATGCGAAAGCACAGCATGTTTTCTGTCTGAACATACCACCTCACAGACACCTGCAAGGGCCTTTCTACAAACCACATAAATGATTCTCAAAAGCCTAGTTGATGTCTGTGTGCCTTAAATAGAAGCTCTGCCTCCAAAGAGAAGGGTTCTTTAGCAGCAAAACTCCAATTTATTAAGACAGGTATAACAAGTAAAATAAAATTCACTTTTGCCTGTGCTAGGCCGTATATTTCTATACAAACAAGATAATGCAAGATAATGACAGCTAAGGCTTTGAGCACAGCATACGAAATGAAATAATTAAACACCCTTCATAAAAATGGGAAAAATCCCCAGGCCAAAGGGAAAAAAACAAAGGCCTTCACAGAAGGACTGACACCCAACTCCCAGCTGCTGAGGTGTGGCCTATGAGAATCCGTGGGTGTGAGCCAGCTAGGAGGTAGCAAAGGAGCTCCAGATGCAAGCTGAAGACTTACACAAGCCCGCCCGCGTCCCCACACCTGTCTCTGGGCAGTAGGAATGCAGATCTCTGCGGCAAGCAGCTCTGCGTAGTCCAGAAGGAGAAACAATCATAGATGACTGTGTGGAACCGGCCACTGCCCACAGTTGGGGTAACTCTTCCCTTCATCAGACACCGTGAGGGCGACATCACAGCCAGGAGAACGGAGCACAGCTCCTTCCAGGCCTCCTGCACCTGCTGCCCAAGATATGGATGGCTGAGTCCTGGACAAGTATTTTGTATTTTTATAGCTCTCACTCCTTGGGCCCAATTTCAGGTTGATTAGGTTGTTACCCCATTTAGAATGTATATTAAGGATACTGCCTCTTTCTTATCAACAGCTGTGCTGAGCTGTCTAGGAAGAGAAATTAGTCCAGAGAGGTCGTTAAGTGTCAAAGCAGATTTTAGAAAAAAGGCAATGCTTGAGTGAGAAAGGCAGCACAAGATCAGGGCCCGTTTATTTTCCCTCCCTTGGAAACGTAGCTGGTTTTGTACACTCTTGTCTTAGTTTTTATGCCTTGGCTGAGAACCGCATAAAGGACTAGATGCTCATATACTCGAGAGTACATGGAGACTGCATGTTTATTTGGCATAATGCTAGATAAAAACTCCCCACGGAACTGCCAGAACCAGGCCTGGGACCCAGGTTTACAGTCTTCTGGTTTCTCTCATAATTTTAAATATTAGGATCAGAAGAATCTTTGCCCATGAATCTACTCCCTTCATTTTATGCATGAGGAAACTGAGGCCCTGATGGTGTCATTGGCCCAAGTCTGGTGTTTTTCACAATGAGTCTTTTGGCTCTTACCCTCTGAAATCTGGCAGTGACTCATTGTGAGGGTATGGGTCAGATCTTGTTAGTTTGGTCTTAAGGCACTCACAAAATGCCCTGATTTTTCTTGTATTTGTGAGAAGACAAAAAATAGTCTGGTACTTTTTCACATCATCCTGGGAACCCAGAAGTATATGTACAGTACTCAGAATTTAAGGGCATGGAAGAAAGAAGAAAATGAGATTCTCTTTTGTGAGCACAGATTTAGGGGAAAAAAGGGGGCGGGCATTGCCGGAGGCGAGCGGGCAGCAGACACTGATCATTACTGCGTGTGGCTGAGCTGCTTGCCTCCTGGGATGTAAACAATGGTTTATTTCCAATTTCATCTTCATTGTCATCTCCTAATGAACAGTACTCATGATGAGAAAGTTTTAGAATATATATATGCATGGTTCAGAAACAGCTTGGCTTTCAGAAAGCTGTCAGCTCACGTAGCTCGCCTTGGTCTTTAATTTCGTGCTGTGCTGACAGCTTTCCTTCTGAATGCAAAGGCACCAGTCGGTGTCAGAGTCCATGCTGGGGGCGAGGAGAGAGGAGCCTTCTCTCCCAAGTCTTATCCAAAGACAGCTGAGGAAATGATTCTATCTCATTTGTCGATCCCGTTTCAGGGCAGCAGCTATTTTCCACACTGAGACACAGCTGGCGAGCAGTATCTCTTCTGGGAAATGAGATTCCATTTCAGGAAGAATTTCACTTTCTTTAGTTTCCATGTAACTTACCAGAGTGTCTTTCAGGCTGAAAAATCAAAGAATAAGAGCATTGAAAACAGTCTCCTCAGCACAGGGGCTGATGTGTGTAATACCAGCACTGTGGAAGGCTGAGGCGGATGGATCATTGGAACTCGACTTGGAGAACAGCCTGGGAAACATGGTGAAACCCTGTCTCTAGCAAAAATACAAAAATTAGGTGGGCATGGTGGTGTATGTCTGTAGTCCCAGTTACTCAGGAGGCTGAGGTGAGAGGATCACTGGAGGCCAGGAGGTGGAGGCTGTAGCGAGCCAAGATTGCACAACAGCACTCCAGCCTGGGTGACAGAGAGACTCAGTCTCAAGACAACCAGAAATCCTGACCAGTTTAAGGTCAATCAACTGAGTTCCTGACCTGGGACTACCATCCAGCCTGGGTGACAGTGAGATCCTGTCACACACACACACACACACACACACACACACACACGCACACACCAGTCTCCCATATAACAGAAGGGAAAATCAGTCCCCTTATGTCACTTTTTCTAGTTGTCAGCAGAACCAAAATGTTAAGACTAGAAATCCTAGGCCAGGCACAGTGGCTCACACTGAATCCCAGCACTTTGGGAGGCCAAGGCAGGTGAAGCACTTGAGGTCAGGAGTTCAAGACCAGCCTGGCCAACATGGTGAAACCCCATCTCTACCAAAAATACAAAAATTAGCTGGGCGTGGCAGTGGGTGCCTATAATCCCAGCTACTCGGGAGGCTAAGACAAGAGAATTGCTTGAACCCAGGAGGTGGGGGTCGCAATGAGCCGAGATTGCACCACTGCACTCCATCCTTGGTGACTCAGTCTCAGGAGAACCAGAAATCCTGACCAGTTTAAGGTCAGTCAGCTGAGTTCCTGAGCTGGGACTCCCGTCCTGGGTTCGAGGCTCTGGTGTCTGCGGCTTCCCACACGCAGTACACAGACACTGCAGGAGTCCCTGGAGCAAGCAAGGCCCATGACGGCCCCTTCAGGTGACTTCAGGCCCTCTAGCAAGGTGATGTTTATTTACAGAATTGTATAAAACACAAGGCATCACCATTCAAAAACCCTTATATTCTGTTACATGTTTCACGTTAACAAAGAATGTAAATTCTCTAGGAAAGGGATCTTTTTTATCTACACGAAAAGCACAGGCTAGTAAAGACTTGCTGAATAAGTTCAAAGAATATAAATGTGTATAGGTATATGCCGTATAATGGAGGAAAATAGCAAATATGAAACATGTTGGCGAGGAAATCTGGGATTTGATGATCTAGTCAAACAGTCCAGTTAATTCTTCTTACTACACCTAAACATAAATTGGTGAACAAAGCCAATGTATGAAAGCACAGAAAGAAAACGAGAGGATAGTTTATCATCTTGGTATGTTTTTGTATAGACCCTTATAGGAAAGTTCTGTCAGACTTCATAAAGACTGAGATAGAGCACAGTGACACAGGGCATAAAAGATTAATCCCCGCTCTATGCGAAGAGCTCTTACAAACCATGAAGGAGACAAATATCCCAAGAGAAGAATAACAAAGATATTAAGAGGTAATTCAGGCTGGGCACAGTGGCCAAGGTGGGTGGATCACTTGAGGTCAGAAGTTTGAGACCAGCTTGGCCAATATGGAGAAACTCCGTCTCCACTGAAATACAAAAAAATTAGCCAGGCGTGGTGGTGCGCACTTGTACTCCCAGCTACTTGGGAGGCTGAGGCATGAGAATCGCTTGAACCCAGAAGGCAGAAGTTGCAGTGAGCCAAGATTGCACCACTGCACTCCAGTCCGGGTGTCAGAGCAAGATGCTGTCTCAAAAAAATAAAAAGCAATTCAGAGGATACATATAAGTCTAAAAAATACGTTCAGCCTCACAGTAAATGGGGAAATATAAGTGAAAATGAGATGCCATTTTGGCCATTAGATTGGCAACTATGTAAAAGATGGATAATATCCAGTGTTGGGTATTCTCAGATCCTCTTTTGCATTGGTATCGCTTTTTCTTTTTTTTTTTTGAGACAAAGTCTCCCTCTGTCACCCAGGCTGGAGTGCAGTGGCACGATCTCAACTCACTGCAATCTCCACCTCCTATGTTCAGGTAATTCTCCTGCCTTAGCCTCCCAAGTAGCTAAAATTACAGGCACCTGCCACCATGCCTGGCTAATTGTATTTTTAGTAGAGGCTGGTTTCACCATGTTGGCCAGGCTGGTCTTGAACTCCTCACCCCAGGTGATCCACCTGCCTTGGCCTCCCAAAGTGTTGGGATTACAGGGTGAACCACCATGCTCAGCCTGGGATAGCTTTTTCTATCAAATTTAAAATGTACTTCTCTTTGACATAATAAGGCTACTTGTTAAAATTAGAATATATGACTTTGAGGCTGGGTGTGATGGCTCACCCCTTTTCATTCTAGCACTTCGAGAGGCTGAGGCAGGCAGATCACTTGAGGTCAGGAGTTCAAGACCAGCCTGGCCAACATAGCAAAACTCCACCTCTACAAAAAATACAAAAATTAGCCAGGTATGGTGGTACGTGCCTGTAGTCCCAGCTACTTGGGAGGCTGAGGCACAAGAATCACTTGAATCCGGGAGGCAGAGGTTGCAGTGAGCCAAGGTTGCCGTGAGTTGAGATTGCTCCACTGTACTCCAGCCTGGGTGACAGCAAGACTCTTGTCTCAAAAAAAAAAAAGAGATTAAAACCAAAAAGTTGGTTCTCGGGTGCCCTGGTAATGGCAAAAAGCAGGAAATGGGATTCTGTGGTAAGAAAGAACTATTTTTGTGTCTGTGGAAGATCATAGGAGAGACAGCAGAACGTTCTGTGTCTGCCCTGCCCAACAGGTGTGCGAATCCATACCTCCACTCAGGGTTGAAGCTCCCCTCAGTCTGGGGGTTCTTCAGTTTCAAAACCATCATTTCGTGCAGCTCTAGCAGGAAGGCATCTAGGCCAGTCTGATTCAGGAATGTGCTGAGGAGCTTAGCATCTTCTGGGCTCAGATCTGCTTTGTACCTCGAACTGATTTCCCCAAATGGCTCCTAAAACGATGGAAGACCAGATGACACATTAAAGCCTGCAGGAAGAAAGGAGCACAGTCAGTCCCTCTGTCTGGCGGAGAGGAACAGAACCGTCTCACCTTCTGCAGTCGCAGCAGCTGTTCAGACTTATGAGCAGACAGAAACTGCCAGAGGGCAATGGAGTGTTTTAACTGGCATCTGTTTAGGGCCTGCAGGAGGAACAGAATTCCTGAGTGAGGGGCTAAGGTGTCACCTTAGTGCTCTCCTGAGTGGAACCTGAGTGCTCTCCACACGGGCATTCTTCTCTTCACTCCATCTGTACTCATATGATTTCCCTCCTCGTGAAGGCCCTCTCTGTTCTGTCCGCCAGTTCCCGCCTACACCACCTCGGAGTCCATTCACACCACACGGTTAGCAGGGGCTTCGTGCTCAGCCACGTTTGGGCTCTGTCTAGGCTGCTGGCATTTCTAGTGCATTTGTCTCTGCTGTCCCCTGTGTGTTTACACTGGACTGACCAGATGAGTGGTTGTTCTTATCTCCCCATCCTTTTCAGGCAGCCTGGAGTGGCACTTCCTGAATGTGATAGGCTATCACAACAGGAAGCAGGGAGACTAGGATGAGGGGCTGTGCTGATTTCCTTCGAGAGCGCCTTGGTGTGACCCACCTGTAACACCTGTGCTGTCTGATCGCCCATCCGCAGGACGTCTTGAATATACACGTTCAGGTGCATGTTTGGCTCCCCGCCCGCTGTGCTCAGGAACCCCAGAGTGACTTCTATGACAGACAGCGCTTCACAGGCATCGCTGTAGGACTGCAGCTGTCCACTGATGGCACTGAGGGTTGAGCTGGGGAGGGAGGTCTTGGAAAGGAAAAGCAGGAGAGGGCCCTTTATGGGCTGGCTTCTTGTTTCTCACTACCTGGTAAGAGAGCTGAGCCCCTTCACTGCCCAAGCCACAGGTAGGGTCAACTATAAAAGTAACAGTTGACACTTGGACGCACTATGCAGGCAGTTGCCCAGACTTTCCATAGAAACAGATACAAGGGCAGTGAATCTTCAAACCACCCCGGACACCATGGGACACACCACAGGTCTGCCACCAATACCAGCATGCTGTGAGCAGGCACGGATCGGCTCCATGACACACAGAGGTCTGCCACCAATACCAGCAAGAGAGCAGAAATGGATCGGCTCCATGATACACACTGGTCTGCCACCAATACCAGCATGCAGAGAGCAGGCACGATTGGCTCTACGACACACAGGTCTGCCTATCAATACCAGCATGCAGAGAGCAGGCACGATTGGCTCCATGACACACACAGGTCTGCCTATCAATACCAGCATGCAGAGAGCAGGCACGGATTGGCTCCATGACACACACAGGTCTGCCTATCGATACCAGCATGCAGAGAGCAGGCACGGATTGGCTCCATGACACACACAGGTCTGCCTATCGATACCAGCATGCAGAGAGCAGGCACGGATTGGCTCCATGACACACACAGGTCTATCAATACCAGCATGCAGAGAGCAGGCACGATTGGCTCCATGACACACAGGTCTGCCTATTGATACCAGCATGCAGAGAGCAGGCACGGATCGGCTCCATGACACACACAGGTCTGCCACCAGTATCAGCATGCAGCGAGCAGGCACGGATTGGTTCCGTGGCCTTTCTGCCTCAGCATGCATGGCCATGACATCATTCCTAAGCATTGAACCCACAAGATGTCAATCTGCTTTTACTCTACAAGAAATCTTGCTGATTTGCTGTCTTGCTTGCCCTCTGCAAAGAGCACTGGGCTCTTAGGGAGCCCCCTGGGGTCCTCAGGGAGGCCGTAGAAACTGCGGCTCACAGCAAACATCCAGGGCAAGCTGGAGTGGGCCTAACATGGATGAAAACATGCTCAGAAGGGAAAAGCCCTGTGCCAAGGAGAAAGGTTATGGGGACCACCTGTGGCATTTTGTTCTTGATGTCCATAAAGAGATGTTCGTAGTTCCAGTCGTGTCTGTATACCAGGGTGGGTATTCCCTAAATTGAGAAAGAAAAAAGTTTTTAAAAATTAAATCCATCGTGGACGTTTCCATCAGATGACAAACAGAATCTTCAGCCAGAATTCCAGTGTAGCCACGTGGCCCAGTGTATCCCTTGGCAGAGAACGCCCCTCCCTGTCATTGACCCACTGTTTACAGAAACAGCACAACAGGGAATCCAGCTGAGCCCCAACGGCCAGTTACATGACAAAATATTGTCATATCATTGTGGCCTGGTTCGCTACAGTAGATTTGTGTATGGCTCATTCATGTATTCAGCCACTGAAGGCACAGAGCAGGCACAAGCAGTCACTGCCGGAGGACAGGGAAACGAGGCGGAATTAGAGACAGCTGTGGGCGCTCAGTTCCGGGCCCACTTGGGGGTGGCACAGGGATAGATCTATGTAAGTCCGGTAGATTTGACTGCAGCTGGAAGGAACAAATGCCGTCGGGTGAAAGAACAGAGATGGGAAGTGCCCACTGCGGCTCCCCTGCGTGAGGTCATGGGAGGCAGGGGAGGGAGGTGGCTCGGGCTGGAGGCAGGGCTGGAAGGTTGGGCTGGGCCAGGCTACAGGGCCTCCCATGCTGGACCACAGAGTGTCGGCTGTATCCCATGTGCAGGGAGGCCAGGCAGGGCCATCAGCACAGTGTGAAGAAAGCCAGATGTGTGTTTTAGGCTGTGGACTGAAGAACCTAGAGGTGGGGACCAGTTAGGAACTGCCAGCAGTCCAGGTTACAGACAGATGCTTTTAACTCGAGTGGGCTCTGGCAGTCAGATGAGGACCCAGAAGGCACCGCTAGTGGCGCCTGCGGGCAGGTTCTCCGTGGAGGCTGAAGGAAGAGGGGCCATGGGGGTGGCAGTGCCATTAACTGTGGTAGAAAAACCTAGATGACGAGGCCATCAAGACCTCCACAGTCAGCCAGGTGCGGTGGCTCACACCTGTAATCCCAGCAGTTTAGGAGGCCAAGGTGGGTGGATCCCTTGAGCAGACCAGCTGGGCACTGTGGTGAAGCCCCATCTCTACCAAAAAATACAAAAATTAGCTAGGTGTCATGGTGCACACCTATGGTCTCAGCTTGGGAAGCTGAGGTGGAGGGAGGGTGCAGTGAGCCGAGATGGCACCACCGCACTGCAGCCTAGGAAACAGACCCTGTTTCAGAAAAAAAGAGCTCAACGGTCCCTTGGGGGACTGAGGTGCAGATGGCCCTGCAGGAGAGGGCTCAGGAGAGCAGGAACAGATCAGCTCCATGACACAGAGGTCTGTGTGGGTGTCAGGGAGGGGACGAAGATCAGACTGTGGGGCGAGGCGCTTCTCCCTCTCACAAGAGACACTCCAGAGACTGCTGTTCCAGCAGATGCACCGACCTGACCAGCAGCAGTGGTGGAGTCAGCCCTACCTTGAGGCTCAGCCGGGGCTTGCTCTGAAGGAAGCGGCTGATGATCTGCCGCTGAATCTTCTCCAGGTCGAACTCCTGCAGGGTCTCCTTGCCCTGCTCCACCTGGTACTGGCAGTTGGAGAGAATCAGCGGGGTCAGGTCCCGCTCCACTTCGTAGCTGAAGACATGCAGGTCAGTGACCTCGGAGGCATCCACGGAATAGCTGAGGGGCAGAAGGGCAGCGCTTGTCGTCCAGGCCAGCCTCCAGGCTGAGTGCATGGGCTGAGGGCTCTAGGTTGCAGGAGCCAGCTCCTGTGTGATTTCTCACAGCTGGAGCAGATGAATACCATACCCAGGTGTGGGGTGGTCGCTGGCTTATGAGGGCGTGTCTGAAGTAGTGTCTCTTAGGGAAGGGGCTGAGGCTTGCTTCTATCTGCCCCACTGGGCTGGGGACCCCAGGCTGAGCAGACACCCCTTCCTGTAAGCTCATGCACGCACCTGCTGTTTTCCTCGGAGAGTTTTTCCACCGCATAGACGATTTCATTGTGTAGGCGAATCAAATAGCTGACAAGAGCGGTAGCACAGAGGCCCAGGCCCCGTCGACGTGGCAGAAGGATCTCAAAATCAGCGTCCAGATCCAAGTCTGTGCTGCAGTACTCTTGAGGTAGGTTGATCTCACCTTTAAACGACAGGGTTATTCTTAAGCAGAGAGGAGGTCAACTCCTCACAGAATCTAGGCGTGGAGAGGAGGCTGCAGAAGCCATCAGCTCCACACACAGCCAGGAGCCAGGTCTCGGTTCTGTGCCATCTTGTATGCTGATGAGTTTCAAATGCTCTCAGCTCTCTTTTGTTCAAGCCATTTAGGGACTGAAGAGGACTGAGGTTTTATTTTCCTCATCCCAGACACCGCCATCAAAAGAGTCGCTAGCTAAGCATTAACACAGTGCTGTGTTCACAGGATGGGCTGAGTCAGGCTGATGGGAAAAGCTTTCAGACCAGGCTCTCCTGGAATGCTTAGTGATGGGGGACAGGACACTAACCGTTTGTCTCGAGCGATTTTCTCAGTTTGTTCCATGTCGACAGAAAGATGGTGATTCTGTTCTGTAGTAGCTGCCTCAACCCATCTGTTGAACAGAACACTTCGTGAGAGCCCTGTGATAGCATCCCCCTGCCAGCGCCACACCACCCGTTACATGCTCTGCCAGGAGCCCATCTTTGCTGCTCTGTGCAGTCGAGCATGTCTGAGGTGCAATTTGAAGCACTGAGCTGAGTTTGTGGAGCCAGAGAGGGAGATGCTTTTCAACTGCACCAAAAGCTTCTGATGTTTTTGGGGTTCAAGTACCCTTCAGCTCATGCTAAGGGCTTAGGCTATAAAGTGCCCATTAGCCCCTCCTTTCCTCCTCCCCACCCCACCCCACTCTGCAGTGACCCTTTCAAACCACCAAATGCGGGACAGTCCTGGTCTCGTCAGAGCAGAGCCACACCTGAACTGTGGCTGCTGATGAAGCCTCTGATGGAGCGGTATTCAGCCTGCGGGACGTTCTGGAACCGCTTCACTAGCTCCCTTTGCAGGGCCAAAATCTCAGGCAGGAACTTCACCAGCCTCAGCTCTGCTTCCTGGAGAAGGGAAGACCACCTGGTAACAATTTTTATTTACCTAAAACATGTTACTGGGGATATAGACTTTGAGGCTGGAGGGGAGACTTAATCTGGCCAGTGTCATTTTCTGTGACATAGCATGGAGCTTGAAAATGGAAAAAGGGCCCTCCTGCTCTTCCTGCAAGTCTATGGACAGTGCAACGTGTTAGAAATGGAGGACGGAGAAGGTGGAGCCCAGCCTTTGTGGAGCTGGTACATCAGTCAAGTGCACCAAAGGCTGATGAAGGAAATGTGCCCCCTGAGCCCATGTGACTGGCTGGGTGTGGAGAGAAGCTGCTGAGAGAAGAGACCCAGAGCTTAGGCAGTGAGGGCTGGCGTTATTCCTGCATGTCGTTCCGAAGACCTAGGATCTAAGCATCTTCGATATAGTGAAACTGCACCTGAGAGAGCGCAGCATTGAGAGGAAGGCTTTCCTGTGCTTGGAGCTAACATTTCCTAACTCACCAATACAAACTTCCAGTCATCTTCTGCCTTGCCAGACAGCAAATACTAGTTCATGGAGAGAGATGATTAGAAAATCTATCGTAGAAAATGAAAGTGCAAATGGATGAAAGTTAGAAAAGTGTGCCTCCCTGCCTGCCTTCCCTCCCTCCCTACCTGCCTGCCTTCTCTGTTGCCAGGCTGGAGTGCCATGGCACAATCTCAGCTCACTGCAGCCTCTGCCTCCTGGGTCCAAGAGATTAGCCTGCCTCAGCCTCCCAAGTGGCTGGGACTGTAGGCATGTGGCACCATGCCCAGCTAATTCTTTTATATTTTTGGTAGAGACGGGGTTTCTCCATGTTGGCCAGGTTGGTCTGGATCTTTTGGCCTCCCAAAGTGCTGGGATTACAGGCATGAGCCACCACACCCAGCCAAAAAGTGTGTGTTTCTAATTCCAACAGACATGATCAGTACACTTGATGGCTCCCCAGTACCCCACCACTGTCAGCACACACCCACTCACTCGCATATTCCACCTACACCTCAATGCTTAGACACAGGGAGGAGTTTGGTTCGATCTGCCCATGCTCCAGCACTGCAGACGGGAATAGAGCAGCTGGGAAAGAGCTGCCTCCTTTTCTTTCTGGCTGAGTGATGACAGAGGCCTTCTCCTGGCCTCCATCTTCCCCACAGGCCGCGGCTAATCCCAACCTGGGTGTGTATTTCGTCTGTGACTTGACACTTTAGGCGATCGTACAGTTTGATGTGAATGAAGATCTCTGTCCCTGAGTCTTCTGCTACAGACATTCTATTTAAAATCAAAGCACTGAAATAGTCTGTGAAGACGCCTCGTCTTTAGGAATGATTATACTACATAGGAGCCCAGGGCCTTCAGGTCTACTGGGGAACTCTGCACTGAGAAAGGGAGGCAGCCAGGGTGAGCCAGACGTACCTTCTGCAGGAAGTGCCAGAGGATGGGCACTCTTTCTTTGCCATTTTTCTGTTCCATGATGTGCTGGAGGTGCTCAACTGTAATTCTTTTCCTGCAGCTCCAAATCTTAGAGCAATGGACCACACTTTTCCGGGGCAGGTGGGGCAGGAAGGTCACTGGGTCACCATATATTATTTTGGCCACAGGGTTAGAGCTGATACGCTTATCTTGGCTCATCAGAATATTAACGGCGGGAAGGGTTTTATCTAGATGCTGGATGGAGAAAATGAAACAATTCTGGAAGTGAGGTATTGCCACAAACAGATTGGAACACCCAGTCACTCCACCAGTGGGTATCTGCATACTAGGGAGTTTGTCCCCTGCTCTGAGTGTGTCATCAGGCATTTCCTTAGATCTTTTATTCTAATTTTAGGGTTCTTTGTTTATAGATTTATGTCTCCCCAAACAGAATGAGATTCAGAGACCTATATTACTCTTAGTAGTATTGTGACTGCTAGATGAGTAATTCAGCTATGATTGTCAGTTCATTTTTAGTGGGTATTTATGTGATGGTTTGTTTCTCTACCTCGTACATTACATTCTGCTGTAAAAAGTAATGGAGAGAAAAATACTGCCTGCACTTGGATTCCCAGTAATTCCTCGGACTGACTCATGAGCAGCTGCAGGAGGGAAGAGCACTTGGGGACAGGAGGAGGATGGGGTGACTCGAGGTGGAGAGCGTCGGAGTCGGGCTCAGCCACAGGCTCCTGCTGGCACCACTATGAAGGGCAGCCGGCAAGGAGCACTCAGCAGATGCCGGGAGTCAGCCTTTCTGGGCAGGGGAGCAACGCAGCCGCCACTTCCTGCTTACCTCCAGTTCAGGCAAAATCACAGCTGCAATGTCCTTTTCCCAGTTGTTCCTGTTTTCTTTAGTTGACAGTCTTGTGTCAAAATTTAAAGGTCCTGCAAAAAACCCCGAAATGTGTAGGTTGCCCAAGGCACAAAGAGCACAGCAGTCCATGTGTAATAAACACTAAATAAGTGTTTAATGGAAATAATGCTCCCTTTGAGGCAATAGCTTTCTAAATTAATCTAAGTATTTTGAAATAGTTCTGCTGCTACCATCACCTCAATGATCTTTAAGATAATGTCAATCTCTAAAATTTCCCTCTACCTTACATAATTGTAATCTTAGAACTATTTTGAAAAAAGTACTGAAAGAACAGAACCTAAGCTTCAAAGCCCAGGACATAGTAACAGGGGCCAGGCCATCACCAGGCACCTCAGCTGCTGCCACCCAAGCCTGAGGCAGACCACACAGACTCTGCAGGAACAGACGGTCCGCCTGATTCCAGGATTCTGTCATTTCTTCAGTGTGACCTTGTTGATATCCCACCAGAATAAGAGGCTTAAAATCAAATCAGATTGTTCAAAATGGAAAATGAATACGAATGCTGGTTTCGGGCAAAGAAGTATCTGAGGTGGGAGCAGATTTTCTTATCACGGGCAGGACTTTTTATTGCTATTATTATTACTTTAACATTGTCCTCACAATAGTCATTGTGGTTTTTGCAGATTAGCAAATCACTTTTAATTCTGCCACTCACGGATAACCATTTTACTAAGTTGTTTTGCAAGACCTTTCTGTATAGATTTAAAAATTTTTTAAATTAGCTCAGTGAATACAATATTTTATTGCCTGCTTTTTTTTTTTTTTTGCCATTACTGGACATATAAACATTTAATACATCAGCACACAACTGCGATGTGTTTGGGAAAGCAGGACCTGCGATGGTGACGTGTCTTTGACACACACCACCTGTATGGGCAATACGCACTCCCAGCATGGTAGGGGAATGACCTGCGGGGCTGCCCTTGGAACTGAAAAGACTTCCCATATATGCACGCTGAACATTTGTGTGCAGGCGCTCCCAAGTACTGTGGGTCTTAGCCAGGCAGGGGTGAGTGGAGAGAACAGAGCAGCTCCTAACATCCCTTGGGCAAGCAATGTGCTTCCTGTTCCCAGCTCCGGGCATTGCCTTCCGTAGACACAATTTTCTCTGTGTGTTCTCTCATTCTTTCCAGCCACAGCACGGACAGAGCTCGGACTGGCCACGTGTGGGGTGGTCCAAAGACAGCGAGCCGCTTTCGCTGCAGTTGTGCCGTGTGATCCCCACCCAGCCCCTGCCCCTTTCCTCACTCTTGCCAGAGAGCTGGTTCCCCTCTTGGAGAAGCCTGCACAGGACGAGGTGGACCACACTGGTGGTCTCATCAGCACTGTATCTCAGTATCTTGGTCAACTGCTCCAAGTCCTTCAGGATGTGCTGCTGCAGAAAGCCTTGTGGATCCCTCACTGGAGGCTTAATGATGTTCATCAGAGCCTGTGAGGGCAACAGAACAGAGCGTTCAGTGGGATCTGGGATCTGATTTGTAGATGAGATGGGGAGCCTGGTAGAGGCTGTTGGGAGTGGAGCACCAGCACTGAGGTGGAAGGAGGTCTCTAGGATGAAAGCTATGGAGTTATCCAAGCACGATTCAAACAGGTGAAAGGAAGGCGAGCAAGCGGAACAGCTGCTGGCTTTTCTGTTATTAGAGTGAGAGAAAGAATCCTCAGAGCCTGTACTTTTTGCCCTCTTGGTTAGTATTAACTTAGAAGAATGCAGTGTGCTCTCTGTTTCTTCCCTAGAGCCACAACGAAGACACAGGTGAAATAACGAAGATGGCAGCCTCTCTACTCCCAGATGTGAACCAAAGACAGAGCTGTTGATCGGAAGTGGATTTTATATCCTCTGGTGAGTATTTCCCCATACCCTCCTGTGCCACAGGGGCCGGAGACATGACGATCTGCAACCTTCATATTACTTTACAGACTAATTATCTTCAAAATGCAGCAGCTAGGACTCCCTGGGAAGAGGGGAAAGCAGGTTCTTCCTAGAGTACCTCAACACATTGTTTGGCAGCACCGGGCTATACCTGGGGACTCTGGGCAGCTCCCAGAAGCAGAGCCAAGTGAGTGAGTAGCCGGATAAATATGAAGACCAGTGGGGGCAGCTCTCGGTCACATGTCACCACCAGGTCTCTCCGCTGCGGGTTGCCCAGCACGTGGCCGCTCTGCGTTCTATCTACACTGTTGCTGGAAAGAAAAAGAGAACACAGGGTAGAGGCTGAGGCCGGCCGCCTGGATGCACTGCATGTTCTCAGCACTTGGACTGAGACTCGTGGCCGAGAAGACAGCTACGTCCAGAGAACTTCATGTTCCACTAAGCCCAGGCCATGTTCCTAAGAGTCTATCGTGACAGACTCGCCTTTCTGGCGGACCAGACCCCACTGCATTCTCAGCATAAAGTGGCTGTGCTGTGCAGTGTTGACGCTGATCCTGGGGCAGGGTGTTAGGACGTAGGCCTGGACCCATCTTTTCCATTGAAGTCTCTGTCCGGAGAGGAGCGACTGGGCTAAGAACAGCTAGAGTTTGGGACAGTTGGTATCCCATGGGTGTCCACGTTGTTCTCATTTTCCCAAAGGAAAAACTGAGATCCAGAGTCTGGCAGATGGGAGGGACAGTGTGGTAGATACTCTCAGTGGCAAAAATATTAGAGATTGGAGGACACTGTGATAGTTTCTGGAGATAACATGAAAATATGTTAAGCTGTGACTGTAGTTGAACAGTCAGAACGCTGACTGTGCGCAGGTTCCACTCTGAAAGGAGCATTTAGAACCGCACTCATCTTGGTGTGGGGTCAGATTTTTTTTTTTTTTTTTTTTTTTTTTTTTTTTTTTTGAGACGGAGTTTCGCTCTTGTTACCCAGGCTGGAGTGCAATGGCGCAATCTCGGCTCACCGCAACCTCTGCCCCCTGGGTTCAGGCAATTCTCCTGCCTCAGCCTCCTGAGTAGCTGGGATTACAGGCACGCACCACCGTGCCCAGCTAATTTTTTGTAATTTTTAGTAGAGACGGGGTTTCACCATGTTGACCAGGATGGTCTCGATCTGTTGACCTCGTGATCCACCCGCCTCGGCCTCCCAAAGTGCTGGGATTACAGGCTTGAGCCACCGCGCCCGGCCCTGGGGTCAGATTTTTACATGGATTCTAAAGTCTGGCATTTGATAAGACTATGTCTCCTTCATTTTTCTCAAAAAAAAAAAAAAAAAATGGAGAAAGCTAAGATTGTTGACAAATTGAGATGGCATCTGCTGAGGAGACAAAAGCCCAGGTTTGGGCCCTGCAGACACACGTCCCTGTGAACTAGATCATCTGTTTATGTCTCGCATATTTCTATAGAGGGTGTACCCAAGGCCCAAAAGGAAGACACCTGTGTTAATATTAACGGGTATTAAAGTGTAGCCTGCTTTGCATTTCAGGGCCCAGTGAGCCAACAACAGGTCAGATAACTCCCTGCTGTGTGACTCGTGGGACTTCGGCATTGCTATTCAATATGACACAGGTCCGGATGTACTGGAGTAATTAGTACTATCTTGAGTATCGCTTTATCAGCTGGAAGAAAAACAGCCTGACACCCCAAGGTTTGAGTACTTAGGAAATACAACCCCGATGCACACACCTGACCATTTGAAAGCCATCATGAGGTTTGTGGTTAATGCCTCCGATTGGTGCACGACAGTCAACGCAAAAGCTCTGTTCCATCGGCCTGCCGCACTAGAGTGAAGACAGAGGGCACTCAGAACCACTTCTGGAGCCAGTACCATTTTATGTACAAACGCTGTCCTGCAAATGATACCCCCTTACCGCTGCCTCAGACGTGCGCAGCCTCAGATTGTCCGTTCCAGCGTTTCAGGTGGGTAGATAACCCATGGGCACAGGGTAGGTACTCACTAATGTTGTACATGGGCAAATTTGAACTTTTTTTTTTTTAATGAGAAAATCTAAGCTTTATTCCCAGGGTGACACTTTACAGGCAAGTACATGAAATTCAACCTTCCTTTCTCATGGTCAGCATTTTTTCTATTCTTCCATCTATCACACTGGCCTGTAGCTCTTCATGATCTAATACCAAGAACACTAGAATAGCTTCCAAACTGACTTTCTTATGTCCATTTGGACTTTTTCCTATATTTATCTTGCTCTGTCATCCAGGCTGGAGTGCAGTGGCACCATCCTGGCTCACTGCAGCCTCGACCTCCCCAGGCTCAAGCTATCCTCCCACCTTAGCCTTCCAAGTAGCTGGGACCACACGCATGCACCACCATGCCCTGCTGATGCTCTGTGTTTTTTGTAGCGACAGGGTTTCAACATGTTTCCCAGGCTGGTCTGAAACTCCTGGGCTCAAGCAGTCTGCCTGCCTCAGCCTCCAAAGTGCTGGGATTACAGGTATAAGCTACCTGCCACACCTGGCTTGGACTTTTTTATTTTAAAAAATCCAGTCATATGATCTACTTCCAGAGGCTCATTTTTCTAAATCAGATATTATGCTACTGAATACTGAGAATCACAGCTGACAACAGACAAACCAGTCACAGAATTTCAGAGCTGGGAGCATGCCTGGATAGAATCTATTTCAGTCTCCTCATTTCATGGACAAGGAAGTGATTGAAGCTCAGAAAAATGAAATGTATATATCAGTTTTTCTCTTTCCATGTCTCTTATATACTGTATTAAATGACACGTATCAGGCTGGGCTCAATGGCTCATAATCCCAACACTTTGGGAGGCCAAGGCAGGATGATCACTTGAGCCCAGGAGTTCAGTGTTAGTGAGCTATGATCATGCCACTGCACTCCAGCCTGGGGAAGAGAGCCCAACACTGTCTCAACCAACTAACTAAGTAACACTGACTAATAACTACTACCGTGTATCAGCTCAACCCACCAGGCTCTTGCTCAGCAAGTATAGATACGGTATGGAGGACTCTGAGCTAGATACTTGAGAATACAGAGAGGAATAATCAAGTTCTCCCCCCAGGGGACACAATCTACAAGTCGCTTCTTCCTGTCCTTTGGCATCTGGACGAACCTTGTCTATGGGCTAATCATGCAGTCTGTGGTCCAGGCCACACCTCGCCATTCTATCAAGACCAGGGCCACTGATCCCGTGCTGCAGTGGCTAGAAAGAATGGCTAGCAGCAGTTCCCAACCCTAGGGCACCTTTGTCAGTGTCTGGCTTTAGGTCTGACACTGGGAGGAGGAGTGCTCCTGGCCTCCAGGGTCTCAAGGTCAGGCATATTGCCAGACGTCCCACAGGCTGTCCACAGTGCGGAGGCTGCGAAGCCCCAAGCTAGAAACTTTTAGCGCCATTGACACCACGTGCTCAGAGCACCCAGGGCAGTCCACAGTGAGCCTGTGCTCTCCTCACCCACGATCCTGCTCCTCCCACCCTGGCATGCGTGCCACCCCTCAAACCCTATCTTAAATACCAAGACTCACCTCTCCCACGGAGCAAGGATGGCCATTGGGACAAGCTGTGAAGAGAACAGGACACACATTGGCTAATGAGGTTTCACCAAATCACCTACATTGAAAGGGGAAAGCTAACACTCTACTCTCTGGCCTTGACCAAAATATGAGAATGGGTGTCCAGGGCACCCACCAGATCCGGAGCTGATCTGTTAAGTGCTGTGACACCTGCCTGAAGCTCAACAGGTGTATGTTATCAGTGAAAAATGTCTGAGTTTAATTGTCTGAAGCACAGAGAAATTGGAAGATAGGCCCGTAGCAGGCGCACTTCTGGAGCAAGGTGGATAGAATTCTAGACCCTTCAGTTCTCTTTGATGCTGTTTTTTGTCGCGAGCATATTTTAAAACGACTTTGAAAACTAGTTTTAAAACATTTACTCAGGCAATAGCAAAAGTTACATGTCAGGGGTTATATTAGTCTGTCTCCCACTGCTATACCTCACGTATTGCAGAAGAGCTATCTTTGTGTCAAAAACTTGTTGTTTTGTGAGGGGCCTGTGAATGCGTCTCTGCTGTGCTGCCCGTCCCCTCCGCCTCCCAAAATAGCATATTCCAGAGAACAGAAGTGCGTCTCAGAGGGTCTTTTCCACACGACCAAGAAATGGAATGGTTTGGATCATCTAGCCAGTAGAGTGCCAGCTCCTTCAAGCCACCCATATTCCGCAGACACCATGGGGAGAAGGCAGGTGATTTGGGACCCTGAGGCATAAACCACGTGGACCCCAAGTCGAACCCAGTGCTTCATGGCATCCGGATACCCCGTGAAGCTGAGAGGTGTGTGGGATCATCCAGACCCCAGCACTTACTGTACCACTGGACTCCCTCCAGACCTTTCCATCTCCTAGCTTGAGCCAGCAAGTCTTCAGGCATGGTTGGGAGAAAAGCATTCTGAAAAACAAGAAAACAGACCACTAGGTAAGTGAGCATGTGGAGGTGTGGTTGCTCAGCAGGAGGCCTAGAGGAAGGAAGTGAGCATGTGGAGGTGTGGCTGCTCCGCAGGAGGCCTAGAGGAAGGAAGAGAGTAGTGCTTCCCTTCTGCTTGACTTCTGAAGCTGTCTGTGAAGAAAACAGAACAGCTCCCAGTGAAATAACAAAGGCCAAGGCAAGTCTGCCACTATCTTGTGTGCTCAAGAATCAAGGAGATAAAGATGCTCAAGAGTGCCCACAGCTGCAGCTTGGTCTCCACAGTGACAAGCTCTTAGTGCAGGTGCTGGTGAAGGCCAGTGGAATCGGAGCCTATTCTTACCGCCATGTCGGCTGGGGAGAAGGCCAGATTCTTTAGGGGTTCCAAGACTTTATTCTGTCCGCACAGAAGGACGGCTGCAGCATGAATGGCCATGTCTGTCACTGTGCCCTCAAGGCTGCTGTTACTGGGGCCTGCCCTCAACAATGGCAGAGAATTGTCCACGAGAGATGTTGCAAAGTGCCTGATATCAGTAGATGAAAGGATCTTGCATTCGCCAATGAACTGGCTCACAGCTTCACGTTGCTGACAGGAAAAAAATTTAACATTAAGATACATCAAAGAATATTGTGTGAATTCAAAGGTCTACTCTCAGGCATACACTGACACCAAATATATATCAAATATCAAGGTAAATATGGAGAAATCACCATTTGAAGGGCAATTTTTCAGAGAAGAGAATTTGCATAAACAAACACAGCCTCCACATGCTTAAGCATCAATTCTGATATTTTGTGTGTGAAACATTGTCTTAGGTTCTTTAGTTTTCATTATAATTAATTCTTTAAGCTTTGGGTTAAACAGAAAATAGTTGTTACATATAACAAGGTTGAAAACCTCCATCCTAGATAAAAAAACTATGGTATGATTTGTGTTAACTTGTATTCTGCTCAATAAAGCCCCTCCAAATGCTGAGACTGAACTCAGCCTTGAAGGTGGTTACTCACCTCTGGCGTGGGGTGGAGGCGCTCATTGTGCGATCTGTACAGAACAGCCACCTCTCTGAACAGCGCCAACAGGAAGTGGGCTGCCTGCAGGGCTCTGGGGGTCCGGCAGGCCTGCAAAATCAAGGGCATTAAGTGAGAATTTAAAGGCTCAGCAGGTCTTTTTTTTTTTTTTTTTTTGAAATGGAGTCTTGCTCTGTTGCCCAGGCTGGAGTAGAGTGGCACAATCTTGGCTCACTGCAACCTCCACCACCCGGGTTCAAGTAGTTCCCTTGCCTCAGCCTCCCACACACACACGTATACACACACATTTTATTTTTTAAGTAGATACAGGGTTTCACTATGTTAGCCACGCTGGTCTTGAACTGATCTGCCCGCCTAGGCCTCCCAAAGTGCTGGGATTACAGGCATGAGGTACTGCCCGCCCCCAGCCCCAGATCTACCTAGGGGCCAAATGCCCACATGGTTTGCATGTGAAAAGGAAAGTACCTCAGCCCTCAACCCACCAATCAGGGAAGGAGCCTTTTCTAGGCCTGGACACCTGGGGTCCGGCCCCACATGGGCCACCAACTGGCAAGCAACTTTTGGGCTACAAAGTTCCTAAAATACTCTCAGATTAAACTCAATGCAGGTTTAGCAGCCAGCTTAATAACAGAAGCAACGGAATCACCATCTGTTCTTCTGACTCCTTCACTGGTCTTAGAAACTTCCTGAGCAGAAAGGATTTTCTATTTCCTCTTTTCCTGGCACAGGAACTCAAAAAGGAAGCCAGACCAGACCAATTTAAAGGTTAGATTCTAAAAACATCTTTATATTTTTTAACTTCCCACACTACACCAACGTATGTATTTTTATTAAGCACAAGCATGTCTGTGAATCGCGAATGCATATAGATAGGAATTTTGCTATTAATAGTCGTGTCAGCATCTTTCTTCCACTGTTTTCCCACAGGGTCTCAAAGGAAGCAATGGACAGAAACAAATCAACAGGGGCTGCCAACGGCCTCGGCAGATCAGCAAGACAGCAAATCTGTCAGCCTGGCCCAACCGTCATAGCTGTCCTGTTCCAGCCACTGGTTTGCGCACACTGGCCAGGTGCGTCCCGGAGGCCGTGGGCATGGGACTCGCAGTACAGTGTCATGTGATCAGGGCTTCAGTGGTCCACCACCCTGCATCGCTGGACATCACCCAGGGAACACGCAGGCCCCAAGGGGTGTCATCTGGCATCAGTGAGAAGCCACAGGCCCACCCTACCTTCAGAGCAGTCTCAGTCCCCAGCGGCTTGCACTCGAGGACAGCTTTGGCCACAGCGTCTCGGAGAGCCTTGTATTCACTGCCGTACACCAGGTACCAATCCATCTGGCCTGGGTGGTCCTTCTGCAGCCCCGGGAACATGGGTTAGTTGCAGTGAACGATGGGAGGAATGTTTTGCAAAGAACTGTCTCACTAGGTACCCAAGCAGATGACCATTGGAGGTTTAAAGGCAGCCGAGCTGGATTCCCCCACCTGGCCTAAGGCAGGGCAGTCTGTTGCCTTCTTGGCAGGAGCTTCCTCCTCCATAGAGGAGGTTCAAGAGCATGGAACGCCTGGTGACAGCAGCGCTGACCAGGGAGCTGCCTCCTCCTGACATTTGAGGTGTCGCACTGCACCATGCCCAAGGCTGGGTGACTCCAGTCAGGTCAACTCTCAACCCCAGCGGTGGTCACACAGTGCCAGGTTTTTAGTACCATTTTTGATCCCCAGGACAATAAGAATTTGTTAATTTCTGGGCATCTGGAAAGGACCACTGAGAAGCTTCAAAGCCTCTTTTTTGGGAGTGGGAAGGAGTGGTCCCACTCTGTCGCCGAGGCTGGAGTGCAGTGGTGCCATCTTGGCCCACTGCAACCTCCGCCTCCTGGGTTCAAGCAATTCTCCTGCCTCAGCCTCCTAAGTAGCTGGGACTACAGGCACCCATTACCACGTCCAGCTAAATTTTTTTTACTTGTAGTTTATTTTTAGCAGAGACGAAGTTTCAACATGTTGGCCAGGCTGGTCTCGATGAATTCCTGACCTCAAGTGATCCACCCACCTCGGTTTCCCAAAGTGCTGGGATGACAGGTGTGAGCCCCTGCGCCCACCTGGCCTTGAAGCCTTTTACGCAGTTCTTCTATTCTTACTTCTCACTCTTGCATCTCTCTGCCTGTCAGAGGTTGCAAGGTGAACTACGTTTAATTTGCTGAAAGCAAAGGCCACAAAAATGTTCTACTTTTCCCTGAGTCAAATTCAAGTAGAAGTGATACCTAATTAAGGAAGCTCTGAGGTGAGGCCTCACCTTGGCCCTACAGCAGTTGCTGTAAATGATCACCAGGTGGGGCAGATCAGTGGAAGGCGGAGAGAAAGGACCAGAATGATAAGCACATTTCTGCTCGGGCGAGGCTGAAGGCGGGCGGAATGCAGGAGCATCGGCACCAGCTGGGGGTGTGGTGTGTGGGGTGTGGTACGAGAGTGGTGTAGGGGTGTGGGCGTGTGGGACATGGAGGTGTGGTTGGTATGGGTTATGGGTTTAGGAGTGTGGGGTATAGGTTTGTGTGTGAGGGGCTATGGTGTAGGTATGTGTTGTGGAGGTGTGGTGGGTGTGGGGGTGTTGGTGTAGAGGTGTGTGGGTGTGGTATGGAGGGGTATGGTGTGGGGTTTGGGTGGGGGGTCTTGGCATGGGGTGTGGGTGTGATGGGGGGTATGTGGGCATGGTGTATGGGAGTGTGGGGGTCCATGTTCAAGAGCTGCCAGCCCCAGTTCTCACCTGCTGCTCAATGACTTCCTTGGGAAACACCCACTGGCACGGATGGCCCGGCTTGGAGAGGCCCTGCACAAACTCCATCCCCCGCTGGCTGCTGAGTTTCCGCACCAGGTACACCCGGTGCCAGTCGTTCTCACCGCGGGTACAGAAGTGCTTGACTTGCTGCAGGTAGCACTCCTTCTCCTTCGCCATCTCTGAAAGGCCAACAAGAAAGTGGGTGAGCAGCTGGTGACTTGGGGCATTTGTGGAAGGACACAAAGCCAACCAGAGGGCACAGGACCTCCCCACGGGAATCCACAGAAGCACGTCCATGGGGGACAGGACCTCCCCACGGGAATCCATAGAAGCATGTCCAGGGGGCACAGAACGTCCCCATGGGAATTCACAGAAGCACGTCCAGGGGGAGGACGTGGAAAGGCCCAGTAGTAGTCTCTATGTAGAACCAGTTCCCATACTCCTGGAATTTTTTTTTTTTTTTTTTTGAGATGGAGTTTCGCTCTTGTTACCCAGGCTGGAGTGCAATGGCGCGATCTCGGCTCACCACAACCTCCGCCTCCTGGGTTCAGGCAATTCTCCTGCCTCAGCCTCCTGAGTAGCTGAGATTCCAGGCACGCACCACCATGCCCAGCTAATTTTTTGTATTTTTAGTAGAGATGACGTTTCACCATGTTGACCAGGATGGTCTCGATCTCTCGACCTCGTGATCCACCCGCCTCGGCCTCCCAAAGTGCTGGGATTACAGGTGTGAGCCAGCACGCCCAGCCCTAGAATTTCTAAATAACAGAGTCTTTCAGCCCAAAGTAAAGCAAGGTGGAGAAGACTCGCCTGGGCCTCCCTGGGGCTCTGAGAGGAAATCTGCAGCCCGATCAAGGCAGAGGCGGATCCGGGCCACCTCCTGCAGGTATTCCACCGAGGCCTCGTGGGCAGGCTCTTGGCCACGTCGCACTGGAGAATACGTCTTAAGGAAAACACCTTCCTCTCTCAAGTGGTTCAGTTCATCTTTTCTGGAGCAAACACTGGTCTTCTCATGTATTGAATCCTGAGGAACAAGGAACAAGAAAGAAAAGGATATTATTCTTTTAAATATGGAATCCCCAAGCTTCTAAAATTGCCAGCATGACTATGGAGAATGAAGGAAGGATAAAAAATACTAATGCAGGTTTCAGCATAAATTTCTTGATTCATGGAAACCTAATACTCCTTTTTATTTTAAGGGCAAGAAGGAGGGGAAAAAGTAAGCCTATGAGGAAGAAGTTTTATATAGTCTAATTTATATACTTTATGAAGATAATAAAAAGTATTCATAATGTCAGCACCCAGTGATAACCACTGTTAACTTTGGTGGTATATTCATTCTTCTAGGCTGTTCTTTTTTGTATGCATATGCACATAAATGCCAATGTATACACTGTTGAAGACAGAAGCAATGTCTTTGAAACCTTTCTTTTGTATATATAATTTTATTGATAATTAACAGAGCATTTGTTAATTATACTGACTAAAATTCTGTACATTTTAAACCATGTGGTTCAGATAGTTTGCAAAAGAAATTCAGGAAGAGAGTTCACTTACCTCCAGGCAGTTGATAAACAGCATGTACAGTTCAGTTTTATCTTCAATTATGAATGCTTTCTTTTTTAGCAGGGTCAAGTAGTCCTGAATATAATCTTTTACATCATCGAAGCTGTGGGAAGAGAAATATTATTCCTGGCTCTCTCAGATCTGGAGATGTATCTTACTAAAAGAAGGTCATCTATCCTATCTGTGTGTGTGTATATAAACATTCACACATATGTAGTTTCTAACGTTTTAGGGAAAACACTGTAGCATTATACTGGGAATATAAACCGTTTTAGAGCAGCCTGTTCTCAAACTTTTTGGTTTCAGGACCCTTTTATTGTCTTAAAAGTTATTGAGAACCCCGAAGAGCTTTTCTTTATGTGGGTTATATTATCAATATTTATGATAGGAATTATGAGACATTAAAAACAAAAGGTTTCATTTAAAATAACAGTAAAGCTATTACATGATAAATAACATTTAAAAAAACATGAATCAGTGAGAAGAAGGGCTTGGTCTCCCATTCCTGTTCTCACCCTGGGGCCTGGCTCCGTAAGTCTGCCTGCCTGCCTGCCCTGCCTCTGCTCCCCATCGGCTGCGCCGTGTGAAGAATATGAAGAAAACCTGTCCTTACACACTGGGAGCAGCGAGGAATGTTTCACAATTTTTGCAGATTATTGTGGATATCATTCCTTAATACTGTGCCAACAGTGACAAATGATCATGTCTAAAGGTTGGTTGCAATGTGGAGCCTGAAGCCATATCAGTGTATTTTTCATAGTCAATTATGTTAAAAGTTCTGTCAGATACTTGATTATTTTTTTGAGATGGAGTCTTGCTCTGTCACCCAGGCTAGAGTGGCACGATCTCAGCTCACTGCAGCCTCTGCCTCCCAGGTTCAAGCAATTATCCTGCCTTAGCCTCCCAACTAGCTGGGATTACAGGCGCCCATCACGACCATGCCTGGCTAATTTTTATATTTTTAGTAGAGATGGGGTTTCACCTTGTTGGCCAGGCTGGTCTCGGACTTGTGACCTCAGGTGATCCACCCGCCTCAGCTTTCCAAAGTGCTGAGGTTACAGGCGTGAGCCACCATGCCTGGCCTGCCTGTACTTTAAATGTTTTTCCTTTTTGACCCACACATGATTTTGTGACATCAGGCGTTGGTCATTTGGAAAATATCGGTTCACTGGGCTATGCACGTCTTGCAAAATTTGACACATTTTGATTCTACATTTTTAGAAACCATCCACATTCATTAATATCACCACAGATTGCCTCAAAATATCTTTAAGTAAACACCTCAGCTGTTTGGATGAGGCCAGCTGGCTCTGCGGATTTCCAGGAGGGGCCTGCCCAGCCCTGGAGAACTCATGTGCATCCGCCCAGCACAAGAGCCAGCCCAGAAGCAAAGCAGCTGTTAACTCCAGACTTGTCATGAGTGGTTTTCTTCGAGGTAAGCGTCACCTCTGGTGTGCAGTGGGAGTGTGTTCTGTGTGCTCCCCGTTTCCACAAAACATTAAAAAGTCAAATCCTCAAGAGTCAAGATTTAGTAAAAAGGAAACTGGCATGAAAAAAATACCACGTAAGCACAGTGGTGAAGACGATGTTGGGACTACAGCATTGTTTGCGCCGCGGCTCGACCTACCACTGCTTTTGTAACGTCATCCTGTGTCACCATGCTAAAAATAGAGGCACATTTATCTTAGTATTCTAATTTTTAAAATAGTTTTGACCTCAGAGACCTACCTCACACTCAAGGGTCCACACCAACACTCTGAGAACTGCAATATTAGAGCAATACATGTACCACCAGGGACACTATCCTTGGATGTCAACAGCCTTTCACAAGGAAATACACAGAGCCCATGTTGTGGGGAGTATCGTTAGAAGACATGGAGGACATTCGGGGTGAGCAGCAATCTAAGCTACCATCCTAAAAACCACAAGACGAGGCCACTGTGGAACCAGGTCAGCACCACAGATGCCTGCCTCCCGAGTTCCGTGACCTTCACGCCACCACCACCCCCTCATGGCACTGTTTGCTTCTGGCTAGATGTGTGCTTGTGGGTGTGCTAAACTCATGCCTAATGTGAAAACGTCAGAATACCCAACCAGTACAGCTAACCAGGTCGTCTCTCACCAAAAAAGCTTCCCCAGATTGTGTACCAGCTGCTAGTCATGACGAGAAGACTCAGTAACAAGAGCCGTGATGAAGAGCAAAGGCCGGGGCTCTCCAGAAGCAAGTCTCCATGTTGTTGCTCTTACCTGTACTTGAGAAGCAGCTTCAGTATCACCGAGCGGATGACAGGAGTCTTATCCACCACGTCATTGAATGGAGAGAGAGATTTGGTGTGTTCGCGGTGTCCTTAAACCAGAAAGAGAAAGGCAGCTGGTTGCATGAGGTGTGCAGGAGTGAGATGCATAAATAAGCTTCCAGGTTTATAGGAAGAAAGCGACCTACTCTCGGGGGCATCTCTTAAGAGCTCCTTTTGGACAAACAGCAGAGAGAGCAGGCTGTGGATCACTTCCTTCTCAGGCGGAGCATTGTCCTTGAAGCACATGGTGGACACCAGGTCTACGAAGAAGCTGTTGCACGTCTGCCGGAGGCGGGCATGCTTTTCAATGGCTTCCCTTAGGACACGAGGAGCACAAATCAGAAGACCAGGGGATGGTGTTTCCCAAACCCCTCCTCACAGAATGACTGGAGATTTGGACAGCATTTCACGTTTTTTTTTGAGACGGAGTTTGGCTCTTGTTGCCCAGGATGGAGTACAGTGGTGCGATCTCGGCCCACTGCAACATCCACCTCCTGGGCTCAAGATTCCCCTGCCTCAGCCTCCCGAATAGCAGGGATTACAGGAAACTGCCACCATGCCCAGCTAATTTCACACTTAGTAGAGACTGGGTTTCACAATGTTGGCCAGGCTGGTTTTGAACTCCTGACCTCATGTGATCCACCCGCCTCGGCCTCCCAAAGTGCTGAGATGACAGGCGTGAGCCACCGCACCGAGCCCTGCCTTTCACTGTTAAAGATTCAAATCATTCCTCTCATCCATTAGAGCTAGTCTTCAGAACAAAAGAAGACATTTAGATGCCTCTCTTTCTAGGAACACTGATCATTTGCAGCAGCCCCAACACCCTTCAGTACCCCAAAGCATGTCAAAGAACCCATCCACTGGGCCTGCCTGGTGCTCCACTTTCAGGAGGCCTGAGAGAGAAGGAAAACCAACCCCTCAGAGAGCAGGGCTGAGGCCCGCTGAGCCCAGAGAGCTAGAGCTGCTTTTAACCACCTGAAAAGCTAGACCAGAAGTGGGCTGGTCCTCAGGTCAGAGACTGTGAATGATGTTAATGCATTAAGACCAGTGGTGTTTGCCAGGCACTTTGGGAGGCTGAGGCAGGTAGATTGCTTGAGGTCAGGAGTTCGAGATCAGCCTGGCCAACACAGTGAAACCCCTTCTCTAATAAAAATACAAGAAAATTAGCCAGGTATGGCTGCCTGTAATCCCAGCTACTTGGGAGGCTGAGACAGGAGAATTGCTCGAACCCAGGAGGCAAAGGTTGCAGTAAGCCAAGATCGCACCACTGCACTCCAGCCTGGGTAACAGAGTGAGACTCTTACCTCAAAAAAAAAGACCAGTGGTGTCTAAATTCCTTGGGCCTCTGGTGAGGATCTCTGTTATGACTTTCTGGCTTATTTCCTCTCAATTTGCTCTCTCTCAAATCTATGTGTATGTCTTGGGGAGAGAATAATCTTGAGATACCAGATATTTATGAAAGTATATAAGTGGTGTCTCTTATGATAGTTCTCTGAAATCAGGTTTTCTACCAAACAAAGGTTAATAGAGTTTATATTTCTGAATATTGTGTTTGTCAAGGAAAAAAAACAGATGCTTTCGTGAAAGGGTGTTTTACCTGTGCTCTTGGGAAACAGTTGGAGAGAATGTGTCTGGCAAGACAGTTAAACAGAAGGGGCACATCATCTGCCCCGAGACCAGCCAGGCTTCTAGGCAGCGCAGACAGTACACGTGGTCGCAGGGCAGACAGACGGGGTCCTGTGCGTCTCCCAGGCAGATGGGGCATGGCTGGACCCCAAACCTAGAATCCAAGAAGGGTGATCAGTTCTGAAGTAGAGAAACTGGCCAGAAGAAGTGAAAACCATGAAAGAGTCAGCATTCCCACCTTCACAGATCCAAACCTAAGGTCTCACCTGGTAAAGGTCCTGCTGGCGCTCTCCTTACATTCACAGAGAGTGCTCATCACGGCCCTAAAAGGCCTGTGGGTCTTGAGGTCAGAGTTCTCTCGAAGACGCTGAAGAAAAGCGGTGACAGGAATCATTAGCGGTAGGGAGGGCGGCCAGGCCAGGCAGCGGAAGGGACACCTCGTGCAGTCAGGGCCGTGATGCATGTGTGCGAGGTGAGAGGCCTTCGCACTTCTTCATTTAGCAGTTGAAAGGCTCTTTTAGTGATTATTGCTTGTCACAGTACTAAATTCTCAAGTTACGGTTTCCCCTCTCCTTTTTCCTTCAAGGTCTCCTTCCCTCCCACCACTAGGAGAAAGTTCAGACTTTCAATAATGAGCATCTGGAGATCCCCCACCAAGCTTTAAGAAATCTCAGCATTTTTGGAATATTTGCTTTAGATCATTAAAAAAAAAATCTCTTTTAGCCCCTAAGCAGCTGGGATAGATCTTTTTTTAGAGAAAACATTATACATAAGTTACAATTTCTACACCCCTTTCTGATCAGATTTCCCTGCCTCCCCTCCCCAGAAAGGACCACAGTTTTAAATTTCTACTTTTAGGAAAGCTATAAGCATGTATCAACATGGGATTGTTTTGAATGTTTTAAAACTTTCTATCAATGGTATCACACTAGATACAGGCTTCTGCAGCTCATTTTCTTCATGACACATTAGGTCCAGATCGCTGCTGTTAGGGGCTGTGTTGTACCTGTCTGCTGGGTAATGGGCATTTAGATTTTTTGCAATTCCTAACAGTCCTGTATCCCGCATTCTTGCATCTGTGTGCTTGAGAGCAAATGGGAAGTTTCTCTGTGATACAGATGCATCCCTGCAGGGTCGCAGGCTTTGCTCTGCAGGGCACCGCCCCACATTAGCAGCTTTGTGAAGGGTATTGAGGGACAGGGTATTCCTGTTCCCTTGGTTCTGCTGACAGCACTGTTTTGAAGGCCCCAACCCCAGTGGCATTCTCGGACATCCCTGTCTCAGTGACTGTGGCAACGGTAACAGCTCCCACAGACGGCCAGGCTAATGGTCTATTCTGGACTCACTCCAGCAGGCCACGCACCCCTCCCAGGGGTTTCACAAGGATGTTCCCTGCATCGGTTCCTTTCTGCACACAGTTCCTGGAATAGTTTCTAAATGATACACCTGACTTAGCAATCAGCAGAGGGTAGATAATTAAACATGGGAAAGGTAATGCCCTAGTGATAAAATCACCTTCCCACTTCAGACAAGACAGTCAAAGCCAAAAAAGCGGCTTGCAGCTGCGTATCAGTGTCAGTGCTGTTCTTCCTTCTGGAAAAGCGGGGAGCCATGCATGTGCTGAGGCCAGCCCAGGTACTCATACTCACCTTGTCTAGTAAGAAGACGTGCTCCGTCACCAGCCTGCATAACTCAGGGACCTGGCGCTCAATTTCCAGGAGCACGTGCTCCACAAAGAGCGCAGTGGAGAAAATCCGACTCCAGTGGACTCTGTCAAAAGAGGGCGCCAGTCACTCAGCTCCCACGAAGGAGCCCAGGGTACAACGAGGATGCCACTCACTCAGCCTGGCACTGGGCAGGCTTCTGGTGAGTTCGTGCTGGATGAAGCAGGGGGGAGGGCATCTGGCTCTCACCTGACTTCCCTGATGACAGCCTGGGCCAGGGTCCCACTGCCTTGCATGTGCCTATCGGAGCAGATGAGTTCCAGTGGCATGGAAAGATTCTTCACTAGCTGTAACCACGCCTGGGGACTGGGCTTCAGGGTGTGTCTCGTCAGCATCTCAGTGCAGGCCATTGCGGCAGACACGTCCAGGGTCTGGGGAGACGGACAGCGGGGCATAGCTTAGCAGTGCCCCCAACCACTGCCCCTGGCCCCTGTTTTCCTTGTGCCAGAGGCCCTGGCTGTTAGCTGCATGGATACTCGTGTCCCAGGCTTGCAACCTAATCTTTCATTGTCTAGGGTATGGGAAGCGTCAGCAAGCTGTGTTCTTAACATCTCCGAGTTAAGCTGAGGTGTATGCCTCATGAAGAAATCTGGAACACAGCCCCAAAGCTTGCCCTTCCCAGAATGCAGTTGGAAGCACCCCAACGCTGGCTCAAGGGAGGCAGAGGAGGGCCATACCATCTCACGTTCAGCCAGCTTGTGGTTTTGAGAGGCTTCCATCAGGCTGCAGAGAATCTGGGGATAGATGGTCAGGATTCTGGAGAAGTTCTGCAGCCGGCTTCTGAAATGCTGGTAGGCCAGGTGCACCCATGGCAGGGAAACCTCTTCCTCAGGCACTTCTAATGCCACTTTTAGTTCACAGATGCAGGACCACAGAGCCATCTGCAGAAACTGGGATTCAAACAAGCTTTTAGAATCTATTTTTAAATGACAAAAATGGTATGTTTTCCCCATGGAAAATCAGAACTGTTGGGAAACCATAAAAGCGAAAATTACAACTCCTGAGTGCTGTCCTGGCGTGTGCCTGTCCAGTTTTACCTCCTCCTCCCTCATCCCACGTTAGGGCCACCGTGTCTTCTTTACATCGTGAACTTTCTCTATTACTGAGTACACTTGTATACTTGAAAAATATTGTTTGAACGGCTGCTCGATAACCCATCATGTGGCCATACTTTAACTTGCCCATCCTGTATTTCTGGAGAACTATTCATTTTTAGAAGCAGAGCTGAAAACAACATCCCTGTGAACGAAGCGTTTGTCCACATCAGGGTATAGTCAACACTGCAGATGGAACAAGGCACTCAACTACTCTGCCAGGTGGCCCTGCAGGGCGCCTGCTGTTCACGCCACCGTCAGCCACGTGGCCTGGCCCTTTCTTTGCAGCACTGGCAGCTGTTCTTTTTAAAAATCAGCTTTGCGGGCCGGGCATGGCAGCTCACACCTATAATCCCAACACTCTGGGAGGCTGAGGGGGGCAGATCACGTGAGGTCAGGAGTTAGAGACCAGCCTGGCAAGCATGGTGAAACCCCGTCTCTACTAAAAATACAAAATGGGCACCTGCAATCTCAGCTACTGGGGAGGCTGAGACAGGAGAATTGCTTGAACCCAGGAGGTAGAGGTTGCAGTGAGCTGAGATGGTGCCACTGCACTCCAGCTTGGGCAACAAAGAGTGAAACTCTTGTCTCAAAAAAAAATCAGCTTTGCAAAATAAATGCATAAATACGATGTCTAAAAACTGTTGTGTTGATTTGCTATTAATAATAAAGCTAAGAAATTGTTCATATGTTTTCTGGAGGTTGATATGATTATTCTGTTAATTGTTTTATAACATTTACTCATTTTTTAAACTTAGGGTATTATTGATTCCTGAGAATACTTAATCCACCTCTAGTCATACTGGCTGTAAGGATGTTCTCACATTTGTCACTTTCCTTTTTTGTGTACTAAAGTGTAACATTTTTAGGTAGTCAAAAGTATTACTTTCTATTGAATTTCACTTATTCTTAGGGATAGTTACATATTTACCTCTAATTTTTTTCAATAGACACTTAACATTAAAAAAAATATATTTCTGGGAAATTGGAGGTCTTCTCCTGTTCATGGAAATCTCCGTGTTTCCAGAGCCCCTGGGCAGTGGGCTGAGGGTGGAGCACGGAGCTCTGAGAGGAGACTGAGTGGCCCTTCCCCCTCCAGCACTCTTCACAGACCATGTTCTGTTCCCAGACCTCACAGCACCAGCTCCAGGTGGGTGGCTGAAGAAATGTCCCTGTGTCTCCTCCAGGCCCACTATGCAAGCTCTACGCCTGACCCTTAGCCAGCAGCTAATCACCCACCTGTAATTCCTCCCTCGTTGACACGCGCATGGTCAAGAGGATGAAGTCCTTGGAGTAACACTGAAGAAGTTCCTGCTGCTGTTCTCCACGGAGCCGGGCAAGAAACCTGCCCAGAGGATTCTGCTGAAAGATTTCCACGAACCTCTTTGGCAGTCCTGCAGAGGAAACCAAGGAGCGGCCTGGAGTGCGTCTAAGTCATGACGCTCCCCTGCATCCAGGAGGCTCCGTTTCCCTGAGTGGGGGTTCTGGAGGGAAGAGGAACGGGATGCCTTGTTGAATGGGAGCTCACATTCAACTGCCTGATTTTGTGGGGAACTGAAGGAATAATCACTGTCTAGACACTTAGGATATTTTTTTCTTTTTTGAGATGGGAGTCTCTGTCGCCCAGGTTAGAGTGCAGTGGCGCGATCTCGGCTCACTGCAACCTCTGCCTCCAGGGTTCAAGTGATTTTCCTGCCTCAGCCTCCCAAGTAGCTGGGATTACAGGCATGCACCACCACACCTCGCTAATTTTTGTATTTTTAGTAGAGACGGGGTTTCACCATATTGGTCAGGCTGGTCTTGAACTCCTGACCTCAGGTGTTCTCCCTGACTTGGCTTCCCAAAGTGCTGGGATTATAAGTGTGAACCACTGTGCCTAGCCTAGGATATTTTTCCAGTGGAATAAAAGGAAAGCAGAAGCAGTGTCAGACACAGCCAAGCTAGCCCCAAAGAGAACACCCTGAGATAAGACTGAGTTGTATGTTGCATGGCTGTAAGTCCTGGCATGCTTCAGGAACCCCCGGGGCCGAGTCAGTCAGGAACAAGTGGGGTGCTTCTCAGGGGCTGGGGTCACAGACTACACAAGCCAGAAAGATCTGGCTTCTAGAGGGCAGGTGCAGCCCCCAATTTGCATGCCGTCATAGAAAAGCAGGGTCAGTCACGTTATTGTCCTGAAGAGGGAGACTGCTTTGAGTTTGTTCAGCAAAGTGCAGAATGGTGACCTAGAAAAGGCAGCCACCTTGAGTCTTCCAAATGGTCTGATAGGTAAACATGGAAAAGTTTATTTCATGTATGAAAGATGACTTTTCCAAAAGTGTTGTGTTACCCTTGGTTTTTCTGGACCATGGCAGACCCCCTGGCATGTGGCAGCAGAGGCCAGCACCTCATGTGGGCTGACTTAGGAGTCACAGCTGGGAGGTGCTTCCTGATGGGGCAGTTGTGAGTAGGGGATGCTCTAGGCACCCGGGCCTTCTGAGAATGCCTCCCCTGGGGCATCTCCTGAGTCCATTGCCTAAGTCTGAGAAGCCCCAGGAACGACCAGCTGCTAGAGGTTGACAGTCCTCCTGGCAGAACACGCCCCATTTCACCACCTACCTGGCTATGATGGCACTAAAACCACCTGACAGGCTCCTGCTGCCATAGGACCGGAAGCCTCCTGGTCCCTGCTGGACCTCCCCTCCTTCAGCAGAAACTTTAAAATGATGCAGTTACATAAACTGGATGCTACTGCATAAAGTGTGGAAACTTAAAAACTCCAAAATTCACCTTGCCATAGTAGCCACCCATCTGCTTTCACTGTCAGGTAATCCCTTTGTGATTGGGCTGTGCAGAATCTGACCTATTCTGAGGGAGCCTCACCTTCTGCATCCGTGAGGTACTGAGCCTGCACCCACAGCTCCTCCAGATAGTCCTTGATTCTCCAGCTGAACGGGACATCATTGGAAGCACTCCCTGAAAGGTTCATGTGGTTCTGCACCACGATGTAGGCCATCTCACCTTGACGTCTGCAATAAGTGACGGTAAGAAGACGGGTTGGGAGGCGCCCCTCAAAACACAAGACAGGATCTGCCATTGACTCCAGCTCCTCCCAGGTCTCAAAACAAGGGGGCCAACAGGCCAGGCAGACAGCGCTGACCTATTTCACAGTCCAGGCCCAGGGGACTCCCTCATGCAATCTGTTTGTTTTACAGACAAAACAAACAAACCAAGGCTGACGGACGGGTCAAGTGTGTTGCCCAGACTCTCAGGCAGAACTCAGTCTCTGGTTCCTGAACCTGTCCTTTGATGATTTGTAACACACATAGCTTGTTAGAGTTTGTTTCAGGAAGAGCAGCAGCACCTTGTTTTCTGTACAAGTGTTTCCACTGGCAACTTGCTTCCTTCCTTCCTGCCTTCCTGCCTTCCTCCCTTCCTCCCTTCCTCCCTCCCTCCCTCCCTCCCTCCCTCCCTTCCTTCCTTCCTTCCTTTCCTTCCTTCCTTCCTTCCTTCCTTCCTTCCTCCCTCCCTTCCTCCCTTCCTCCCTCCCTCCCTTTCTCTCTTTCTTCCTTTTTTTTTTTGAGACAGGATCTCTGTCACCCAGGTTGGAGTGATCATAGCTCACCTCAAACTACTGGGCTCAAGCAATCCTCCCACCCCAGCTCCTAGAGCAGCTGGAACTACAGGTGCATGCCACATTACGCGTGGCTAATTTTTAAATTTTTCTGTACTTGTGGGGTCTCACTGTGTTGCCCAAGCTGGTCTTGAACCCCTGGGCTCAAGGAACTTTCCTGCCTCAGCCTCCTAGAGTTTTGGGGTTATAGGCATGAGCCGCCAAGCCTGGGCACATTTATTTCTATATTCTTGACTAACCTGCATCCAGAATTGAAACCCCTGAAAGCCAAAGAGGAAGCTGTTGGGAGCTGAGCCTGAGCTCCACAGCATCAGGCCTGGGGAAGGGGTGGGGGCTGTGCAGCACCCCCCAGGGAATGAGGGATGGGGGAGGGGCCCAGATCACTCAGCTCTTCTAAGCGAAGCTTCTCCCTGCCACACCACGCTGGGTCTGGCTAGAACCGGTGCTCTGAAAGCGGGGAAATGAGGGTGCAGATAAAGATTTCTTGGAGCTTTGGAAACTTCCTTTTTTCAAGATGGAGTCTTGCTTTGTTACTCAGGCTGGAGAGCAGTGGCGTGATCTCAGCTCACTACAACCTCTGCCTCCCAGGTTCAAGCGATTTTACTGCCTCAGCCTCCCAAGTAGCTGGGCCTACAGGCATGGACTATCATGCCTAGCTACTTTTTGTATTTTTAGTAGAGACGGGGCTTCACCATGTTGGCCAGGATGGTCTCGATCTATTGACCTCATGGTCCACCCGCCTTGGCCTCCCAAAGTGCTGGGATTACAGGCGTGAGCCTGGCCGAACTTGCTACTGTCACTGCAGAAAGTGCCCACGTCAATGCTGCTCTGGAGGTGAGGGCTGCGTTTCCTCTAGCACTTGGGAGGGCATATCAGGGTGCTGCTGTGTTCTGATAGTTACCCTCCCCGTGAAAAGAAAGTCTTCCATTCACCTCGAGTTATTCATCACAAGAGGAATGTTCAGAAGCTTCTTGTCACTGAAAATAAACATCCAAAGGTCTCTTGCCCAGGGCGGAGTCCCTGTCCTGGTCAGTAGCTCAAGGTTGCCGTCTCTGTCGATGAAGGAGATCATGCTCGCCAGCAGGGGGGTCACAGCACCTTGTACCCGCTTCCAGAGTGTGTGCCTGCACAGGGAAGACGCCACCACAGCTCAGAGGACCACAGCATGGGCTGCCATCTTTGGATATTTTGGTCCTTTCTGAGCATTAACAAAACACCTACTGTACTGATTACCACACTCTAGCTATGGCAATGAAATTTTCATCATTTTTAAGTACTAGAAAAACAGAGATTAGAGGCAGAACCGGGATGGAACTTAATTCTACATGGAATAAACTGTAATTAGGTTACTGAAAGGGTGAAGCAGTGTTTGATTTACTTTTATTATTAGTATTGAAACATGTATATTTGAGGCAGGTTTCACTCTGTCACCCAGGCTGCAATGCAGTGGCACAATCATAGATCATTGTAACCTTGAATACCTGGGCTCAAACAACCCTCCCACCTCAGTCTCCCAACTCAGCCATACGAGTAGACAGGACCACCATGCCCAGCACCACCACACTTAGATAATTTTTTAATTTTATTTTATTTGTTGTTGAGATGGGGTCTCACTATGTTGCCCCAGCTGACTGGTCTCAAACTCCTGGGATCAAGCAATCCTCTCACCTTAGCCTCCCAAAGTGTTGGGATTACAGGTGTGAGCCACTGCACCTATCTGCTTTATTTTTTGCAAGGCTGTATAATTTTTGTACCTAACTATTTTTTCAGAACAAGTCATCAAGCTTCTATAAATAAATAACGACAATCTGTTTGGAACAAATAAATGTTTTAAAAACCTTTTAATACAGATGAAGAGACCAAAATAAATTTGTCCCAAATCAAACTAAACAGGAAAGCACATGTTTATCTGGAAGTAAGTATTTGATCCTGTTGATGTTTTTGTACACTGGATCTGGGCATCTGATAACATAGACAGACGGATGGATGGGCGGGCGATGGACAGATGGGTGTATAGACAGGCAGGTGGATGGACGGGCGGGCGATGGACAGATGGGTGGATAGACAGGCAGGTGGATGGACGGGCGGGAGATGGACAGATGGGTGGATAGACAGGCAGGTGGATGGACGGGCGGGAGATGGACAGATGGGTGGATAGACAGGCAGGTGGATGGACGGGCGGGAGATGGACAGATGGGTGGATAGACAGGCAGGTGGATGGACGGGCGGGAGATGGACAGATGGGTGGATAGACAGGCAGGTGGATGGACGGGCGGGCGATGGACAGATGAGTGGATAGACAGGCAGGTGGATGGACGGGCGGGCGATGGACAGATGGGTGGATAGACAGGCAGGTGGATGGACGGGCGGGAGATGGACAGATGGGTGGATAGGCAGGCGGGTGGATGGATGGATGAACAGACAGATAGGCAGGCAGACAGATAACTGGTTGAATTAACTACAAGATCTTTTGTTGTTATATATATTTCATTGTATATACTGACATATAACAATAAAAACTATATTTCAAAATTCTTGTGTAAAGGATAAGAATTATGAGGTAGTTAATGTTGGAGGAAAAGTAAAACCTCCCTTTTGAAAAGAATAAAAAGAAACACTTATTTTTTTTAAAACATATAGGTTCAATGGCTCACGCCTGTAATCCCAGCACTCTGGGAGGCCGAGGAGGGAAGGTAACAAGGTCAGGAGTTTGAGACCAACCTGGCCAACATGATGAAACCCCGTCTCTACAAAATTATAAAAACTTAGCCAGGCGTGATGGTGGGTGCCTGTAATCCCAGCTACTCAGGAGGCTGAGGAAGGAAAATCACTTGAATCCAGGAACTGGAGGTGTGTAGTGAGCGAGATGGTGCCATTGCACTCCAGCCAAGGTGACAGTTCGAGACTCCTTCTCAAAAAATAATAATTTTAAAAATGTATATAATTATATATATATAAATATATTAAATATATACACACATATATATATACGTGTGTGTGTAGAGAGAGAGAGAGAGAGAGAAAGGGAGAGAGAGAGAGAACCCAGGAACCTGGCAAAAATTTTTAAATGTCTACTGGGAAAACACAGCATACCAATGACCAGAGAGGTCACCTGATTTAAGGAGAAAACAGCAAACTAGGAAAAGCTGAGTGCTGGGAGGGGCGGGAGCTGCTGAGCCTGATTCCTGCACTGGGAGGGGCGGGAGCTGCTGAGTCTGATTCCTGCACTGGGAGGGGCGGGAGCTGCTGAGGCTGATTCCACTCCAGCTGTGCAGGCCTCGAGGACAACCACAGAATGCAATGGAGCCAGGCCTAGTGCTGTGCCAACAGCAGAGTAGGGAAGAGCAGACTGAGGAGGTTCCATGCCTCAGGGCTGGTCCTGGAGAGTGGAGTCAGGGATTTAAAAGCATCAGTAGGCTGGCTGAGGTGGCTCACGCCTGCCATCCCAGCACTTCGGGAGGCTGAGGCAAGTGGATCACTTGAGGGCAGGAGTTCGAGAACAGCCTGGCCAACATGGCGAAACCCCATCTTTACTAAAAATACAATTAGCCAGGCATAGTGGCGGGTACCTGTAATCCCAGCTACTCAGGAGGCTGGGGCAGGAGAATCGCTTGTACCCGGGAGGTGGAGGTTGCAGTGAGCTGAGATCAGGCCACTGCACTCCAGCCTGGGCAACAGAGTGAGACTCCGTTGATGTGGACTCATCAACAGAGTCCACAAGGAGGAACTGAGGGAAATGAAAATATTTCTGATCTCCTAAAAATCCCTTCAGAAGGCATGAGAAGGAAAGAAACAAAGGGTCACTTTAAGTAGAAACAGAAAATCTCTGCTCATGAGGAAGGCGTCTGTAAGCCCCATTCCCCTTAACTCTGCTTCTTCCTCACGTTCCCTCCTGCAGATCACACCCAAAGCAAACCCACCACCGGCACAGAAGCTTGGACCTGGAAGGGACTCATGGAGGAGTCCCACGGTCCTTTAGAGATGAGAAAACTGGGCCCAAATCGCAGTCACTGGTTTCTTACACTGCCAGCCGGGAGGTGTGACAGCCTGTCTTAGAGACCCTCCGTTTGGGGCCCAGAGCACCCCTCCTTCCTCTATGACACATGGCCACATCCAAGGTCATCACGGGTCAGTCTCACGGGTGACAGAAAAAGACCCGTAGCCTTAAATGGTACTGCTGGGTCCTGGTTTTGCCGTGATAATTCTTCAAACAGCAGGACCGGAAAATAACACCTGTCCCCTCCCGCCCTGCACATTATTTCAACTTCGTAACTGAAAATACCAGCCCTTTCTATGGTTTCCAACCTAAATGTCAGTCAATGCTCTACTCTAAGAACAGATGTTCTATTTCAGTTTTTAGTATGAAAACCTGTAAACAGAACAGCAGAGGGAAGAGGCAAGCACCCCGTATATGGCCACCGTCCAGATCTCCTGTGTGCTTCTTGTGGGGAAAATGACAGCTTTGAATGGCTGAGAGGTTTAGAAAGAAACATCTCAGTCCCCATGGCGTGGATGGAGAGATCCCTGCAGGCAGGTCCCCATGGCTCAGATGGAGAGATTCCTACAGGCAGATCCCCATGGTACGGATGGAGAGATCCCTGCGCGGTCCCCATGCTGCCTCCAGACTGGAGCCCCTCCTTGCTTCTTTTAGTCACGGTACCTGAATGTGCCTGCCTCCTGGAGGGCGTCCTGGTTGGAGGCTTCCCTTGCCACCCACTCCTTCAGAAGGTGGAATTGGCTGTCTTCTTGCTTCTTTAAAAGGACATTGAGGCGCATCTTGGATACCTGCAAGAAAGAGGCTGTGCAAAAGCAGAGATGGACTTTCAGCATGGCCGTGGCTGAGCTGTTGGCTCCATGGTGCTTCTGACCCACTCCCCCTGGGCAGGGAAGTCCTTTGGTCAGGCAGATTATAGAGCAAAATTTGAGAGATATGCTTAGATTCCCACTGTGTCACTGCTTCTGCTGCGACACGGAAACCTGAGAGGGTGTCCCCAACTCGCAGTGACATGATGCCCGCTCCTCAGGAAGAGTCCATGCCGGCTGGGGCAGGGGCGAGAAGGGTGGGGGCTCCTACCATTGCCTGCACTGTCCTCATTGAAGAGGCCCAGGAGGAGCACCACCCTCCGCATGTTGCGCATGCAGCTCTTGTTCTGGTCCCTGAGCATGCCCACGGCGCTCTGCACGCAGCTCCTCAGCAGACTGGTGGTATCCAGGATCTGCCCCTGTCGGTGGAGACAGTTGGGCCATCCGTTTCTGCCGCTTACATGGTGGGTAAAAGCCAAACCACCCCAGGCGATGAGGTTCTCCGTGCAGCACCCAAACAGCACAGGGCGGCAGGCTTCATGGGCAAAGAAGAGACGCTGGCCCCGTGCCCCCAAAACTGCCGGTGCTGATGCCTTTGACCCCCAGTAACCAGCAACGAGACAGTGGCTACGTGAGGGAAGTGAGGCACCATCCTCACTCCTGCACAGCTGTGGTGGCTCCTCCAGCTCCCAGTGTAAAAGCACAAAGATGCAGCACAAGGGGAGGCCCCAGACACCGGGACTTACATCACCGCCTCCAAGCCCAGACGTCTCCTTGTCCGCCTTTTCAGAGCTTTCTGTTTCCATGGCCTCCTCTGCCACTGAGCCCGACATACTAGCCTCCATTTCCATCGCCTCCTCACCGCCGTCTTCCACCCAGTGTCCCAAACCCACTGCAGTCAAAGCAAACGTGATCGCATTACCACTCGGAAGATGGCACGGACTGGCAGCAGCACCACCTGGGAGTCTGTGTGCTCAGGCTCCAAGAGTGCAGGCTGCCCTGGCCCCAGCTCTGGCAGTGGGTACCCTGGAGAGAGCTCATGGTCAAGAAGGTCGGCCCCAGGGCCACCCCTTCCTTCCAGCCTGGGCTCCGGCGAGTTCCAGGAGCTCACTTCCATGGCTGGCCTGCTCACGGAGCTCTGCCTCAGCCTGTGGAACGCACACCTGCTGGGCCCTGGGGCTTCATGGCGAGCCACCTGTCAGTTCTGCAAATGTATCCCCAAGCACCTGCTGAGGGACAAAAGCACGGTGGCCCTGCCCCTCCCTAGTGCCATGTTCACACCACACTCCACACCTACCACCTGCCCTTCCACCACCAGCGCCCGCAGAGGCTCTGCCTCATGACTCACACTCTCCGGGTGCGAACAGCTGGCTGATGGTGACACTCTGCAGCCTGGTCACATCCGAAACCATGACAGTGGATCTCCGGAGGTCATCAATGTGCACAGCCTGCCACAGCCCTGTGAAGAGCGAAGCCATCCAGAACCATCTCATGTCTCTTCCAGCTGTTTCTCAGCCTTACGCAGGGACACTGCACACCCTGGCTTGTCGTTACCTCACTGCTAAATGAATGACTGGCACCCTGAAGGGGAAACCCTGGAATGGGCCTGCACAGAAACCACCTGAGTCATTCTACACACATCAACAGTTTCAACGTAAACAGCCACAGTGAGATCTGCAGTGGCAGGCATGGGAAGGACGCGTGGACAGGCCTGTGGCTCTTTCACCCATGAGTTGCTGTATCACAGTTAGTGAGGGGTTGGGGACACTGCCAAGGTCTGCCTTCCATTATCCAGAAAATTATTTGCGTAGACTTACTTTCCTATTTCTGGAACACTGATTTTTCCACGTAATAAATAGCTAGTGACAATTCCTTGGAACAACAGATCTGAGGCTAGCCTGACCTCCTGCCCTTCCTCCCCACCAAACAGACCTATCGGTGCATTCCTGACGGTGTCTGTCAGGAAGGGAGGTCTCTGCTCTGTGTGACCCACTTGCTGAGGTGAGGAGCTTGCCCGCAACTCAGTCCAGGACAGGCTGTATGCTGCAGCCCCCAGGCCCCGGACAGGCTGTATGCTGCAGCCCCTAGGCCCCGGACAGGCTGTATGCCGCAGCCCCCAGGCCCCGGACAGGCTGTATGCTGCAGCCCCCAGGCCCCGGACAGGCTGTATGCTGCAGCCCCCAGGCCCAGGACGCACGTTTTGTTGTTGTTTTGTTTTTTTGGGATGGAGTTTTGCTCTTGTTGCCCAGACAGGAGTCACTGTGACCTCTGCTGCCTGGGTTCAAGCAATTCTTCTGCCTCAACCTCCCAAGTAGCTGGGATGACAGGCATGAGCCACCACACCTGGCTAATTTTGTATTTTTAGTAGAGATGGGGTTTCTCCATGTTGGTCAGGCTGGTCTCAAACTCCTGACCTCAGGTGATCCACCTGCCTCGGCCTCCCAAAGTGCTGGGATTACAGGCATGAGGACCGCGTCCAGCCAGGATTTGTGTTTTTTACAGTAATCAGTGGTAAGAAATCTAATTACATCTGGAAAGAATACTGTTGAGGTTAACATTAAGATTCTAATTTCAGACTTGTACAACATAGCACCAGATGAGAAACAGCTCAGACGTTACTGAATAATACAACGGCTGGTGTTCTGGTCTCACCTCCATGGAAGCCCACATAGGCTGTCCCACTTCCCATCCGGGACAGTTTGGTGATGAAATAGACAAAGATACGGTCCCCACTGTCTTGTATTTTGTTGATTTCATTTATAGCAGAGTACCTATTTAAAGAAAAAAAAAGAATACCTCATTTAAAAAACAAACAAAAAAATAAACCAAGCAAAGTTGTGCAGCTGCGGAAGGGTGTTCTCAGAGCTGTCGGTCAGTCCCTCGGCCACCCATTCTGATGAGCTTCACATAAACTTCAGACCCCTGTGATCACCATTTCTTCTCTCTCCCTTTTTTTTTTTTTTGACATGGGGTCTCACTCTTTGCCAGGCTGGAGTGCAGTGGCACAGTCTTGGCTCACTGCAACCTCTGCCTTCCAGGTTCAAGCAATTCTTCTGCCTCAGCCTCCCAAGTAGCTGAGACTACAGGTACATGCCACCACGCCTGGCTAATTTTATATTTCTAGTGGAGATGGGGTTTCACCATGTTGGCCAGGATGGTCTTGATCTCTTGACCTCGTGATCCGCCTGCCTCGAGATCCACCTGCCTCAGCCTCCCAAAGTGCTGGGATTACAGGTGCGAGCCACCGTGCCTGGCCAATCACGATTTCTTCTCTTACAAGGCAACAAGAAATCTTCTCTGGGTAGGCTCATCTTCTTCCCTGCTCCTACATCCTCTGCTTTGAAGTGGCATTGCTTAATCGACCAGAAACCCTCTCTTGTGCTCCTCAATGGGCCTGCCCTGATGCGGCTAAGGGTGAGGCTAGCTGAACTTTCCATTCCGTGTTTTTCTTAAGCGATGGAGTCTTGCTATGTTACCCAGGCTGGGCTCAAATTCCTGGCCTCAAACGATCCTCCTGCCTCTGCTTCCCAAGTAGCTAGGATTACAGGGAACAGCCCCTGTTCCCAGCTGACTTTTCCATTTCAGGAAAGAGTTCTGTACACAATGCAGTTCCCTTCAGATGACCAATGGCCAGTTCCTTGCTGAGAGCTGAGCCACAAAATGAAATATGGCATCCAATGCTTCGTCAAGTCCAGAATTCATTTTACTTTAGTAATAAAGGGGCACAGTGAATTCTAAGAGTATCAGACTTCCCCTACAAACACTATAAAAATACCCATAGAAAACGGATACAAGCATTTAACTACTGTTATCATCTTCGAACTCAAAATAAATTCAAATTGTGTAATTCAAAATTAATAGTTACCTGTTAAAACATGTCTACAAACACAGGCTTCAAAGGCATCATTTTATATCTTTTTTTGAGATGGAGGCTCGCTGTCACCCACGCTGGAGTACAATGAAGTGATCTCAGCTCACTGCAAGCTCTGTCACCAGGGTTCAAGCGATTCTCCTGCTTCAGCCTCCCAAGCAGCTGGGATTACAGGCAGCTGCCACTGCACCCGGCTAATTTTTGTATTTTTTAGTAGAGACGGGGTTTCACCATCTTGGTCAGGCTGGTCTTGAACTCCTGACCTCGTGATCTACCCACCTTGGCCTCTCAAAGTGCTGAGATTACAGTCGTGAGCAACTGCGCTCGGTCTAATATTCCATTATTTATACATTATTTACACCTCTTGCATTTCAGTTTTTTGGGGGGAGGACAGGCTCTTGCTCTGGCCCCCAGGCTGGAGTGCAGTGATGCCCTCGTAGTTCACTGCGGCGTTGACCTCCCAGGCTCAAGCGATCCTCCCACCTCAGCCTTCTGACGAGCTGGGACTACAGGTGCAATGCAGATGGCTAATTATTTTATTTTATTTTTTTAGGAATGAGTTCTTGTTCTGTTGCCCAGGCCCAGTTCACTATTTTTATAATGTTATTAGCCTTTTCTTTTTGTCTCTCTTTCTTCAGTTTCCCTAATTCACATTTGGGGAATGAGGCGGGGGAAGAATTGTTATTTTTATTTCTATATTGACTATGACATGATACAGTTTTCAAGGAAGAAATTCTCTAGGACCTCCTACATTTTGAGTTTTTTACATCGTTTCTAAGAAAAATACTAAAAACATACTTAGCTGAGGCGATGAGCTGGGCACTATGGATTCCATCTTCAAAGTCTGTCTGAATAATGAGGATTTTACACTTGGCTCTGTTCGTTAAACAGTTTCTGAAAGAAAAGCAAAGTTCATGCTCTGCTCATGTACCCCAAAACCTAAAATCCAATAAAAAATTAAAAAAAAAGAAAAGCAAAGTTATTCAAGGGAGTTCTTGGTCTTAAAAAATGGATAACAAAATTCCCTAAAGTGATGGGAAACATAAAAGCTACAAAGAAACAGCTACTTAGGTTGGATTTTCTTCTGTAAAAACAGACAGTCCAGGGGAGAAACCCAATGGATGCCTCCTAACTAGGTCCGAGGACGGTGCTGTCAGAGGAGGGTGTTTGGCCAGCACCGCACTGCAGATGATGATGGAGGTGAGAGGGACACTGGGAGAAATTTAACAGGGATCGATCTCACAGTCTCGGGATGGCAGTGCTCATGAACTGGCCGTGGCACCATCGCCATGCAGAAGCCACGTGGCCACGGCTGGGGAGGGAGAGGGCGGGGTAGGCAGGGAACCTCACCGGACTTCTTTGAGGAATGAGAGCTCAGTGTCAAACTGCTGCAGCCACAGGAGTGTGGGTTTTGGAGCCCCGCCCGTGATCTCCGATTGTAAAATTTCACAGTCGTGACTTGTTAGCAGCCTGGAGAAAGTGGTAATCTACAAAGTCAGAAAATGCAAATTACTTTCCAGAATTCAAGGAAAGGTTGCAAGTCTGCTAGGTGTAGACAGATTCTAGAAACCTGTGGATGTCCAGTGCTGTGCAGTTGTCACAGGATGGCACAGAATCCAGACCCAAAGGAGTTTCCCAAAACAAGGCAGCACAGGTTGGGAGGCCCTGCAGGGAGGGCCAAAGGCATCAGAAGACTCCACCTGCCCCAAGGGTGCCTTCTCCTCCTCCCTAGATGCTGGGGTCTCTGCCACCTTCTCCTCCTCCCTAGATGCTGGGGTCTCTGCCACCTTCTCCTCCTCCCTAGATGCCGGGGTCTCTGCCGCCTTCTCCTCCTCCCTAGATGCTGGGGTCTCTGCCACCTTCTCCTCCCTAGATGCCTGGTCTCTGACTGCTTGGTCCCTACTTGAGATTCCCATGAACCCTTAGGACTGAGCACAAATACCATTGCTTCTTATAATCTGGCTTCATGCTTTCTGATGGAGTTCGTGATTGGTGCCCCTTCCCCCAGATGTCAGCAATGCTCCTGTCTCACAGGTCACTCCCCCATCGCAGTGCAAGCCAAAAAGTTCCTCAAGGCCTGCTGCTCTAGCCCAGGAATCCCCACCTCCCAGCCCGGCCTCACCACAGAGCTCAGATCCCTACATCCAACTGTACAACACACCAAAGCCTGTCCCCAGCGAACATCACCACTTGTCCCCCAAAACCTGCTGTCCGTTCCTGGGTTATCTGTCACGATGAAGCAACATCCACTCATCTAAGGAGGAACCCGGGGAGCCGCCCCGGAGCTCTCCATGCCCCATGCCCCACTGGGTGCTGGTGCTGGCCCTGCCAAATTGCCACCTACGTAGCTCTGGGTTCCATCTGCTCCTCTCCTTTGTACCGTTCCAGCGGCCTCCCCACCAGCCCATTTTCCACAACAGCCTTTCATCAGACTCCCTTCACCCAGGCAGGGAGACATGCGTGCAGTGCCTGCCCTGTACTGCTGAGACATGGCTCCTCAGGGCTGCTGAGGCCCTCCACCAGTTCTCTCTGGCTACACCTCATCCCCCCATCTCAGCACTCACAGCCTTGAACCCCAAGCTCTTGTCAGCAGCTCTGCACAGATGGTGCTGTCTGCCCACAGAAGGGCCTCTGCCTACAGCCCCTTCCCAGCCATTCTACCCCACTGGCGTGAGGCGCCTCTCCTAGAGAACGTCTCATCTGACCTTGCATCCTGATTTGCACCGCCCCTCTCTGCCTCTAAGCATAGCATCTATGATATTGATGGGATCTGTTCACGTGCTGGCCTCTCCACGCTCCCTGTATGCTAACAAAGGACAAGAGCTGCAAATTCATCTGTGCATCCCCAGTGACCCTGGCCCAGTCCTGGAAAGTGGTAGTTCATTGGTTGGTGTGAACATGGTGTATGGTGCTGTCACCAGCATGGCGCACTGCACAGACACTGCACACTCAGCCCCTGGTTAACTAGACCTACATAGATACTTGGCTCTCCCAACACCTACCACAGAGGAGACAGCCCAGCATCTGGTCTCAGCTTCTCCATGTAGGATCCCTAGCCACTACCTGGGGAAGAATCCTGAATCCTGACACTAGGGGTTTAGGACTCTTGGGTGACAGAGGATAGGGTGCAAGTGCAGAAACACAATCACCTCTGTGAAGGTGGCATGGCACGCCAGGTCTGTTGCCTGCAGGTGCTCCTGAAGGAAATCTGCAAAGGAGTTGTGCCTCTGTTTGTAGAAATACTCATGTGCCAGCGACTCCGCAGTGAACGAGTCCAGCAAAGAGGCGCTCAGCCGGACAACAGCGTCGGGCGTGGCGCAGTTCAGCAGAATCCACTTGGCCTCCCCAGACACCTGCTGGTAAAGTTCCTCCGTCAAGGCCCGGGGACCCTGCCTCTTTATGGCCTGCAGCACCACGGAGGCACAGGCGTCCGAGTGGTAGCCGATGAAGACGTCAGAGGGGCTGTATTTGTGCCTGTCCAGGAACTGCTCTGCTTTGACGTTGACAAACTTCTCCACCCACGCACGGAGCTCCTCCACGATGTTCTTCTGCCATTTCTCCAGGACCGTGTTGATATCCAGATAGTGCTTCTCCAGCCGGTTAATGAGGGGGATGGGGAAGTGTGTGTACACGACCTCTTTCTCTTCAATGACTATTAGGCGGAAGTTGGGGTGAACCCGACATTTGACACGGTGGGTCCCCAGACCAAGATCCACGTAATTCTGGCCACCAAGGTGGACGTAGTACTGGTTGAGCGCATCGTAGAGGCTCTCGTAGAGGTTCTGCAGGTTGAGAAGCACCACCATCTTGCCCGTTTCCATGCAGATCTTCACACGGTTGATGTTTCTGCAGATCTGGGTGTACTCCTGGTCCTTGGGGAAACCGGAACCAAAAATAATCTCCGGCTGCTGGTCCTCCCCAAAGACGGTCTGCTGCAGGATCTGCAGTGCCACGTAGTTTTTGGTCAGCACAAGCAAGTAACGGGACTCGCCGTCTTCCAGCTGTCCGCCCAGCCCCTTCTGAGAGGGCCCGAAGATGTTCTGTCTGATCAGCTGCACCGGGTTGACTTCCTCTGAGCTCAAGGCCTCAGGCAGATTGGCCAGAAAGATGTCCAGAGCGTGGATGTCATCCTTGCCACTGAAGTTCCTTAGAACAGCATGTGCAATCTCTCGTGGAGAAGGCTTTTTATTGGAAGCCCTTGCTGTGGCGAAGACCATTTTGATGAGGCTGTAGTAGTCGCGAAGCCCGAAGAACTCCTTGTCCTGGCTCCGGCACACCGTCTCATAGGCTTTGGCAAAGGGCGCAAAGTACCCTTGGACGCGGCACTGGACAAGGCTGTCCGAGGAGCAGATGCCCTTGGCGCTCTCTATGAGCTCTCTCTCATTGGGGCTGCCACGCGACACAAAGATACCCCGGTTCATCTTGGCAGGGTCAAGAGCCCAGTTGGAGATGCCCACGAAGCCGACCTTTTTGTGGGGGGCGGGGTCATCCTCAATGCATCCGTCTTCCAGCAGCGGGTGCAGAGCCTTCAGGGGCATCTTGGGCGAGTCTTCCGCCAGCCCCACCTCATCCAGCACCACCACGGAGACGTACTGCTGCAGGTCCTTCCCCTGCTGGAAGCGGGCACACTGGCGGAAGGTGCCGATGATGCCCTGTGGGGTGGAGTGCGGGCTGCACTGGAATGACACCAGGTGGACCTGCTTCAGGCTGCGGAACAGATCCGAGTGGGCAGCCGGTCCCTGCATGGCGTCGGCCACGATGGTCTTGGCAAGGGACTTGGAGCTGCCGGGCTTCCCCACCAGGAAGAGGGGGATCTTCAGCTCGATGCAGATGACCATAATGAAGACGTTCTCCTTCAAGGCCAGGTTCTTGGCAATGGTTTTCCTCAGAGGCACGCCATCCAGAAAAAGATCCTGCACCCGCGTGATTTCATCCAGAAGCAGCCGGCTGTCGTTATACGGTTTCGGAAAGAACCTGGCGATGGCTTTCCGATATGAGTCTTTCTTTTCCAAAGAGGCGTGGTAACACACCCCGATGGCCAGCAGCAAGGACCAGAGGACAGGGTGTCTCCACTCAATGTGATTTTTGCTGGCGCTGGACCTGGAGAGAAAGGAGTTCAGCTGTGCTAAGAGCATGGCGCTGTGCGCGTGGAACCACCTGAAAACCTTCATGCAACGCTCCACGTCCCGGAGGCTGACAAAGCTGCATTCATCTTCTCTTCTCCTCATGAAACCCTGAGAAGCGCAGAGGATGTCTATGATTATGCGAGTCTCGTTTTGATCCAGGCTGATGGAGTCAACCAGTCTCTGGACAATCTGCTGGATGTAGAGCTTTTCCGCAGTGTCACTCAGCTGTCCAAAGTCCCACACCAGAGGTATCAGGCTCGGGGGCAGAGCGTGCACCCGGTACACCAGCTGCCTCAGCGGAATGGAGCCCAGCCTGTCAGCCGTCTCCTCCGCACTAACCCTGTAGCCCAGACCAGCTGACTCCAGACGGCAGATCATCTCCTCAGAGTGCTTCCGGTACGGGTTGCAAGCAGCTATAATATGCAGGCCGGAGTCCTCGGCCAGGGGCTGGCCGTCCACTGTATGGTCACACAAGACTTCTTTAATACAGCTTATAGCTTCTGTGGTGTTGGCTTCGTCGAAAAACAAGATAGTGTCCAACTGATGTTGGACCTTATTGGAGAAGGCCACGTTTTCGGCCTCCCAGACTCTGGAGTAGATCACATCTGCAGTCGTCCCTCCGTGCACCTTGACCAGCTTGATGGTGTCAGCATTGGCACCGCCACGCCGCAGGTCACTAAGGAATTTAATCAGCCTGGTTTTCCCACAGCCGGTTTCTCCCATGATGATAACGGGGATCCCGCACCGGAAGCGCATCTCGATGGCAAGGATCTTCAGCATGTTGTCTGTCGTGAGCTCATACGTGTCGTCAGGGTCGATGGCCCATTGGATCCCTAGGGCCAGGCAGAGCCTCTCAAGTTTCTCGTGTCTGGGCAGTCTATCAAAGTCAACATTAAAGGGCACCCTCTGCAGCAGCAGCCCCTCGTACAGGTCCACGGTCATGACGTCTCTCTTGATGACCTCCCTCGTCAAGTGATTGATGGCGTCGACACCGCCGTGGCTGTTGGGCTCGAGATGGAAGCCTATGAACGTCATGGAGGTGTGGTCATGGTTGAAGAAAACGTATGGGTGAGGCTCCGACTCCCACCTCTTCCGGAGAGAGAAGGGAGCCAGGTCCTCTTCCCTGACCCCATCCATGGTGACCATGTGCTTCCCCGGGCTTTGGTCAGAGGTGTGGAGTGTTGGTGTGGCAAAATCTCTTGCCATAAGGATCATGAAGGTCACCACAAAGTTCTTGAAGCCCCTCAGTGTGTCTCCAGTGAAACTCGGATTGCAGAAGAGAGAGGCCTCACAATCTCTGAGCTGATAATTTAGGAACCGGGCAAAGTTCCGAAGCTCTGCCCAGGATGGGTTGATAACCCCACAGTAAATCAGGAAGTGCTGCAGGCATTCCCCCGGAGTGCCTTCGACAGAGCCTTCTTGGTACTGAAACTTGTCTAGGTTTTGGTTTTGATGGAACCGTTTTAAATACTGGTAAGGTCTTTGGAAAGCCTCGCTGGAGAACTCCCACTCATCCATTCCAGGCTCGGTGTCACTCCTCTGGGGACTCAGCTCCATGTCAATCACCTCTTTGGGAGGCCTGCAGGTGACTTTTGGAAAGATGTCAAGAAAACTGAACTGGGGGGCACGTGTCCGCTGGAAAGGAAACACGAATGACGTGGTCACAACAAAACTTTCTAAGAAAAGCTTTTGTGTCTCAACCCTCAGGGCGTCTATATTGGATGGACCTTTATGAAAAATGCACTTAAGCCAGGCACGGTGGCTCACGCCTATAATCCCAGAACTTTGGGAGGCCGAGGTGGGTGGATCACGAGGTCAAGAGATCGAGACCATTCTGGTCAACATGGTGAAACCCCGTCTCTACTAAAAATACAAAAAATTAGCTGGGCATGGTGGTGCGCGCCTGTAGTCCCAGCTACTCAGGAGGCTGAGGCAGGAGAATTGCCTGAACCCAGGAGGCGGAGGTTGCAGTGAGCCAAGATCACGTCATTGCACTCCAGCCTGGGTAACAAGAGTAAAACTCCATCTCAAAAAAAAAAAAAAAAAAGAGAACTTTATGAAAAATGCACTTAATTGCCGGGGCACGGTGGCTCATGCCTGTAATCCCAGCCCTTTGGGAGGCTCAGGCAGGTGGATCACAAGGTCAGGAGATTGAGACCAGCCTGGCCAACATAGTGAAACACTGTCTACTAAAAATGCAAAAATTAGCTGGGCTTGGTGGCAAGTACCTGTAATCCCTCTACTCAGGAGGCTGAGGCACGAGAATCGCCTGAACTTGGGAGACGGAGATTGCAGTGAGCCGAGATCACACCACTGCACTCCAGTCTGGCAGACAGAGACTGTCTTGAAAAAAAAAAAAAAAAAAAAAAAGGTGGGCTTTTTTTTAGTAACACTGCACTCGGCTGCTGCACTAAGGAAGGCAAAGGTGTTGAGTCACCTAAACACATCGCTCCGCTTCACTAAGACCTGAAGGATGGCAAGACCCTCCCACACCATGTGAAAATGCCCCACGGTACAGACCAGCATTGAAGGCCTCCTGGACTGCACTGAAGTCCTCCTTTCCAGGATTTCGATGATGTACAAATGGCAGGGGCTCCGAAGCCACATTTTCCCATTTATATCCATTAGGTATTGTAAAATGAGGAGCTTGAAAAGAAACACCCAAATTCCAGTCTGCACCTAAAGACAGAAGAGCACGAGGTATAAACACACCACAGCCGGGGAGCTCTCCCAACTCCAAAAACCCCTCTCATTTTGCTCTTTGTCATGACGATCTTGACGACCAGCTGGCAAGAACCCACGACTCCAAGGGCAGTTCCATAAGATCCTGACACCGTACTTCCCTGTGCCTTTTCTGTGCTCAGATACACAAATACCTCTGGTATTCAGTACAGCCACACACGGCACAGGATTGCGGCCCAGGAGCAACAGCGTGTAGCATGAAGCCTCTGGTGCACCAGGCGCTACGCCCAGGTTGGGGTAAGCGCACACCAAGACATTCACACAAGGAGGAAACAGCCTGACAACACACTTCTCACACCGCATTCCTACTATTAAGCTTCACAGGACTGGGCGTGTGGAAAGAAGGAATTCTCTATAAGGTGAGGAGGGACTATGTCTTTCCTGATGTGGCCATCTGCTGGCACTTGACGGCCCTTACCGAGGAGGTCACGTCCAGGTGAAAGAGCATGGGGACCTTCTGATACTGCACGTCCAGGAAGGGCAGGAGGGCACCCAGGACTTGGCTCTCATCCACCTGAGGGTCGATCAGTCGAATGGTTTTCAGAGGCACCTTTTCCCTACGTAACTGCACCTTCATTTTCTCATGCAACCTCTTCACATAGAGAGACTTTCCTGTAACATTAAAATACAGAAATTACGCCTGGGCGCAGTGGCTCACACATGTAATCCTAGCACTTTGGGAGGGCGAGGTGGGTGAATCACGAGGTCAGGAGTTTGAAAGCAGCCTGGCCAACATGGCGAAATCTCATCCCTACTAAAAATACAAAAAATTAGCTGGGCATGGTGGCGCATGCCTGTAATCCTAGCTACTCGGGAGGCTGAGGCAGGAGAATTGCCTGAACCCAGGAGGCAGAGGTTGCGGTGAGCCGAGATCGCGCCATTGCACTCCAGCCTGGGTAACAAAAGTGAAACTCCATCTCAAAAAAAAAAAAAAAAATTAGCCAGGCATGGTAGTGGGGACCTATAATCCCAGCTACTCAGAAGGCTGAGGCAGGAGAATCGTTTGAACCCAGGAGGTGAAGGCTATAGTGAGCTGAGATCACACCACTGCACTCCAGCCTGGCGACAGAGCAAGACTCTGTCTGTGTGTCTCTCTCTCTCTCTCTCTCTCTCTCTCTCTTTTACATATATATATATAAAAGAGAACCCAGGATGGGCGCGCAGTGGCTCACACCTGTAATCCTAGCACTTTGGGAGGCCGAGGCGGGTGGATCACAAAGTCAGGAGTTCAAGACCAGACTGGCCAACATGGTGAAACTCCACCTCTACTAAAAATACAAAAATTAGCTGGGCATGGTGGCAGACACCTGTAATCCCAGCTACTCAGGATGCTGAGGCAGGAGAATCACTTGAACCCAGAACACGGAGGTTGCAGGTGAGCCAAGATTGTGCCACTGCAGTCCATCCTGGGTGACAGAGCAAGATTCCACCTCAAAAAAAAAGTAAACTGCAGAGATGTTTGCCAAGAGGAGGAAGGGAATGGGGCTCCCAGAGAATGCCCAGTGTGGGCAACCAGGTAACCAGGGTGCCCAGTTCTGGTACAGACCCTGATTGACACCCACAGATGAATCACAGCCTCCCTGAGCCTCAGTTTTTCTATCCGCAGACAGGCTTTGTCTGCTGGAGGGAGAAGTGCCCCGGGTAGTCCCTGGGAGATGGGGCCCGTCCACCGCACTCACCCCACCACTCTCCTTACCAACACCTGCTCGCTCCGAGGCCACGATCCCAACACACAGCCGGTCCCTGAACACGGCCGCCGCTGACAGGGTCTGCTCCGGGACCCGGTAGTGACATGCCAGGTAGGCCTGGATGGCCTCGAGGGATTCCTGGGGGGTGACAAGGACCTTGTGCTGGCTAAAGGCTGAGGGGAGGTAGCAGTGCTCCCCGTCAGCATCGCAGACCATCACGAGCTGGTAGTCCTCCCGGTGCTGCTGGGTGTGCAGTTTCTGGAAGAGCTCCTCTGCCTGGCGCGCCACCTCGTAGCTCAGCTGATCGGCGAACAGCAGGCTGTAGATCTTGTTCCCGCCAGAGCCCGGGGTCAGGCAGCGGCGCAGCAGCAGCGCTACCTCCTCAAAGGTGGTTGCCGGGGTGCAGAGCAGCACCTCATCGTAGGTGGGCAGGGGCTGGCTCTGGGTTTGCATGTAGACGGCCAGGGCAGCTGTCAACACTTCCGAGTGGCCACAGATGACGAGGTTGGGCTGGCCGACTTGCAGGCCTCTCGGGAGAACGCGCTCCACAGGAGGCCCGCCCATCCCTGCCAGGTGAGCCAGACAGTGGCCAAGGGCCTCCAGGTCGAGGCAGTCAGGCAGGAAGGCAGGAAGGCACCCCATGAACTGCTCCATGATGACCTTCACCTTGTCCACCAGGCGGGACTCAGAGAAGAGCATCAGAGGGAGTTCTTCCATCACTGTCCTCACGTGGTGCCTGGCAGCCTTACTCTCGCACCCCACAGAGGCCCTTAAGACATCCCTCAGCGTGCAGTGGCTTTTGATGAAGGACAGCATCATGAGGGCGGCGTCACTGGGGGGTTGCTTCCTGAGCTCGGTGCTCAGGTAAACCAGCTGCTCTGCTGTGTAGAAGTTGAGGTAAAAGTGCTCCATGCGCTTCTGGGTCACAAATCTCTTCCAGCTATCGAGGAAGTGCTCCATCTGCCTGCAGACGGCTTCCAGCACCTCAGTGACATCTCCACCCTCCTCAAGCTTCATCCCCAGCTCCAAGCCAAAGTCCATCAGGAGGGATACATCCTGGTTGGGGGAGCAGTAGACCCTGGTGACCCAGGTCCGGAACAGCATATTCCCAGCACAGTGCAGGTCGATGAAGGCCTTGCTGAGCCTCTGCACACTGCAGAAGACCTGGAGACGCAGAGCCAAGTGGTCAGCTCACAGAGCCAGGCGAGAACGGCTCTGTCCACTCAAGACTTGCACTCACAAGGCCTCCCTCCTCATCAACACAATCCACCTGAGAGGACGGCGCTCTTATCAGGAAAAGAGTCATTGCAGAGACAAAAGGTATTATTTGTATTAATTTTTTTTTCCTTTTTTTTTTTAGATGGAGTCTCGCTCTGTTACCCAGGCTGGAGTGCAGTGGTGTGAACTCGGCTCACTGCAACCTCTGTCTCCCGGGTTCTCCTTGCCTCAGCCTCCTGAATAGCTAAGAATACAGGTGCCTGCCACCACACCCAGCTAATTTTTGTATTTTAGTAGAGACCAAGTTTCACCATATCGGCCAGGCTGGTCTCAAACTCCTGAACTCAAGTGATATGCCTGCCTAGGCCTCCCAAAGTGCTGGGATTACAGGCGTGAGCCACTGCGCCCAGGCTGTTTTAATTTTTTTAAATTGTATTTCCTTTTTTTTAAAATAAACTTTATACATTTTGAGAGCATGTCTCCCTATGTTGCTCAGGCTGGTCACGAACTCCTGGGCTGAAGTGATCCTCCCACCTTGGCCTCCCAAAGTGCTGGCATTACAGGTGTGAGTCACCGCACACAGCAGAGATAAAGGATACCATCTGTAAAGTTCAAATTGACCTTACAGAACGAACCCATAATAAAATTGAGAGATTATTAAATAAACCGGTACACCATTCTCAGTATGATTGCTTCTGTTTTGTCCACTAAATCTTAGTTATGTGGATTCTTGCTGATTTATAGTCAGTGAAGCAATTTAAGTGTCTTTCTGAGGGCTATCTGCTGAGTGACCAACCTCCTTCTCAGTGTGGTGAGAAAGATAAAGGAAAAAAAAGAGAAAGATAATTTTAAAAATTTAACAGCCTGGGCACCGTGGCCCATGCCAGTAATCCCAGCACTTTGGGAGGCCAAGGTGGGCGGATCACTTGAGGTCAGGAGTTTGAGACAGGCTGCCAGCTTGCAGCGTTCACCCTGAGCATGGTAAGGAGGGAATGCTAACCCAGGGTCCTGCCTGCCTTAAGACCTCTCTCTGGGGCTGCGGACTGGAGTTCCATGCACCCTACAAATGTGCTGGCTCTACTCTCCACAGGCCTAAGGGCGAAGCCCTTCCTATCAGTCAAATCCCAAGTCAAACCCTTTACCGTTTTCTTGGGGGTGCACAGGCCTAATGGCCAAGATGGCACCACCAGCTGAGCACTGCTGCAAAGATGCAGCCTCACCTCCTGAAACCCCTCCACTGGACACTGTGGCAAAGATACAGCCTCACCTCCTGAAACCCCTCCACTCAGCACTGTGGCAAAGATACAGCCTCACCTCCTGAAACCCCTCCACTCAGCACTGTGGCAAAGATACAGCCTCACCTCCTGAAACCCCTCCACTCAGCACTGCGGCAAAGATACAGCCTCACCTCCTGAAACCCCTCCATTCGGCACTGCTGCAAAGATAGAGCCTCACCTCCTGAAACCCCTCTCCACTCGGCACTGCTGCAAAGATACAGCCTCACCTCCTGAAACCCCTCTCCACTCGGCACTGCTGCAAAGATACAGCCTCACCTCCTGAAACCCCTCTCCACTCGGCACTGCTGCAAAGATGCAGCCTCACCTCCTGAAACCCCTCCACTCGGCACTGCGGCAAAGATGCAGCCTCACCTCCTGAAACCCCTCCACTCGGCACTGTGGCAAAGATACAGCCTCACCTCCTGAAACCCCTCCACTCGGCACTGTGGCAAAGATACAGCCTCACCTCCTGAAACCCCTCCACTTGGCACTGCTGCAAAGATGCAGCCTCACCTCCTGAAACCGCTCCACTTCCACGTTGTTGTGATCCTTCTTGCCAGACATCAGCATCAGCTTGTTCAAAAGCTCCTTCAGCTCCTCTAAAGAGTACTTTCGTGACTCCTCATGGCTGCTGGAGCCCTCGGGAAGGACCAAGTGCAGAACCGTGTCTGGGGAAATCTGTGAAGGACACAGGTCAGAGGTCAGTCTCCTGGGGGCAGGAGCCCTGAACTAGCTGCCGCCTGCAGATGGCCCACAGCTGCACCGAGGGTCAGGGACCGCTCACCTTCTGGTCACTTTTGGGTGCCTGGATCACGTAGATGCCTCTTTGGTTGATGGCCGTGGCCAGGGTCAGGGATGAGAGCTCCACAGACCCATGACTCTCCTTCACATTCTTCAGCCACTCCAAGTTCCTGGCAGAGTCATACTGTGGGGACAAAAGGAGAGAACATGGGCCAGAGTTGGAATGAGCATCTTCCCCCTCCCTCCTGCCATCTGCCCCCAGCCTCTGCCTCACTGGGCAGCCTTCTCCCCACGCTTCCCCAGGGCTCGGACGCAGTCGCCCACACAGAGCCCCGACTGGACCAGGTGCCACCTGACGTGATCTGTCGCTCATGGCCGCTTTGTACTCTGCTGTTCACCCATGTTTCCTCCAGTGCCTGGGGCCCCAGCTGGCACACAGGGCACATGGCTTCTATTTGCAGAAGAGCGGAAGGGAATGAGCAGCTCCCTGCCTGGCCCTCCACCAGACACCATCACTCTGCCGGTCCCCAGTGCAGAGGACCCTCTGGGAGTGATGCTGGAAGCAATGGCTGTGGAGCCCCAAGTCCTCAGCATCCTTCTGTGGCCCCCAAATTCAACCAGAAGCACTCAGGAAAGATCACAAGAGAGGCTTTTATTTGGAAACTCTGCTGAGTTTCTAGCAGAAAAATGGAGACAACTTTACCTGCCCTTCTATATGTCATTTCCTCCTCTACCCACATGCGGACCAGCCTTCCTGAGGGTGGCCCAGTATCTAGTGAAGCTGCGTAAGTCCATTCAGACCCTATGACAGGTAATTTACTTAAATTCAAATGTTAATTTTTTTCTTTTCTGTTTTGAGACGGTCTTGCTGTGTTGCCCAGGCTGGTGTACAATGGTACAATCTCAGTCACTGCTACCTCTGCCTCCAGGGTTCAAGTGATTCTCCTGTCTCAGCCTCCGGAGTAGCTGGTGTATTTACAGGTGGGCACTACCATGCCTGGTTAAATTTTAAATGTTTACGTTTTTCTGATAAAAAATATATATCCACTATGGAAAATAACAAAAAGTAACAGAATAAAATGACAACTGCAACCATTCAAAGACAACTGGCAACACTAGCATACTTCCTTCCTGGGTTTCATGTGTTTCGCACCTCAGCGATTACTATGTGTCACATAATTTTGTAGCCCACTTTCTAAGTAACGAGATGGAGAATTTCCATTTATGAAGAAAGCTTTTTTTTTTTTTTTTTTTGAGACAGAGTCTTGCTCTGTCGCCAGGCTGGAGTGCGACGGTGCAATCCTGGCTCACTGCAACCTCTGCCTCCTGGATTCAAGCGATTCTTCCGCCTCAGCCTCCCGAGTAGCGGGGACCACAGGCGTGTGCTACCACACCCGGCTAATTTTGTATATTTAGTAGAGATGGGGTTTCAACATGTTAGCCAGGATGGTCTTGATCTCTTCACCTCATGATCCGCCTGCCTTGGCCTCCCAAAGTGCTGGGATTACAGGCGTGAGCCACAGTGCCCAGCCCCTGAAGAAAGCTTTTTAAAGCTCATTGTAGATGGCCGTGTGTAAACCTACCATACAGGTGTGCCACCATTTGCAGTCACTCCCTTGATGTTGCTAAGCCATGCTCTATTCAACATAATCTGCATTAGAGCCAGAATAAGACTCACCAGTTTCCTGGGCAGGTGCTGGTCATTGTCCAGAGCCTTCCACAGCTCTTTCAGATGCTTCATGAATCTATTGAAGCCCACCCTGGGGTCCAGCTTATACAGCAGGGATGCGTAGCCCTGCACGGCGTCATGGAAGCAGGCCACCCGGTCCACATCAATGTCGTTCTCCCCTGCTGAGATGGAGGCCAGGTCCACAAACACCTTCAGCTCGTTGATGCCTGGGGAAAAGAAGAGGGGAGGTCGGCATGGGACTACTCCATGGTGGCACAAGACTCGGTCTTTGGCAATAATCCTTCCTGAAGCTGAAATAGATAGTTCACGATTTTTTTTTTTTTTTGAGACAGAGTTTGGCTCTTGTTGCCCAGGCTAGAGTGCATGGCACAATCTCAGCTCACTGCAACCTCCACCTCCCAGTTCAAGTGATTCTCCTGCCTCAGCCTCCCAAGTAGTGGGATTATAGGCATGCAGCACCACGCATGGCTAATTTTTGTATTTTTAGTAGAGATGGGGGTTTCTCCAAGTTGGTCAGGTTGGTCCCGAACTCCTGACCTCAGGTGATCCGCCTGCCTTGGCCGTCCAAAGTGCTGGGATTACAGGTATGAGCCACCACGCCTGGCCAGTTCATGAATTTTTAACGTTCTGTCCACTTTCTGCTTTCAGTAAGTGTCCAGAACACCCAATCTTTTGTAGTGTTTTCATTTGTTTTTTTGAGACGGAATCTCTGTCATCCAGGCTAGAGGGCAATGACACAATCTCGGCTCACTACAACCACCGCCTTCCAGGTTAGCAATTCTCCTGCCTCAGCCTCCCATGTAGCTGGGATTACGGGCACCTGTCACCACACCCAGCTAACTTTTTGTATTTTCCGCAGAGACAGGGTTCCTCCATGATGGCCAGGCTGGTCTCGAACTCCTGACCTCGTGATCCACCTGCCTTGGCCTCCCAAAGTGCTGGTATTATTACAGGCGTGAGCCACCACGCCCAACCTGTAACGTATGTTAATACAACTAAACAACATCTCGTTGTTCCTGAGCCACTTCAGTGCCCCAGGCACTGTACCCCACTTGTGTGTGCCTTGTTTCCTCCAACCCACACAGCATTACAATTTAAACAAAAAGAAACCAAGGCTCTTTGGGAGGCCGAGGCGGGTGGATCACGAGGTCAAGAGATCAAGACCATCCTGGTCAACAAGGTGAAACCCTGTCTCTACTAAAAATACAAAAATTAGCTGGGCATGGTGGTGCGCACCTGTAGTCCCAGCTACTTGGGAGGCTGAGGCAGGAGAACTGCTTGAACCCAGAAGGCGGAGGTTGCAGTGAGCTGAGTTCGTGCCATTGTACTCTAGTCTGGGTAACAACAGTGGAACTCCGTCTCAAAAAAAAAAAAAAAAAAAAGAAACCAAGGCTCAGCTGTAAACGGTGTGTTCACAATTAGCTATGAAGCACTCAGACCCTGCCCCTCAGATGAATTACTCATTGAAGGATGTGTATCAGCGCAGACCGAGGAGTCCACTGTTGAAGGCAGCAGTGCTCCCAAGAGAGCCAGCACCTGCCACCCATCAGGCAGTGGTCCCAGGCCCCCAGCACACCTGCACTGCCACCTGTGCCTCTCCTGCCTCCTCTGCCGCTTTCTTACCTCTCACACCCTCCTCCAAAGCAACTCTGCCAATGACATCTTAGCCGCAAAGCTAGAGAGGCTGCCAAGAAATGCACAGACTCGATGGAGGGGTTGTGACAATAATCTGTGGGGCCAGGCATGGTGGCTCATGCCTGTAATCCCAGCACTTTGGGAGCCCGAGGCAGATGGATCACCTGAGGTCAGGAGTTCAAGACCATACTGGCCAACATGGTGAAACCCTGTCTCTATTGAAAATACAAAAAATTAGCCAGGTGTGGTGGTCAGTCCCTGGAATTCCAGCTACTCTGGAGGGTGAGGCAGGAGAATCACTGGAACCCAGGAGGCGGAGGTTACAGTGAATCGAGATCGTGCCACTGCACTCCAGCCTGTGCAACAAGAGGGAAACTCCAGCTAAAAAAAAAAAAAATCTGTGGGCAAGAACTCTCGTTGTCCTCCAATAAAAATCTACTGGAAGAAAAAGGGGGCAAGATTTTAAGGAAAAAGATCCTGAGCCATTTACAGCAAGCATCTGAAGTGGCAGGGCACAGCAAGGTGAGTGGTTTTTACACCAGCACATGGGAAATACTGTACCTATGTGAACTCTATGAGCAGTGCCCATCTCCCTAAAGAATGCAGGCGGCTGGGCACTGTGGCTCACATCTGTAATCCTGGCACTTTGGGAGGCTGAGGTGGGCAGATCGCCAGAGGTCAGGAGTTCCAGACCAGCCTGACCAATATGGAGAAACCCCATCTCTACTAAAAATACAAAATTAGCGGGACGTGGTGATGCATGCTTGTGATCTCAGCTACTCAGGAGGCTGAGCAGAATTGCTTGAACCCAGGAGACGGAGGTTGTGGAGAGCCGAGATTGCATCATCGCATCCAGCCTGGGGGACAAGAGCAAAACTCCATCTCCAAAAAAAAAAAGAACACAGGCAACATCTTTCTGCCCTTCATATAGTACCTGGCACAGGGGAGGTGTTTCCTAAGAGCTAAGAGTTTAAGAAAGCCGCACAGTGCGCCATCTGAAAACTGTCTCCAGGCTTCCAGGCAACCCCAAAGACTGATTTTACCTCCAAGAGCCTCCCGGACCCAGCAGATGAACTCTTTTCTCAGGGACAGAGCCTTGAGCGCCTCACACCGGGCCTCACTGATGTCCTGGAGCAGCTTTTTGGCCTGGATGAGCTCCTGGTTGATCCGGTCCAGTGTTTCATGGCAAAAGTCATCGAAGTTATCAGTCTGCAAGGAAGAGCTCTACTGTGGACTGGAACTCATTCAGCAGAAGCCCAGAGTCTGTAAGCCTCAAGCATCTACCATCCCGCCCCACCTTGATTCCTGGATTTGCTGCTGCTGTGACAACAGGCACGCCAGGCTCTTACTCCTGAATTGGATGATCTAATCCCCATTGCTGTTTCTCCCTGATGGAGAGTAACCATGATTCCTGGGAACCTGACAGTCTACTCGGTGTTTAAGGCCCAGAGCAGCTGCTTCCTCAAGGACCTGCACCAGGGTTCAAGTGTAAGTGGGTGTGATTCCATATTTTTTTTTTTTTGAGACAGAGTGAGAGCTCTGTCTCCCAGGCTGGAGTACAATGGCATGATCTCGGCTTACTGCAACCTCCGCCTCCCTGGTTCAAGCAATTCTCCTGCCTTAGCCTCCTGAGTAGCTGAGAGATTATAGGCGCGTGCCACCACACCTGGGTAATTTTTGTATTTTCAGTAGAAATGGGTTTCACCATGTTGGTCAGGCTGGTCTCCAACTCCTGACCTCCTCAGCCTCCTAGGCATGAGCCACTGCACCTGGCCGTGATTCCAGATTTTATGCTAATTTCTAATCATTATCCTGGTCTATAATATACTACAGGCATATATACCTTACAAATGCTCACCTAAAGACATAGGAATTGGCCAGGCACAGTGGCTCATGCCTGTAATCCCAGCACTTTGGGAGGCCAAGGCGGGCAGATCACCTGAGGTCAGGAGTTCAAGACCAGCCTGGCCAACACGATGAAACCCCATCTCCACTAAAAATACAAAAATTAGCCATGCGTGGTGGCACATGCCTGCAGTCCCAGATACTCAGGAGGCTGAGGCAGGAGAATCACATGAACCCGGGAGGCAGAGGTTGCACTGAGCCGAGATTGTGCCACTGCACTCCAGCCTGGGTGACAGAGTGAGACTCCATCTCTAAAAAACATAGGAAGCAGAAGACTCGCTTCTTAACTCTAACAGCAACAACTTATTTACCGCTTTGGGCTAGAACTAGGAGATGGGGTTGAATCGCCACACCGAGTTTTCCTTTTTGGCTTCTGTAACCCAGAGAGCCTATGGCCCTTTCCAAACACAGAAAGAGGACTTGATGCCCTTTCTTGATCTTCATACTGACCCAAAACTCCCTCTGGCTAAGGAGCGGTCAGACTATTTACAAACAAAGGCAAAAACGAAGCCCTTGGGATATTCAGGCCTCAAGTCCCAAACACACAGGAGCCCTTGGCAGAAGCTCTAAGTCACCTTCCCAGCTTTTCAAAGCCATGACACCCATGGCTCCGGATGTCTGGGGCAAGACACTCCTCCAAACCCCCACAGTCCCTAGCAGGCAACTTACAAAGTTTACTAAAGTGTTGAGAACACTGAAGTCACCAGTCAGTCCCAAACTCTCTTTGACCTGCAGGATGACCCTGGCTGCGTGGACAGCATGGTGCAGGTGATGGTACTCCTTGATCTGTTCCACTCGCTCCTTGACCCAGTTGCTCGGGTCCTGTTTGTCCACAGTCCCCATGGTCTTAAGTTCTAAAGCCAGGTCCTCGTATTTATTCTCAAAGTCCTTGAAGATGACGTCGATCTCTGCAAGGGTGACCTCTCCCGACTTTAGATCCTGGTACAGTCTTATGAACCTTCTGTAAGAGGGAAGATACAAATAGTCATGCACCTCTTCAATCAGAAGCATCTGCCTTTCTGACTCTTCCAGCTCACTCGGAAGCTCCACGGCTTCCCGTTCCTCCTCAGGCACACCAAAAGGCTCTGCGGCTTCCCGCCAGAAGATCTGGAAGATGTGGCTGTCTCTGAGCAAGTCGATCTTTCCAGCCATTGCTTGGAGCTGAGGGCTCAGGTTGTAATGCGTTGTCCTCTCTGAGATTGGGAAGGAGGACAGTCTCACTGTCACAACTTCGTCTAATCTTTTACTGCTGAGGTCTTGTGAGTGTCTTATTGCAAGCTCTCCAAAGTCCACTTTAGAAACCAAAAGAAAATGTCAGAAGTCAAAGCTCTAATAATCATTCCATTTTATTTCACTTTCCTACGGTTTACTCTCCTCACTTCTCTGAGCGAATTCAAGAGCACACAGTTGCTAGGATTTCTTTCTCAGGAAGAGTTTACAGGTCGTTCCCTCCCCGCATGGCCTTGGTCATCAATATTCATGATAAAGAAAGCATCGTAACTTCTGAGTAAAGATGACAGTGTGAAAAAATCCACCTATTTACTCTTTCCAAGACCCCACTCTGATGACAGAATATAAATTGTATTTTAAAAGTCATGAACTAGTCAGGTGCAGCAGCTCAGGCCTGTAATCCCAGCACATTGAGAGGCCGAGGCGGGCGGATCACCTGAGGTCAAGAGTTCAAGACCAGCTGGGACAACGTGGCAAAACCCCCATCGCTACTAAAAGTACAAAAAGGCGTGGTGGTGGGCGCCTATAGTAGGGAGGCTGAGACACAAGAATCGCTTGAACCCAGGAAGCGGAGGTTGCAGTAAGCGAGATTGTGCCACAGCAGTCCAGCCTGGGAAACAGGGCAAGACTCAAAAAAAAACAAAGGAAAAGGAAAAAAGATGTGGTCCAGTACACCAACTGTCACCACAATGCCTCCTTCACCCCCGCAGGCAACAGGTGGCTTATTTTCTAGAAAGGATAATGCAAAAGGGCGTCTGGATTGGAGGCCACAGAAACATGGCAGAAAAAGGGCATTTCTAGACACATCCCCTTTCTCGAGAAGCTAACAGAAGACATGAACTATCCAATGTCAGGGGTACGGAGGAGGGGGCATGAAGCACGGGAGACAGAAGGAGGTGGTGGAGAACCATGTTGAGAACAGGGCCCATGGGAGGACTGCACACGGGATGCTGAGGCCCGCCAGCCCGCTTCTCCCTCTTGGCTCCCAGAAACCTGGCAGCCAGGCCTGTACCATCCAGGCAGGAGACGGGTCAACCTCCAGGCTGAGCCACGACACCCTGTGGCAGCAGCCCACAGAGGGCCAACCCACTTTTCAGGGCTTTCTCTTAATAAACAGAGACAAATGAGGATTTCCAGACATAGCAGGAAAATCGACACAAATCAACCAGTGAAAGCAACTTGGAGGAAGAAGGAAATGATGCAAGGAAAAGAAAACCCTCCAAAACAAAACTGCAAATAATCCAGAAGGTAAGACTCTGCAACCAGGAACAAGAGCAGGATACAAGTTCAAAAGGGTCATCCAGAGAAAAAGAATTCCTTTATGTTAAATATATGTATGAAAGCCGACATGAACATTGTAGCAGAACGTTTGGAAGATCAAGGTCTGAATAAATCTCTCAAGAGCAGAGCAAAAAACAGAGATGGAAAACCAGAGAAAAAGAATGATCAAAGTTAGATGATCATCCAGGTCCAGTAGCCAATTAATAGGAATTCCAGCAAGAGAAAAAAAAATTAAACCATTCAAGACAATGTCCCAGAACTCAAGGACTTAGATGTCTAGATTAGAAAAACCTACCTATTAACCCCCAATAGAGGTGACTGAAAATATTTTATTTTATTTTATTGAGACAGGGTCCCACTCTGTGGCCCGGATATAGTGCAGTGGTATGATTTTGGCTCACTGCAGCCTCAACCTCCCAGGCTCCAGTGATCCTCCTGCCTGAGCTTCCCAAGTAGTTGGGACTACAGGCATGCACCACTGTGTCTGGCTAATTTTTTGTATTTTTTATAGAGATGTGGTCTTGCTATGTTGCCCAGGCTGCTCTCAAACTCTGTGGCTCAAGCAATCCTCCTGCCTTGGCCTCCCAAAATGCTGGGATTACAGGTGGGAGCCAACATGCCCAGCCTCAATGGAAAATAGATCCAGACCAAGACACATTATTTCAGAATATGAGTAGTAACAGAAAGATCTCAAGAGCTTCACAAAAGAGTAAACAGGTCACACACACAGGAAGGATGTGTAATGAGCAGTGCACTGGGCTTCTCCATGGCTCTGCTGTGGCAGCAACAACAGCACAGCACGCTGAGACTTCAGAAGGAAAACTAGTCTGTCATTCTAGACGTGGCCGAGCGACTGACCCAGTAAGAGCACAGACATCTCTAGGCATGCAGGGATTCAAGGGTTTGATGTCTCATACACCCTCTTTTCTCAGGAAGCTAATGAGGGTGTGCTCTGTCAACAGAGGATGCCAGGTCTAACCCAGGCGAGAGGCAAAGGCTCCCTAGGAGGTAGAGAGAGACTCCAGCCTAGGGTTGGCAAGTTCCTTCTCAAAGATCAAACAGAGGATCTTCGAGGAAATTCAGACACTCACCACAGGTTGGGATTCAATCAGAAATGAATACAATGAAAACAGCATTTTCAGGAAACAGGAAATGTAATTCTCTGGAAAACAGAGTTTGTGCAAAAAAATGCAAAAAGATCATGGTTTCTTTCCTGGCTCACTTGCAGTCAGCATAAGGCCAGATGATTTAACCCTAAACAACGACCCGACCCAACTATTAGAAAACTGGGAGCAACAGGAGGAGGTGAAGGGTGATGTGTGCAGGCCACAGACCAGAAATGCGCAGTGCCGACCCGCGTCTTCCGCAGCGGGCGTCGCTCACGCCGACACCGAAAAAAATCAAGGGGACATTGAAGCATGGCATTCGGAAGTGTGGGTACAAACACTGAAAAGAAGAATCTAAAAGAGGTGGAGGCAATGCCCCCAGCAAATGTACATTTTTAAAAAATTTAAAGCCTTCTTTCCAAAATAAAGATCTGCTACTGCCATCCCTTCTTCCAGGGTCCCCCTCTAAGCCCTGGGGAGCCCTCAGTGCTGTTCCTTCTTAGGAATACCACCTTGTATCAGGGATTTCACAATCCCACACATCTTCAGGAGACTGTCAACAAATCTTTCCTCCTTCCTTAGAAATAACAGTTCTTCTATTCTCCAATCCAATACTTCATCCATAGCACAGTTTTCCTCCTGGGGTAAAAGACTTTCTTCCTCTGGAAAACAAGAACAAAAAGTAGCCCAGAACAGCAAACAGACGCCATTCTGCACAACGCCGCTTTGGGCACGCCCGCCTTCCCTGCCACGGGGAAGGACGGGGTTTGCGCATGGCCACTTTTTCCAGATGGCCGTTATTTTATCACTTTCCCATGATGTTCTTGAGAATTACAAACCACCCCTATCATCTTACAAGCAAGAAGAGATACTCATTATCAAGGCTAAGGCAATCACCTACTTTAAAAAAAATGCGCACACAAACACAAACGGTCTTCAAGCTACTTAATTCCTCAGGAGCCTGAAGTGCGAATCTCGACTTGATGCTTACTCAGTTGCCAGATGTCAAGAAACCGATCTTGGTGCTTCATAATCAGCTCCAGTTGTCCAACTAAAATCGTTCCACTCAGGAGATCATCGGCAACTCTCATGAACACAGAGTCAGCAGTAGCCATCAACTTCTTGCCTTCATCTGTAATATTTGCTATTATTTTCTCATCAGTTCCTGAGCAGATTAAGAACATAGTTAAAACAATGGCCTCCCCACCTCCTGCCTCATTGACATTAACATGGGAATTCCAAATAACCTCCTGTTCTGCCCCCACCACCTCAAACGCAGACAGTGGCTGGTCAGTGTCTCCAGATGCGCCAGTCACTCTACTCCCTTCCGCTTTCCCCCATGAGGGTGAGGTCTTGCCCAGATTATCCCTAACAACTTCCTTGTCCCCCTTCAGTATATAGAATATATTTATTTCCTTGTTCATTCATTCATTTGTTCCTTCCTTCCTCCCTCCCTCCTTCTTTTTTCCTTCCTTCCTTCCTTCCTTCCCTCCCTTCCCTCCCCTCCCTCCCTCCTTTCCTCCCTCCTTCCCTCCCTTCCTCCCTCTCTCCCTTCCTTCCTTTTGAGACAAGGTTCCCTTCTCTCTCTCTTTCTTTTTTTTGGGACAGGGTCTTACTCTGTCACCCAGGCTTGAGTACAGGGGCAGAACCATAGCGCACTGTAACCTCAATCTCTGATTTTCCTGCCTCAGCCTCCTGAGTAGCTAGGAATACAGGTGCATACCACCATGCCTGGCATATTTTTAAAATTTTTTGTAGGGTCTCACTTTGTTGCCCAAGTTGGTCTCAAATTCCTGGGCTCAAGAGATCCTCCCACTTTGGCCTCCCAAAGCATTGGGATTATACACATGAACCACCTCACCTGGCCCGAATATATTTTTTTAAATAGAATACACAGAATCTTCTTCAAAAATTCCCCACCCTAGGAATACCTATAGCAGAAGAAATTGCACCAGGGATGCAGACACACCTAGCAAAGACTATCTGGATGGTCTCAAGGTGACATTTGCGTAGCAGATGGAAAGAGAGAAACAGCAATGTGATAACTATACCCGGCACATCTTCACCATCTTGCAAAAACTTGGAACTGATTTTATGATAAATTTAGATGGCAGAATTGTTATGCTTCATTTAACCACAAAGGATTTCTCTCTCAGTAATATTAGAGCCATACAGTATTAGAAGAAGATGAAGCCTATCTGTACCATGAGAAACGGACACAGTAGCTTTATGAATCATTGCAAAAACGTGCAAGCGACCAAGATGTCTTTCATTAGGTGAATGGGTAAGCAAATCGCAGCACGTCCATACAATAGAGTATTATTCAGTGGTAAAAGGAAGTTAGCTCTCAAGCCATGAAAAGACAAGGAGGAAACATAAATGCATATTACTAAGTGAAGGAAGCCAGTCTAAAGGCTACATGCGGTCAGATTCCAACTATAGGGCTGGGCGCGGTGGCTCATGCCTATAATCCCAGCACTTTGGGAGGCCAAGGCGGGTGGATCATGAAGTCAGGAGTTCAAGACCAGCCTGGCCAAGATGGTGAAACCCTGTCTCTACTAAAAATACAAAAAATTAGCCGGGCATAGTGGTGCACACCTGTAATCCCGGCTACTCAGAAGGCTGAAGCAGAGAATTGCTTACACCGGGAGGCAGAGGTTGCAGTGAGCTGAGATTGTGCCACCACACTCCAGCCTGGGTGACAGAGCAAGACTCCTCAAAAAAAAAAAAAAAAGATTCCAACTATAGGATGTTCTGGAAAAGACAAAAGGGGAGGAAGGGGGTGGTAGAGGACAGGGGATTTTGCAGGGTAATGAAGGTACTCTGTACGATACTGCAATGGTGGACACAGGCCATGGTAATTTGTCCAAACCCATCGAAGGGACAACACCAGGAGTGAACACTATGTCAACTGTGGACTTTCGTTAATAACAATGTATCAATATTGGCTTGTCAGCTGTAACAAAAGCACCACACTAATGCTGCGTGTTAATAACAGGGTACTGCCTGTGGGATGGGGTGGGAGAGAGATGAGAACTCTGTACTTTCTGCTGAATTTTTCTGTATACATAAAAGTACTCCAGAAAATTCTAACTTAAAAACAGGCTGGGCATGGTGGTCCATGCCTAGAGCCCAAGCCACGCAGGAGGCCGAGACCGGAGGATCACTCACGCCTGGGAGGTTGAGGTTTACAGTGAGCAATGATGGCATCACTGCACTACATGCTAATTGGGGCAACAGAGAAGACCTTGCTTTAAAAATAATTAAATTGCCAGGCGCAGTGGCTCATGCCTATAGTCCCAGCTACTCGGGAGGCTGAGGCAGGAGAATCGCTTGAACGTGGGAAGTGCAGGTTGCAGTGAGCTGAGATCGCACCACTGCACTCCAGCCTGGGTGAGAGCACAAGACTCCATCTCAAAAATAAACAAATAAAAATATACGAATAACACAAAAATGATCTTTTCAGGTGAGTAGCTTTTCCTTATGTGCTTCCATATCCATGATGTTATTTTATCCCCACAACTTCCCGGATGTGTAGGAAGCTCAGCATTTATTTTGGCTGTTCCGTATCCAGTGCCTTCTCACTAAAAGACCTGATCTAAGGTCTCACATATCAACTGGACTTGAACGCTTTGAGGATGGAATGTCTTTCTGCCTCCTTGATCACAAAACACTTGGGGCGCAGGGGCTGGGTGGGAAATCAGAGAGCACAGGACTTCATTTTCTGTGTAGGTCCTCAGTGTTGGCCTGGACATTCTACACTGATCTCCAAATAAGCAAGACACACTTGGGTTTGGTTTTCGTCTTTGCTACTTATAATCTTTGAGCTCTTGGATAAGTCACACTGCGCTATTTGTTTCCTCATCTGAAAATCGGGGGCTTAAAGAGGACTTTTCAGAAAGGGCTGTTGCAAGGGCAGGGGTCAGTACAGTCACTAGGGTATAGCAAGCATTCAATGAATAGGGCTTTTAGCATTGGTTATTATTTACAAAGCAAGACACTCTGTGCCTTTCTGGGTCTCTCTGTCCTACTGCAGCCTTTGTTAAACATCAGCCCATCCCAATTCAGTATCAGCCCATCAGGTCAAACCTTCTGACTCCCCGCTCCCCAGTGAGGGAGACACCACCTTCACTGAGCTCATGTTCCCAGCACTCCCCCAAACATACTGCCCAATTTGAAGAGATGCTTGACATCTGCCCACGTGAGCAGGTGCTTGAAAACTTCATCCAAGTCATCCACGGCTTCCCCATTGTGTCTAGGCCAGGACTTGGTGATCACAGCAGATAAGAGGGTGCTGAATTTCCGCAAATCATGGCAAGAGAGCCCCTGAAGGATACTGGTCTGAGACTACAAGAAAATTTAAGAGGGAAATTTATGAGTTTTCCATTAGTTTGTTTTAGGTAACAACAAAAGTAAATTACCTACCCAATAGCATTTCAGAAAGCTACTGTAACTCGTGTATAAGGCCACAAAAAGAGCAAATAGTAAAACATTTCACGTCTTAGAAAATGTTCATTTCCTTGTGTACTGCCTCCAGAGATGTGAAGACACAACACAAACACACCAACACACACACCAAGACACAGACACAAACACAAACACACATGCACAAACCCACACACACACATACACAAACCCCCCACACACACCAACACACATACACAAACACACACACCAATACACAAACACAAACACACATACACAACCCCCACACACACACCAACACACATACACAAACACACACACCAATACACAAACACACAAACCCACACACACATACACAAACCCCACACACACACACACACCAACACACATACACAAACCACACACACAAACACATACACAAACACCCACACACACCAACAGAACCAGTCACTCTCCTTCTTCTGGCTAACTGCCAGGTGCTACTTTATTTTTTTTTTAAACTTTCATATCATGAAAAATACCAAAAATGAATAAACCCTTAAAATAACATATATTTTATATTTATAAAGTGTAATTCTTTTAAGAAGCTGCCTTCAAACAACACATACATTTTAATTCTCTTTTTACCTCTCCACCGAGAAATAATATTTTTCTTCCTTAGGTTCAAAGTTTCTGCAAAACGTTTCAGTAATGAGGAAAAACCACAGGTTAATTTACAATAGATACTTTCAGACATTTAAAAGGATAAAAGAAGACCTTTTCCAGCCACATAAAAAAGCAACTATACACTATGATCAAGTGTAATTTATCCCACGGATAAAAGGTTGATTTAACATCAAATATCAGTTCATATATATATATAGGAAAATATCGCATGATCATTTCAGTAGATATGGAAAAAGCATTTGACAAAATTCAACTCCCTTCTGTGATTAAAGAAAAAAAAACCACCACCACCATTCAACCGATGAGAAACAGAAAGGAACTTCCACAAACTGACAAAGGGTGTCTGTGAAAACCTCACAGCTGACATCGCACCTGGTGGCAAAAGACCGAAAGCTCCTAAGATCAGGAACAAGACAAGGATGCCCCCTTTCACCACTTTTATTCAAAATTGTACTGAAGGTTCTAGTCAGGGCAATCAGGCAAGAGAAAGAAAGAAAAGGCATCCAGATGGAAGAAGTGAAACTCTGTTCACAGATGATGTGATCTTATGTATAGAGAAGCGTCCCTGCAAAATTCATAGACAAAGAGTAAATAAATAAATTGTGAATTTTCAATTAAAAAAAAAAGGCGAGGCGAGTGTCTCGGACGCTGTTTCTGGTTTTCATCATATAGACAGACCAGCCCTTCTGCAAAGATGGTCAATGTACCTAAAACCCGAAGAAGCTTCTGTAAGAAGTGTGGCAAGCATCAGCCTCACAAAGTGACACAGAACAAGAAGGGCAAGGATTCCTCGTGTGCCCAGGGAAAGAGGCGCTATGATCGGAAGCAGAGTGGCTATGGTGGGCAGACAAAGCCGATTTTCCGGAAGAAGGCTAAGACCACAAAGAAGATTGTGCTCCGGCTGGAATGTGTTGAGCCTAACTGCAGATCCAAGAAGATGCTGGCTATTAAGAGATGCAAGCATTTTCAACTGGGAGGAGATAAGAAGAGAAAGGGCCAAGTGATCCAGTTCTAAACTGTGGAATTTTTTCATTTAATATTTGGAAAGAAAATGTTGAAGCCGGTAGAAAAATTACCTGTAGGAAAATAAATACAGTGATATTCTTACAAAAAAAAAACAACAACAACACACACACACACATCTGAGCTAACAAATGAGCTCAGCAATGCTGCAGGACATGTGGACCAGCTGTGTCTAGACACCAGCAAGGAACAATCTGGAAATGGAATTCAGAAAACAATTCCAATGACAATAGCACCCAAAATATACTTAGAAATTTAACAAAAGAAATGCAAAACTTAAACCCTGGAAAACACAAAAACACCGGTAAAAGAAATTGGCCAGGCACGATGGTCCACACCTGTAATCCCAGCACTTTGGGAGGCTGAGGCAGATGGATCACCTCAGGTCAGGAGTTGTAGACCAGCCTGGCCAACATGGTGAAACCCCATCTCTACTAAAAATACAAAAATTTAGCTGGGTGTGGTGGCAGGTGCCTGTAATCCCAGCTACTCGGGAGGCTGAGGCAGGACAATCTCTACACAGGAGCCTGAGGACAATCTCTTCCTCTTTGCAGAAAATAGCTAAATAAATGGATAGAATTTTCCATTTCACACGTTTTGCTTCCATAAACGTTCTGTAAGCCTTTGCAGTCCTTTCCTGCATACCTGCTAAGCAAGTGTTAACCACCAAACCAGCAGCACAGCGGTAACGGCCACCTGAGGAGTGGCCTGCAAGCCCATGTGACTCGTGCCACACCGGGGGGGATTCCACAGAACACACGCAGGATGGCATGAGCAGCAGGGGCTGTGCGGCACGCCGAGGAATGCGGAGAAAACTGGGTTTCAGTGCCACTGCCCTGGGCGAGGGAGGAGGCTGCCCACTTCCCAACCTTGGAGTCAGCCGTGGAGCTCGGCCCTATCAGGTGCTTTATAGCCCTCAGCTGCGTCCCAGGAGAACACAGCTGTGAGCCCGATACGCTTTCCCGGGGGAGAGGCTGTTCACCTGGCAGGCTGAGCTCACGGCCTCAATGACGCACTTCTCGAAGGTCTTGGCCACGCTGTCCTCCAGGCCGTCGGTGTCCCAGCGAGCACTGCAGTAGGCAGTGATCTGGGAGAGAGGCATCTCCTGCAAAAACCAAAGAGGGGGTTTCAGAGCTTTCGGATGCAGCACTCCAATACTCTATGGGATGAAAGTGCTTTCGCCATTTTTACTTTCCCACCATTTTTCCATTTCTCCCAGTTTTAAGCTTCTCCCTGCCCACACAAACCATGTCCTCCGTGCCCCGCACCAGTGGACCAGCAAGGCTAAAATTTTAAAGAGTCTCTCTTCCTACTCTGCAGAAAAAGCACCTGGCTTATAAAAACAGGTAAGTTATGAGAAGTCATTTTCCTTGCTTCTGTTTTTCCTTTAAAGATCCATTTAACATATAAAACTCTTGTATCATATAAAAACTAATTTTTCTAAAGTCTCAGCATGAGGGGCATGTCTGTGTGTTCTCTGCTTGTGTTTAATGAGGCTCCTGTCACCAACAGGCCACTCAGACTTACTGCCTATGAGCAGGCCTGGCTTCTCCTGTGCCTGGGGCTCCCCTGATAGAGGCAGAGAAATCCTAGCCAGACAGCAGCGAGTCCCTGGCAAAACCCCACCTTCGGGCAGAAAAACCTGAGAACAGCCCAAAGTGAGAACTTCTGTCCCTGTGTACATGCTCTCTCCCCATTGATGCTTTTGGAGTAATGTTTTTTTGCCAATCAAATGTTGCTTTTTCCAAAAATACCTACAGCCCACCTGCACCCATCCCATGCCTATAAAGACCCCAGACTTGGTAGTGAGAGAGAAGTAGCTTGACTGGAGAGAGGTGACTTGACTTCAGAGGGACAGCTGGACTTCGGAGGAGAGATGGCTTAACTTTGGAAAGACGGCTTGACTTCAGAAAAGAGCCAGCTAGAGCCAGCTGGACCAGAGGCAGATGACCTGCCTGACCCCTCCCCTCTCCAGCTCCCCTTTCCACTGAGAGCCATTTCCATTGCTTAATAAAATTCTCTGCCTTCACCATCCTTCAAGTATCCAGGTGACCTCATTCTTCTTGGATGCCAGACAAGAGCTCGAGACCTGCTAAGTGTGGGTACCCAAAAAAGGCTGTCACACCAGCCCTTTGCCCTCACTGGCAGAGGGCAGCCAGCCTAGGCAATAAGGCAAGGGGCCCACTGAGCTAGTAACACACTACGTCTGTAGCCGGCAGAGCTAAGAGCATTGTAACAGGCCCTCTGGAGCTTCAGGGGCCGCAGGCACCTCCACCTGGGCACTGCTGCAGGGCCCGCACGGAGCTTGCTGTGCCAGCTCCCAAAGCAGCTGGCCAGATCCCACACCCGCTCGCTCATGTGCTCCCTCCCACGAGGGGTTGAACACGGTGGGCCAAGGAAACGTGGCACCCCCATCTCAAGTCCAATGAAGGGATCAAGAAAAATCTTGCACCCCTATGAAGGTGAGATCCTGGGCCCTTGTTCCTCTCTGTCCTCTCAGTAAGACTCCAAAGTGCTCTTCTGGGGACAGACTACCAGAGCTGGATCAGAAACATAAATACAGAGCTGTGCTTCACCCTGTCCCTGCCCACAGAGAGGTACCGCTGAGATCTCTTGGCTGTTGCTGATGGTCTGAGTTTCTCCACCTTAACTTTATGCCCTGAAAAGAATGTCTCCCAACTTTTGGTACCTTTTTGAGCCTCCCTTCCATGTCTCTCAGCAATGACTCCTTCCAGCCATGCTCCATGGGGAAGTGGATTTCCACCAGCCGCCTCCAGACCTGCAAAATCCACAAACAGGTCACATCCACTCTCACAACTAACACAGAGTATGCAGGACTAGTGGGCCCAGGGCGCTCCCCCGGGTAGTGGCAGGTCATGGCGGCCCAGCTTGGCTTTCTAGAATCAGAGACCCAACCAGGGGCCACTACTGCTCTTACAACTGCACAACTGGCTTTTTATTCTAAAAGGATTTCTCTCTAATATTATATTTTGAAAATTTTTGAACTTTCAAAAAGGTAACACAACGCCACCCACATTCATTCAACGCCAATGCTGAGCACGTCACGTTTTCCACAGCTGCTTTCTCGCTCTTCCTCCCCTTTGTGCTCACTCTTCCGTCTCTCTCCATAAACGAGCATCTTCTCTCCCAAAACATGGGAAAGTTAAGTTGCAGGCACCATGGCACCTTGCCACGACATACCCATATGGGCAGGGTCTCCTATGACCTCAGCCCGTCCCCGCACAACACCAGTGCAGGTTCCCGCTCAGGACGCGCAACGTGGAGAGGAGGACGCTGCCCACCAGGAGGTGGCCTCCACCCCCGTTCCTCCCCTGCTCCAGCTCCTGTTCTGACTGGGTCCTAGACACATTCGAGGGGACACATGCTGTCCTAACTTATCACATCTCTTTTCTAGAAGAGTTCCCTTGCCATTTTTTTCTTTTTTCTTTTAACATGTTGACAATTTTCAAAACTTCAGACCAAATGTTTTGTAGACTGTCTTTCGACCTGATTTGTCTCATAATTTCCCCGTGATTTGATTCAGATTAAAATATTTTTGACAGGGACACTATGAGGAGCCACATGAAAATGAACTGTAAAAGAGTATTTTAGGAGACAGGGTCTCACTCTGACACCTGAGTTAGAGTGCAGTGGTGCAATCACAGCTCACTGCAGCCTCCACCCAGGCTTCCCAGAGAGTTGGGATTACAGGCATCAGCCACCATGCCCAGCCAAAAATGAAAATGAACTTTTTTTAGGTCAGGCATGTTTGAATATCCATCAACTCCACCACCACCACCACTACCTCCATAACCTTCACTACCATCATCACCATCACCTCCAACACCACCACCATACCTCCACCACCTCCACCATCACCACCACCTCCATCATCTCCACCACCTCCACCATCACCTCCAACACCACCACCATACCTCCACCACCTCCACCATCACCTCCAACACCACCACCATACCTCCACCACCTCCACCATCACCACCACCTCCATCATCTCCACCACCTCCACCATCACCTCCAACACCACCACCATACCTCCACCACCTCCATCACCACCACCACCTCCACCATCACCTCCAACACCACCACCATACCTCCACCACCTCCACCATCACCATCACCTCCATCACCACCACCACCTCCACCATCACCTCCAACACCACCACATCACCATCACTTCCACCACCCTCATCACCTCCATCACCACCACCACCTCCATCACCTCCAACACCACCATCGCCTCCACTACCTGCATCACCTTCACCACCACCATCACCATCACCTCCACCATCACCACCACCTCCACCACCACCATCACCATCACTTCCACCACCTCCATCACCACCACCACCACCACCACCTCCATCACCTCCACCTTCACCACCATTACCTCCAACACCTCCACCACCACCATCACCACCATCACCACCACCACCTCCTCCAGACCATCATCATCACCACCATCACCTCCATCACTACCATCGCCATCATCACCTCTATCACCATCACCACCACACCTCTACCACCACAGGGACTGTGCCCAGCCAAGGACACCAGGCAGTGCAGCAGCACTTTGCACCCGGCATCTGTCTGCCTCAGAGCCACCCTGCCAGGGAGACAGGAGCTACTCCATGTTGTAGATGAAGAACTGAGGCTCAGGTGAAGGCTGACAACTGCCCCTGGCCAGTAGCCTGTACCCTGTGATTTGACGTCACGAGGAACCACAATCACTCACATCCCTACCCAGAAGCCTTCAGCAACGCTTACCTCAATTTCCTCAAAGTACGTGAATGAAACACCCGAATATACGAGCATGTTCTTTGTAAAAACTGCTCGGAGCCACCTTTTCGTAACGGCAAGGGTCCCTTGGAAGACTGTTTGGACTGAATTATTTCCAGTTTCATCTCCCTGTCCTGCAGAATCCTGTTATCACACAAGAGGGAGAGTCAGTCATCCTCGGCTGTGGACTCAGGTTCCTGGCAAGCTGCCACACCCCCGCCTCTCCTCTCCACTGGCATGGGCCGCTCAAGGAGTGGCTGCACTGGCTAGAGGGGCAGCAGGCCTCGGTGGAAGCCCCCTTCCCAAAGCGCTTCTGCTCCCCAGGGTTTCTGGGTTCACCCTGAATGTGGGTGATAAGGGAGAAAAGGGGGGGAGAGAACCGAGTCTGTGTCCTCCCCTGAAGGCCCAGGCAGCCTCTGTCCTGCCAATGAGCAGGCTCCCAGGCTGTGCCCAGGAGACCGAGGGGGAAGAGCACGCCCAGAGGGGGCCCTGCAGACTCCCGGACCTGCTCCTCAGACACAGGAGACAGCCAGGCTCCTGACCCAGAGGTAAACCCGGGTTCCCACTGTGCTATGCCAGACCCACCAGACCCATGGGAAAACCCCTCTTCCCCTGGGCTCAAGGCCTCCTGTATGCCTCCCTTCTCTCCCCCCTGCCTTCCCCTTCCTCCCTCTTCTTTCTCCCCCATGGCTCCCCCTCCTCTCCCTTTCCTTCTCAGAAGCACTTCCCAGGAAGCATACAGGCCAATGGACAGGGCCTCCCTCCTCCTGGGAGGAACCCAGAGTCCCGGATTCGTGTGTGGTCTTTTTCTTTTTCTTTCTTTTTTTTGAAATAGAGTCTCTTTCTGTGTCTCAGGCTGGAGTGCAGTGGCACAATCTCAGCTCACTGCAACCTCCACCTCCCAGGTTCAAATGATTCTCCTGAATCAGCCTCCCAAGTAGCTGGGATTACAGGTGCATGCCACCATGCCTGGCTAATTTTTGTATTTTTTAGTAGAGACAGGGTTTCGCCATGTTGGGCAGGCTGGTCTCAAACTCCTGACCCTCAGGTGATCTGCCCGCCTCAGCCTCCCGAGGCACTGACAGGTGTGAACTGCTGTGCCCAGCCGTCTGTGTGGCCTTTTTCTTAAGCACAGCCCCGCACATGGTGCAAGTGTCAGGAGCCACAGAACCTGGATGTGCTCAGGCGCTCACTGATAGCTCTGAGGAGCCTGTGCCTTGAGGCAGCGAAGACATGCTGGGTAAGTGGACGGGGCTGCTGATGGGCAGGGCAGCCCAAGAGTAGGAGAGAGAAAGAGCCCACTGCAGGTAGGGGCACACAGTGTCACCAGCCCTGGGAAGGGCCAGGACGGGAAGATGCAGATAGGAGCTTTCAAAGCATGTAAGAGGGGCTGGGATGCAGGCGCTGCTGTGAAAGAGAAAGAGAGAGCCTGCAGAGAGGGCTGGGCACGGGGGACTTGGGCACAGGGGGACTAGAGTACATCACGCAGTGGGAGGGGCAGGCAGGCGGGAAACAAAACAGGCACTGCTGAAGGTCCCCCAATGGCACAGCTCCTTCTAGAATAATCCAGCGGCACAGGCTAAGCAGCCATGACCAATAACAACAACCTGAGTGACTGCCCCCACTCTGGAGCCTGACACAGGCACCTCGTTCCCCAAGTGTCCCATCGACCCTGGAGCTTGAGAGCAGCAGCCACCCAAAAGCTGCTTCAGCACGCACATGCATTTCTGCTTTGTCTCATGTTAGTATTGCAAAGTTGTATTATTTTTTTATGGTTTGCTTTTATGGCACAGGTAGAGTATTTTGTCCATAATATGGATTATACTTGATCTGAGATCCCAGCCAACATTTAAAAAAGTTATTTCTGGAGTAAGTGACAAATTCCTTAATTTGGAAGTTGGCAGCCGCCTGGGATGGTGTAAATAGCAGCCACTCTAGAGAATGTGATCATCTTACCAATAATAATTATTCTTAAATTGTGTCTGTGGTATTTTAATGCAAGATAACTGAAAGGAAGAATGTTAAAAGATACACTTAATTGTTTTCTATCACTAACGCCACAGTTCTGATTTGATTGGCCCAGGGCAGTGGCTCATGCCTGTAATCCCAGCACTTTGGGAGGCCGAGGCAGGTGGATCACGAGGTCAGGAGTTCAAGACCAGCCTGGCCAAGATACTGAAACCCTGTCTCTACAAAAAATACAAAAATTAGCTGGGTGTAGTGGCTAATGCCTGTAATCCCAGCTACTCGGGAGGCTGAGGCAGGGAATTGCTTGAACCTGGAGGCGGAGGTTGCAGTGAGCTAAGATTGTACCACTGTACTCCAGCCTGGGAGTCAGAGTGAGACTCCACTTCAAAAAAAAAATAAGCCAGGCATGGTGGCTCACGCCTGTAATCCCAGCACTTTGGGAGGCTGAGGCGGGTGGATCACTTGAGGTCAGTTTGAGACCAGCCTGGCCAACATGGTGAAACCCTGTCTCTACTAAAAATACAACAGTTAGCCAGGCAAGGTGGCAGGCGTCTGTAATCCCAGCTACTTGGGAAGCTGAGGCTGAGAACTGTTTGAACCCAGGAGGCAGGGGTTACAGTGAGTCGAGGTTGTACCACTGCCCTCCAGCCTGGGCCACAGAGTGAAATTCCATCTCCAAAAAAAAAAAGAAAAAAGATCAGGTCAAGAGCAGTGGCTCATGCCTGCCATCCCAGTGCTTTGGGAGGCCAAGGAGGACAGATCATTTGAGGTCACAAGTTCAAGACCAGCCTGGCCAACATGGTGAAACCCCGTCTCTGCAAAAAATACAAAAATTAGCTGGGCATGGCGGCACACACCTGTAGTCCTATCCACTTGGGAGGCAGAGACAGGAGAATCACTTGAACCCGGGAGGCAGAGGTTGCAGTGAGATGAGATCATGCCACTGCACTGCAGCCTGAGCGACAAGAGTGAAACTCCGTCTCAAGAAAAAAAAAGAATGAAAACAAATGATCAGTCTAAATATTAAATCTTACATCACTTTCAAACTGAAGCTCATGAACTCAAGTAGATGAAAGCCGCACAGAGACAAAAAGGAAAGAATTACTAATCCCTGCAACCAGGCAAACGGAGCTCAGAGGCACGGCACTGAGTGGGGAAAGCTGGACAGAGAAAGGCCAAGCTCGGAGACAAGTCACGCTGATCTACGGGAGAAGTCACAGCAGTGGCTCCCTTCGGGAGGGAGGAGCGGGATCGTCCTGCAATGGGACCTGGGATGTGGCCTGCAGCGGGGAACAGATGGCCAGTGCTGTGGCCTTTGTTACCATATTCAAGTGACAATGTAAAGGAGAACAATCAGGTGGGAAAGCCCATGTTTGGACATGTATTTTTTTGGAGGAAAGTGGTCCCCATAGTTCTCTGCAAACAACAGAATCAAGAAAAAAGAAAAGTCGTCTTCTGCCTGACCTCCAGGCCCTGTGCCAGCTCTCTGGTTTCCCCATGGCCAGCTGGCAGCCACACGTTGCTAACTCCCCGCCTACCTCCCACAAGGAGGCAGGAGGGCGAGGACACCCCCCACGCCCAGAACGGAACCCAGCATCAAGGAGGTACCCAAGAAATGTCTGGACGGAATCCCCCACTCCATCTCATCCCAGCATCCAGAATCAGTCTGTTTCCTTTCCAAACTGAGGCTGCTTGAAATCCCACTCCTATCCTGGGTGTGATAGACAACACAACTTTGTGTGTTGACTCCACTTACCAGCAGAGGTAGAACTATAATCATCCTGCAGACAATCTCAGCAGATAAGGCCAGCAGCTCGTAAAACTTCGGTGTCTTTATAATGCTGCAGACAGCTTCATGGAGTTTCAGGCACACAGTCAGGTAGGAGGGTAACAAGGCCTCCTTGGAAATCCTGCCCCACAAAGAGTTCAGAGAAATCCCGGCAAGGATTTAGAAGCCAGAAAAGGGTAACTACTATCGATGACCAACCCCTTCCTTTACAATAACTACCAAGAAGGCGTTTGTTTCACCTTATCTAAGTTAACATCTGGAAAATCTCAATCACTCCTGACCTCCTGGCTAAGACAACAAGGAGGCGAGGTCCTCGAGTTTTGCCTCTAGTCTGAACTATTCTAGCAAAGCAAGCCCAAACCCTCCTCTGCACTCCGGGATGTGAAAAGCAAGGGATGTTTATTACTAGACATTAAAACATGACATAAATTTGAAAAAACATTCAGAAAGAAACATAAAGGCATGAGGAAGAAAAAGAAATAGAAGAGCATGCAGCCAGTGTGGAATTGGCTCCAGCGCTGTTGAGATGGGTTTTGAGTTTTCTGAGGGACATATGGACAAAGCAGGGACATGGAAGGAGAATTAGGAGGCACACAGAAGAAAAGTTGGTAGGATGGGGCTGGGAAGGCAGTGTGATAAAGGACTCCCTGGGCTGAGGCTGTGACACACAGTGGTGGGGGGTGGGGGGGCAGTGGGGGAATCCTGAAGTCACAGGTGCTGGATCAACATCAGCAGGGATGTGGAGAAAGCAAGGACTGGAAATGCCCCAGGCGATCAGAAAACACACATCCCATCCCTCAATGGCACATTTCAGTGGTTCTGCATTCTCTCTGCTGGCCCCTCAGGGTATCGGAGGTCACACAAATTTGCAGGAGCAAATGGTTTCAGATAATTATATAAAGCAACCTTTGATTTTTATCTTAAACTAAGTGTTAAAAAATGCAGAACGCCCACCATGCATATGCAGTATCATGACCATTTACAAGGGGGAAAATATACAGTAAAAAAGACCAGAGGGAGAGAAACCCAAATCATAGCAGCTGATATCTATTATTTCCCCTTAAAAACAACAACAAAAAACAAACAAACAAAAGACAGCTGGGCTCGGAAGCTCACAGCCATAATCTCAGCACTTTGGGAGGCTGAGGTGGGCAGATCATGAGGTCATGAGTTCAAGACCAGCCTGACGAACATGGAGAAACCCCATCTCTACTAAAAACACAAAACGAGCTGGGCATGGTGGGTGCCTGTAATCCCAGCTACTTGTAAGGCTGAGGCAGGAGAATCGCTTGAACCTGGGAGGCAGAGGTTACAGTGAGCCGAGGTCACACCACTGCACTCCAGCCTGGGCAACAAGATCAAAATGCTGTCTCAAAAACAAAAACAAAAAAATTAGCCAGTGTGGTGGTAGGCACCTGTAATGCTAGCTACTTAGGAGGCTGAGTCAGAAGGATCGCTTGAACAGGGAGGTGGAGGTTGCAGTGAGCCAAGATCCCATCACTGCAGTCCAGCCCGGGTGACAGTGTCTCAAAAAACAAAAACAAACAAACAAACGAATCAGACAACTACATTAATAACTTGTGAAGAGCAGTGGGCCACATAGTAATTTATGACCTTGCTATTTCGACAGCAGCTGTGGGGCACTGCCAACTGTGGGGGTCACAGGAAGCCCCCGGGGCCGATGTGAGGGAGAGACTGCATTCCGCTTTCCACTTACTTGTCCTGGGAAGCGTCCAAGAGGTGCAACAGCATTTTTAAAATGCCCAGAACATCCTAAGGCAGTGAAGAAAAGACAAACAGGACAGAAGGCATAACCATGATGCCACTGGCATTGCTGAATCAGAGCTGAAAAAAATTCAGCATCCATGTTTTCCTTCCTACAAACAAACTTGAAGGCGCTCAGATGCCAATCTTACCTATCTCACAGACAAAACTCAGGATTTACACTCATATCATTTTTTCCACCCAAGAAATATGAAAGGTGTAAGGCCGATAGCCTTGCTAAGAGCCGGATGAACAACGCCCACCCCTCTCTATGCCTGATAATTGCTTATCAGGCAGAAGACATTACTCAGCATCTGGCTCCTCCATGCGGGCTCCCCTCGCCCACTTCTGCATTCTGCCCCCAGGTCTATATCCAGCACTAGACTATGCACTCTCAGCACCAAGCTATGCATTTGAACCTCAGCACTAAACCGTGCACTCTCAGCACTAAACTATACAGCTGAACCCGTGAAAAATGAAGAAATCCCGCCAAGCCTTACCCAATGGCAGCCCACCCCATGCATCCTAGGCCAGCCCCCCTCTAACCCCCATAAAACCCCTGCCCTGAAAAGTCAAGCGTGACTTCTCTGGCCCCCTTTCTTTAGGACCACAGAACCTCGCCTGGGAGATAAATAAACTGGCATCTGATTGTTCTTATACTGGCCTCAGTTTCCTCATTTTAAACTTGGCAGTAACCATTACAAAAGGAACAATGGCAACGATGAAGCTCGTCACATGAATGAATCCTTCTCATCCCACCTTGCACAATCACAATCAACAAAGGTTACTCTTTCCTTGAATGCTGTTTACCGAAACAGAAGAAGCTCAAGGAAATCAGGTTTATCCCTAACAAGTGATGAGCAGTCACGGCTCTCTGGACTGTCTGTTTATTGTGAAAAAGAACCCTAATCTCTCTGTGTTACTATCCAGTCTGCTTTTGCTAAGCCAGGACCTTCAGACACAAACCTCCCGATTCAGGTAGGAGATTTCCTCAAGTCCCTGTAGCCGGTAGTAAGTCCCCAGAAAGCAGTCCAGGACATGAGCAGGAAAAGGCCTCAAGTGCTCAATGAAGTTCTCCATATACTGAGCCAGGTGACTCAGAGGGAGCAGACTAAACCAGGACCGGAAGAGAGGTTCGTCGACGTTCAGCAAATGCCTCTTACTGTCCATCAACTGAAGTAATGAACTCCTGCATAACAGGAATCGGGACAGAGAAAAGAGAAGCAGTGAAATCAGGGAGGGAAGACGGAAGAAAACAGTGCTGGAGCCAAACAGTCCCAATTTCAAAAATGACTTAAATACTACTTGAAACTGGGCACAGTGGCTCATGCCTGTAATCCCAACACTTGGGGAGGCAGAGGTGGGAGGATCACTTGAGCCAAGGAGCTCGAAACCAGCCTAGGAAACCTAGTGAGGCCCTGTCTCTACTTTAAAAATAAAATAAAGGCTATGTGGAAAACAAAAGTACGTAGTGAATCAAATGAAAAGTACAGAACAGCTTATTGAGAATTAACTTAATGTCCGGGCGCAGTGGTTCACACCTGTAATCCCAGCACTTTGGGAGGCTGAGGCAGGCAGATCACAAGGTCAAGAGACCAAGACTACCCCGGCCAACATGGTGAAACCCCATCTCTACTAAAAATACAAAAATTAGCTGGGTGTGGTGGTGTGCGCCTGTAATCCCAGCTACTCGGGAGGCTGAGGCAGGAGAATGCCTTGAACCTGGGAGGCGGAGGTTGCAGTGAGCCGAGATCGTGCCACTGCACTCCAGCCTAGGTGACAAGAGTGAGATTCCACCTAAAAAAAAAAAAGACAAGACAAGAAAAAGAAAAAGTTGTCCACAAAGTACTGTTAAGAGAAAAAGCAGGTTGTAAGCCAGAATAAAAGCACGTCATTTGCACCTGCGTACATAAAACATCCATGAATCCAAATTTGGAAAAGATCAAAAACATGTATGCCGCCATGTTAACAATGGCTATCTCTGGGGTTACAGGTCATTTTTTTATTCTTTTATTTTTTACTTTTTTTTTTTAGACCGAGGCTCACTCTGTCGCCAGGCTGGAGTGTAGTGGCGTGATTTCGGCTCACTGCAACCTCCGCCTCCCGGATTTAAGCAATTCTCCTGCCTCAGCCTCCAGAGTAGCTGGGACTACAGGCGCATGCCACCACGCTGGCTAATTTTTTGTATTTTTAGTAGAGATGATATTTTACCATGTTAGCCAGGATGGTCTCGATCTCCTGACCTTGTGATCCGCCCGCCTTAGCCTCTCAAAGTGCTGGGATTACAGGCATGAGCCACTGTACCCAGCACATTTTGTATTCTTGATAGTTTTTTTTTTTTTCTGAGACAGAGTCTTGCTCTGTCAACCAGGCTGGAGTGCAGTGGCACAATCCCAGCACACTGCAACCTCCATATCCCAGGTTCAAGGGATTCTCCTGTCCCAGCCTCCTGAGTAGCTGGGATTATAGGTGCGTGCCACCACGCCCAGCTAAATTTTTTTTTTCTTTAGTAGAGATGGGGTTTCACCATGTTGGCCAGCCTGGTCTCAAACTCCTGACCTCAGGTGATTCAGCCGCCTTGGCCTCCCAAAGTGCTGGAATTATAGGCGTAAACCACTGTGCCCAGCCTATTCTTGAAAGTTTTGATGTCTTAAAATGTTAGAAGGGCGTGTGTTAGTTCTGTCATTAGAATGAGGGATGGATTCACTGCAGAGCCCGCCGGGACTCCGGGCACACAGCACAGGGGTCGTTCTTCCCAGATTCACATGGGTAAGTACAACTATACCACTTACGGGTCTAGCATTTGTTCCCGCCACTGTGAGAAGGGGATTCCTTCCAGGGCAGCCCAGACATCCTCAGGCTGGCTCCAGGCGTCCTTGGGCCGTGGAGCCGGCTCCTTATAGCAGTGTAGGACAGGCAGGGTGCCCAACCAAAGACACCGCCTTCGGTCTATGCACCTCAGGCACAGTTTCATCAGGTACTCATGCCACCTGGAAGGGAATAAAGATCCCGCAGTGAGCTGTCGGCCAGGAGGTTGTCTCCCTGGGAGTCTGACGTCCCAACGGGAAGCAATCACCATGCATACAGAGCAGGAGGAGCACCCCAACGTGCCTGAGCAGAGTAACCAGCACAGGACACATGGCTTCCCTCAGCCCCAGCCAAGCCCTCGCTGAATCCCCACAACAAACTCCCAGGGCAGGGAAGGAATCTCAGGTGCAGGGTCCTGGCTAAGTAGCCAATTCGGGGTCCTGCCATTCAGGGCTGGGATTTGAACGCAGGCCATCTGGCAACAGTAAATCTAAATATAAAGCAGCTTGTAAAATATATTCTTATTGCTTAGAGACAGGATCTCGCTGTCATCGAGGCAGTGCTGCGGTGTGATCGTGGATCACTGCAACCTTGAACTCTTGGGGTCAAGAGACCCTCCTGTGGTGGTGTCCCTATAATGCCAGCACGCAAGCTCTGCCTCTCCAGGGCTGGAATTACAGGTGCACCACCACACCCCGCTCAATTTTTTGTTTTTGAGACCAAGTCTTGCTCTGTCACCCAGGCTGGAGTGCAATTGCACCATCTCAGCTCATTGCAACCTCTGCCTCCAGGGTTCAAGTGATTCTCCTCCTTCAGCCTCCCGAGTAAGTGGGACTACAGGTGCATACCACCACGCCTGGTTAATTCTTTGTATGTTTAGGAGAGATGGGGTTTCACCATGTTGGCCTGAGAAATTTTTTATTTTAATTTTTGTTTCCCAGGCTGATCCCAACCTCGTGGTCTCAAGCAATCCTCCCGCCTCGGCCTCCCAAAGTGCTGGGATTACAGGTGTGAGCCACAATGCCTGGACAAAACAGCTTTTTTTTTTTTTGAGATGGAGTCTTGCTCTGTCTTCCAGGCTGGAGAGCAGTGACGAAATCTTGGCTCACTGCAGCCTCTGCCTCCCGAGTAGCTGGGACTACAGGAGTGCACCAACACACCCAGCTAATTTGTGTATTTTTAGTAGAGACAGGGTTTCACCATGTTGGCCAGGATGGTCCTTGATCTCCTGACCTTGTGATCTGCCCGCCCCTGCCTCCCAAAAGTGTGAGCCACCACCGCACCCAGCCCAAGACAACTTTTTAAATGTAGGGGGTGAGCCTACACAGAACACCTGTGAATCTCCCACAGTCAAAATATATTCACGAGTCCTTATACTTGAAACCCTGGAACTAACTTTGTACACTGCCTTGCCACCATTCCTCCTCTGTCAAAATGTGCAACGTATAGTCGGGTGTTTTATATTTGTAAAACCAGGCCAGGCACAGTAACTCATGTCTATAATCCCAGCACCTTGGGGGGCTGAGGTGGGCAGATCGCTTCAGCTCAGGAGTCAAGACCACCGTGGCAACATGGTGAAACCCTGTCCCTACAATAAATACAAATACTAGCTGGAAGTGGTGGTGTGCCTCTGTAGTCCTAGCAACTCAGGAGGCTGCAGTGAGAGAACCACCTGAGCCTGGGAGGTTGAGGCTGCAGTGAGCTGTGATTACTCCACTGCACTCCAGCCTGGGGGAACAGAGTAAGACCCTATCTTAAAACAACAAATAAATAAATATGTAAAACCGAGAGGCAGATGTCATTATAAGATGTGCTGATCAGGAAAGGCTACTTAGTGTCATTCTTGAGTTCAAATCAATGCACGTAGGCCAGGTGCGGTGGCTCGCACTGTAATCCCAGCACTTTGGGAGGCCAAGGCGGGCAGATCACAGGGTCAGGAGTTTGAGACCAGCCTGGCCAACATGGTAAAATCCCATCTCTACTAAAAATACAAAAATTAGCTGGGCGTGGTGGCCCACACCTATAATCCCAGCTTCTCGGGAGGCTGAGACAGGAGAGTTGCTTAAATCCAAGAGGTGGAGGTTGCAGTGAGCTGAGATCATGCCACTGCACTCCAGCTTGGGTGACAGAGCAAGACTCTGTCTTAAAAAAACAAACAAACAAAAAATCAACACACACAGAGCGAATGCTGGGAGATCGTGCCCATCAGAGCTCACTGGGTTCTAAGCAGGTCTTCCCGCCCAGTCAAAGGCCATCGCCTTCTCAGCACCAAACCTTTCAGGCCCAGGACAGTCACACTGTATTTTCTGAACTAGACACAGCACAAGCAGGGGCATGGAGAGAACATCACACTGCTTCTGCAGATGTCCTTGAGTGGATGACCTCAGGTGATGCAGCCGCCTCAGGTGATCCACGACCTCCCAGATACGCACACACACAGTCTGTTCATGATATGACATGAAGCTTTAAAAAGCAGGGAATTCAGACCTGGCTCGGTGGCTCATGCCTGCCATCCCAGCACGTAGGGAGGCCGAGGCAGGCAGATCACTTGAGGTCAGGAGTTCAAGACCAGCCTGGCCAAAAGAGCAAAAAAACCCATTTCTACTAAAAATACAAAAATTAGCCGGGGGTGGTGGCGTGTGCCTGTAGTCCCTGCTACTGAGGGGGCTGAAGCAGGAGAATTGCCTAAACCTGAGAGGCGGAAGCTGCAGTGAGCTGAGATTGCGCCACTGCACTCCAGCCCGGTCCACAGAGTGAGACGCCATCTGAACAACAACAATAAAAAAGCAGGATATTCAAAGAAGACGGAATATCATAAAATTACAAATAAGACAGATGCTAGGAAAGCTACTGAAGCGAGTACAGTGAGTGGTAAAATCAGGGGGTTCGTTTCCTCCCTGCGTGCTTTCAGCCAATCTAGTCAAGCACTTATTTTTGCAATCAGAGAAAATCATTATAATAGCTATAAAAACATTTTGACAAAAAATAATAACAATACCCCTGAGCTGTCCTAAGGACGTGGCCTAGGTCATCATGAAGCTCATCCAGTGAGCTGGCATCTGAGGCCAGGAGGTGACACATGGTGTCCAACTCGTCTTCTGGTAAGAAAAAATCAAACTTTTCCACTATAAAAAGGACAATCAGGCCCATTTTCAATTTGCTCCTCACTGGGCAGTCTTCAGGCAAAGAGTTCCCACTTCTGTCCAGAAATGGTGCCATCTGCTTTTTCAGATAGTCCCACAGGTCTTTCTTCACCTGGTGGTGGGAGGAAAGGAAGATGCATGAACCGTGGGCTTGAAGTCACTGGAGCTGTCCAGAGCTGCCGCAGCACAGCTGAGCCAACAGACCCCATCCGTGCCCCCACCGCACCTGCGGAAGCCACAGGAACAGCCATGGTGCAGCCAACACCCTGGCATGAGGGCTCAGGCAGGGCCCCTGAGGCTTAGCAGGGCTCAGCTTCACATCACAAACAGCTCCAGGCTGGCCTGAAAGCCGCCCAAGCTGCACCGCAGTGTGGGGAGGTGCAGTGAGGGACAGTCCCACGTTCCTCCCACTCCCTCTCCAAGGCCAGGGGAGGACTCAGGACCAGTGCTGGGGTGGGGCTCAGATTACACCCAGGAAATGGAGGAAAAGGGGGCTGGCAGAGAAATCCCAAGAAGCAGTGGTAGGAGAAAAGGTCAGGAAGTTCCACACACTCCCATCTGCATCCTGGCCCATAGAGTCAAGGGGTCATCTGGCCACTAACAAGTCAGGTGAGGCCCCTGCCCAGAAGGCAGAGCAGCGGGTGGCAAGCCTGATACCTCTTTCTCCCCATACTGCAAAGCGGTCCACGACTGCGGATGTCCTTCATAAATCATAGGCTCTCGCATGACAAAGTAAAACTGCTGGAACTGGGTGAAGAAGCTGTTCAGATTGATGGTGTCCCAGGTCTGCAGGATGCTGAAGATGCTGTCCAGCATGACCGTGGAGGCAATCTGCTTCCCCTTCACCACATTCTTCCTCACCCCGTCTGTGAAGTGGCTCACTAATTTCCAAAGTTTCCCAGGAGGCTTCATACAAACTATGTCATCGTACTGATGCCAGTCTAAGAGGGACAGACAGAACAAGAGTGTACCTAAGACCATCAAAACCCTGCAGACCGGCCAGGTGCGGTGGCTCACGCCTGTGATTCCAGCACTTTGGGAGGCTGAGGTAGGCAGATCACCTGAGGTCAGGAGATCGAGACCAGCCTGGCCAACATGGTGAAACCCCATCTCTATAAAAAAATAGAAAAATAAGCAAGGTGTGGTGGCAGACTCCTGTAGTCCCAGTTACTCGGGAGGCTGTGGCAGGAGAATTGCTTGACCCTGGGAGGTGGAGGTCGCAGTGAGGAGAGATCACACCACTGCACTCCAGCCTGAATGACAGAGCGAGACTCTATCTCAAACAAACAAACAATCCTTTCCATGTTTCCTCCTGCAAGTGAGTGGGTAAGTCACACTGAGCTCAAAGGAGAGGCCAACATGTCTTTAACCAACCAGAGACACTACCCAAAGTCAATGCCACTGAACCTCATGGCTGGGGTGGGGCCAATGCAGAGCAAAGAGGACCTCACTGCCTAGGCAAAGTCTGCACTCTCCAGAGAGACGCATCCAGTCCCACAGGCCTGGCACCTGCAGTCCAGAGGTGTGAGCAGAGCCTGCTGCCATGACTTACCTCCTGAGCCCAACAGAAGGGAAGATTTTATGTACAGACAGCGGTTGACGTACTCCCCGTCCTTCTGCGGGGGCTTATAGATGAACTCATACTCAGTAGAGCCCTTGTCATTAAAAATGACATACTTATAAGGAATATATTTATCCAGGTGCTTCTTGGAAATGACGGCACTGCCTTCAACAAGAACGCCATCATGATTTAAGTTTCTGGGAATGAACAGGACACAGTGGGTTACCCAAAATTCCTATGCTGGAAATTTCAGTTCTTCTCAAACACAACATGGAGTGCAAAGCTATAAACTGATGCTGACCAAGAGGAGGCTTCTAGAACAAGAAAAAAAAAAAACTATGGCAAGGCTAGGTTCAGTGGCCCACGCCTGAACCAACACCATGGGAGGCTGAGAAGGGAGGACTGCTTGAGTCCAGGAGGTCAAGGCTGCATTGAGCTATGATCCCACCACTGCACTACAGCCTGGGCAATGTAGCAAGATCCCCTCTCTAAAAAGAAAGAAGAAATTTATAATAAAGAAAGAAAGAATACTTAAAGAAAAAAAGTCCATGATGAAATAGGACACAGAAATGTATGGGCAGGAAGAGCTGCCTCAAATATTCATCTTCCAGAAGCTGAAGAGTGTCATTGACTTACTTGATAAAAATTATTTAAAGGCTGGGTGCAGTGGCTCACACCTGTAATCCCAGCATTTAGGGAGGCCAAGGTGGGTGGATCACCTGAGGTCAGGAGATTGAGACCAACTTGGCCAAAATGGTGAAACTCCATTTCTACTAAAAATACAAAAATTAGCTGGGCGTGGTGGCATGTGCCTGCAGTCCCAGCTACTCAGGAGGCTGAGGCAGGAGAATCGCTTGAACCTGGGAGGTGGAGGTTGCAGTGAGCCAAGATTGCACCACTGCACTCCAGCCTGGGCAACAGAGTGAGACTATATCTCAAAAAAGAAAAAGATTTTTTAAAAATACGTGTCACAAACTGGGCATCCTACCCCTTCCCTGAGGGATTCCTTCTGAGCCTGCAGACATGCTCACCTGGTGCAGTGCAGCTCACAGACATTCCTGTTCCATTCCGGCTCCCCGAGTTCTTTTCCCCCTCTGATGAAGACTTTATGGTGGTCAGGATTGAATGAGAAATGTTTAGAGATGATGGCGTGAAAGTACACGGTGACTCCTCCGCCTGGGCTCAACGTGCTGGTGGAAAGCCAAAACGGAAACCTGATTCCTATGAGATCTATTCACCTGCCATGTGCATCCAAGCACATGCACACATACATAAACACAAACACACATGCATATACACACATGCACACACACACATACACACATGCACGTGCACGCTTACATGCCCACACACAGGCATGCACATGCACACTCATGCACGCATGCACACATGCATGACCACATGCACATATGCACACACCCATGCATGTGCACATACATGCACACACGTGCACACACTTGCACACGTGCACATGTACACGGGCACACATGCGCGCACACATGTACATGCGCGCGCACACACACAAATACGCACTTTCACACGCACGCACAAATGCACACGCGCGTGCACACACATTCAGACATGCACGTGCATACAAATGCACACATGCACGCACATGCACACACATGCACACACGCAAATGCACACACACCTGGTCCTTGTGTTCATAATATGCACTATCACACCCTAACAAAAAGGCAAGCATGTCCACATCTCAGACACACTGCCTACTGTGTGACCCTCTCTTCCCTGCCTCCAAAATGGAGGAAGAAGAGGTGGCCAGTCCCTGCCCATCTCTGAAGTGCTGGGAGGCACCAGCAGGTATCTGGGCCAGAATAGCCCCTCTCCTGGGTTCCCAATGGCCCACGCTGACTCCGGGACCCCACGGGCTATTAGGAAGCATGGAACTGGCACAGGTGCCCAGTCGCACCCACCTCCTAAGCAGTTCCCTTACCCCAAAGTTGAACCTGCCAAAGCAGCTGACTAGAAGGGTAGCCTAGGTATACCCTGGAAGCTGAGCAGGGAGGGGTATGCCCAGGCTCTCAAGCAGGGTCTCCTGAGGGGGCACCCCTACCTCGGCTTCACTTCCTGGACACCCGCTTTCTGTTTTTTTTGCTCCTCCTTTTTCCTGGCAACTGCACTTCCGATCTTCCCCTCCGGCTTCTTAGGGTCTTCAGGCTCCCCTCGCTCGTTTCTACCGACTTTTTCTCCAGCAGCAGCCTTCTCATCCTTGGTCTTGGTCTTGGTCTCAGTTTCCTGGAACAAGGAACCAGACCCTGACCTTCACAGCCAGCCTCCGCATGTTCTTCCTTTTTTTTGAGACAAGAGTCTTGCTTTTTTTTGCCCAGGCTGGAGTGTAGTGGTGCAATCTTAGCTCACTGCAACCTCCACAGACTCAATTGATTCTCCTGCCTCAGCCTCCCATGTAACTGGGATTACAGACACACGCCACTATGCCCAGGTAATTTTTGTATTTTTAGTAGAGATGGGGTTTCACCATGTTGGCCAGGCTGTCTGAAACTCCTGATCTCAGGTGATCCGCCCGCCTCAGCCTCCCCAAAGTGCTGGGATTATAGGCGTGAGCCACTGCACCCGGCCCAGCCTCCACATAGGCCCCTACAGCAGACGCTTCTCACAGCAGACAGAATGGCCATGACCCTTCCCTATTCGGGACCTTCCAGTGCCACTGGGGCACTGACCGCAGCCCCCAGGGACCCCGCTCTCCATCCTCATTGGTGGCTTCTCCTTTCCCAACTCCTCCTGAGGGCACTAGCATCCCTGTTGGTCTGGGAACAGGCTACCCCAGGGCATCTGCACATGACCTTCTGTGACACATCTTAGACACCTCCATGGCTCACCCCTCACCACTCCCCAGGGAGGCCTTACCCAGCCACGCAGGCCGTGGGAGTCACGTTCCCTTGGAGCCCACCCCAGTGCCCTCCCCCCACAACGCCTTCTCACTGCCAAATTCAGTTTCCTGCCTCTCTGTCCTCTAGAATGTGAGCACCCTGAAAGCCAGGGCTTTGTCTGGATCATGGCTGTATCCCTGGCACTTAAATATCCACAGAATAATTAAATGAAAGAGGGGCAGCTGTGGGGGCAGGACAAGGGCCTCCTGGAACCGGCAGGCAGGAAGGAGACACGGACCTGGCGGCGTGTTTCGAAAGCAGGAGTGGTCGCTGACAGCTGCTTTGTCATCTGGCTCTTTCCAGCCCCTTCAACCGCATTGGCTGGCTCAGCTGCCGCATCACCTTCCTGAAAGACCCCAAACACCAGAGCCAAGATGACAAAATGGGCCAGGGCGACTCCGACTCAATGGTTTCAGTCATCTGCCACAAGCTGAGGGATGGGGTAGGCTGGCACCCCGGTGGCGGGGCAGCCATCCCACTCCCACTGAGGGAGCGGGGCCCAGAGGACACCCTCCCTGGCAGGAAAGCGACACCGGCATCTCACAGCAGAGCCCAGGTGCCAAGGGCTCAGTGCCACCCCCGGCCATCCCTCCTGGATGACTCACCCCAGAGGCTGGGGCCCCTGTGTGCTGCCTGGTGGTCTGCGGTTCTGTCCTGGGCTGAGAGCTGCCCACTTTGGACTCAGGCAACAGGAGCTCCTGGGTGGCATCTTCAGTCCCAGAATGGCCTTCACCAGCAGAGGTGGGGGGACCAGCCCCCTCCTCGGAAAGGCCTCTGCCCCCAGAGGAGATGGAGGCGTCCTGGTCCTCCCCTTCCGTGTGGTCCTGAGGCTGGGGGCTGCTCTGAGTCCTGCCTCCCGTGGCTGCTCCTGCCTCTCCTGAAGCCTGAGCCTGCAGGGTGCTGTCACCAACCTCGGTAGGCACATAGGAGCCATTGCTCTCCAGTGGCATGCTGCCTGTTCCTGGGGGCTGGCTGGGCTGGCCAGTCGAGCCACTCTGCTGGGCTTGGCTGTGGGGCAGGGCTGTGTCCTGAGGCCCCAGGTTTGAAAGCAAAGTCAGATGACAGGGGCTGGCAGGAGACGGGGGCAAGGAAGCCAGCTCTGAGGAAGCGGAGTCGTTTGGATGATTTTTCTTCTTCCTCTTCTTCTTTTTGCTCTAAACAGAAAAAGAGACACTCACTTTATTTATTAGAAATCTAATAAATACCCCATGTTTCTCCCCAGCTTTCTCTTTCATTTCTCAACTACATCAAGCTTGGCTCAACCAAAGTGCCTAGCATCTGTTAAATCTGCAAGTTCTTGGGAAGAATGAAATTAAGAAGACAGAGTGGGGGGTGGGCAGGGTCAGGGGCAAGTGGCCTTGAAGCACTGGCCACACTCAGCATGGTCACGGCCAGGCTGAGACCCTCACACAGGCTCAATGCTTACTGGACATCCACTGAGATGGATTTTTATTTTTTTTATTTTCATTTTTTGAGACAAGGTCTTCCTCTGTCGCCAGGCTGGGGTGCAGTGGTGCAATCACAGCTCACTGCAGCCTCTACCTCCTGGGCTCAAGTGATCCTCCCACCTCAGCCTCCTGAGAAGCTGAGACTACAGGTGAGCACCACTGTACCCAGCCAATTTTTTGTTTTTTGGATAAACGGGGTTCCACCATGTTGCCCAAGCTGAGTTTGAACTCTTGGGCTCAAGTGATCTGCCCACCTCGGCCTCCCAAAGTCCTTGGATTACAGGCATGAACCACCATGCCCAGCTGGTTTTAAAAAAGTGTTTTGTAGAGATAAGAGTCTCACTATGTTGCTCAGGCTGGTCTCCAACTCCTAGGTGCAAGCAATCCTCCCAACTTGGCCTCCCAAAGTGTGGGATTACAGGTTTGAGCCGCCGTGCCCAGTCCGGTTTTGAGCATTAGAAAGCACACACAGGCTTTCCACGTTTTATGCACCTCTATGAAAAGATTTCGTACACGAAATTTGAAATGAGAAGGGTGAGACTGAAAACTGAGCAGGAGCTCACCCCGTGCCCTCAGCAGGCACAGCCAGGCTCGAAGGCACATCCAGGTTCAAGGGCATGGTCCCCACTTTGGGAACCATGACGACAGCTGGTGGAAAGAGGCTGCCGGGACCCTGGGACCCCCACAGGGATCGGGCCCCTGCCTCCCAGGGGACAGTGCTCAGGGTGCGTCCTGATCGGGTCACTTCAGGAATCTGATTTGCCGATCCCTTGAAACCTGGTGGTGTGTGATGAGGCCCGGAACCACCAGGCAGGAGGTGTGAGCCTGCACCCCATACCCAGGAAGACCTGCACACACAGAAGCGCAGCCCTCCTGGGGGCTAACCCTGCCTCTCCCCAGCAACTGGCAGCAAGGGGACGAGGATGCACCACAGGGTCCTGTCGCTGCCACTTCATGAGCCCCTCGGCTGACGGACGGTCCCTGTGTGGCCCCAGGAGGAGGCTGCATTACACCTGCCCGGGGCACAAAGAGGCTGCAGCCAGACAAGAGGCCAGGCGGACACTGCAAGCCCTTCCCTAGCACACATGGCCATGCTTCCTTCCAGAACCAGGGACAGAAATTCCAATTTTCTCCACCTTTTTAAATTCAGAGGAAACCCATGCTCAGAGTACACAAAGCACAGGAAGCCCCCCCACCCCCGATCCCCCATCTCCCATCCCCCACCCCCCATCTCCTGACCCATAACATCTCCCCAGGCCACAGCTTGGCTCCAGCTGCTCAGCCTGATCCCTGACGCTGGCCCTAGGCCACCAACCCACCACACAGCTGAGAGCACCTGGTCCCGTCCCTGGGAGCAATCACCACCCTGAAATGGCACATTGATGCATTTGGGTGCGGTCAGGGAGACATACTCCTAGCACAGGCTGACTCTAAAACAGGGCTTCCCTGAGATCTCGCAGCTGCACTCCAGCCTGGGCAACAGAGTGAGACTCCATCTCCAAAAAAATTAAAATTGACCAGGCGAGGTGGCTCACACCTGTACTCCCAGCACTTCGGAGGGGCTGAGGCAGGCAGATCACTGGAGGTCAGGAGTTCAAGTCCAGCCTGGCCAACATGGTGAAATCCCCATCTCTACTAAAAATACAAAAAATTAACTGGGTGTGATGGGCACCTGTAATGTCAGCTACTCAGGAGGCTGAGCCAGGAGAATCACTTGAACCTGGGAGGCGGAGGTTGCAGTGAGCCGATATTGCACCACTGCACTGCAGCCTGGGCAACAGAGCAAGACTCTGTCTTTGAAAAAAAAAAAATGGGAAGCAACTGCAGAAGAGTCTGGGGCTGGGGCTGGGGCTGGGGCCCAACCCTGGTGAGTAGCTCATCAGGACAAGTGGCAGCCTATGAATGACAGGCTGGTCAGCTGCCAGGGGACCTGCTGAGAGGGGGAAGCAAGAGGCCATCAAGAAACAGGCAGGTGCTGCACGACCCTTCACTGTGCTTGGGAGGCCTAGCAGGTGGGGTCTGAACCCTGAAGACAGCCTAGCCTTGGAGAGACGATGACACCATCTCTGCCTTGCCAGCTGCCTCCTGTCTCTGAGGCTGCCATGCAGTAGCATCTAGGCTGGGTTTGGAGGGCCTGCTGAGTTCCCATCCAGCTCACCCCATGCCGTACGGGATGGGCAACCTCAGGTGGGTCACTGGGCCACTGTGGGCTTCGTCTCCCTGTTATCTTTAAAGTGGAGACAGACGATGTCCCCACATCAGAGGGCCACTGAGGGTGACCAAATGGGACAAAGCACACCGAGGGTAGTAAGACGCTGCCTGGCACACGCAAGGCGCCCATCGGTGCTGCTGTGGCCACAGTCATTGTCCACACACAGCAGGTGTTTGTGGCCATCTGGTGACAGTGCATCCTGGGGAATGGTCCCCTGGGTCTCCCTGTTCTTGGCCACGTGATTTGAGTAGAATCACCTCTACTCCAGCCCCAGAGGCAGCTCTTGAGCGTGGGCTGATGTCAATCACTGACTAATATCATCCTGGCCACAGAGAGCCCCTAGGGGATTGGCACGTGAGCCAATCAGAGCCAATGAGATTTGAGGAAATGCCTCCTCTCTCTGGAGGAATCAATCACCAGAGGAGGCGCCCGCTGTCCCCTGAATGACACAGTGGAAGGTGGATCGCAGGGAAGCCACTGTGTGGCACAAGGGAGTGACGGGAGACAGCTGGTGGGAGGCTTGGTATGGGGGAGCCACATCAGGAAGGCAGTGCAGACAGGGCGGAGACCCCTGCACCAAGCCTCCCCTGCAGCCCAGTTCCTAATAGACTCCCAAGATCGGATTAGCCAGGTAGAGCTGGGCTTTCCATTATTTGCAATTCAAAGATTTTTTTTTTTTTTTTTGAGATGGAGTTTTGCTCTTGTTGCCCAGGGTGGAGTTCAATGGTGCAATAGCAATATCGGCTCATTGCAACCTCTGCCTCCCAGGTTCAAGTGATTCTCCTGCCTCAGCCTTCCGAGTAGCAGGATTACAGGCACCTACCACCATACTTGGCTAATTTTTTTTTTTTTTGTAGAGATGGGTTTCACCATGTTGGTCAGGCTGGTCTCAAACTCCTGACCTTGTGATCCACCTGCCTCCGCCTCCCAAAGTGCTGGGATTACAGACGTGAGCCACTGTGCCCGGCTGTCATTTTTGTATTTTTAGTATAGATGGGGTTTCACCATGTTGGCCAGGCTAGTCTTGAACTCCTGACCTCAGGTGATCCACCCGCCTCAGCCTACCAAAGTGCTGGGATCACAGGCATGAGCCACTGCACCCAGTCATAATGCAAAGATTTCTAATGGTTAAAGTCATCAAACCTCAAATTATTTCCTAATTATGAAAGCTGAAACTAAGCCACGGTCATGGATGCTCTAACAGCTTCGATGACAAAATCAGGCTCTGGCAGGAACAGACAGAGAATCCTTAGGCTCTAGACTGCTGAGTCACAGCCTGGAACAAGAGGACCCCACTAAGGCAGGCTCCTGACCACCCCCACCCCACTCCCGCCGGCATGGAAGAATCAGGCCCCTGCCGCTTATTTCCTCGATGTAGCAAAGGGTTCAGACCTTAGAACAGCTGCCAGTAGCCCTCCCTGGGGCCTGCCTTGCAGGAGGGGAGTGGCCAGCCGCAAGAAACAGCAGCAGCCGAAGCACACAGAGGTCGGTGGGCAGAGCCTGGGGAGGCTGGAGGCAGGGGCCAGGGCTGACCTCACCCCCTCTGCCCACCACACGGGGCTGTGGAAAGACAACAGTAAATGCAGGGACAACTGCAAGAGAGACCCTTGGAGGGACCATGACCCAGTTCCTGGAAGACCACTGCCTTCAAGCCGCCAGCCCAGACCCTCTTATCAATAGAAATGAAACTGGCCATCTGACATCATCGCACCTGCAGGGCTGAGGCCTCGGAGGGGCAGCCCCAGGCTCACCGCCCTCAGCTCTTCCTGTATGAACAGCCGACTGGCCCTGACAGACCACTTACATCTCAATGAGTGCTGCCAGGGCCTCCTGGCTCTGCTTTGCCATTGAACAGTTTCATGGTCTTTGACCCAGAACCTCTAACTACATAACCATAGTGGTATTTGTAATTTAAGGGGTGAGGCTTAGAACTATTTACATAACTTTATAACTATCCCTCTATATTTTCTATAGCTTTTAGGGTGCTGTTTTACATTACACATTGAATCAGGCCAGGCGCAGTGGCTCACACCTGTAATTCCAGCACTTTGAGAGGCCGAGGCAGGTGAATCACCTGAGGTCAGGAGTTCGAGACAAGCCTGGCCAACATGGTGAAACCCTATGAGACTCTAGAGCCTGAGGCAGGAGAATCGCTTGAACCTGGGAGGCAGAGCAGAGAGCTGAGACTGCGCCACTGCGCTCCAGCCTGGGTGACAGAGCGAGACTCTGCCTCAAAAATAATAATAAAATTAAAAATAAAAATAAAATATTGAATAAAGCTGGTATACAGTCAGCTCTCCACACCCACAGATTCAACCAACCACAGGCAGAAAGTATTGGGGAAGAAAACAAAAAAAAAGAGACAGTTAGAAAGAACACAAGGGAAAACAATACCACGTATCCACGGTTTACACAGCATGGATGTCATATTCGGTGTTGTAAGGAATCTAGAGATGAATTAAAGTGCAGGGTGTAGGCGGCTGGGCGCGGTGGCTCACACCTGTAATCCCAGCACTTTGGGAGGCCAAGGTGGGCAGATCCCTTGAGGTCAGGAGTTTGAGACCAGCCTGGCCAACATGGTGAAACTCCGTCTCTACCAAAAATATAAACATTAGCCGGGCATGATGGCACATGCCTGTAATCCCAGCTACTTGGGAGGCTGAGGCAGGAGACTCACTTGAACCTGGGAGGCAGAGGTTGCAGGGAGCCAAGATCATGCTACTGCACTCCAGCCTGGGCAACAGAGGAAGAATCCATCTCGAAATAAATAAAAATAAAAAATAAAGTGCATGGGGGATGCTCGTGGGTTATGTGCAGATGCCACACTGTTTCATATCTGGGACTGGACATCCTTGGATTTTGGTGTCCTCCGGGGTCCTGGTGACGAAGGAGACCTAAGCATCAAAGACCACCTCCCCCTTAACTTCCACACTGCATTTCAATAGAAGTAAAGGCTGGCAGACCGGGTGCCATGTTTAAGCGCCCTCCTGTAGATCACAGGCATGCTATGCAGGAATCTTTCGGGAAGGCACTGATTTTACTTAAACACAATCACACCCCCATCTAAGTCACCTACCCCACGGCTACTCCATGGACCAAGACCTTTTCATATGTAATTTCTGGAGCTGTAAGTCCAAGACCCTCTGCGTGCAATTTCTAGAGGGTAAGCCTTTATAAGGGCAGGGATTTTCTTTGTTCGGGGGCTTGGCTATTTGGGGCATCCAGACCCACCACAGCAGCCCCCGGCCAAATAATTCACCACTTCCTTCCCAGTTTGGTGTTCGAGAGGTTTGTTTCTCGGCCCTTCGTGCTTTAATGGAACCAATACCCTGTGGGCACCAAGGATCCACTGTGTATTTCAGGGTGAGTACAAGATGGGAGTCTATGCTGTTCTACCCCAATGCTGAGCCCACGATTCAGACGCCCCGTGTTCCACACCCGGTGTACACCCTGACCAACACATGCGGTGCCATGGAGCTCACGTCTGAAGCTTGGCACACACCCCCAGGTCACGCCTCTCTGTTACTCCGTGGGAATCTTTCCATCCATGTACGTTTACAGCTTTACTATAAATCTCCCATCCATTTTTCTTCCCTCTCACATCCGTTAAGTAATCTCACCAATGTATAGTTTAAAATCTTTCTGTCAAGTTCCAAAAATACAAAACCAGGCTAGGTGCGGTAGTTTATGCCTGTAATCCCAGTACATTGGGAGGCTAGGGCGGGAGAATCACTTGCGCCAGGAGTTTGAGACCAGCCTGGGTAACATAGCAAGACCCCATCTCTAGCAAAAATTTAAAGAATTCACTGGGCATGGTAGTTGTGAGAAGTAAAAAAGTTCCTCTTTAAAGTTACCTTTCTTGTTAAAGAATAAGTGTGCTAATAACTTTGTTAAGCCCTATCCCATGTAGCTGTTAGATATGCCGTGCTTACAGGCATGTAGTACATTCTACATCCTTGTACTTTAACCAAGATATCTGTGCTGGATGTGCTCACAGGCATGTCCCAGCTCTCCATTGCTTTTACCTGTTTAGAAAAGTTTTAAGTTATTAGCCATCGGGTTTTAGTTTAAATGGTGAGGTCTGGCTCCAACCAATGGAGCTCAGACACAGCAGTGAGGACGATCCCAAATGCGTAAGGGATAAATGTGTGTGTTTTCCTTTGTTCAATGTACTCTCATGGCAGGATGGCTAGTGAGGGTACCCTTCCTGCAGTCCAGTAAGTAAAAATTGCATTGCTGAAAGATGCTTCGTCTCAGTGCTGGTTTTTCTTTGCAGTACCCAGCATCTATTTCCAACAGTAGTGCACACCTGTAATCCCAGCTACTCGGGAGGCTGAGGCAGGAGGATTGCTTGAGCCCAGGAAGTCAAGGCTGCAGTGAACTATGATTTTGCCACTGCACTCCAGCCTGGGACATAGAGCAAGACCCTGTCTCAAAATAAAACAAAACCAAAACCATCAAACACATTCAGAGCTATACTACTGTTATACATGAATTAGTTGGTTAGTTAACACATCACTCTGGGTGAGAGCAGACACCTGCGAAGTACTAAACCTCCCACATTCTCTCTGGGGAAGGGCCCACCTCTCCATGGACTTTATCATCTGCAGAGCCCCAGAGCTTTGTCCTCACATGTCCTATAAATCATATCTTTATTTCACAAATTGGTTCTCACATTTTTGTTGCTATTGTGAATGAGCTCTCCACCCGCACTGTGCCTCAGGTATGGTAAATCCAGCTCGTGTAGATGCTGCCTGCATTTCCCAAGTGCTGCAGAAGCGGGCTCACGGCCAAGCCCCCGCCCACAGAGGAAAGAGCACACCTGGCTCAAAGGCTTCTGCCTACACCTGAGACCTAGGGCTGCTTGCAGGTGGCGGAAGCCCCGGAAATCACTGTTCAATGCACACATGACCGTCTCATGGGGGGTTGTGGGGAGGCAGGCAGCAGCGTGGGGAAGGTGGAAGAGCCCATTGATTTTTTACTCTATAAAAAAGGAATCAGGCCGGGCACGGTGGCTCACGCCTATAATCCCAGCACTTTGGGAGGCTGAGGCGGGTGGATCATGAGGTCAAGAGATCGAGACCATCCTGGTCAACATGGTGAAACCCCATCTCTACAAAAAATACAAAAATTTGCTGGGCATGGTGGTGCGTGCCTGTAATCCCAGCTACTCAGGAGGCTGAGGCAGGAGAATTGCTTGAACCCAGGAGGCGGAGGTTGAGGTGAGCCGAGATCATGCCATTGCACTCCAGCCTGGGTAACAAGAGTGAAACTCTGTCTCAAAAAAAAAAGGTAATCAACTTCACAAGCATCACTCTTCAATGTATGAAACTCCTTTGCTTTTCCTCAAAAGCAAAAGTCCTTTTATTACATGTGTTAGTTTCATTTTTTATATTATTAGTGAATCCTATAATACACCTAAATGTTATAGAAAAAGTCAGGATTTTGGCTAGGCACAGTGGCTCACGCCTGTAATCACAGCACTCTGGGAGGCCGAGGTGGGTGGATTATTTGAGGCCAGGAGTTTGAGGCCAGCCTGGCCAACATGGTAGAACCCTGCCTCTACCAAAAATACAAAAAAAAAAAAAATTAGCTGGGCATGGTGGGAGGCACCTATAGTCCCAGCAACTCAGGAAGAGTCGCTTGAACCCAGGAGGCGGAGGTTGCAGTGAGTTGAGATTGCGCCAGTGCACTCTAGCCTGGGCAACAGCGCGAGACTCCATCTAAAAAAAGAAAAAAGGATTTCAACTTCCAGAAACCAGAGACTAAACTGACTGAGCAGGGCTTCCACTACACCCCTTTGCGGGGGCGCCATGCAAGACCTCGTGTTCAGGCAGAGGTCAGGTCCGGCCCCCACCTGCCTGGACTCCCCTGGGCTCTCTGAAGTGAGCCTCGTGGGGCTTTATCCAAGTGAGCGCAGCCAGGTTAGGCTTCTCCAGGTGTCCAGGGGAACAGCTGCACCGTGTAAGAAGGCAAGTGAGGGCAAGCACAATCAAACTGAAATTCACCACTAGCAGAACGTCCTCCGAGTCATAAGTACCAAGCCTGAATCGGCGCTGCTCTGTCACAGCCCAAGGTTGACCCGAGAGCGCCCTTCCTGGGCAGCCTTCCTTGGCTGACCGAGACTCGAGGGCTGGAAGTGCCAGGTGGCTCTGCTGGGATGCAGGGGGTGGTGGGGAGCATTCTGTCCAACTGTCGACTTGGGCTACCTGCTGACAGTCTGCAGAAGGCACGCTGGCGGCCTCACACAGGGCTGCGTCCTGCTTCCTTCTCTTGCTGAGCATGGCATTAGCAGCTTCCCACTCATCGGACATGAGGTCTACAGTAGCATCTACCAAAACCTCTGATGCAGCTCCCTGTTGAAACACGACCCCTTCAGACAGGGCAGGGATGTGCACCCCACACACAGCTTCAGCAGACTCACACTGACCCCACCTCAGGAGCCACCTCCTCTCCGAAAGGCCCAGGCAGGGACACCCACGGTGGGCACTGACCAGCTCCCCAGCACCCTCTGCCTTCAGGGCCCACGGGCAGGAGGGCGTGGGGAGACCAAGAAGCAGCTCCTGCAGACAGGCAGGGCAAATCCACGTAAGAGAAGAACTGCCCACGCCAGAGACGGCACCCTGCCAGGCTCCCAGAGCCCCTGGGCCTCCACCCGAATGACTGGGCTTGTACTCAGAGCACAGACGCACTGCAGAGACCCACGTGGAGAGAACAGGCAGGTGCCGGTACCCCAGGTCCAGCCGGGCCAGGCCTCCTGAGCCCCCAGAGCAGTGGGCATGCTCATCCAGCACCTCCCTTCCCCACCAGGCACCGCCAGGAGACCTCACAGTCAGACGCAGCAGGTAGCTAAGCAAGGGAAGCTCCACCAAAGCCTGCGTCCCGTCCATGCCTCCAACCCAAACAGCCCTGCTCCAGCGGAGTCTCCTTTTCCCTCATCGGGAACCACAGCCCAGCAGCCAAGCCCAGAGCCTCTCGAGGGGAAGAGCCTGCAAAGGGCACCCAGTTAGTCAGCATCCAGCAGACACCAAAGGAGAGGCCACGCAGAGGACAGCTGTGCCAGGGGCCGGCGTGGGCCCCTCTCTGTGTGTCCTCTCCACCCACCCATGACTGCAGGTGAGGCCCAACCACCTGACTCAGCTGCAGGGCGAGGCTGGCCAGGCAGCTTGCTCACCGTCTCGGCTGCTGGGGCCACCCGCCTTGGCTCCCGGCACCTTCCTCGTCATGATTAGAATGTGGCATTCTACGCTTAGAGAACCGTCCTCTGGAACGCGGACACTGCTCTCAGCTTGAGAATTCAAAAGGCTTGCCATGGGATTGGGGACACACACAAAAACCCCTGTAAGTTAGTCACCAGAGTCACCTCATCAGCCCCGGTAAGCCAGTCACCAGACACCCCATCAGCATTCACTTTACATTCATTCTGAATTTCTCTCATGTGTGGATATGTGTATAATTAGGCTTTTTTTTTTTTTTGAGACAGAGTCTTACTCTGTTGCCCAGGCTGGAGTGCAGTGGCGCGATCTAGGCTCACTGCAACCTCTGCCTCCTGGGTTCAAGCGACTCCCCTGCCTCAGCCTCCTGAGTAGCTGGGATTACAGGTGTGCGCCACCACACCGGGCTAATTTTTGTATTTTTAGTAGACACAGGGTTTCCCCATGTTGGCCAGGCTGGTCTCAAACTCCTGAACACAAGTGATCCACCTGTCTCATCCTCCCAAAGTTTTGGGATTACAGGTGTCAGCCACCGCACCTGGCTCTAGTTCCCATTTTCTTCACCCCAGAAAGAAATCCCGCAGCAACGGCTCCCTATTCCCCACTCCTCCCAGCCAACCGCTGATTTGTGTCCTGTCTCCACGGGTGAGTCTGTGGTGGATATTTCATATCAGGGGAATCACACATGTCCTCTTGTATCTGGTGTCTTTCATTTAGCATGTTTCTGAGGCTTGTCCGTGCTGCAGCACAGACGCATATTATATTCTTTTTTATGGCTGAATACTACCCCACCGTATGTGTGTACCAGGCTTTGTTTAGCTGTTCATCCACTGACGGACATTTGGGCTGCTTCCATCGTTTGCCTGTTGTGAATAACGCTGCTATATACATTCATGCTCAAGTATTTGTTTTCATTTCTCTTGGGCATCTATCTGTAAGTGGAATCCCTGGCTCATAGGATAATTTTATGTTTAACTTTTGGACAAGCAGCCACACTGTTTTCCTCACCCGGTGAGCCACCGCGCCCAGCCTCTTTCGCTGTTCTCTTGTTTGTGTTTTTTATTCCCTTGTTCAAGATTCCCAGGAAAATGTTTTCATTCTTTTCACATCTTCAGTGTCACCTCTACATGTTACAAATTCAAACAGATTTCCACTAACAACACATTTTAAAATATTAAAAAAATAAATAAAAAATAGGCCAGGCATGGTAGCTCATGTCTGTGATCCCAGCTCTTTGGGAGGCCAAGGTGGGAGGATGGCTTGAGGTCAGGAGTTCAAGACCAGCCTGACCAACATGGAGAAACCCTGTCTCTACTAAAAATACAAAATTAGCTGGGCATGGTGGCGAGTGCCTATAATCCCAGCTACTCAGAAGGCTGAGGCAGGAGAATCGCTTGAACCTGGGAGGCAGAGGTCACAGTGAGCAGAGATTGTGCTATTGTACTCCAGCCTGGGCAACAAGAGCAAAACTCAAAACAAAACAAAACAAAGTAATTAATTAATTAAAAATAAATAACTGATAAAGTCTGTTCCTTTAGCTGGTTGCCAGTTACTGGTTTGACAGTGATTTCCTTAAACATCTAACGCCAAAACACAGAAAAGAAAAAAGAAAAAAAATCCCCTCTCAGTCCTTGTAGACTGAGCCTGAGTTGGGGTCCTCCTCCGACACTCAGCCTTCCCTGCCCACTGCCCCGAGGTCTTCTTAGCCATTCTCTGAGCCCGCAGCCTGCTTGAGTGTTTGTGTGGCTTTCTACATTCCCCATTATATTCATGGGAACTTCCTCAAAATTTTATTCTGCCAAGTAACTCAAGCTTTAGCTTTTCTTCTGTCTTTGGACAGGTTTATTGTTTGCCCCCGATGGCAACTTTTCATCACCCCGTTTCCACCCTGACGGAGTTCCAAGTTAGGTATAAAAAAGGGGTTACCCGGCCGGACACGGTGGCTCAGGCTTGTAATCCCAGCACTTTGGGAGCCAAGGTGGGTGGTCTCAGGAGTTTAAGACCAGCCTGGCCAGCATGGTGAAACCCTGTCTCTACTAAAGATACAAAAATTAGCTGGGCATGGTGGCGTGTGCCTGTAGTCCCAGTCAGTCGGGAGATTGAGGCAGAAGAATCGCTTGAACCCGGGAGGCGGAGGTTGCAGTCAGCTGAGATCAAGCCATTGCACTCCAGCCTAAGCAACAAAGCCAGACTCCATCGCCAAAAAAAAAAAAAGCAGGAGGGTTACCCAAACTTCCAGCATCCCATGTAGTCCAGGCTTGGGATGGCCTTGGTTGCTCTGGAAGAGGTACGTCTCTAAGGGAATGACACAAGCACACACACCCCAACACACACATACACCCCACCCACATACCCCAACACACACACACACCCCAACACACACACATAGCCCACTCACACACCGCAACACATATACACACCCCCCAACAAACACATATACACCCCACTCACACACCCCAACACACACAAATACACCCCACTCACACACCCCGACACACACATACACCCCACTCATACCCCGACACACACAAATACACTCCACTCACATACTCCAACATACACACACCCCAACACACACACATACACCCCACTCACACACGCCAACACACAATACACCCACTCACACACCCCACTCACACAGCCCAATACACACACCCCAACACACACATATACCCCACTCACACCCCAACACATATACACCCCACTCACACCAACACATAATACACCCCAATCACACCCCAACACACACACCCCACTCACACACCCCAACACACACACATACACCCCACTCACCCCAACATACACACACATATACCCCACTCACACACCCCAACACACATATACACCTCACTCACACACCCCAACACACACACATACAGCCCACTCACACACCCCAACACACACATATACCCCATTCACACACCCCAACACACATATACACCGCACTCACACACCCCAACACACACACATACAGCCCACTCACACACCCCAACACACACATATACCCCATTCACACACCCCAACACAAACACATACACCTCACTCACACAGCCCAACACACTCACACCCCAACACACACATACACACCCCACTCACACATCCCACAGAGCACAGCACTGCAGCTGCATCACTTCCCACCACAGCCCAATCATGGAGTGCCACCTGCCAGGAACAACAGACAGAAAACCAGCCCCAGGGCAGACACAGAAAGACAGCTTCCCCTTCTCAGCGTTCACCAAGAAACCCGGGAGCTAGGCAGGGCCCTCTGCATCTTCCCAGGCTAAGCTAGAGCCGGGAGCCCTTCTCTTCCAACCATTCTCCTTCAACATATCCAGGACACTCCCTTCGAGAGCCTCCCCTAGCACTCCAACTGGGACTCTTCCCGAGAAGGCATTCTCTTGGTGTCTAACACACCTAAGGGGCTGTTGGAGGCCATAGGGAGGCAAAAGATGTCCCGGCCACACCGTTCTAAAAAGGGCAACCTGCCAGCCAGCACATTTCCAGAGCACCCACCCTGCACCCAAAGCTTCAAAGCCCCTCTGGGCATGCACCCTCAATGCAGGGACCTACAGAAGCACAAGACATGCACATGGCAGAAACTCAGGTCCCTGCCCTGAAACTGCAAGGCACCTCAGAGCCTGGACCCTCAATGCAGAGACCCACGGAAGCATGTGACACACACAGCAGCAGCTCAGGCCCCACCCCCAGCCGCAACTTCTGGGAGGCACATGCATATTGGATCTGGTAGAAAGAAAAAGGAGGCAAAGGCCGGGCAAAGTGGCTGATGCCTGTGATCCCAGCACTCTGGGAGGCCGAGGCAGGTAGATCACCTGAGGACAGGAGTTCAAGACCAGCCTGGCCAACATGGTGAAACCCTGTCTCTACTAAATACAAAAAATTAGTTGGGTATGGTGGTGCATGCCTATAGTCCCAGCTACTTGGGAGGCTGAGGCAGGAGAATTGCTTGAACCTGGAAGGTGGAGGCTGCCATGAGCCGAGATCGAGCCATTGTACTCCAGCCTGGGCAACAAAAGTGAAACTCTGTCTCATATCTGTCTCAAAAAAAAAAAAAGAAAAAGGAAGTCGGAGGCCCCAGGAGGTATGGAACCCACAGACTCCTGCCAGAGCCAAATCAGGTGCAGAAGGGCGGCTCTGCTGCAGCCCTGTGGGCAGGTTCAATGGGCTGAGACATGGTGGCATTATCAGGGCCAGCTGGGCAGCTGTGCAGTGAGATTATCCTGGGCAGAGTGAGCAGCAGGGAGCGGGGGAGCCAGGGGCAATGCACTCACTCTTTGGACAGTCCAGGAGGCATCAGAACAGGGCTCTTCTGGGTTTTCTTGCCAACCCTCTGAGCCCAGGGACAAGCACGGGCTCCCTTCCTCCTTCAGCTCCTGCCCACACTCCATCTCTCCCTCCGGGGCCGACACCACTGTGGAGTTATTGTTCTCAGAATCTGTAACGGCAGACGAAGGAAGGATCAAATCTCAGAGAGAAGCATGGGAGTGTTAGGGAGGAAAACCCGGCATCCCCCGCTGCTCTGCCTCCGAGGTCCTGCATTGGGCCTGCTGACCTGAGCAGGGTAGGGGTTCTGCTCCAGGTGGGTAGGAGTGAGCCAGGGACCCCAGCCTTAGCACAAGGGTGAATCAGAGAGAGACCACCTGGTCCAAGCACCCAGCCCCTCCCTCCTCAAGTCCAGATCAGTGTATTCACCTGGCGCTGTACTGGGATATCACCGTACCTCGAGCACCTCTAAAACAGCCTGTTATGCTTTCCTCCCCTACCACCAACTTCCTCCTGTCTTCCCCAGGGAGGGCGATCTCCCAGTGGCGGCCCAGGGGTCTCCCACAGCTTCCATTGTCCTGGCAGTAAGATGCTCACCCACGCAGAGCTGCCACACAGACCACACAGCCCACACAGACCGCACCGAGCACCCGCTCTGCCAGCCCTGACCTCACTCCAGCCTCAGCTGCGGTGCGAACATGCTTTGTCCATCTCCACCAAAACTCGTGTTGCGTCTGATCCCCAACATGCCAGTGCTGGGAGGCAGGGCCGGTGCAGGGGGCTGTGGGTCACGAGGGCAAATCCCTCACGAATGGCCCAGTACTGTTCTCGGTGGTGGGGTCTCACTCTCGAGAGCCTGGATCACTCTCCCGGGAATGGATCAGCATCCACCAGAGTGGCTTGTTATGAAGCCAGGGCGCCCTCAGGCTTCGTCTCTCGCGGCTGTCAGCATCCCCATCAGCCTACCATGCCATGTTGTGACATGGCACAAACGCCTGCACCAGAAGCCAGGCCCAGGCCCTGGAACTTCTTCATATCCAGAACTGGGAGCTAAATAAACCTTTTTTCTTTTTCAATTACCCAGGCTCAGGTGTTCTTTCACGGCAACAGAAATGGACTAACATGCCCCTCAAGGAGATCCTGTTTTCAATCCTGGGTCTTGATGACCCCACCACTCCCTGACACACACTCCAGATGGTGCCAGGCCAAGTCTGCATTTCTGAACAGACCCTTCTCTAAGGCCCCAGGCCTGCCCCAGCTGCAGCCCTGCTCTGGGCACTTCCTCCCCACACCCATTTCTATCACCCAGTTTCGTCACTGCCCTCCCCTTCTCTGAGACCTGGAGGGAGGGACCACACAGCCCTTTTCCCTTTGAGTGCCCAGCGTTGGTGCATCCAAGAGCTCAAGAATTAATGAAGTTCGTTAGCTGGACTCAAAATTGCTAACAAATACTCTAAACATCTACATACATACACACATATGAAACATCACAGCCAGAAAGTCAGAACAGGTGTGGTGGCACACACCTGTAATCCCAGCTACTGGGGAGGCTGAGGCAGGAGAATCACTTGAACCTGGGAGGTGGAGGTTGCAGTGAGCCAAGATTGGGCCACTCCACTCCAGCCTGGCGACAGAGTGAGACTCAGTCTCAAAAAAAAGAAAAGATCGATCATTCTGAACGCCAGAGAGAATGTGAGGAGAACTCAGGCGGGGACCTGGGGTGGGGGCAGGCATCTGTAGTCCCAGCTACTGGGGAGGCTGAGGCAGGAGAACTGCTTCACCCCAGGAGGCAGAGGTTGCAGTGAGCCAAGATCGTACCACTGCACTCTAGCCTGGGGGACAGAGCTAGACTCCATCTCAAAAAAAAAAAAAAGGGCCGGGCATGGTGGCTCACGCCTGTAATCCCAGCACTTTGGGAGGCCAAGGGGGACAGATCATGAGGTCAGGAGTTCAAGACCAGCCTGGCCAACATGGTGAAACGTCGTCTCTACTAAAAAATACAAAAATTAGCTGAGCACAGTGGTGCACACCTGTAGTCCCAGCTACTCGGGAGGCTGAGGCGGGAGAAACACTTGAACCCAGGAGGCAGAGGTTGCAGTGGGCCGAGATCATGCCACCACACTCTAGCCTGGGTGACAGAGTAAGATTCCATCTCAAAAAAAAAACTACAACTAGAACTACCATATGATCCAGCAATCTCCATACTGGGCATTTATACAAAGAAAAGAAAATCAGTATATCAAAAGGATGTGTGCACTCCTTCCATATGTTCACTATATGGAATCCACTTGACTATCCAACAACGGATGGCGAAGAAAATGTGGTACATATACATAATGGAATACTATTCATCCCTTAAAAAGAATGAAAATCAGCCACGTGCAATGGCTGACGCCTATAACCGCAGCGCTTTGGGAGGCAGAGGCAGGCAGATACGTGGGGTCAGGAGTTCAAGACCAGCCTGGCCAACATGGAGCAACCCTGTCTCTACTAAAAAATACAAAAATTAGCTGGGCGTGGTCGCATAGTCCCAGCTATTTGGGAAGCTGAGGCAGCAGAATCGCTTAAACCCAGGAGGCAGAGGTTGTGGTGTGCTGAGGACCAGCCACTGCACTCCAGTCTGGGAGACAGAGCAAGACCCTGTGTCAAAAAAAAAAAGAAGAAGAAGAAAGGAAGAGAAATCCCATCATTCACAACAATAGGGGTGGAACTGGAGATCATTATGTTAAGTGAAATAAGCCAGGAACAGAAAGTTCAACCCTGCATGTTCTCACTCATTCGGAAGCTGAAAAAAAGTTGATCTCATAGAAGCAAAAAGCAGAACAGAGTACACTAGAGGCTGGGAAGGGCAGGGGACAGTTGTGGGGACAGGGAGACATTTGTTGAAGGATAGAAAACTCCAGCTGGATGCGAGGAATGCATTCTAGTGCTCTACAGCCCTGCAGATGTCTACGGTTAGCAATAATGTATGACATTATTTCAAATAGCTAGAAAGAGGGTACTGAAGGTTCCTAACACAAATGATCACTGTTCCAGAGACAGATATGCTAATAACCCTGATCACTGTACATTACATGTATCAAAACATCACTACATATCCCATAAATATGTACAATTATTATGTGTTAATTTTTAAAAGAACATAACAATATTCAGTGAACCACGCTCTAAACACGCGCTATCACCAGGCTTTGCTGTTCCATGTCAAGAGCATAGGCAGAGTAGATTTGACATAATTTTTTTTTTTCAGACAGAGTCTTGCTCTGTCACCCAGGCTGGAGTGCAGTGACCCGATCTCTGCTCACTGTAACCTCCACCTGCCAGGTTCATGCAATTCCTTGCCTCAGCCTCCCAAGTAGCAGGGATTACAGGTGCTTGCCACCATGACTGGCTAATTTTTGTATTTCTAGCAGAGACAGGCTTTCACCATATTGGCCAAGCTGGTCTTGAACTCTTAACCTCATGATCCACCTGCCTTGGCCATGCAAAGTGCTGGGATTACAGGCATGAGTCACTGCGCCCAGCCTTTTTTTTTTCTTAAGACAGAGTCTCACTCTGTCACCTTGTCTGGTGTGCAGTGGCAGTCTTGAACTCCTGACCTCAGGTGATTTGCCCACCTCGGCCTCCAAAAGTGTTGAGATTACAGGCATGAGCCACTGCGCCCGGCCAATACCCCTGATCTTAATGTGCCAAGGTCATTCACAGTCACCACACCCTGCCAGAATTGGCATCATTCTTAAGAGCCCTAGAATGTTCTAAATGGTAAATGGCCTCTCAACTTTAAGTCATCAGTTCCATTAGCCCCTACCAAGAGAGTCAGCCTGTCCTTTAAAGCTCTGAAGTCAGGCACTGACTTCTTCTCTCTAGCTATGAAAGTTCTAGATGCCATCATCATCCAATACTATGCTGCTTCATCTGCATTGAAAATCTGCTGTTTGCCAGGCGTGGTGGCTCACACCTGTAATCCCAGCACTTTGGGAGGTGGAGGCAGGTGGATCATGAGGTCAGGAGATCAAGACCATCCTGGCCAACATGGTGAAACCGTCTCTACTAAAAATACAAAAAAAATTAGCTGGGCATGGTGGCAAGTGCCTGTAGTCCCAGCTACTCGGGAGGCTGAGGCAGGCGAATCGCTTGACCCTGGGAAGCAGAGGTTGCAGTGAGCTGCGATCGCACCACTGCACTCCAGCCTGGGCAAAAGAGCAAGACTCCATCTCAAAAAGAAGAAGAGAAAAGAAAAGAAAGACCTCCATCAGTGACCTCAGCCAGATCTTGTGGAGAACTTACTGCAGTTCTGCACCAGCACTCGTGGCTTCACCTTGCACTTCATGTTACGGGGATGACCGCTTTCCTAAAACCTCAGGAACCAATCTCTGCTAGCTTCAAACTCTTCTCTGCAGCTTCCTCAACTCTGTCAGCCTGCACAGAATTGGAGTTAGGGCTTTGCTGTGGATTCAGCTGTGGCTTAAGGGAATGCTGTGGCTGGTTTGATCTCTCCAGACCTCTCACACTCTCTCCATGTCAGCAATAAGGCTCTTTCACTCTAATCATTTGTGTTCGCTGGTGTAGCACTTTTTTTTTTTTTTTAAGACGAAGTCTTGCTCTGTTGCCAGGCTGAAGTGCAGCGGCATGATCTCGGCTCACTGCAACCTCCAAATTAACTGAGGGTGGTGCAGCATGCCTGCAATCCCAGCTACTTGGGAGGCTGAGGCAGGAACATTGCTCGACCCGGGAGGTGGAGGTTGCAGTGAGCTTAGATGGCACAGTGACCCTGGATGACAGGGCAAGAGTCTGTCTCAAAACGATGAAATAAAATTGAAAAAAAATAAAGTGAGAGGCATGAGGCTCTTCTTTCCACTTGAGCACTTAGAGACCACTATAAAGCTTTGTTTTTCTTTCCTTTTTTTGAGACAGGGTCTCACTCTGTCACCCAGGCTGGAGTGTAGTGGGACAATCATGGCTTACTGCAGTCTCAACTTCACAGGCTCAAGTGATCCTCCTGCTCCGACTAACTCTTGTGTTTTTTTCTTATTTTTATTTTGTGGAGATAGGGCTTCACCATGTTGCCTACGCTAGTCTTGAACTCCTGGACTCAAGTGATCTATCCACCTCGGCCTCCCAAAGTGCTGGGATTACAGGCATGAGCCACCACGCCTAGCAAGGTCACCACCTTTTGATCCATGTTTCAGCCAACCAAACAAAGGGTCAGAGCCCTTCCTACCGCCACCAGCTGCAGCACCAAATGCACAATCTCTGCTAGTGGCCCACACTCATAAACTCAACCTGACCCAACGTTCTGTCATTCGGGAACCCACTGTCTCCAGCCTGGCCAGCGTCTTCCCATGTCCCTATCCCAACTTGAATGATCCCATCCTTTGTCACCTCATGTCCTCACTTTTTTTTCCTTTTTACATAGAGATGGAGTCTTTCTACATTGTCCAGGCTGGTCTCAAACTCCTGGGCTCAAGCGATGCTCCGACCTAAGCCTCCAAAAATGCTGGGGTTATAGGTGTGAACCACGGCATCTGACCCAGGTGCCCCCACCTTCAAAGAAGACACCCAGCATGCTGAGAGCTCAGCCTTTGTTGTAACTCAGCCAATCGCATGAGAGCTAGTGCTCCATTGTCTACAATTTCAACCCTGTGGCTACAGAAGAGAAGAGTCCGACCCAGGGCACACCAAGAAACTCTCAGATCATTTATGTGGAGCTGCAGCACAGACACTGAATTCCTGAGTTCATTCTTTTCCCCACTTTCTCAGTGATGCTGGGAGCAATGAAACAGCATCATTCTATTTTTTGGTTTTCGATACATGTTCAAAAGCATCACACACAGAGACATCAAATTCCTGGCCTCTTACAAGTGGTGAATTGGGAGTCTCGAGTGCATTTGCTTTCCATGCTTCTATAAACAGTTCATGCTGCAAAATACCAGTGCTCTCTGCACTTTTATTAATAGAAGTAGAGCCCTTAGGCTGGGTGGGGCAACATGCCTATAATCTCAGCACTTTGGGAGGCCAAAGCAGGTAGATCACCTGAGGTCAGGAGTTTGAGATCAGCCTGGCCAATGTGGCAAAACCCCATCTCTACTAAAACTACAACAAGCTGGGCATGGTGACGCACATCTGTAATCCCAGTTACTTGGAGGCTGAGGCAGGAAAATCGCTTCAACCCAGGAGGCAGACATTGTGGTGAGGCAGAGGTTGTGGTGAGCCACGACTGTGCCATTGCACCTCAGCCTGGGCAACAAAAGCCAAAAACTCGGCCGGGCGCAGTGGCTCATGCCTATAATCCCAGAACTTTGGGAGGCCAAGGCAGGCAGATCACGAGGTCAGGAGTTCCAGACCAGCCTGACCAATCATGGTGAAACCCTGTCTGTACAAAAAATACAAAAATTAGCCAGGCATGGTGGCACGTGCCTGTAATCCCAGCTACTTGGGAGGCTGAGGCAGGAGAATGCCTTGAATCTGGGAGGTGGAGGTTGTGGTGAGCCAAGATTGCGCCATTGCGCTCCAGCCTGGGCAAAAAAAGTGAAACTACACCTCAAAAAAAAAGCCAAAACTCCCTCTCAAAAAAAAAAAAGAACATGGAAGGACTGGGGCTCACACCCCGACCCCTAAACTTGAAAGGCAACATTGGAGAGGCCCCACAGCAAGCAGCTGGGCAAAGAGTGAAAGAGGGGAGGGAGGGAGCCAGGCCACCCCCTGGGGAAGGGTGGTGCAAAGGCCCTGTGGTCAAAGTACACCTAATGTGTCCAGGAAGAGCCAGGAGGCAGTGGGCTCTGGGACAGGAGAGGGAGCAGGAGGAATGGGGTGGGCCACCGTAAGGCTCCTGCTTGTCCTGAGTTAAACCGGGCGGGGGGGGGGGCCTGGGAAGGGGGTCTGTGGTTTGATCATTTGCTGGCTGAGCATAAACAGGAGGACTTATGTGTGGAGGTGATGAGACCAGCAGGGGCGTCTGCATTGCATGGAGGAAGGAGAGGGCCCAGGTGTGGAGGGTCGGGCAAAAGCAGCTGGAAGAACAAGGTGCCCTCATCAGTCGAGGTGGGGCTGGGCTTTGGACACAGAAAGGCTGAAGGTCTTGGGGGCTGCTAGTTATAGGGTTGGTGTTTAAAACCCCTGAGGAGGGTAACCAGTCTGAGGCCCCAGAAGCCAACAAAATTGAGGAAGGACCCAAGATGGGCCTGCCCTACAATGCCCTCCTCCTGTCTCTCCACCGGCCTCCTGAGCCAGGGAGATGCCTGGGCAGGTCCCAGGGCCCCTCATGGCCCTCACGGCCCCTCACAAACTAACCCCTGGCAGAGCTCTCATCCCTGCAAAGCCGCGAACTCTGCTCCTCTGCAGCAGCCTCTGAGACCCACTATGAAGCCCTCAGCTCAGCCTAAAACACTTATCGTTCCCAAAGGGAGGAAGAACTCTTGAGTTCTCTCTAGGAAATGAAACTGAAATTTCACAAAAGGGGAGGAAACCTCTAGCAGAAGCCCGACAAAACTTCTTGAGCGCCCCTTGCCACAGAGGACCTCAGCCCCACCTGGCTGCCTGCTGGCCAGGATTTCCATTTCTTAGAAGGGAGGTGAGATGCCTCTGGGGGTCCCCACCGGCCCAGCCCCCACCAGCACCCAGGCCTCACCTGCTACAGGGGCTGCAGGAGGCAGCCTCTCTCCACACTGGCTGCAGAACCTGGGAGATTTCTCCGTGGAGACATGCTGGCACGAAGGACACTCCATTCGTCCTGCTAGGACTCTCAAGACCAGCGCCCGTGCCCTGCAGATCCAGAAGGAACAGCTGGAGTTGCCGGCAGCCCGCTATATACCACGCCTCCTGTCACATGACCACGGGTTCGGTTTCATTTTCCGGGAAAGTTAAATCTCAGCAGCCCAGCAGGTCCCCTGGTTAATCGAAACCCAACAGGAGCACATCCCAAGCCCAGCTCCTCCCCCATCTCTACTGCCCCGTAGTGGCTTCTAAGCTTTCGCAGTCTCTGCCCTGGTCCCTCACTGAGTCAGCCTAGAACGGTTTCTGCTGCTAACAACGTGGTTTGGGCCAGGTGGGGATAGAGGATGCTCCAGGCAGGCATGGGGCAGCCACGTGCTGTCCAGCGGGGTCCCACAGCCTGCCCTGAGCAAGGCGCTCAGCCTCCTGGTGCCTCACCCTCCTCATCCTCTACAGGAGACTAGGGCACCTGCCCCCAGGGGGTGAGCAGGAGGCCAAGAGCTACTGGGCTGGCAGTCAGATTCCTAGTAAGGGGGGGGCTGCTGTCCACGAAGTACCTCACTCTGCACTGACGACGTGCCCTCAGAACAGCCTCTGTGGTGGTGGCATCAAACCAAGGTGATGGTCACAGCCAGTCCAGACCAAGGCCAAGACTCAGGCCAGCACCCCCGGCCTCCAGGGTGAGAGTGGAGATGGCGTTTAGGCTCCTGGCCACCTAACGGTGGAGGAGCTGACTCTCTGCTTCCCCAGTAAGAAGCCACAGGGGCACTGGTCCACCCACCACCTTCTTCTGGCTTCAAACCAAAAACTCCACTGGGGCAGTGGCTGGAGGGCAGCAGAGTGGTGCCTTCAGCAGCCGGGAGGACACTCAGGCCCCTCCCTGCTCTGGCCCTGTCCTCTCCTCCCACTGGGTCTCGGTGTCAGTGGGTAAGCTCATGCAGGCAGGGCCTGAAGGAGGCATGGAGGTGCTAAGTGGCGGTTCCCTGGCTTCACCTGTGTGGGACACTAATGTACGCCACTTCAAAACAGACTGTGTGGCAAATTTTGCGATGGCAATTTAGAGAAACCGCAGACTTGGGAGCAGTTCTGAGAAGCTGTCACCCAGGTTGTAGGGCAGTGGCACGACCTCAGCTCACTGCAACCTCCACCTCCCGGGTTCCACTGATTCTCCGGCCTCAGTCTCCCAAGTAGGTGGAATTACAGGCGTGCACCACCACACCCGGCTAATTTTTTGAGTTTTCAGTAGAGATGGGTTTCACCATACAGGCCAGGCTGGTCACGATCTCCAGACCTCAGGTGATCCGCCGCCTAGGCCTCCCAAAGTGCTGGGATTACAGGCCTGAGCCACCGCTCCCGGCCCCCTGAAGCATCTTACTGTTCCATCTGCTGTCCTAGGGGTTGAAAGACTCAAGAGAGCACCCTAGGCACCCAACACTGATGCATTCGATTCATTTCCTGCCTTTTCTCTGCCATTTTTCCGCCACACACAGACACTGCCGCTCAAATCAAAGCCCATCCCCCAACCGTAACCGAAGTAAACAAGGTGGGGGCAGGGAGGGGTCCCCGCCGCTTCGGCCTCGGACTGCCCCAGGGCCCCGCCCGCCGGCTTTCAGGCGGCAACAGGGAGGGGCGCCCACCCTGGCCTTGAGCCCCGCACTCGGACGACTTTCGCGGAGTTGGGAGGACGCTGCGCGGTGCGGTTTCGGGGCGGCGATGCCTCCCGCGTAAAAGTTAGGGGTCTCTTTTAGTGGCTTCACTTTTCAGTTGTTGCCATTTGTGCAGGTTCTCGGGCGGAGCTGCAGGCCCTGGTCGGCCGTCCCCGTCCACTACCCGCCCATGCCCTGGCTACTTAACGGGGACGGCACCGCCGGGCGCAAAGTCTCCTCCCAGCCCCAGGCTGGGCGGGTCGGGGGCGTCCTGTGCCCCGGGGATGGCGCTGGGGTCCCAGGGATGCCCACTGCCCCCGCCCCGGTCCCCACCTCGGTCCCTACCCGAGTCCCGCCCGCAGCCGGGGAGCAGGGTCGGAGCGCGCAGCGGGGCGGGGCTGGACCCTGCGCCCCGGCGGCAAAACCGAAACTTGGAGCCAGCAGGAAGAGGCGGCCGGGAGGAGCATCTGGACGCAGGCGCCGCTAACCTGGGACCCGGCCCGCCCGCCCACGGGCCCCCCTGCTCCCCGCCCGCTCGCACCTGCCACCCCCCCGAGTTCGCCGCCGCCACCGGCCGCCGCGCGCAGTCGCCCCCCGGGTCGCCAGGCCCTGGGCCTGGGCCCGCCCCCGCCCCGCCGCCGCTGGGCCCGCGCAGGCGTGGCCGGAATTCCCCGGCGGTGGCGCCTCCCAGTGACTGTGCAACCCAAGCCCGGGGAGGCGTCTCGGGCACTGCGCGCATCCGAGGGGTGCGGGCGCGGGCGCGGGCGGGGCCCCGGTTTCCGCCGGGCAGAGCGAGCAGCCGAGTCGGGCGGGACAGGTGCGCCCCCTCCCTAGGCGCCCAGCACCTCCGACAGGGTCGGCCCAGGGGACGCCAGGCGGGTGCCCTGGAGGTCGCCAGCGCGCCGCGTGGGGCCTTTGCGGATTAAGGGACCAGCTCAGCCGATGACGCCGGAGACCAGCCCCGCACCGGGCGCTCAGTCACTGATGATGGAGAGGCCACCCCGGTCCGCGCCATCCCCCATGCCTCAGTTTCCCCATCTGTGAGGCTCAAAGTGTAGCCAGGGACCTCCGTTTTTTCCTTCCTTCAGCCTCATCCTGAAACAATTTCAGGCGGGAGCCCCGGCGGAATCCTCCTGCTTAGGGGGAGGCGGTCGCCAACAATTACTCCGACATCCTCGCTAGCCACCCGTCTTGAGGAACAAGACAAGGACCCCGCCCCCTTCCCACTCCCTCTGGCTCTAAAACCTGATAGCAGCCTGAGCAACAGAGGGAGACCCCATCTCTACAAAAAAATCATTTTGAAAAATTACCCGGCAGCCCACCTGTAGAGGCTGAGGCAGGAGGATCGCTTGAGACCAGGGAGCTCCAGGCTGCAGTGAATGGTGATAGAACCACTGCACTCCAGCCTGGATGAGTGATATTATCTCAAAAACTTGTCTGATCTTATCAGACAAAAACCTGAGGGCAAATTTTTAATTTTAAGATGACGTTTTATATTTTTATTTCTATTTTGGAGACAGAGTCTCATTCTCTACCCCAGGCAGGAGTGCAATAGTGCAATATTGGCTCACTGCAACATCCACCTTCGGCTTCAAGAGATTCTCTTGCCTCAGCCTCCCTAGTGGCTGAGATTACAGACGGCGGCCACCACACCCGGCTACTTTCTGTGTTTTTAGTAGAGACTGGGTTTCACGTCTCAAACTCTTGACCTCAGGTAGTCCAACCCCCCTCAGCCTCCCAAAATGCTGGCATTACAGGTAGGCCACTGCGTCCAGCCAAGGTGACAGTTTAGAATGGTGGTTGGTCATCCTCTCGCTTTGCTGGGTCTCCAATTAAAAGCTGCTTTTCGGCCGGGCGCGGTGGCTCACACCTATAATCCCAGCACTTCGGGAGACCGAAGCGGGTGGATCACGAAGTCAAGAGATCAAGACCATCCTGGTCAACAAGGTGAAACCCCGTCTCTACTAAAAATATAAAAATTAGCTGGGCATGGTGGTGCGCGCCTGTAGTCCCAGCTACTGGGGAGGCTGAGGCAGGAGAATTGCTTGAACCCAGGAGGTGGAGGTTGCGGTGAGCCGAGATCGTGCCATTGCATTCCAGGCTGGGTAACAACATTGAAACTCCATCTCAAAAAAAAAAAAAAGCTGCTTTTCCCTCCCACCAATCCTGACTGCATGGCTGCACTCCGGCCTGGATGACAGAGTGAGGCCTCGTCTCTAAACAGTGAATTTCAACTGTTTCTTTCAATGTTTTATATGACTAGCAGAAACGTTTAAATGACTTGTGTGGCTCATATTGGTGGCTTGCATGATTTTTCTGTGGGACAGTGCTATCTCCGGGGTCACAGTCTGCCCCTGGCACAGCCCTACCAGCTGCTGCAGCAGGTACACTAAGCCCTTGGAGCCTTGCCTGTTGTCCAAGTAAGTAACAGTGCTGGGCCGGGATGCTGCTCAGCAGGGTGCCCTCCTCCGCTCTGCCATTTTCACCCCATGGCTTTGGAGGGGGTTAAGCGAGCTCTGAATGAAAAGACCCCTTAAACAGGCTTTGTGTGAGCACAAGGCTGTTTATTCACTGAGTGTGGGTGGGCTGATTCTGAAAAGAGAGTCAGGGGAGGGTGGTGGGATAGGAGCTGGTTTTATAGGTTTGGGGAGGCAGTGGAAAGCTGCAGAAGTTACAGTTCAGGGCGGTTTTTACAAGCGGGGCAGGGGGTGTTGCCAGGAGAGAGGGGGGCGTGTCACAAGGTCCAGGGTCACAGTGTTTGGTTATCTGTTAAGGCAGGAATGGCTGAGGCAGGCCCAATGGTACAATGTCTCAAGGTCGGTTAATTGGGCTTTGCAGGAGCTAGCCATTCTTCTTACCTCAGACTTTCGGCTCCCGGAGGCCATCCAGTGGTGTATGTGTGAGTCAATGAGTCGCCATGGCTTGACTGGGGTATGGCCTATGGTGCAGCCAGTTCAGAGAACCTTGCAGAGGGCACCCAAACAATCATCTCCATCCCAGGCAGCAGAAAGGGGGAGGGAGCTTGGGGGGAGAGGTGGTTATTGACACATAGCTTCCCGTTTATCAAATGGTATGTGTGTTTGCCAGGCTGCTGAAACATAGGACCCCAGACTGGAGGGGTTAAACATGTTGATGAAAGGACTCAGACTCTAAAATATTTGAAGAGATCTATTCTGAGCAAATATGAGTGACCATGACTGTCAAGTCTCCATATGCAAGCCTGGAGCCTGAAAGTCTGAAGTCCTGCTTGCCTTGGCGATGTCTCCCACCCACTGCCTGCATGCACCACTGTCCCTGATAGCCCAGCGGACCTTCCCCGGACAAGCCCCTCACCCAACCCTGCCTGCCATCTTAACTGTGCTTATGATAATGTAAATACCTCTCACCCAACCCTGCCATCTTAATTGTTCTTATGATAATGTAAATACCTTTCATCCAACCCTGCCATTGTAACTGAACTTGTGGTCAGGTATACTCCTTGCCCCTAACCCCACCACTGTAACTGAACTTACTCTGCAACACCCCACCCCCCAAAAAGTACCCAAACCTATAAAACCAACTCCTATCCCACTGCCCTTTGCTAATGCCATTTTCGACCTTAGCCCACCTGCACCCAGGTGAATAAACAGCCATGTTGCTCACACAAAGCCTGTTTGGAAGGTCTCTTCATTCAAAGCGCATGTTTTTCAACAACAACCTGTAACACAGACCTCAGGAGGTCCTGAGAACAGGTGCCCAAGGTGGCTGGGGTGCAGCTTGGTTTATACATTAAAACGTATAAATGAAGAATCTCTTGAGCCTGGGACAAGGAGGTTGCAGTGAGCCAAGGTCGAACCACTACACCCCAGCTTGAGCCACAGAGCGAGCCTCCACCTCAAAAACAAACAAACAAAACACACTAAAAATTTGCTGTGCACGTGGCTCATGCCTGTGGTCCTAGCTGCTTGGGAGGCTGAGGCAGGAGGATCACTTGAGCCAAGGAGCCGATTACAGTGGTCGAGCCACTGCAATCCAGCCTGGACAAGAGTGAGAACCTGTCTCTATACAAAAAACAAGGAGTCAGCACTTATACAGGTTTAGGCCCAGCCTGATCCTATATCAGGGGCCCACCCAATCCAATATGGCCTCAATTTAACTCAGTTACATCTGCAACAACTCTATTTTCTCTTTTCTTTCTTTCTTTCTTTTTTTTTTTTTTTTGAGACAGGGTCTCACTCTATTGCCCAGGCTGGAGTACAGTGACACAATCATGGCTTACTATAGCCTCAACCCCCCAGGCTCAAGCAATCCTCCTGCCTCAGCCTCCAGAGGAGCTGGGACTACAAGCCTCCCGAAGTGCAGAACTCTTTCCTAAACTTGTACACATCATTGAATTGTCGAGTCCGTGTGTTCACTCAAATAGCATTTTAAGATGAGTATCATTCTGCAACTTGCTTTTTTCCACCCCAAAATGAGTGTTACAAGTTAAAGCTTCAGCTGGGCATGGTAGTTCATGCCTGTAATCTCAGGACTTTGGAAGGCCGAGGCAGGCAGATCATGAGGTCAAGAGATCAAGAAACATCCTGGCCAACATGGTGAAACCCTGTCTCTACTAAAATACAAAAAATTAGCCAGCTGTGGTGGTACACACCTGTAGTCCCAGCTACTCAGGAGGCGGAGGCAGAAGAAACACCTGAACCTGGGAGGCGGAGGTTGCAATGAGCCAAGATCATACCACTGCCGTCCAGCCTGGTGACAGAGACTCCATCTCAGAAAAATAAATAAAAATTTAAAAGCTTCACCTCTTTTTTTGAGACAGAGTCTTACTCTGTCACAAAGGCAAGCTAATTTCTGTATTTTTACTAGAGACAGGGTTTTGTCATGTTGGTCAGGCTGGTCTCAAACTCCTGACCTTAAGTGATCACCAGCCTCGGCCTCCCAAATTGCTGGGATTACAGGCGTGAGCTGCCGCACCCAGCTTTCACCTCATTTCTTTTAACTGCTACACAATATTCCATGGTATTATTCGAGTGCCCTACTGTTAAGACATTATCAAATTGAGACACTCAGGTTTCTTCCCACTTCTTAAAAGTACTAACCAGGCTGTGATAAACATCCTTGTGCCTGCTTCCTGGAAGACTGACTCTAGCATGTTTGAGTAGATCCTGAGAAGTGTAAGTGCTGAGTCACAGGTTGTGTGCAAATTTATGAAACTGATAGTGCCTGGTGCCCGCCACAGTGAATCTGTTTCCCTTCACCATCCCTGTGAAGGAACCACGTCTAGGTTGAAGCATGGATGCACTTGGCATGTGGGTGCAAGCCACACATGGAGTGCTGCCCTTACAATCCTGGGAAGGGGGCCCAGTGAGCAGGGCTTTGGGACAGGTTCATTTTATGTAGAAAGAGAAGCTGCCTGAGGTCAGAAAGGACATGAACTGGAGGGTAGAGGTTCACTCGTGGGTGAGAGAGGGCCAGGCATGGTGGCTTACACCTTAACTGCAGCACTCTGGGAGGCTGAACCCAGAGGATTGCTTGAGCTCTGCAGTTTGAGATGAGTCTGGGAAACAAAGTGAGACCCTGTCTCTACAAAAAACTGAACAAATTAGCCTGCTGTGGTGGCATGTGTCTGTGGTCCCAGCCACAGGAGGGGCTGAGGCAAGAGGATTGCTTGAGCCCAGGAGTTCAAGACCAGTCTTGGGAGCACAGTGAGAAGACAGGGAGGGAGGAGGGAAGAAAGGCAGAAAGGGAAGAAAGAAAAGGAAACAATGGAAGGAAGAAAAGAAAAAGGAGGGAAAAAAAAAGGAGGAAAGAAAGAAGGAAGAAAGAAAAGGAAGAGAGAAAGGGCATGAAGGAAGCAAGGGAAGGGAATGAAGGAAGGAAAATGGGAGGCAAGGGACCTGGAGGAGTCATGTGGATGCAGGACGAGCCTTCCACTGGGAAGCCTCGCAGCCAGCAGCCCTGGTTCCAGGCCCTCTCCTTGCTGTGCTGATGCTGGCCGGGAAAACACGGCTCAGCAGGGCAGTGCACATTCTTCTTGAAGAAAGTGCAGGGAGAACATACCTCCAAGGCTACCACAGGCTCCTGGGATTTACCCTTAGACGTAATCAAAGCATTCATAAAAATAGAAACACACAGTCCTGGTCTGCTCAGGCTGCCATGATAAATTATCCCAGACTGCGGGGCTTAAGCCACAGGAATTCATTTTCTCCCAGTTCTGGAGGTCCTCGTGAGGCCCTGCTGCCTAGCGGGCACGTGGCCAGTTCTGGAGGTCCTCGTGAGGCCCTGCTGCCTAGCGGGCACGTGGCCAGTTCTGGAGGTCCTCGTGAGGCCCTGCTGCCTAGCGGGCACGTGGCCAGTTCTGGCAGTGTCCTCTCGTGGTGTTCCCTGGGGTGTGAGGGGGCAGAGCGAGCTCTCTGGCGTCTCTTCTCACAGGGACACTAAAGCCATTGGTACAGGGCCCCCCTTTATGACCTTCAGTAAACCCTGGTTACCCCCTAACCCCCCTGCATCCAAACGCAGTCACATAGAGGGCTAGAGCCTCTACTACGCATCTTGAGGAGACACAATCCCGTCCCCGACCCATGCACACACCGAACAGAGGGCCCATTAAGTCAATGATGGTGCACATATAGACCAATATACTTGCGGACGCTAAAAAATCAGGTATTTGAATGCGATTTATTATCACAATAAATAATTCACTGCAAATGACTGCATGAAAACTGTGGGTTCCAGAGCACCAAGTATGAAATGATCCCATGGATGTAAAGCCACGAGCACACACCCACATGCTGATGGAGGCACAGAGGCATGTGTTGGGAGGGGGTCTGGAGTGACCCCGCAAGTGGACAGGGTGGGGGAGGGCGTGCGGAGATTTCCCGCATTTTTTACAATAAGCATTTACGATTTTTACAAAATCACCAAAGTCATCACTTTTCCCATTTAGAAAACACTGAGTTATTTACTTTACATCCTTGGGCACACCTTGGTTTTCTCTCAGAGAGAACAGATGCCGTCGCCATGAGGAGCATCTGTGCTGTCCTGTCCCTCCCGCCTCCCAGATTCCTGCCTGGCCCGCCCTGACACCTCTCCCAGCCCAGGCCGGAAACCCCTGGCCCCCTACTTCCTCACTCTGTCAGTCATTCTAGAAGACTCTCCAAACCACTCTTGCAAAGAGGGTCATGCCAGGGAACAGCAGTGAGGTCATTTTTCAGTCAACCCACAGGAAGCCGGTAAGTCCCCCCATGGATCTCCAGGCCCAGCTTTCTTCTCCTCCCCGGAGTCACCTGCTCAGCAGTTTCTCAGCCAGGCCAGCATGTCTATCAGGTGGCATCCAGCATCCGATCACAGTGACAAGAACCTTCCGGAACATCCTGCAAACTGTGGGGTCCCACGGTGGCCCCACTACGCCTGCAGCAGGGTGATCTTGTGTTCTGGAGCAGAGTCTTCTCTGCTGTTATAGGGCTGGGTCCCCGGCTCCTGCCTCAGGTATTTCTCTACAGAAAATACAAGACATTTTTCAAGCACTAAAAGCTCAGAAGTGAGGATGGGTCAGTTCACGGAAGGGGGGTTTTCAGGGTCCTGGAAGGTGCACAGGAGCTGTGTCCCACTCAGGCCAGCATTACTCTCTGTGGGGGTCTCTCCTCAGTCTCTGTAAGCGTATTTTCCAGGTAACTCACGGCCCCTTCTTACTGCTCAGGGTCCCCTCCCACCCCACAGCCAGGCCACAGCTGGCTTACATCCCCAGTGCACTGCATCTGAGCTGCTTCTGCAACAACATGGGTGAATCTCCCTGACCTCACATTGAGCCAAGGAAGCCACTACGACATCCGCCTCCTGTCACTCTCACGTAGCTGACCCTGCATCAGCTGTGACCTCCCTGGAAGAGAAAGAGGCCCAGCATTGGGGCCTGGGACCCTCTGGACCTTGCTGTGTGGCCTGGGGTGGACACTCTGCTTCTCTGCTCCGTCCTCTTCTTGACACCTGCTGCTGCTCAGACCCCCTCCCATCGCTCTCTCAGGGATCAGCGCCCACCCTGCTCCTGTCCCTCCTGGCCCTCCTCGGCCAGGGCTTCTGGATCTCCTGACCTGGTCCTGCTGTATCCTGATCCCCTGGGCTGTGGACTCCCAGCTGGAAGCACATGCTTCCAACCTTCTGCATGAAAAATGTGCATCGCAGAGCACCAGTACGAAACAATCCCGCTTATGTAAAACTGCAAACATATATCCTCATAGTGACAGACAGGCACATGTGCATGTTTAGGGGAGGAGTCTGCAGTGACCACCAAAGCGGACTGGAGTGGAAGTGGTTTTCTGTTTTTTCCGTTGTTGTTGTTCTTTTTTTGTGACAGAGTCTCGCTGTCTGACTCAGGCTGGAGTACAGTGGGATAATCTCAGCTCACTGCAATCTCCACCTCCTGGGTTCAAGCAATTCTCCTGCCTTGGCCTTCTGAATAGCTGGGATTACAGGTGCCCACTACCACACCCAGCTGATTTTTGTATTTTTAGTAGAGACAAGGTTTCATCATGTTGGCCAGGCTGATCGCGAACTCCTGACCTCAGATGATCCGCCCACCTTGGCCTCCCAAAGTGCTGGGATTACAGGTGTGAGCCACCACGCCCAGCCCGTGTCCCATATTTTTTACAATAACCATTTAGGATTTTTGCAAAATCACCAGAGCTGCAGGATGTTTGACTGCACCCACCTGCTTCTTCCAGGGTGGAGAAGTACTGGAACCCCTTCAGGTCAGCAGACAGCAGGACACGGAGAATGGGGACCTGAGGGACAGACAGACTTTAGCCAGGGCAGGGATGTTCCTCTGCAGCACACAGGTAGGCGGCCTGGTGGACACCCAAATCTCAGAGCCTCCCAAGAAGGTACAGCTTCACCTCCACACGAGGGTGTAGACATGGGGTTTCACCATGTTGGCCAGGCTGGTTTCGAACTACTGACCTCAGGTGATCCACCTGCCTCAGCCTCCCAAAGTGCTGGGATTACAGGCGTGAGCCACCACACCCGGCCTTCCCTGTCTGTTTTTATTTCCTAAAATATAATTCCCCTGAGAGCAGGGGCAGGGACTGATCCTCATTCACTTATGTGTCCCCAGCATTGAGGACAGCATGGCAGTGACCACCGGGGAAATGAAGCCATAATGTGACTCCTCAGAGGGCTGGGGGTCACTGCTCCCCATTCCACAGGAAGGGGTGAGGAAGGTCAGATGGGGACGGGAAACTTTTAAATCAGAGGCAGAGCCAGCACCGGCTGAGGAGCCATCCAGCATCACCCCAGAGACGTCACATTCACCACAGGAGGGGGCAGAGGAATGACCCCAAGGCAACCCATGGCACACCCACCTGCAGACCCACGAAGGCTAGGGCGACGCCCTGTTTGTGAAAGTCCTCGAGGAGCTCACCAAGCCCCAGCACCACGGTGTAGTCGATGCTGCAGACATGGGTGCACTCCAGGACCAGGCAGCGTGGCGGGGACACTGGGGAGACAGGCCCGAGTCAGGTCACGCCACGAAGAGCAGCCCAAGGCCACACTACAGAGACCAAAGGAGGCTCCGGCCAGGAGCAGAGGCCAGAGAGGCCAGAGTGCTCCATCCCACAGGGGCTGAGTCGCCCAGCTGGGGATTCATGCAGCAGGACCACGGACACAACTGTTTGGTGACAGCAGTCCCTCCTGGGACTGACAGACCCCTGACTCCCCTAAAATCAGCCCCCCAGAAACAGGAATGGGACTTTAGGGGCAGGGAAGGAGTGACACATGGGGAACCACCACCCTTGCTGCAGTGGTCACTGTTGAGGGCCCACAGGCGGAGTCCTGTCCACTCGGAGATGCCTGAATCCTTGTGGACTGGAGAGTGTTGGGGACAGGGCCCTGTGTCCTGAACAGCTGGGAGTTGGGGGCAGAGAACAGGGGAGTGACAGGTGACCTCAGGCCACCTTGGCCCCTGCCCATGCACCTTCCAGGGCCTGGCTTAGGATCTCCTCCCGCAGAGCCTCCACCGCAGGGAAGTGCAGGCCACTGGCCGGCTGCAGAACCAGAACCGGCCCCTCTGACACCTGCGGGAAGGAGTGAGTCCTGGAGGCAGGGCCGACCCAGCAGCCTCCACCAGGTGTGGCCTGTCCCAGGTGGTGGGAAGCCTCCCACCCAACCCAGCACACTGGAGGGGACCAGGAGTGGGGTGCTCAGGGTGGACCCCCACAGCCCCATGCAGTAGGAGAACACCATGGTTTACAGTAAGGTGGTTGCCCGCCTGCCAGCAAGCGGTCCCCTTCAGCAGCACCTGAGACCACGATCACCCCAGACCCTCAAAACATAAGACCACACCCAGGAATCTTGCCCCCAGCATGCCCCCCGAGGCCACAGGTGGGTACCTTGGTCTTGGGTCTGGCTGCGGAGTGCAGGAGCATGAGCAGGGAAACCAGGGCCCCGGCCAGGATACCGTACTGCATCTCCCAGAAGCTCAGCAGGAACGTCACACACAGGGGCAGCAGGTCTAGCCCTAAGAGAAGGGTGCAGCTGAGGGGAGCCCAGTGGCCACCCGAGCCCCAACATGGCCCCACTGACCAGTGAGACAGCTTTCTGCCCCCCACATAAGTAAAGTCTCATGAACCCAGAGCAGCCCCCGAGGGGACTCCTGAGGACTTCGGGACAGCAGCTGCTGACCAGGCCACGCTTCAAGTCGAAGGAAGGAAATGGCCACCTCCCCATCTGAACTGAGCACAGGTGAGACACACCCAGCTGGTCCCTGGCCTCCAACCTCGGGGAGGGCAGCAGCAGGAGCTTGTCAGGGCACAGAGCCAGCCTGGGGTGCCCTGGCAACACAGTGAGTGTATGGGCTCAGGGCTCAGGCCTGGGGGATTCTACCACACGCATGAGTTAGGCCCGTCCCACCCTGGCTTAACCTCGGTTTCCCTGGCATGTAATGGGCATATGAGAAAACCATCCATCCTTTCACCTGGCAACTTGCTGGGGCTGCCCAGAAAATGCCAAATAAGCTATGTGAACCCTTTCCATCCTCCTTCCACAAACAAAAGAACAAAATGTGTTTAAAGGAACCGCCATTCAGAGCCAGAGTGCAAGGCTGTTCCGCTGCCCCTGCAGGTCACCAGGGGACGTCTCCTGTCCCTCCCCCGGCTGGGCCAGGCAGAGCGGTAGCTAAAGGTGGGCAGCAGGGAGGGTAGGGAAGGGGCAGGGGATGGGACCCTCCTCCGGGCCAGTGCTCCCCTCAGGACCCCGTTTGTCAGCTCCAGCTCTTCCTGCTGAGAGTTGGCCACCTTCTGGCCATCCACTCCTCCATTCTGGGACCAGCCTGACTTCCCAGCCCTAGTCCCGGAGCTGTGGCTGCAGGAAAATGGGGTAGCACCAATGACACCCTCCGTGTTCACAGACATCACATCACAGCGCTCTCCCCTACAGGGACAAGGACATACTCTTAACGCGCCAGAGCGTCCCAAAGATCTTGGTGTCGAACAGCGGGGCCACAGCCATGATGATAACAGCGGCCAGGGCAGACTTGGGAATATAGTAGAAGAGTGAGGTCAGGTAGTCCAGAGACAGCAGCACCAGCACTCCTGTGGGCCGTGGGGACACAGATGACTCAGGGGCACAGGATCCCCCAGCATGCAGCTCCTGTTCAGAGGAGCCCACCAGGGACAGGAGTGGGGACAGGGCGACAAGTGCCAAGGCCCCCAGCCCCTGCTCAGTCTCCTGTGGTGCCCCCACCCATGTGGCCCCAAGTCCCTGTGCAGTCCCGGGGCACACGGCCCAAGGGCCAAAGGGACATCTCTGCGGGGCCCTCCTCCCTTTCTCCCACTCTCAGGGCTGAGGGCACAAGGGGAAGATGGGGGAGGGGGGCCTCACCCGTCACCAGCCCCCCTGCCGGGGTGCACACCCCTGACTGAGCGTTCACGGCTGTCCTGGAAGGCAACACAGAGACAGTCAGTCACCAGGGGCCGGGACGGAGGAAACCTCAGTCCACACCCCTGTGGCTGACCTTCCGAGGGGACGTCAGCTCCAAGTGTGGCTTATGAAGTGGCGGGGTGGGGGGACTGCAAGGGGGCTGAGGCCAAGAGACTTAGGGTGCAGTCACAGACAGGCTACCTGACTACAGGAAGGCACAAGTCTTGTGTTCCAGAAGCACGTGTCCCTTCAGGGTCCTGCAGGCTTTGTCTCCTGCCCCAATCCAGGTGGGGGCCCCATATCCAGCAGGGTCAGCTGACCAACTGGGCACTGCCAGGCAATCCCTCCTTCCCTCCTTGAAGTCACAGGTCACCTCCATCCTGCTGTCCTGACTGAGGAAGGGCCCTAGGGCATCTGGGATAAACCTCAGGCCTGGCTTCAGGGCAGAGCTAGCCCTTCCTGTCTCCACATCCTTTTAGGAATTGACTCTGGCACCAAGAGCTAGGACGGCTTTGGCATGCCGGGAACTTTCCAGTATCTGTTTTAGAGACAGGGTCTCGCTCTGTCACCCAGGCTGGAGTGCAGAGGCACAATCACAACTCACTGCAGCCTCACCCTGCTGGGCTCAAGCCATTCTCCCACCTCTGCCTTCAGGGTAAATGGGGTAGTGAGGGTGTACACCTCGCCCAGTGGACTTTCTAATACTAAACTGCAGGACTGTCTATGAGAGTGAAGAAACAGAGGACACCCTGGGGGACAGCAGGGTGACCCCCAGCCCTGCCTCTCCACAGAGAGTTCACAACTGACAGGACACCAGGGTCAGGGCAGGCAGACTCATGAGGATAACAACGTAAAGGCATCCAATGTGGGCAAATGGAGGAGGAGGATGGGTCACTCACCGTCCAAAGCTGCCTGTGACCGGGTAGGAGGAGACAAGGGAGCCCAGCACATTGGTGAGGCCTGTGGGGGGGAAGCAAGACAGGCTGATCTGGGAGGGAAGACATACAGGATGGAGGGAAAGGAGATGGGGAGGGGGACAGAAACCCAGAAGGGAGGCAGGAGGGCAGGATCAGGAGAATCATCCTGGGGGCCAGAGCCTGCACACTTTTTCAGGGAAGGAAGAAAACAGGCCACACCCTTACAGACACACAGCCTTTTTTTGAGACAGAGTTTCACTCTTGTTGCCCAGGCTAGAGTGCAATGGCATGATCTTGGCTCACTGTACCCTGTGCTACCAGGATTCAAGCAATTCTCCTGCCTCAGCCTCCCAAGTAGCTGGGTTTGCAGGCATGAGCCACCATGCCCAGCTAATTGTGTATTTTAGTAGAGACGGGCTTTCTCCATGTTGGTCAGGCTGGTCTTGAACTCCCGACCTTAGGTGGTCCGCCCACCTTGGCCTCCCAAAGTCCTGGAATTACAGACATGAGCCACCACGCCCAGCCATTTTTTTTGTGACACAGTCTGGCTCTGTTGCCCAGGCTGGAGTACGGTGGCAGGATCTCGACTCACTGCAGCTTCTGCCTCCCAGTTCAAGTGATTCTTCTGCCTCAGCCTCCCAAGTAGCTGAGACTACAGGCATGCAGCACCATGTCTGGCTAATTTTTGTATTTTTAGTACAGATGGGGTTTCACCATGTTGGCCAGGCTGGTCTCAAACTACTGACCTCAGGTGATCCACCCACCTCGGCCTCCCAAAGTGCTGGGACTACAGGTGTGAGCCACCACACCTGGCTAATTTTTGTATTTTTAGTAGAGACGAGGTTTTGCCATGTTGGACAGGCTGGTCTCGAACTCCTGACCTCAGGTGATCCTTCTGTCTTGGACTCCCAAAGTGTTGGGATTACAGGTGAGAGCCCCGCTCCTGGCCAGGTCCCAGCTTTCGAACACTTGTCACCCAGCCTCTCATGTGTGACCAGAACACACCTTCCCCATGCAGAATGGAGGGGAGCATCTCACCACCCAGGAGGGCATGATGGCTGAGAAGGATGTGCCTATAAGACAAACCCTATGTGCTCGGGAGGTCAGTGACTCCCACCTTCTCCACCCAGTTCCCTTCAACCCCAGCACTCCTTCTCACGAGATGACAGCCACGGTGAGGCCAGAGGCCATGGCTGGTACACTGTCTCCTCAGGTGATGCTGGCTGCCTACACCACACAAAGCCCATGCTGTGGCGTTGCTGGGGCCCGGGAACAGGGATCACTGCTCAGCCAGACCCCACACTGCCACCAGCATCTATCTCACCTGGGGTGCCACAAAGGCCAGAGTCGCTCCTGCTCTCTAAGACCCACGTGGGGTGTCAGGTCTCACAGGGGTGGGGCCTGCTCTCAAGAGAGCTCGTGCTGGGGCCAAGTCAGCACCAGCCCAGGTCCCATGGCCCAGCTCACGGCCCTGACAGGGGCCAGGGCAAGGAAACACAGGGGCGGGAGAGCTCGGCAGAGGCCTGTGGTGACTGCAGGCTGCATGGGATTGCCCTCACTCTGCAACAGCTTGAGTTGGGGGACCTGGCTCTGTGAGCTGATGCTGACAGGGCAACCCCTCCCAGCTTGGCCTTCATGGGTGCACATCAGCCCACATCAGCCTGGCCTACCTGAGATCAAGGAGTCCCATGGCTGCCATGGTAACCATGACCCTCACTCTGTATGGGTCGCATTCCTGGAACTCAGTGTGCCATCAGAATAGTTCTGTGGTATTTTTAAAGTAATGGGAATAGGGCCAGGGGCTGTGGCTCAGGCCTGTAATCCCAGCACTTTGGGAGGCCAAGGTGGGCAGATCACCTGATATTAGGAGTTTCAGACCATCCTGGCCAAGGTGGTGAAACCCCGTCTCCACTAAAAATACAAAAAGGAGGCCGGCATGGTGGCTCGAGCCTGTAATCCCAGCACTTTGGGAGGCCTAGGCGGGTGGATCACGAGGTCAAGAGATCGAGACCATCCTGGTCAACATGGTGAAACCCCGTCTCTACTAAAAATACAAAGAAATTAGCTGGGCATGGTGGTGCGTGCCTGTAATCCCAGCTACTCAGGAGGCTGAGGCAGGAGAATTGCTTGAACCCAGGAGGCGGAGGTTGCAGTGAGCTGAGATCGCGCCATTGCACTCCAGCCTGGGTAACAAGAGCAAAACTCCATCTAAAAAAAAAAATACAAAAAGGGCCAGGTGAGGTGGCTGACTCCTGTAATCCTAGCATTTTGGGAGACTGAAGCAGGCAGATCACAAGGTCAGGAGATGGAGACCATCCTGGCTAACACAGTGAAACCCCATCTCCACTAAAAATGAAACAAAAAATTAGCTGGGCATGGTGGTGCTGGCCTGTAATCCCAGCTACTCAGGAGCCCGAGGGGGGAGAATCACTTGAACCTGGAGGCAGACGGTGCAGTGCGCCAAGATTGCACCACTGCACTGCAGCCTGGCAAGACGGTGGGACTCCATCTCTAAACAAATAAATCTTAAAAACACAAACACAAAAATGAGCTGGGAGGGGGAGCAGGTGCCCATAATCCCAGCTACTCAGGAGGCTGAGGTAGGCGAATCACTTCAATGCAGGAGGCGGAGGTTGCAGTGAGCCAAGATCGCACCACTGCACTCCAGTCTGGGTGACAGAGCAAGACTCCATTTCAAAAAAAAAAAAAAAAAAATTCCAGAAGAGCCCATCTGGAGCCACCTCTCCCTCCCAATTCATCACCACCATCACAGTCCTCCTAGATGCAGGAGACAGAGTGGTAGGCTCAGGGCCCTGGAGGCCCACAGCTGGGTCTTCCATATGCCTGGGGTCTTCCCTGTGGCTGGGGTTGTCCCCGTGGCTGGGGTCTTACCCATGGCCAGCAGCTCCTGGTTGGCATCGATGCGGTAATTATTCTGAGATGCTAAAGGGAAGGAACAGTAAGGACCGTCACTGATATTCAACATCGCTGGAAAACATTCACAAAATGTAAAACAGATCATGAACTTCTACGTACGGCAATAAATTTTATAAATATAACTACATGAATACACATCTAAAGTAGTCACATGTAAACGTGTGCTTGAGTGTATCCGAGTGGGAATAGGTATAGTACCATGTAAGCAGGCTGGGCACGGCGGCTCATAGCTGTAATCCCAGCACTTTGGGAGGCCAAGGCAGGAATATTGCTTGAGTCCAGGAGTTCAGGACCAGCCTGGGCAACATGGCAAAACCCCCACCTCTGCAAAAAATACAACAATTAGCCAGGCATGGTGGTGTGTGCCTATAGTCCCAGATACTTGGGACGCTGAAGCAGGAGGATGGTTTGAGCCTGGGAGGTTGAAGCTGCAGTGAGCTGAGATCGGGCCACTGCACTCCAGTCTGGACGACAGAGTGAGACCCTGTTTCAAACAATAACAAGAAAACATGTAAATGGTCAGGTGCGGTGGCTCATGCCTGCAATCCCAGCACTTTGGGAGGCTGAGGTGGGTGGATCATGAGGTCAGGAGTTCGAGACCAGCCTGGCCAACATGGTGAAACCTCATCTCTACTAAAAATGCAAAAATTGGCTGGGCATGGTGGCGCGCACCTATAGTCCCAGCTACTCAGGAGGCTGAGGCAGGAGAATCTCTTGAACCCTGGAGGTGAAGGAATCTGCCCTCCTTGGCCTCCCCAAGTGCTGGGATTACAGGCGTAAGCCAAGAAAAACATTTTAAACTGGAAACCTCTCTGATTACCAGTTGAGATGACTAGAAAATCTAAGATGCAGTAAGCAGGCGAAGATGTCAGGGGAAGGCACAAAAGCATGGATCTAATTCAGAGCTTGACACACTTTCCTGTAAAGGACCAGCCTGTCAATATTTTAAGCTTTGTGGGCCCCGCAGTGGCTACTGCAGCTACGCAACCCTGCTGTGGTTCCATGAAAGCTGCCACTGGCAGCACGTCCCCAAGTGGGCACAGCCACGCTCCAACTTTAATTATAAACATGAGATCTGGATTTCAAATACTTTTCACATAGCACAAAATATTATTATTCTTTTGACTTTTTCCAGCCATTTAAAAATATAAAAATTGGCCGGACACAGTGGCTCATGCCTGTAATCCTAGCACCTTTGGAGGTCGAGGCAGGAGGACTGCTTGAGCTCAGGAGTTTAAGGTCAGCCTGGGCAACAAAGTGACACCATGTCTTTACAAACAATTACAAAATTATTAGGAGGCCAAAGTGGGCAGATCACTCGAGAACCCCAGGAGTTTGAGACCAGCCTGGCCTGTAGTCCCAGCTACTCTGGAGGCTGAGGCATGGGAATTGCTTAAACCTGGGAAGTGGAGGTTGCAGTGAGCAGAGATTATGCCACTGCACTCCAGCCTGGGCCACAGAGTGAGACCCTGTCTCAAAAAAAAAAAAAAAAAGAATCTCCTGCCAGGCGCAGTGGTTCATACCTGTAATCCCAGCACTTTGGGAGGCCTAGGCGGGTGGATCACGAGGTCAAGAGATCGAGACCATCCTGGTCAACATGGTGAAACCCCGTCTCTACTAAAAATACAAAAAATTAGCTGGGCATGGTGGTGCATGCCTGTAATCCCAGCTACTCGGGAGGCTGAGGCAGGCAAATTGCCTGAACCCAGGAGGCGGAGGTTGCAGTGAGCCGAGATCGCGCCATTGCACTCCAGCCTGGGTAACAAGAGCGAAACTCTGTCTCAAAAAAAAAAAAAAAAAGAATCTCCTTTGCAGTGGGTAAGGGTCAGAGCCCTGGGACTTGGGAGGAGAAGCATTACGCTGGCACAGCCTGCACTAGGCAGTAAACACAATTTGTGCACTTACAATTAACAAACTGTTAATTGGGCTTTCACCTTTAGAAGCAACAGGAGCCCAAATGCAAGGACTCAATAACAGTGACAAGTTAGAACGAAGCTGTCATCCCCATAGGATGGGGCGAGTGATGGACAAACTGCAAGGAGGGAATCTAGAGATGCTGACTCAACCTAGACACTGAGGGGATTACTGTTGCCCTGCCTCCCTGGGGGTGAGGAGGGGCTGAGCCAGCTGAATGAAGCCTGTTGTTTAGTGTTTAGGAGTTTTGTGAGCCTGTTAAGAAACAGTCATTATTACCAATTAAATTAAAAGTTTCAATTAAACAGATAATACAGGCTCTTGCTCTGCCGCCCAGGCTGGAGTGCAGAGGTGCTGTCACTCAACCTACTGGCTCAGCTGATCCTCCTGCCTCAGCCTTCCAAGCAGCTGGTACTGCAGGTGTGCTCCATGCCAGGATAATTTTTATTTTTAATAAAAACGAGGTCTCATTATCTGGCCTAGCTGTGCTTCAAACTCCTGAGCTCAAGCGATCCTCCTGCCTTGGTCTCCCAAAGTGTTGGGATTACAAGCCTGAGCCACCACGCCTGGCCCAAAGATAATACTTGAAACTCGCCACTTCTGAAATGATTCGGCATCTGTCGCTGATGAGGTTACTCGCACCCATGGTAGCAACGTGGTGGAGGCGCCATGGAATACGGGTGCTCGTGCCCATCTCACCCAAGCTCCATGTGCAAACTCCCTGTTCAGTGATGTCCCTGTCACCTTAAACTCAGTCAGCAGCATTTACACCATGGACATCCGCGAGGGCCATGAAGAAAACCTTTTATTTCCACAAATAGTGGGCTGTTAAAACACTCACCGCACACCGTGGGGGGGGGGGGTGGCTCAATTATAGAGCCATTTTTATCATATATACATTAATATGTGTATGTGTATCATAAGCATGTATTCCTTGGATACAAATTCAAGTTTCTAAAACTAGAACAGATAAAGGCAAGCTAGAAAGCAGGCAGGCCTAGCCCAGCCAGCGCACCGAGAGGCCTGGGGCGTGGGTGACAGGCGTCTTACCAAAGGCTTTGGCCACTGCAATGCTTTCCAGGAGGCCCATCAGGGGCACCACAGCCAGCCCAGCCCCCATGTCCTGAAAGAGGAGAGAGGGATGGTGAGTGGCCTTCCTAAGGGATGTGACCCATGAAGGCAGCGAGGGCCCACCCTCCCCCACAGGAAATAAGAGCAAGTGCTTGTCAGCTGCAGGATGCCCCTCCTTGTCTGAAGAGGCACCAGAGTGCATCTGAATGTGCTGGGAGGAACACAGCACATTCATCCTCAGCTGGAGTCCACAACGGGAGAAGCACCCCTGTGCCCCGGGCAGGAACACAACGTAACATCCCTGAGCTCGCTGAGCTTGCATCTGACCCGGGATTCTTTAATAACTGAGATGTCCCTCCCTGAGGACTCGGTTGTCCTAACTGACCTCGGACCCCCTGGCACCCAGCAGACGCATCAGAGTAAGGGCCACGCTAGGGGCCACTGCAGCCTGTCCATCCTGGCTCCTGGCTCTGCCCACCTGCACCATCTCGGCGAAGGAGATAGTCCTGTTCGCTGTGGTCATTGAGAAGGGCGGAATCCAGACTGAAGGGAGCCCCTCAGCTGTCTCCCCAGTGAGGATGAAAGGCTGGTATCCAGTCACCTCGAAAGAGTATGCAACCAGGGCCGAGAAGGAGACCACCAGGGCGTTGCGAGCTAGGAGAGAAGCAGAGGGGCATCCAGGACCCTTCTCTGGTGAGTGTGGGTAGTATGGCTGCCTCCAGGTGACTGGGGCAAATGCCCCAGGGGCAGAAGACGCCCCCGCTGGGCTGCAGTCCTCACTCTACACTCTGGGAAATATGGCCCAGACACAAGTACCACGTGGCAGCACGAGCACAGCAGGTGGTTTAGCAGAGCTGCAGGCCATGGACAGGCGCACGTGCCACCCACTGCCAAGCTCCAGGCCATAGCACATTGCACAATGCGGCAAAGACTCTCTGAAACCAGGTGCCCAGGGTGCGTCCACCTCAAAGCACAAGGGAGGAAGAAACCAGATTTATCCCCTGCCCCAAAAAAAGGCCTCCAAGCTGCCGGACAGCGGGCAGGACGGCCATGGTAAACAAGGGAGGCGCATCTGTCACTGCCCTGATGGCTGTCTGCAGCTTCTCTGATGGTCTGCCTGTGTATGGAGGGGGCCCCCTAGCAGAGCCCAGGGATCTCCCTGAGTTCAGAGGCAATGCTGGAAGGGAGTCAGAGGAGGCCTGTGGCTGGAGCTGACAGCCAGGTCACAGGAACAGATAGGGTGGCTGGAGACAGAGCTGCAGACATCTGCAGAGATGCCCTCAGTGTGCAACAGAGAACCAGGTGAGGCAAAGCTGGACAGAAAAGAGCCAAACCCACAGTGAGGAAGAGACACGAAGAGGGTTACAATCCCAGGACTCACACCAGAGTGAAAAACCCTCATCATTCATGGAGCATCAGGGGCTCCTGAGGGTTTTACCTCAGCAGTGGGGAAGATTAGCCCAAGACCTGGGGTTGGCAAATTTTTTTCTGTAAAAGGGCTAAATACTAAAACCTTTTTGCTTTGTGGGCCATAAAGTCTCTGGTGCAACTGCTCAAGCCTATTATTGCATAAAAGCAGACGCAGACACACAACGTAAATGAATGGGAATGGCTGTTCCAATGAAACTGTATTTACAAAATCAACTGGTAGGCCAGATTAGGCTCGCCCTAGAATGAACAGTGCTCTGGTCCAGCTAACAAAGCTTAAAAGTAAGACCCAGGTGGGGCACAGTGGCTCATGCCAGTAATCTCAGCACTTTGGGAGGCTAAGGCAGGTGGATCACAAGGTCAGGAGTTCAAGACCTGCCTGGCCAACATAGTGAAACTCCATCTTTACTAAAGAAAAAAATACAAAAATTAGCCAGGTGTGCTGGCATGCACCTGTAGTCCCAGCTACTCAAGAGGTTGAGGCAGGAGAATTGCTTGAACCCATGAGGTGGAGGTTGCAGTGTGCCAAGCCATTGCACTCCAGCCTGGGTGATAGAGCGAGACTCTGTCTCAAAAAAAAAAAAAAAAAAAAAAAAAAAGTAACTGTAACCAAACACAATTTAATTAACAGGACATTAAAAGAATAACTGTAACCAAATTCTACTTACTTAAAGAACTAGAGGCAACATTAAGACTGTTAAGTAACAATGTAAAAGATACATTTTAAAACATTCAAATTGAGGCTGGGTGGGGTAGCTATGCCTTTAAACCCAGCATTTTGGGAGGCTGAAGAGGGTGGATCACCTAAGGTCAGGAGTTCGAGACCACCTAGGCCAACATGGCAAAACCCCCATCTCTACTAAAAATACAAAAAATTAGCTGGGCATGGTGGTGGACACCTGCAATCCCAGCTACTCGGGAGGCTGAGGCAGGAGAATCGCTGGAACCTGGGAGGCCAGAGGTTACAGCGAGCCAAGATCGTGCCATTGCACTCCAGCCTGGACGACAGAGAGAAACTGTGTCTTAAAAAAAAAAGAAAAGAAAAAAAAAAAAGATTAAAATTGAATTTCTAGAAATGAAAACCAGTGTCTGAAATGAAACAAGCACTTGATGCAATTAACAACAGCTGAGACATCACAGAGAAAAGTATAAAATGTAGCACTAGAAATGATACAAAATGAAACACAGCAAGGACAAGACTGCAAATTCCAGAGAGCAATAGTGAGCTGCTGGAACTGCTTCAAGGTGCAATAAATCCAGCTATGGGAGTCTGCAAAGAAAGTCTGTGGAATCTCACAAGTACACATTACAAAAGAAGGATGCGCGGTTTCCACATTCGATGAAACTGCCTCTATCACCCTTCCCCCCTTGCCTCTGTCATGAAAACCTCAACAAAGGCTGTGGCCTAAACCATCCTCTAGCTTTTGGCTTCTCCTCCTGGCCACCCTGGTGTCTTCTGACGTGGCCCTACGTGGCGTGCTCTGCCTCCTATCTCTAGGACCTGTGAGTACAATAAACTTTCTTTTTTTCCTGAGCCTTTCTCTGTCTCCCCTTGCGGCCGCACCTGACTGGTCATCGCATAAAGAAATACAAAAGTCTCTGAGAAACCTGGGGTGTCTGAGCATTTCACACTCTGACTTTTCTTTCTCTTTTTTTTTTTCTTTGAGATGGAGTCTCACTCTGTTGCCAGGCTGGAGTGCAGTGACGTGATCTCAGCTCACTGCAACTTACGCCTCTCAGGTTCAAGTGATCCTCCAGCTTCAGCCACCCGAGAAGCTGGGATCACAGCCATGAGCCAGCACGTCCAGCTAATTTTTGTATTTTTAGTAGAGATGTAGTTTTGCCATGTTGGCCAGGCTGGTTTCAAACTCCTGACCTCAGGTGATCAGCCTGCCTTGGCCTCCCAAAGTGCTGGGATTACAGGTGTGAGCCACCATGCCTGGTCTCCAAACTCTGACTTCTAAGGTGATCCCATGAGTTCCCTGGACATCCCCTGAAGAATACAGATTCTGATTCAGAGATCTGCAGGGGGCCTGAGACCCTGCATTTCCAGTAAGCTCCCCGGGGATGCCCAGTACCTAGGCTGCTGGTCCCAGGCCACACTCTGAGTCTCAAGGTTTAAGATAACAAAGCAAGGGCTGGGTGTGGTGGCTCATGCCTGAAATCTCAGCACTTTGGGAGGCTGAGGAGGGTGGGATCACTTGTCAAGAGTTCAAGACTAGCCTGGCCAACATGGCGAAAACCTGTCTCTACTGAAAATACAAAAGTTAGCTGGGTGTGGTGGCACACACCTGTAATCTCAGCTACTCAGGATGCTGAGGTGAGATAATGACTTGAACCCAGGAGGTGGAGGTTGCAGAGAGTCGAGATCACACCACTGCCCTCCAGCCTGGGTGACAGAGCGAGACTCCACCTCTTAAAAAAAGAAAATAGATAACAAAGCGTTTTCACTATTTCATGGACAACTGAACTAAAGCACAGGAACTTCGGCTAGCTACTCTGCAAGTCTAAACACAGACCAGGCTGGGACTGGAAGCCAGGCCTTTCCACTCTAAACCCAGGGCTCTCTCCACCCCACTGGGCTGTGTTCACCACCGCCTCAAGTCTGTGGAACAGGATCCAAGAAGTGACCGGGGTAACAGACCAGTCCAGGCAGCTGGAAGTGACTCAAGGGCTAAATCCAGCCACGCTCTCTCTCCTCTAGCTGTTGGATTATGCAGCCCCCAAACAGCAGGGCCAAGCTCAGTGTTTAATCCTTCCCCTCAGCTCTGAGAAGGCTCAGAGTCACCTATGCTTCCCGACTTTCCTGGGTGTGCCTTCTTCTCTGGGCATCCCTGCCCGGAGCTCAGCCAGGGCACCCGTGCCTATCTTGGATGCACTGAGAAGAGGCTTCCACCTCCCCAGGGTGCTCTCTCACCTGCTAATGGCCCTGCTGCTCCTCCCACTATGCAGCCCTCCCCTCCCCACTTCTCAAAGGACCCCTGGTTATCTGTGGCTCAGCCTGCAGCCTCCAGGCCTGAAGCTGAAGCTGTGCCCCAGCAAGCTGCACAATTCAAACAGAGCTGGTCGCAGTGGAATTTGTTTTCTCTCCCCAGGACCTGCCAGTAGACCTGGCTTCTCACCTTGGCACTGCTGACATTTTGGGCGGGTCACTGTCAGTTGTGGAAGCCGGAGTGCCATCAGGGGTCTGGCGGCATCCCTGACCTGTCCTCACTAGTTGCTAGCAACTGTCTCGCCCAGTGGTATCCACCAAAAATGTTTCCCAACATTGCCAAAAGTCACCAGGGGGCAAAATTGCTTCAGGTTGAGGACTACTGCAGCAGACCAGCTCTCAGCTCTGGCTGTGGATCAGAACCATGCCGAGTTTGGTTTGCAGTTTTAAATGTCACAGAGTTTGGTGGCTCACACCTGTAATCCCAGCACTTTGGGAGGCCGAGGTCAGCCACTTGAGGTCAGGAGTTTGAGACCAGTATGGTCAACACGGTGAAACCCTGTATCTACTAAAAATACAAAAAGCCGGGCATGGTGGTACATGCCTGTAATCCTAACTACTCGGGAGGCTGAGGCAGGAGAATCGTAGGAACCTGAGAGGCGGAGGTTGCAGCAAGCTGAGATCTAGCCTGGGCAACAGAGCAAGATTCCATCTCAAAAAAAAAAAAAAAAACTACTACTACTAAAAGACAAAAATAAAAAATAAAAAAATTTAATAAAAAATAAAAGTCCCAGAGTTTTGTCTGCAGTTTTAAATGTCCCAATGCCCAAGTTACACCCAGACCAATGACATTAAATCTCTCAGAGTGGGACTCAGGACTCCTCAAGTGGCCCCAACATGCAGCAGAGGTTGCACACGACGTGAGCTGAGGCCCCTCACCTGTTGTGGCAGCCCAGACCAAACTGTGGCTGAGCCGCACACCAGAGGGCATCTCAGGGTGGACAGGAGGCATGTGGTCCCGCATCAGCTTTAGCACCAGCAGCAGCACCATGCAGACCAGCCCCAGGATGGCGTCGCCCACCCTGTGGACAGGCAGAGGACTAGTCACCACCCCGCTCAGCCCAGGCCTTCTGCTGACCCGAGCATCCTGCCATTGCTTCTGCTGGGAGGTGCCAAGAAGCTCCCAGGGGAGAACCTATGCCCAGGCTGCCGGTCCCAGGCTACCGTGAGTATCAAGGTTTAAGAAAACAAAGTATTTTCAATATTCTCACTGTTTCATGCACACTTAACTAAAGCTCAGGAACTTTAGCAAGCTACTCTACAAGACCAAACACAGGCTGGGCTGAGATGTTTTCTCCTAAGCGATATGCATCCCTTTTCTACTTCAAAACTCATTTTAAAATTCAGTAAGTACACAAGCCTGTGCGGGTCACGAAGGCGGCGGGTGACCCGCTCACATTTTCACTCCTGTAGCTCTTTGCGACTCAAGTCTGTGCAAAGGATCTGATGAGTGACCATGGGGAATGGGGACCAGAGACTGAGCAGCCGGCGCTCTGCAGGTGGCTCTGGAACAAGTGTGGCAAACCCGCAGCCTGGGATTGCTTTGAATGTGGCCCAACACAAATCTGTAAACTTTCTTAAAACATTATGAGTTTTTTAAATGAATTTTTTCCAGTTCATCAGCTATCATTAGTGTTTTTTATGTATAGCCCAAGACAATTTTTCCTTCTGTGTGGCCCAAGGAAGCCAAAAGATTGGACACCCTGCTGTAGACATTCTAGAAGGCTTTGGACTGAACAGTCAGTAAGGTCCCTTTTACCTCTAACAGTCCGTGATGTTCTCTGACTGGTCAGGCTCCACAATCACTGCTCTCCCATGCGGCTGACCCCTGCCCACTGGTGCCTCTGAAGGGCAAGGAACCCACTGGGTTTCCAGCTGAAAGATGGTCCAGGATCCCAGCATCGCCCCCGCTCCCTCCAGGCCACAGCACTGGGCAGCCATCTCTACAGCTCCCCAATAATTTCTTCCTCCAGCCCCTTCCAGCCAGAGAGGCAGAGAGGTATCCTGGCTTCCTGCTGGATGGTCTGGCAGGGAGGGACCCCTCATCAGAGGCTCTTTTTTTGAGACACAGTCTCACTCTTTCATCCAGGCTGGAGTGCAGTGGTGTGATCTTAGCTCACTGCAACCTCCACTTCCCGGGTTCAAGAGTCTCCTGCCTCGGCCTCCTGGGTAGCTGAGACTACAGGTACACACCACTATACCCAGCTAATTTTTGTATTTAAGAGACGGGGTTTCACCATGTTGACCAGGCTGGTCTTGAACTCCTGACCTAAGGTGTTCACCTGCCTCGGCTTCCCAAACTGCTGGGATTACAGGCATGAGCGACCATGCCTAGCCATCAGAGGTCTTTAAACCTGGTGCAGGAAGTGCTTGGGTCTCCTCATCTCTCATCACGGCTCCACCTGCTATCCCCGTGGCACCTGCGTTCTGTCTGTGTTAGCTTCCCCAAGCCCTGTCTTCCCTTCCTTAACAAATCACAACCCGGGGGAGACACACTGCCTTCTTTTTGTTTACAGTCTCTTCCCATTCCTTCCCAAGAAAGCTTTGTGGAGAGGAACAGCACCCCCTTTGGCTCCCCAGAGCTGAGCTTCTCAAACTCTCCCCTGCATGCAGACCACAGGCCTCCTATTAGAATGCTAGCTCTGATAGGACAGGTCTGGAAAGGGCTGACAATCTCATTTCCTGCCAGCTCGCAGGTGCTGCTGTTGGGGCTGCTCTGGGAACCCTGTCTGAGCAGCCACTGGGGGTGAAAGTTGAGGTGGGGGCCAGGAAAGCAGGTGTGGAAGGAAGAGCTTCCTTATAGGAGGGAGGAACGAAGCCCAGGGTACCTGGTCTCCTCGATCCTGAGGAAGGTGTGGTACACTTGCAGGAAGAACTGCCTGGGGATGTTCTGCAGTCCCAGCAGGTTCTGTTCAAACACAGAGATGCTGATCAGAGGCCCTGTCCCCAGACTCAAGCAATCTGTCCCCAGCTCCTGGCCTGCCATCCCGACCCCATCTCAGACTCTCATTCCCAGGGCCCATCTCAAAAGCTCAGGGGCCATCTGCCCACTTCCAATGCCCCCCAAGCCAGGAAGTCAAAGTTACCCTTGGGGGAAATGGTACTTCACAATTTCTGGGTCAGGGATGTTTCTCTAAATTGCTTTTGTTTTTCATAAAAAACAGTGTAGGTGATCCCACAGCAGGGAGAGCAGCTCTACAGCTCTAAGGCCAGGAGCCCTGGAACGCCTAGCCCTGCCCCCATTGGCTCGAGGCCACACCTGCCACTTGTAGACCCTTGCTGCCATTGGCTTGAGTCCACATCTCTCACTAGATGCCCCCCAACCTCCAGCCCCACTGCTGCCAGAAGGAAAAAGCACTTCACAGTGTGCACAGATCCGGAGGGCTCTGAGGAGCTTCAAGAAACTGGGCTGGGGAATATCTGGCCAAGTAGGAGCCTCCCACAGCGATGCCAGCTCTCAGAGCTCCTGGGCAGAAGAAGGAGCTCTATCCTGTGCTTTAGGGTTTTGTTTTTTTTTTCTTTCTTTGCTTTAGAGAGGGATTTGGCTTGCTCTGTGGCCCAGGCTGGATTCGAACTCCTTGGCTCCAGTGATCCTCCCACCTCAGCCTCCCACATAGCTGGGATCTTTGGCGCCACCACAGCTGTGCTTTAGTTCTTTAAGTCGCCTGAGACTCAGCAGGAGTCAGAGGGGGAAGTTGAGGCCCAGGATCCCAGGGTGACAGGCTCAAGGACCCTGCCCCAAAACTGTGGTCACAGGGTGGGTGGGGTTAGGACATCTGGGTGGGTGGACTCTGGGACTGCTGGGGCAGGAGCTTCTGTCCTGGAAGAGTCAGGAAGATAATCCTCCCCCTAGATGGCTGCAGAGTCCCTGAGCGGGGCTAGGGTTGACAAGTATGAAGGCATAAAGAAGGCACTCTTGGCTGGGTGGGGTGACTCATGCCTGTAATTCCAGCACTTTGAGAGGCTGACGAGGGTGTATCACCCAAGGTCAAGAGTTCAAGACCAGCCTGGCCAATATGGTGAAATCCCATTGCTACTAAAAATACAAAAAATTGGCTGGGTTTGGTGGCACATGCCTGTAATCCCAGCTACTAGGGAGGCTGAACCCAGGAGGCAGAGGTTGCAGTGGATGGCGCCATTGTACTCCAGTCTGGGCAACAAGAGGGAAACTCCGTCTAAAAGAAAAAAAAAGGCGGCACTCTCTACTTTCACTGTGATCCTATAAAAGAACATTACAAAAGACTAGGAGGCCGAGGTGGGGGGATCACAAGGTCAGGAGTTCGGAACCAGCCTGACCAACGTGGTGAAATCCCATTTCTACTAAAAATGCAAAAAAAAATTAGCTGGGCGTGGTGGTGGGCACCTGTAATCCCAGCTACTTGGGAGGATGAGGCAGGGGAATTGCTTGAACCAGGAGGGTGGAGGATGCAATGAGCCGAGATCATGCCACTGCACTCCAGCCTGGGTGATAGAGCAAGACTCTGTCTCAGAAAAAAAAAAAAAAAAGAAAAGAACATTCTTATTCTTGATACCAAAAATGAGGGACATTTCCAGAATAAAGAAGCAACCATACCCTGAAACAGCATTTGCCAAGCTTACCCTGGGAGATGTGTGCAGATAGCTTAAAAATCGTACTCATCCACACCTAAGTTGGTCCCTCCTCTCTAAAATGGAAATAATGATAAACCTACCTACCAGGGGTGTGCTGAGAATGACGCATGGAGAGTGCCTTGCCCAGTGCCTAGCACACAGCAAGAGTGCAAAAAGTGTCTGCTACTTTATTCACACCCATACACACACACACTCTCACACGCATGCTCTCCTGTCCTTGGTCTTCTCATGGTTCCTCCTTCAGGGAAGACTGTCTCAGGCTGGCCTGGAGCAGCACCTGGCTTTGGGAAGATGATCTGCAGTGACACAGGGTGAGGAGGCAGTGTGCCCCTAGTCTGCCTTGATGGCAGCACGGCCCCATCAGCGGAACTGGGCTCACCTCACTCCACACACACCCAACTGAGCACCTCCTACTGCACCTTCCCAGTGCTGGGTGGCCATGGCTGGGAGCAGAACAGTTCCTGTCCTTGAGGAACTTACAACCCAGCAAAAATCAGAGTAAATTACATCCCCAGCTGATGAATAAAGAAGCAACCATACCCTGAAACAGCATTTGCCAAGCTTACCCTGGGAGATGTGTGCAGATAACTTACAAATCATACTCACCTTGCCAAGCTTACCCTGGGAGATCTTGGTACATCTTATAGATATTTTAAAAGTAAATATAAAAAGCATAGCATTTAAAAAATATTAAACAGAAACCAGGAAAAAAAAAAAGCACACAACAAAACCACCTAGCTAAATTAGTATAGGGAAATCATTTGCTTGTAGAAACTGTAGCAGCATGCCTGTGACTGGCAGGGCCCGCTGGGTATGCCCAGTGCAGGGAGAACGGAGCCACGTAAATCACACCACACAGAAACTCGGGCAAGAGCAGGCGGGGGGATGGAATTACTGGTGTCCCCAGTTACCCGCTGTAAAATCCAGCCATCATGAGACAGCCCTCCCAGGAGGGTCATTTTATGAAGAGGGGACCCATGAGAGCACTGTGCACTTCGTGACCCACAGAAGACAATCTGAAACAGCAAGACGTCCACTGACCACAGGGATCAGTCCGGGCCTTGGCCCTGCTCCCAGCTATCCCTGTGCCAACAAGCAGTGGCAAAAGAGGAGTGTCCTGGGTGGGTGCTGGACCTACCTTGATCTGTCCAAAGCCGATGGTGACGGTGGCAGCAGAGGTGAAGCCTTTAATGACAGGGCAGGAAATGAAGTCCAGCAGGAACCCTGGCCAGCCAAGAGGGGACACCGAGCTGGTCCCAGCTCTACCCAGTCCAGAGGATGAGGGTCTGTGTAAGCTGGGAGGGGTGGGAAGGTGGAATTGGGGACAGATGCTACAGCTAAGAACGGGTGGGTGACACACCCTGCATGGCTGTCTTTGGAGAGCAGAAAAGGGAGACTAGGGTCTGAGGCCACAGCTCCTCTCCAATTGTCCTGGCCTCTCAGCAGAAAAGAGCAGACTAAGGGCCCAGGCCCCCATCCCCTCCACCCAGCTGCCCACCTACCCGCACACACACATACTCACACCCCGCCCCCAACACACACAGGGATAGACCTTGAAATGCAAACAAGGAAATGCTGAGGTCAAGGGCATCCCCTTGGCAAGAAGGTTGAGCCTCACCCAAACGTAGGACCCCCATGACCAGCTGGATGCAGCCAGACAGGAAAGCCAGCAGCACAGCATAGGCGGGCTCGTGGAAGGTGTAGAAGGAGACCAGGAGGGACATGATGGCAGTGGGGCCCAGAGTCACGTCCCGGGAGGTGCCCAGGAAGAAATACACGAAGCAGCCCGTGAAGGCAGAGTACAGGCCATACTGTGGAGAGAGACAGCAGTGAGCACCCAGGAGCCCCAGTGTGCGTCAGCTGTGTCCTGGACACACGAGCATGCAGAGGCGAGACATGCACCACCCTACGCTGCAGGGGGGCCTGCAGTGATCAGGAGGCCACTCTTTTAGCAGCACCCAACCGGGGCCTCAGCGTGCAGGCAGCCAGACAGAGGGGTTGGTGCAGGCCTGTATGTGCCCAAGTCTAAGAATGCATTCTTTTTTTTTTTTTTTTTTTTTTTTTTTTAAGGCAGAGTTTCGCTCTTGTTGTCCAGGCTAGAGTCTAATGGCGTGATCTTGGCTCACCTCCGCCTCCCGGGTTCAAGTGATTCTCCTGCCTCAGCCTCCAGAGTACCTGGGATTACAGGCACCCACCACCACGCCCAGCTAATTTTTTGTTTTAGTAGAGAGGGAGTTTCACCATATTGGCCAGGCTGGTCTTGAACTCCTGACCTCAGGTGATCATACCGCCTTGGCCTCCCAAAGTGCTGAGATTACAGGTGTGAGCCACCATGCCTGGCCTGAGGAAGCATTCTTAAGGCCTCCTCCGTGAGTCACCTCGGTGGTCCCTCGACAACCAGCTCAGTGTCTGTGTGTGCCAAACAGGCACAGGAGCCTGGGTCAGCCCAGAGACAGTCATGCATTATATACTGTAAACCAAAGGTTCCTTGGGGCCCAGGGGTGGAAACCTGGGATGACTGATGGTGTCTGGGACTAATACTGTGTATCTCCTCACTGCTTCTGAGATGGAGCTGGCAGTAGGGTCAGACACCTTACCTGGGGCGGGAGTCCAGCCACTTCAGCATAGGCCAGTGCCTGGGGAATGACAGTGAGGCCCACGGAGAGTCCAGCGATGAAATCCATCTTCAGCCACTGCAGGGAGTAGTTGGGCAGCCATGCCAGGATGGGCAGCTTCCTCTGCAGGGCCGCGGGGGAGCAGCAACAGGTGTTTGGGGCCATCCCGGGGCTGGAGAACCTAGCCTGACCCAGCATCTTCTTCGGTGGGGCTGGGGATGCAGGTGGCATAGACCAGCAATCAGAGCGGGTGGCCTTTGAAGAACCCAATCACACTGGTCAGAGACGGCGGGGGCCAGGAGGGGTCACTATGGGTCTCCTCTCCCCAGGGGCGCTGAGCCAGACGGGTCTGAGAGGAAGTCAACAACGTGCCCAAGAGTGGAACTGGGCCAAGACTGGAGGGCCCACCCCATGCCCTCATCACCCACTCTCCCTGAATCCCCTGCGCAAATCCTGGGTGCCTTCTGTCCCTCCATTCTCAACTCTCCCAGATGAGAAACTGCTCAGCGATTTCTTACTGAGAAGCCTGAAGACTAATTAGGCTCCACACTTCTCGCTCCTGAAGAACTGGCTTCCTTTTCCTTTTTTCCCCCTCACCCCAGGGAATTTAACGGGGAGCAGCGCAGAGAGAAGCAGGGTCCGCGGGGCACAGTAGGCTGTCGGGGGTGACGGCGGCTGCTGGGAGGGGATCCCAGGTTTTCCGATTGCGCATCAATGCGGGCTCCACCCACTACGGTTGACCGCGGCGCTGGAGTGGGGGGGGGGGGGTCCTCCCTCCTGACACCACGCCTCGCTCGGCCCCCACCTGTGGCATTCACGCCCTGGAGTTCTAATTGCTTCTGGGAGGACGTCAGAGGCGCCCAGATAATTCAGGTGCGCAGCATCCTCCAGAGCCCGGCGCCAGGGCGCAGAGCCGCCCCCGGAGGCCTCCGGCCGCCCCGCTCCAGCCAAAATCCACTCCGGAGCCCCTGGCCCCGCCCACGAGGCCTCTGGCTCGGGATCCTGGGGCCTCCGGCGGGGACCCCGCGCCACCTGACGGTCCGCAGTCCCTCGGCCCGGAGCAAAGCCGAGAGCTGCGGGACCCGGGTGGGGACGCGGCAGGGGGGTGGTCCCCGCGGGAGGCGCTCGCACTTTCGGGCTCCGCGCTGGCCCCGCGTTGGCTGTCCCCGGCGACCCCGGCCACTGTCCGCACCCCCCGCCCCTGGTCCCCGCTCGCCGCCCTCGCGGGCCACGGACTCACCCACCCGGCACCACAGCTCGGGGTCTCTTGGCGTCGCCGCAGCCGCGTCCACAGGAATCACCGGGGACGGGACGGGGCGGGGTCTGGGGCGCACGTGACCGGGGGCAGGGCGGGGGCGGGGCCGAGCGAGGCAGGGGCGGGGCTGAGCGGGAGACAAGAGCCCGCGCCGAAGCCGGAGCCGCAGCCGCCATGCGCCGCCCCGGGCCCGTCTGCTGCGCGCTGCTGCTGGTCCTGGGGCTCTGCCGGGCGCGCCCCCGGAACGCACTGCTGCTCCTCGGTGAGTGCTGGCGCCGCCCTCCCACGCCCGCCGGCCGTGGCCCGCGGAAGTGGCCACTGGCCTCCTCCCTACACGTGACCAGTGCTGACCCTGCTGTGCCCGGCCCTTGTATCCCCCTACCATTCCCTCTCGCCCACCCCTCTGTGCTGCCCTCAGACTCCAAATGGGTGTCTCCCCAGAGAGGGCAGCGAGGGGTGAAGGGGTGAACTCCAGCATCCAGCCCCGCTACCTTACCTCCTGCCGCCTGTCCCCACCCGCTTCTGACCCTGCCCAGTCAGGGCCCAGGGTCCACGGATCCCAGATCCCTCTCGGGAGGGGATGCCCGAGGAGGAGCTGGTGCTCAAGTCCCCAGAGACTGCAGACAGGGTACCCTCCTGGCTCTCATCTCCTCCCCAATGTAATCTTTTCCTACCCCAGAGGCTGTGGTTCAGCTGCCTTTTCGCTTGTCCGAGGGCACAGCCCTCCACCACCGCCTACCACAGTCTCCCCCAATCCCAGTCCCTCTCAGAAACCCCAAGTTCCTCCCAGGCAAGCACCATGCTGCTCACAAGACTTCCAGTTTGGGTAATCAAGCCCCGGCCCGTGACGAGTGACAAGGCCTGTGATTCTTTCCCCTTCTGAGGTCTGGCACGCTGCCAGGTACCCTTTTTCTGATTAACTGCGGTCTCTGGGCGGGAGTTCGGCTCACTGTAACATAAACAGCTCTCCTGCCAACTCCTCACCTCCCAGAAACACAGCGAAGAATCTGCCTGGACCCTCATCTGCAGATGGGATTCCCGCTGGAGGCTCTCAGAGCCCGGGCCATGCAGCCCCTGCGCTAGGGCCGGTCTTAGCACGGACTGCCATAGGTTGGCTTAAACAACAGAAACGTATTTCTCACAATTCTGCAGGCTGAGAATCCAAGGTCAGGGGCCAGCTTGGTTGGGTTCCACTGAGGGTCCACTTTTGGCTTGCAGGTTATCACCCCCTCACTGTTTCCTCACGTGACAAGCGGGAAGGGGGTCTCACTTCCTTTTCCTGTCTCTTTCTTTTCTCTCTTCTTCTTTTTTCTTTCTTTCTTCTCTTTCCTCTTTCTTTTCTTTTCCTTTTTCTTTTCTTTTATTTCTTTTTGTGAGACAGTCTCACTCTGTCACCCAGGCTGGAGTGCAGTAGCACAATCTCAGCTCACTGCAGCCTCAACTTCCCAGGCTCAACTGATCTTCCTGCCTCAGCCTCCCAAGTAGCTGGGACCACAGGTACACAGCACCATGCCCAGTTAATTTTTGTATTTTTTGTAGAGACAAGGTCTCACTGTGTTGCCCAGGCTGGTCTCGAACTCCTGGGCTGAAGTGATCTTCCTGCCTCGGCCTCCCAGGTGCTGGGATTACAGGCATGAAACATGGCACCCAGCCCTCTCTTTTCTTGTAAGGCAACAGTCCAGTCCTGTCAAATAGGGGTCCCATCCTTATGACCTCATTTAACCTTAATGAAGGGCCCTGTCTCTAGATAGAATCATGTTGGTGTTAGGGCTTCAGCACATGAATTCTGGGAGGACACAGTTCTGTCCATAGCAGGCCCACAGCCAAGTGCCGAGACACTCTGGGTTTGGAGAAGGGCAGCCTTCCTTCTGGGCTGCAGGTAGGAAGCACAGCAGCCTGCTCCCGCTCCGGGCTTACCTGGCTGCCATGTGCTCACACTCCGTGGGTGCTGTGGGATGAAGGATGGGAGCTCAGGTGGAGGATGGGAGCCCAGCTTGAAGCTCTGCCATGGACCACACTGCCCCTAAGGGAGCTGGGGGAAGGTGTTGGTCCTGGGGGTTTCCACCAGCCTCTCCTGGGGTGACCCCAATGTTGTCTACTCCAGAGCAGGGGGAAGAAGTGTGGTGTGGTTGTAGAAGCTCAGAGCCCTGTACCTCACCTTTCTGGGCCTCAGCTGTTTTGTGTAGAGTGAAAGGGTTGAACTATACAATCTGAAGGCCACTTGGCCTTTGAGATAGCATCAGCGAGAAGCAGTGGTGGGGCATACACAGATCTTTAGATGCCTGCTGGGCGAGGCTCTCCTGCCCTCTGCCCCAGGTAGTGTCTGCAGAGCCCAGAATTGCCCAGCAGTGTGCTATGGCCATGCATTCAGCGGCTGTCTGCCTAAATGCCTAGCTGGGTAACATGCCCACCCAGGTACATGCCTGCTGGGCTATCTATCATAAAGCTTGTTGGAGTATCATGCCCGCATGAGTATCTTGACCACTTGGGTACCGTGCCTGGCTGCTAACATACCCAGGTGCCAGGCCTGCCTGGGTACCATGCCCACCTGCTTATACCCACCAGCTGTCAGTTCAGCCTGTGTGCTGTGCCCACCTGCCAACATACCCACCAGGTATCATGCCTGCTTGAGGTATCATCAGGCTTGTTGGGGTATGATGCCTGCCTATGATGACCACTTGCTTACCATGCCTGCCTGTTCTCATACCCACCCAGGTATCAGGCCTGCTGGGTACCAGCCCACCTGCTAACATACCCACTGGGTATCAGGCCTGCCTGGGTACCATGCTCACCTGCTATACCTACCATCTATCAGTCCAGCCTACATACCCTGCTCACCTGCTAACAACCCACCACATATCATGCCTACTGGGTACTATGCCTGCTTGTTAATATGCCCACTGGGTATTGTGCCCACTAAGTACCATGCCTGCTTGCTAATATACCCAGTGGGTATGGGGCCTTCCTATACATGCCTGCCTGCTAACATGCCCTCTAGTATCATGCTTGCCTGCTGTACCCCCTCAGGTGTCATGCCTCCTAGGTAATGAAGTGCTCAGTCACGATAGCATTTGTGCTGAGTCAGTACCATGCCCACCTGAGTAACTTGCCTCCTGGCATCACAGCCCCAGCCTCCCTCACTCCCGGCGCTGTTTCTCGTGACCCCAGCCCACCATGTGCTCTCTGTCTCCCACCTTACACAGCGGATGATGGCGGCTTTGAGAGTGGTGCATACAACAACAGCGCCATCGCCACCCCACACCTGGATGCCTTGGCCCGCCGCAGCCTCCTCTTCCGCAATGCCTTCACCTCCGTCAGCAGCTGCTCTCCCAGCCGTGCCAGCCTCCTCACTGGCTTGCCCCAGGTGAGGTGCAAGGGGCAGGAGGAGGGGTGGGCCAGCAGTAGACAGGCTGCATCCAGGGCTCAGGCCTCTGCCACATCTCCCATCCCTGGGCTCCCTGAGGGGGGACTGCCCACTTCCCTCCCACCTCCAGGAGGAGGCACAGCCCCTGGCCATGAGTGCAGACTAGGGGTTCCGACTCCCATCTGCCAGCCCTGTCTTCACTGCTCTGTGTGGCCTGGAGCAAGTGACCTACTTCCTGTGCCTCAGTTTCCTCATCTGTAAGATGGGGGTATAATGGGGACTGGAGGGGCTGATGCTTCGTATGTAAGCACTTGGCGTGAGGCCTGGTGTGCTTACTCAGTGCCCCGGGAGCACTATGGGCAGGGACCTGCTGCTGTTAGGCACGCACACTCCTGTTTCATTTTGGTGAAATGCACACTCATCAGCGTTCCCAGCTTAGCCATTTTCCAGTACATGTTCCATGGCATTAAGCACATTCACAGTGCTGTGCAGCCATCACCCCATCCATCCATCTCCAGAAGTCTCCCGTTGTCCCAAACACAAGCTCTGTCCCCACGAAACACCAGCTCCACATTCTCCCTCCCCGTCCCCTGCCGACCAACATTCTCCCTCCGTCTCTATGAATCTGACTGTTCCAGGGGCACATAGGAGTGGAATCACACAGGACTAGCCCTTTTATGTTTTTTTTTTTTTTTGAGTTGGAGTCTCACTCTGTCGCCAGGCTGGAGCACAGTGGCATGATCTCAGCTCACTGCAGCCTCCACCTCCTGGGTTCCAGCAATTCTCCTGCCTCAGCCTCCTGAGTAGCTGAGATTAAAGGCACGCACCTCCATGCCTGGCTAATTTTTGTATTTTTAGTAGAGACAGGGTCTCTCCATATGGGCCAGGATAGTCTCAAACTCCTGACCTCAACTGATCAGCCCTCCTCAGCCTCCCAAAGTGCTGGGATTACAGGCATGAGCCACGGCGCTGGCCAATGGGCGCTTACTTTGGTATCTTACCTTGTGATCTTAGCTTATTGCAAGCGATGTGCTGTCTCCATCTGAGGCTGAGGCTGAGTGGAAGGCCAGGGTGGGGAGATCACATGTGTGGATGCAGATGCTTCCTGAGAGGCTCATCTGGACACAGGTGTGCCCACTTCCGGCAGTGGGCCATGGGATTAGGAGGAGCTCCTCCTTCTCGCCTGATACCTCCCTATGTAGTCTGAGTTTTTTAAATATATGGCTTGTTTTACAGTATAAAATAACTAGGTAATAAACAAGGCCTGGCTCTGTCTTTTTCACTCTGTGATGTGTCGTAACAGAAGAGATGAGAAGTGCAGATGCACAAAAAGAACATCCAGGCCACCTCACGCTGGTGCACGCCCTCCAGGACCCCTTCTTCCTTGTGAAGTCCTCCTTTCACGGGAGGGTCCCATGGGCCTCTCAGGCCGGGAGTGGGAGGTGGAGCCAGGCTCTCTGGGTTCTGGCCACAAAGTCTAAATCAGGGGCCCTGAGAAGGCCCCTGGTGATGGGAGGGCCGGGTAAGGACAGGTGCGGCCAGCGGGGCCCTGGCTGCCTCGGGGCCCTGGACCTCATGTGTCTTTCCGGCAGCATCAGAATGGGA